GTTTGAATGTTTTCTGCTGTTCTTATCACACTAGATTACATTATCAAATTCTACTCAAACTCCCTACTCTCCTGCGTCATCCGCGAACTCTCCCTCAATACCATACCTCCTCCTTATCGCACTTCTATTATGCACCTAACGTTTGGTGTCAATAAGGAGAGACAAGAAAGAAGAAAAAGAACACACCTGCAGAGCCCACCCGAACATGCAGAACACCGTCAGGCACGCACTCGTCCGTGCACGTCTCGTCTCCTTCTCTCTCCCTTCCTCTGTCGTATACTACAAGTCCTCCAACCGCGCCTTGTTCCCCGCGTACACCATCCATGGGCAGAAGACGGCTTTGCAGACTGTTAGGGGGCGTTAGCGTTCGCTTGCTCACTCAGTGGGGGGCAGAGGAAGGAGGAGAAAAAGGAAGGGAGGAATGAGATGAAAAGAAAGAGATGAAGGAGGACGTACATGTACCGAGTCCCTCGGAGTCGTCGCAGAACGCGCACAGCCCGGTGCTCCATCCTTGCGCCCCTCGCCCCTCGCTTAGATANCGCTGGTAAGGGCATTAGAGACGGACGTGGACATCCCGGGGTGGGCGTCTGGCTGACGAGTCGTCGGTGGGTGTGCCCCTATTGGTCCTAAGGCATGCGTTCGAAGCGCCGACGTCGACGACAACGCGGCGTTCGTACTACCTTCCGCGACGGAACACCCCGCCCCATACCCACTTTCAGAGGCAGACCCACACCCAGACATATCGGACGAAGCGACAGGCGTCGCCACCCCGTCCTCGTCAATCAACGCGAGCCCTTGGACGGAGAGCTGGAGCGAGGGCCTGTTCGAGGGCCTTTGTCCGCGTGTCTGTGCTTGCCCGTAAGCTTGTCCTTGACCGAGGGTTTGGCCTTGTACGTGGGCTTGTGGTTGTGCGTAGGTTTCTGCATGGGCGTAAGGGTACGAGGCTCGGGGCTGCCAGGAATGCGTCGTCGTACGTAGGCTCGGGCTCGGGCTCGCGTAAGTAGAAGCAAAGGAAGAAGTAGAAGCGGCGACAGGCGGGAGCGTCGGGATGATGTTGGCCGGTGCGGTCCACTGCGACTGTCCGTTGCTGCTCGCGGTGCTGGTGTTAGCCGTCTCTGGAGGGGACGCTGGTGACCAACTAACACCTCTAGACGACGAAGACCCGTTGGCCACTGGAGAGCTCCATAGTTCGGTGCTTGGCGCGTCCACTCGTATGAGAGGGGTGGGATGGTGGGTCTGCAGTTGCGGTTGCGGTTGGGAGGAAGGGGGCCGAGGGTGAGGGTAGTACGCGGCATATACCCGTCCTTCACTTTCTCCACTACGTCCACTATCACCGTACCTATACACCTCGCTTGCGTTCGTCCGTGCACCGTTGAGAGCGAGAGCGGGGTGTGCCGGACCCCGGACTTGAGCATAGGGATGCGCGGGCGGCTGTACGTGCAAGTGCGAGTGAGGCCGCCGAATACGGAGCGGGAGGGTCGTCTCCCATGGTGCAGCAGCCTGAGGCGGAGGGGCGAGCGGGGCGAGTGGAGGGGCTTGCGGACGGGCATGTGCATGTGGCGGAGGGACGCAAGGAGGCCGGTGCCGCTGTGGGGTGTGGTTGTGCAGGAGCTTGAGGCCAGGAGTCGGCGGGGTGGGGAAGTCGGCGGTGGGGTGCAGGAGGGGGGAAGGATGAGCGTGAAGGAGGAGGAGGCGCGCGCCCAAGGAACAGTAAAGGCGGCGGGACGACCTCTCCCACCCTGTAGCTGCAGCTCGGCCTGCTGTATCGATATCCTTGATCGACTCGAGCTTGCGCGTGCGGGTGGGGACGCACGACCTCGGACTCGGGGTCGGGGTAGGGGCAGGTACTAGGAGCGGTGTATGTCGAGTATTGGGAATGGGACGAGCTCGAGTAGGCGGACGCGGAGGCCGAAGACGAGGACGAAGAGGAATGGGAATGCGACGACACCGAGGCGCAAGTGGAAGTGGAGGGGGCGGAGGGCTGGAGCGACACGGGGTACCGGTGACGGTGCCCCTCCAACTCCAACTCCGAAGCCGAGGGCTTGAACGCGACGGACGCAGACGCAGACGCCGAGGTGGTGTGGTGCGTGTCGGCCCTGTCGGGGAAGGTGTTAGGGTAGAGATCGGCGTCGGCGGGTGCGTACTTGAAGAAGGGCGAGTAGGGGTTCGGTAGGGGCTTCTCTCTCTCCTTCTCTCCTTGTCCCTCTCTTCCGCACCAGTAACCGTAACTGCAACTGTAGTCGTACTCCCGCTCCCATCCCCCCATCCCCACCCATTCTCAGCAGTCAACGTCCTCTCAGACTCAGAGTCGTTCCTCGGCCGCTCGTCGGAGGCAGCGTGCCACCTCTCCAACGCACCCCTCTCCAACCCCTCCAGCTCCAGTCCCTCCAATCCATCCAGATCAATGCTAAGTGCGAGTGCGCTATAACTCGGAGGAGGTGGGGCCAACGTCAAAACCGAGTTGGCGGCCGCGTTGGCAGAGGAACTGGAGAGCGTAGCGCCCAAGTGGCTGTTCAGGCACCGCTTCTCCTCTTCCGCGCTGATGAACTTGGGCGTTGACGGTGACGGTGAGGTCGGGTCGGCGTTGGACGCGCGGAGCGTGCGAGGGTAGCGAGGCGGGTTCGCTATCGCCATCGACATTGACATGGCAGGGGCAGGCATGTCGGTAGTCGGTCGACTCTGAGCTTGGGACTTGAAGGACCTCGAGCGGATACGCTCGACTTGATACTTGAGTCTTCCGCTACTTCATGCTCCGGAGGCGGGGGCGGGGCGGTGACACCGACACCGACACCTATACCAAGGTCCGATACCTATACCTGAGAGACACAGGTAGGCCAACGATCCACTCAGACTCTTCCGCGCGTATTTGACTCAGGTCATGTTGGGCATTTATCTGGGGAAAGGAGTCATCGTCATCGCCATCGCCATCGTCAGTGGAAGCGTGGGCGGGACGAGTGAGACGAGTGAGGTCTCGGAGGTGACGTTGGTCGTTGGTAGGTGGTGGTCGAAGAGAGAAAGGAGATGTGGACTATTTTTAGATGTTGATCGTCGCCCATCACCGCATCACACCGCAGCAGACTCGCAGAGTCGAGGAGGGAAGGATGTACATGGATGTCTCGCCGTACGTATAGCCCCACCGCTGGTGCATAACTGGAGGGTGAGGGTGGGGTTGAGGACCAGGGCGAGGGTGAGACTACTAGAGTAGGACGGAGCGGGGAGTCTGGCGGTGGCGGTGGTCGCGCGGGCGGGCACTGGCAGTGGGATGCGCATTTCAAATATTGGCGCCCCGGGGCGGTGCTGATCACATCCGCCCGAGTCCAACGAGGTCAAAGAAGAAGAGCTAGCGCAATTGGGAGCTCGCAGGTTGACGTTGAGGCCTAGATGCAAGGGAACAGCCTGACGGGCGCCTACTCCATCCTCTCAGCGTTCGGTATGCCGTGGGGACTGGGGACTTGATAGCACCAGTCCTGGTTCTGTTGGATTTACGTATCTAAGTACTAGGCGCCAATGGCTTCGCCGCTCAGGGCGGTGGAGGTCAGCTTCATACTGAAGTATCAAGTTCACTTTCGGAAGCTACCTACTTAGGTCTAAGCTTAAGTTGAATGGGATCTACTTACTCTGCGTCTCTGACTCGTCATTTAGATTTATACTATATTCGCACCACCACCGCGATCGGTAGTGGGTGTATGTGCGCTGTCTCTGAAGCTTTAATAATGTTTGGGACACGTCGTTCGTGGTGGGAGGGAGTGTATACGTACCTTCCAGGAGCCTCGCGTCGGCGTGGTTGATTCAGGAAGAGTTCAAGAATGTCGGACACTTTGGAAATGGGATCATTTAATGTTATGGGCGCCTATCTGCTGAAGTCATGTGAGTGCTTAAGCGTAAGTGCCCACGACACGCCAGAGGAGGCCAGAGAGAAAGTACGTACGGGATCCGGAAGCTTACACGCCCTTTCTTACGTCCTCGGGCTTCAGCACTCGTCTTGCGCACCCTGCGAGGAATCAAAGATAGATGCCTTGCGGAGCGTTCGCCGTTGATTAATCATTGATGAAACGCACCAAGGCAAGGCTGTATCATTCACTTACCTTACTGAAGCGGCTGAGACGCTGGTAGTTCTTCGTCGCTCCAACTAGACAACCGAAGGTGTCGCAGTGCACAGCCCACTCATCGCGAGGCCGAAGGCGAGGGGGTGCGGCGAGGGCCAAGAATGGGCAGCATCGGGACACATTTTCTTCTCTTAGCACCGCCTCATCTCCTCCGATCTCCCATTTATTTACCCCGAAACTGCCTTTTCCACCCTTCTTCCCGGCCCACTTCCAGATTCCTCCGCCTAATTCGCTGATGATCTGTCCATCACCAGCCGGAGATTTCCACCTGCCAGGTACATATATAAACCACGCAAGGCAACGCCCACAGCTTTCCCTCCGCCCTCTTGCAGCGCAAGTCCACGTTAACTTACGAACTCTCGCTGGTCGAAGTTCCCTGCTTTTCCATCTTTCATCGACTTACGACTTTTTGAATCCTAACGACCCTAAACCCCAACTTGAAAAAATGTCGAGAGTCTACGAATCCCAGCCCTCCGCGAGCCACGGGATGGTCGTCGCCCCGGGCGGCGGGGGCAACCGCAACGCGAAGAACATGCCCGTCGACGCTGACGGCAGAGACTGGAGCAACGGCGTGTGTGGGTGCTGTGGGGCGTTTGGGACATGTACGTAGCTTTCACTCACTCACTCGCTCTCCTCTTGCCTGCATTGGCGTATTGAGTTCGAAACTAATTGAGAACCTTTGCGCGATATAGGCCTCCTGGCAACCTGCCTCCCGTGCGTCGTGTACGGCAAGAACAAGCACCGGTACGAGCATCTGCAGACGCAGGGCGTGCCCCACCCCGACCACGGCGGCTCGTGCTGCTCCGGCTCGTGTATGACCCATGGCATCTTCGCCTTGTGCGGGCTTGGGGTCATCTTCCAGGTGAGTCGGGGTTTCTTTTTTTTGTGTTTGTTCGCCTTTCGTTCCTTCGCTTTCGCTTTCGTGGGCATCGTGACGCGGACACGGGGAGACTACACCGCCCACCGCCCACAGCTCTGCTTTCTCCATCAAGGATGGATGGGTAGTGGGCGCCCGATCGTCCGGATGCCAGCGATGATCCCATTCCCTGCCCTTGTTCCCCTCCTCCTTCTGCCCTCCTTCTGCCCTCCTCCAAAATCTTCGCGCCGTACTGACCACATCTTTCATCCAGATGATGAACCGCGGCAACATCCGCTCGCGCTACAACATCAAAGGCGGCGGGTGCGGCGACTGCTGCACGTCGCTCTTCTGCGGGTCCTGCGCGCTCACGCAGGAGTCACGCGAGCTCGAGCTGGAGGAGGAGAGCTTTGGCGAGCAGCGGTACTAAGCCAGGATTTGGGTTAGGGATTTGGAGATAGTTTGGATTTCGTACACGATTCGGCTACTGGCTATTGGTAGATGATGGGTTTGGAGCAATGAATGATGGTTTGGAAACAAGAAATGTTTGCGAGCTGTGAAGATGGTTTGTGGATGATGAATGTTGACTGATAAATTGGTTCTGACCGCGCGAGGGCCTGTCGGCGGAACGGTATACATGTCTTTCGAAGTTTTGATTCGTTGATTCCTCCTATCGTTCAAGTACGGGGTGTGCGTTGGAATGGACTAGTATGTGAACCGCGTCGACGCCAGTGCCGTGGGTTTGATAGTCCTAAGATAGGCGCCCATGATAAATGATCCCACCAAAAGTGACCGACGCTCTTGAGCTCTTCACAACTCGAGACTGCAGGTACACTCACACCATGGACGATGTGTTCCCGACAATGGCTTCGAAAACCGAGCTCCAACCAGATGACAATGCCACTGTGGCTGCAGCAGATCAAGTCGAGGCGTCAGGCCTGAAACCGGTGAAACACGAGAAATACTACTTCGACATGGTCGTATTCCGGGTACCGTCATCACTCTCATCGTACTCTACTCTGACTGAACCCAGAGTCCTCGCTTTCCTTAAATTCCACTGCAGGTCGAGGATACTCTCTTCCGCGTCCCGAAGAGCGCGTTCCTGACGGCCGCAGATCGCGATTCCGTCTTCCCCGCCATGTTCAATCTGCCTGCTCCGCACGCCACGACGAACGAGGGGACATGCGACTCCCACCCGATCGTGCTGGAGGGGGTGTCGAAGGCGTATTTCGAAGGGTTCCTGCTGGTCATGTATCCCTTGTGAGTACTAGAACCTTCAAGCTCGTGGTGGTCGCTTTATGTAAATCTTCGGTATTTCGATTGCTAATATTGCTCACTCCTGTTTGCAAAGCCAGAGGACGGCGGCCACGTTTGAAGAATGGGTCGGGGCGTTGGATTTGGCTACAATGTGGAATTTTGATGAGGTGAGTGCGTCTCAATCGTGAGCGGCTAGATGGGTCGTGATTACAGATCGTCTACGTATCTTGTAGATCCGCCAAAAAGCGATCGCTGCTCTGTCTCCGCAGATCCGAGAGAGAGATGCAGTAGAAAACGTTCTGCTTGCGAAGAAGTATGGAGTCCGTGACTGGCTGAGGGACTCTATCATACGCCTAGTAGAAGATAAGGGCCTCAAATTGGAGTCCCTTCGCCAACCTGTCGCTCTTGACTGGGAGATGATTTCGAGAATTTTTGCTGTGCAAGCGTATTTCAGACTACCGAAGAAGTTTTCGCGGCCAAGTGAGCGCTCCTTTTTTCTTCGTCTAAAGTCCCGCTGTTTGATCAATTGTGACGTCCGTGCTTTTTGTAGAGATGCTCCAATATGTCGATGAAATGTTCGAGGGTGAATTCAAGGTGATGGATAGATTTGGCGAATACGGGTGGAGCTGTGGTTGCAGCATCTGCACCAAGTCCAACAACCATCGGCCCAAGGTTTCTCAATTGCCTGAGGACACCATCAAAACCTTGAAGCGCCATGAGGTATACTACTTCGAGGACATCAGTATTCAAGTAAGCCTTGTCATGGAATTGTGTTTTCATGTCGAGACACAGCGCTCACCCGACTATTGTCTATCAAGGCCGACAATGTGTTGTTCAAGGTCCCGAAATCTGGCCTCCTGGTACCAGGATCAACGTTCGGGAAGTTATATGGGGTTTCGGGAGACATTAACGTAGAAGGAGACAGCCTAACGGCCGCCGAAAGAGGTGCAAGCCACAGTCACAAATCGGTAGTTATAACACTATTCAACGTTGGGCCGGAGCAACTCTCGGGTTTCCTGAATGTTATTTACCCTCTGCAAGTCGTCACAGTAGCTCACTGTTTTGACGAAGACTAATCCCAGAGGTTCGGTAGGGGGTGCGTCTCCATGTCGTTTTCGGACTGGGTAGGTGCCCTTGAGGTTGCTACGCCGTGGACATTCAAAGAGGTGTGCGCTTTAAATAAACAACTGCTATAAGAGCCAGCAGCTCACGGAGAGGGATGCATTAGACGCGGAACGCCGCCATCGCCATTTTAACCCCCATGCTTCTTGACCGCACCCCCGCAGAAGGCATTTTGCTAGGAATCAAGTACGGCGTCAGGACTTGGGTCATTGATGGATACACCCGCGTGATCGAACAGCCTACGCTCACGTACGAGGAGCTGCGCAAGCCGTTTGAACTCGAATGGAAGGACATCGCGAAGGTGTTTTACATTAGATCTGTTCTGCAGCAACAGCGAGAAAGCTCTTCCGACCCGTTCGCAGGCGCTAATGTCGCTAATGGAAGATCCGATGCAGCCTGCCCAGCTTGTAACATAGGCCATTCGTCTCTGTGCGCTTATAGCGTTAGTCTCAGGCAGAAGGGTAACAGTGCCTCAACTCTTGATTATGGTCCTGCCGATGCGGTATCCATGATCGAGTCCGAATTTTCTGATGTGCTACAGGAGTTGGAAGCCTCTTTGGAGGCGTAGGGTATGTCCCTGACCTAGACACCTGTATTCATTCTTTTACATAGCTATTTTCTGACTGTCCGCGTACGGCTTTTTGTTGAAGTTGGTCGACTGTCTCAAGCTCCAAACACATGTAGATAAGGCTTGTTAGTCACCACATTTGGCACAGCCATGTGAATTTTGCGCCTCAATTGTGAAACTGGTACAGATAAATAAGGCCGGAAGACGGGCGCCTAACAGGCTTTTAACGGGACCAGGGAAGCACTTGGCGTTGTATTTAGCATGACACCATGCGGCTCGCATCGGGAATCCATCCCACTGCCAGAGGGCTGAGATCTTATATTTCGTATTGTGAGCGCTCGATACCGTGGGCGTTGAATTACCATTGCGCCAGGCTGCACTCAGCGACGCGTCTCCTTGTGTCTCCCTAATTAGGTCACGCGTTCTTGCACGTGCTGTCAAACGTCATTTAAAACACGACCAAAGCTTGCGCCACCGGCTCGACGGTCAGCTGGGTCGATCAGCAGATTCAGACCGACTTCTCCGCTCGTCCAGACCTCCAACCATGTTCTCACCTACAACTTTAGCTTTGGCTCACGACCTGTCAATACTGCAGTTCCTCTCAGAATGAGCTTCACTATGCCAGAGCACTAGAGAAAGTGACAGACGGCGTGCAAGCGGAGGCGCCCAGGACAAGGGGAATGAAATGAACGGAACCAAATGAAGCTCAATTACCCCGCATTCTGCCCCCACTCACAAGACCCAAGACTCAGCTCAGCTGGTTTCCCACATATATAAAGCCCCCAACTGCCTTCTTGAGCTTCCCAACACCCCTCTCAGGATCTCCCTCTTGATCGCCCCTCCTCCCACCAGCTCCGACTCCAGCTCCTTGTGTACGAACCCAGATCCTCCACGCACAGACCCTCACTGCGACGATGGCCGAGACCGCACCTGCCCCCGCGACCGTCGAGATCAACGACGCCATCTTCTGCACCCACTTCAAGGAAGTCGTGCGTATCCTGCTTTGAGTTCATCTTGTTCGACGGGGACGACTGGCCCGGTGGGGGCGTACATGCTTTATGCGTCGATGTTGTGTTCTCATCGGATCGCCCCTAGTGCTCGGATTGCTCGTTCGATGGACGGGAGGAGAACGATGCGTTCTTTGGGGTACGTCCTTCCCTCGCTCTGCCTTCGACGGTGATCGGGTGCGAATGCTAAGCGCCGTGTGTTCTGGGATATACACAGTTTGACCCGATCGACCGAGATGGCATCGAGTGCCCGCCTGCGACTCAGAACAAGGAGGGCGTCTATCAGTGCAAGAAGCATGGGTCTACCTGTACGTTTGCTATTACGCCCCTATTTGTTCCGTCGTCTCTGATCACACCCCTTCTTCACAGCGTGCAACCAGTGCTATGGCTGGAAGAAACAAATAACGAGGGCGAGAGCTCAGGCGAAGAAGGCCGGCAGAAAGTAGCCAGTGGCAACTCGAACTCGAACCCCAAGAAGAATTGTAGAAGAAGACTAGTGGCGCCGTCGTGACCTCTCCCACCAGGATGTATTGCTTTACAGTGTACCAGTATCCCAGTTACGCTGCGCAAGGTTGTCGCTCGGGCACATGTAGAAATATAAACAAAGCAGAGATGTACTCTATCCGTTCGCACCGACGTCGGTTCGGAAGCCGATAAGGTTGGCGAGAGGTTAGTCAGGCAGTGGATTGACGGGCCGTGCGTAGTCCGTAAGGTCGGCCGATCCGAATTTGGTCCATCGCTCACCTCTTCTGGACGGTGGCCGATAACAGCAGACTTCTCAACGGGACTATATATCGCTGTCTGACCTCGCGTTCTAAGGAGTTGCAGCTGGTCTCATAACGATAGGCCATCGTAAGCGAAATACACATAAGGATCGCCGAGTTGGACTTTGGAGTTGAAACTTCACAAAGCTAGGCAAAGTTCCCTCTGATCGACAAAACGCGAAAGCTTCAAGTCCGGCCGCCCTCTATGTTTCGCCAGTTGAATGCAAGGTCTTCATGTACTTAACTAGGCCCTTTGAGGACTCGATTCTGCCTACATAATGTTCACGGATTCCTATGTTGATTCGAATACCCTGCTGGTTATTTGTGCACTCGGTTTGCGAGCTCACCAACACATATGTACATTCGTGAACCTGGTTTCCCTCAACACTCTATAATTAAAATATGTACAATGTTGGTATATAATCATCCTAACCTCTCAGCTCGCGAGAGGGCGCTGATTCTCGGAAGGCGTCCATCTGTGGATTTCTTAGATGCTGGGCGCTTATCGTTATGAGAACAACTCCAATCTCGAGAAAAAACGGGTATCTTCTACGTCTACCACTCCTTGCCTTCCAACCTTTCGATCCGGTCTCCCTTATATGCCGCCTCGTGTTATGTCAAAGAAATCAAGGGATTTACCCTGGGTCTTCAGCCTTATATTGCGACTGATCGTCATTTGGCACGTTTGAATTCCTGACAGCGTGCTGCAACTCAGCCTTGGGTGGGCTACAACTATGCTTACATGCTTACAACGATGTATCCTTTAATCAAACCTCTAGATCTCAGTTCAGTGTCAGTTTGGGGTGAAGAGTTGCCGGAGTGTCGGCTTGCGCATACAGCGGGACATCTGGGTAGGAAGTTCGGCCGATCCAAATTTAGCTCTTCTTTCACCGCTTTTGGCATGTTTCTGGTCGATGACGACGAGGCTCTTGCTCGTCTTCGACATTCAACTTCAGCCAAATCGCGAACTCGAATTTACGGTCTATCAACGCAAAAAATACATACACAGCTGGGTATCTATTGCAGTCCACGAACCCCTCAGCCAAATTCGTCGCCCCAAAATCCCTTCTGGTCTACTCTACGTCTTCATCTATTCCAGGAATTACATGCCATATGCTGGGTAGCCTTGGTAGCCCGAATAGCCCGAGTATCCCGAGTACTGGCCAGAACGGTACGTCGTCGTTGGTGCAGGTGCAGGTGCAGGAGGGTTAATAGGGAACCACTGAACAACGACCATTTCTGCTTGGCCGATGCCGTCGTAGACGTTGTTTGCGCCAAACTGAATCAAAAGAATTTAGTTCATCAATGCACCATAGAAATTTTCATAACTTACTTTCATAGTGTTTCCTTGCTGCGCCATCCAGTATGTAAGCTCACAAATCCCCTGCATTAGTCCCTAGACACTTACCAAAGTTCCCTCATCCAGCTCATATGGCGTTACGACGGTCCCCGTGCTGCTCTTCTGGACCCCCATCTGGAGTGCCAGCTGCGCGCCCTGGGGAAACTCGCCAAGGTGAACGACTTCTTGACCGTCGGCGCACAGCCATGCAGCGGCGTTCTTGTCGTACTTGGTCTTGGTGAGCGTTTTGAGGACCCGGTTGTGGTGCAAGACGTGCAGGTCCGTTTTGTAGACGCGTGGGGTGAGCTGTGGGAGGGCGGTTAGCTTTAGGGCGAGTCTGACAGGAGCAGGTGGGAGGCATACAGCGTAGACAACGGCTTTGTGCCCAGCAGGGATGTTCACGTAGACGAGTGTGCTGGAACGAAATACAGTTAGCCATTCACTGTTTTAAAGTCGCCTTTTGCTGGCATTTTGGGACTCACGGCATTGTGCTTCTAGGTCTCTAGATCGAGTCAACTGAGCTAGTACGCTAAATGTGAGCTTTGATTTTCTCTCCGCAAAGCAAGCCTACTTTTATATTCGTTTTCCAGCTCCCCTCAGGTCGTTTCTACCCTCCTATCGCCTCAGTGAACAGGAACGAGCGGACCTTTCGGTCAGCAAATGAAGTTCCTAACAACTCTTCCGCTCCAAGACGTTCAGGCTGAAAGTCAACGCCCCTCGGCCACCACGCATTGTAAGAATGTCGCGATCCGGTACTCTGATCCTCCGAATTTCAAGGTTGACTTGCTATTGACTTACTCTTCCCTTCCTCTTACTGAGCCCTCGCCGCATCAGATTCAAACGAGAATAGCCCAGGCGTCGACTTTCAGGGCGGTCAGAATATTCGTGGCCGTCGTTGGTTGTTCCGTTGGTTATTCCAGTAGCTGTTGAAGTCTCCTTCCATGGCCCGTGTCATTTACTGTGAGCGGACACACGTATACTCCACTCCACCCATCCATTGCAGGGCGACTCGCACCGCTTACGGCCCATAATCCATAATCCCGGGCCACGTTTCAAGGCGCTTATTCGTTAATCACGGAACGGGCATTAGCGCCCGCTGTTCCGCCGATGACGGGCCCAGCCTGTCAACAGCTTGAATCAGTCGGAAAGCCGGGCGGAGTTGTCAAAGTGATCCACTCAAAATGAAATATCTGGGTCTGGGCGTCCATGCTTGATGTTCTGTAGATAGTAGACGTGATCAAGTGGACAGAGGAAATGGAATTGAACTTCGATATTCGATGTCTGTTCTGTTTGCCCGACTGACTTGGCCATTATTGAGAATGACAATGCTGATAGACTCATTCCGAAGGTTCACGGGTGCGTTCGGGATAGAACGCCGCCATGGACGCTGCATGATTACTGTACAGACATCATGTACGACTTGGTAGGATCCGGACAAAATGAACGCCAGAACAAAATGAACATGCCGCAGGCGATATTGGGTATAAATGCGTAGCAGTACCACTCACTAGATCGAGAGACTCAAAAAGGAGGCAAAGAAGAAGGCAAAGAAGAATTTATTCTATACGTGTCGGTAGCTGGAATCGAACCAGCGGCTCTTCGGAACTCTTGTGCGACCACAACGAAGTGATTTAACCCCTAATCGATACCGACCAAGTTTCTTGGCAGTTTCGCATCTCCAGCGCCCTGGGAGGATAATGCAAATGTCTAAAGTATCTGTGACGACTCCGAAGTTCGAGGAAAACAGCAAAGTTAAAGTGAGGTTATGTGAAAGCATGTACGAGGTTGTCCATCAGGCTTACGCTTTTGGTTCTCCGATTCCCCTAATGGGAAACTGCCACATGGTCTACTTGAAATAGCTCAGCCGCCGAGCAACATGTATTGCGACCGGCGCTTAATTTGTGCCATCTCGTAACGCCTTCCACGAGTATTCCACTAAAAATGGTGGGAGTTAGTGTTAATCTATTTATATATCCACCTTACTCTGGACTGGTGTATTGCGACGATCAAGTGCTAGCTTGATTGTGTAGAAGAGGCCAAATGACAGCCAACAACGAGTCAATCGGACGTCGGGAGGATCAAAATTCGCATAGTGAGCAAGTTGATTTCCATGGAGCTCGGGAAGAGATTTGTCGAACGTACATCCTCCTGTCGTATAAGGGTTTGGTTACCTACTCACCTGTCAATTCGTCGCACGGTTGTAAGCCCAGAACGCAAGCTGAACAAGTATGTGGCTTTGAGAGACATGACAACTAAGTAGCGCACATATGTCTGTCATTCTCTAGAATTTTGTGGCGGAAAGCATATTAAATGACTCAAAAACTCGTACATGCTGAAGTGCGTGCGAAATTTCAAGTCGCGCCCACGCGTCGGATCATCACGTGGAAGGAATCCGTTCAGGGTCCGACTCGGAGTCTCGGACTGCACTCCTTGTCTTGAAGTTGAACGATGGCGACGCGCTGCATCTACCTTTTCTAATGCATTGCTCTCTCCTTCCTCGAGAATCTTCATCTTACATACCTTTGTCGAACCGATCCTGAGCCCTGCGCGACTAAGGTTCTTCAGGCATTGTGTGCCTTCCTGCTGAGTCTCGGGTTTCCCCACCCCATTCTCTAGAAGGTCAACTTAAATTGCCATGTCTCTTCCCAACTCTCCTCTTTCTTCCTCTCTTGTTGCTCCTTGGAGCTTTCTAATTGCAAATTTGATGAGACATTTGAATACTTACAGCAAGAAAGAAGTGGTGTAAGGCGATGAGGTATGCTCCTTTTTGATGATGAATTGCCTCAATGTTCTGATATTTCCTGCCATCTTGTACAGTGTACCATTTTCCCTGTCGTTGAGAAAGCTATGCATCAGAAGGCCTAGCTCCTAGAGGGGACATAATCCAGAAATGTGGATACTTCTTCGTTCAGTTGAGGCCTCAATATCCAGAAGTTTTAACCCGTATATCATCTGTAGGATCTCAGCGTACCCCGGATTTACACGGTGATCGTTGTAGGAGCAACAATTCTCCGCTTGGTTCGACTTTCAACCTTCATCCAGGATGGGTCCAAGCGGTGTAAAATCATATCATATCCAGTGTTGCCCAGGCAAAAAAAAAATAGCCTCTCAATTGCAGTCTTCCGGTGCAACCTTCGTTTTTCTCCCTTTGCAAGCATCTGACGAAGATTCTAGGAGCGCGACCAGTGAACAATTCGAGTTCAAATCAGCCACACACTACGCCTCATTCCAACATTGCTCCTGCCCTTTACACTTTCCGGATTTCTCACTGAGGGCACGCCGTCGAAAGCCATCACTAGTTCCAACGAACAAGCATATCAGTGACCGCTCTGGCGCAAGCTATCTCCGTCTGGTGCCTGCATCCAAAATGACCGTCCTTCCATTTCCGAGTACGCTGTACTAGCTGCATCGGATGTTGTGACAGGATGGTCTAGAGTTCGTACGGTGGGCTGTGTACTGCGCGGGTCAAGCCTTAGCAAAACCCCTCTCTGTCCGTTTCAGAGAATGTCTACCAACAGCAAGCATGGGAGGTAGGTAGGAAAGGCTGCCTACGTTGTCAGTGAGGCTGACGCCTTGTTCTCTCGATAACAGTGCGCCTGCAACTCGCCAGCCACATCTTTAATGCATAGGACATTGTCTAATCGTTCTGCGTTTCTCTCTTCTCCTCGCCTTTCGTGTTATTTTCTGCCCAATCTTCCTTTTGTTATCTATTTTGCTTTCGAGCTTTCGACAGGCTTTCTTTCTTTGCTTTGATAAAATCATTTATTTTCTTCGCCCTGCTATGTTTTGGTTCTCCTTCTTTTCCGACCCCAAGGGCACTTCCTCATCTCGTCCTCGAGCCGACAAATGCAACAAGCAACGTGGATCGTCTAGCCGTTTCGAGGAGTTCGCATCGCCACTCGTGAATCCATCTCGCTCCGGAAGCAAGAGTCAAGAGGTCAGTAGTGCGTTCTCGAGCTTGTTGGACTATCGTCTGATGTATTTCCAGGCTGCCGTATCTACTGCAAGGAACCCTAGGCATTTCAATGGCAACTTCGTTCCGGTAAGTAGTCACCTCTTCGTTCTGGACTATATATGTATGTGACTAGCATGGTCGCTTATTCCTGTTCTCTAGAATAAGGAGGATCCTGACACATTCGCAGCCTTGCAGGCCATCTACGAAGCACTACACGACCCCTCAATACTCGATGCTAGGCGACACCTGCGTTACGACCTGCAACCAGTGATCCACATCGTATTCCCGGACACGCCACCTCGAACACCTCTATCTGTGAGTCTGATCTTCCCGCAATTCCTATCATAGTCATATATATAAAGGACACGTTGTATGTTCGTGTATGCAATGTTCAGTGCTCATGCCGCGCGATTTTGAGATTGATTGCTGATGGTTGTCTAATACTTAGGATGCTCTTCACACCCCCGGCCCACGTTGCATCCTCGACCTCATCGATGGCGAAGCTCATCCTGCCGTCGCCCACCTGGCCTTCCCACTATACCCTATAGCAGCTCCTGCCAAGGTGGGGCATCCTATTTCTGCCCTCCGTGGCTACAGGACGCCCCTACTCCTCTCATCCCCGTCGCACCCCATCCTTCTTCCTCCTGCTCGTACCACAAATATGAATGTCGCCGATTTTTCGATCATCCGCTTCTTAGGCGAGGGTACGAGCGGGAAGGTGTACTACGTCAAGGACAGAATCTCGAGAGCGAAGGTGGCGCTCAAGGTTATCCCGAAGGAGGACAAGAACGAGTGTGCGCTGGGCGTGGTCCTCCAGGAACGCGAGATATGCGAGAAGCTCTCCGACTCGCCATGGTTCGTTGGCTTATGGGCGTCGTGGCATGATCAGGCCAACCTTTACATTGCTATGGTGCGCTCATTTCTCTCACGTCGGCGTATGGGGTTCGGGCGATTGACTTTATCTGGGTGATAGACTCTGTACCCCACCGATCTGGACAGCGAGATGATCAAATGTAAAATTATTGAACCTGAAAGAGCGCGGTTCTACATGACCGAAATTGTGTGTTTCCTGGTCATCTATACATGCCATAGTAATCGCCTAATGCTGCTCCACAGATTATAGCTCTGACTGAACTCCATTCTCGCGGGATAATCCACCGCGATATCAAAGCACCCAACATCCTTATAGACAGAAACGGGCACATCGTTCTTGCAGATTTCGGACTTGTGAAAGACTTTGATCGAATACCTACTCTTCCCGAACGGGTTTACCAACCGTATTGGCCCTACCTGCCTACAGATGATCCAACGAAGGGCTCAACACCTCGGCCGCCAGACCAGCTGCACTTTGTTGCTTGGGATTATCGCGGCTCAGAGCTCGAGATGGCGCCGGAGATTCATATGAGGGAGCCGTACTCGTTCGGAGTGGATTATTGGTCTGCGGCGGTGGTATTGTACTGGATGTTGACTGGACGAGTGAGTTCAAGCCTCTATCCTTGGAACATTTCTGAAATTGACTTATTTTTAGCCACCATTTTATGAGGACGAAGCGGAATATGAAGATGGAGGAGAGCAAGATGTGAAGCCGTTGTCCTTCAAGATTGTCGAAGATAATCTGTATTGGGATCCAGGGGATAACGTTGATGACGACACGAAGGACTTTCTTGAGCGGGTTCGCTGTTGGATATTCATGCATTCTATCGTTGGCTGACTTCATGCTTTCCTCCAGATGCTTGAGAAAGACCCTAGAGATCGTCTCATGATATCTTACGAAATACCTAATCACCCGTATTTTGCGAGCATGTAAGCCTGATCTCACACTTTTCTTCTCTGCACGTCCTGACTGATCTTCGGTAGTGACTGGCCGCTCATGGAAGCACGGCTAGTACCTCCACCTTGGGTTCCTATAGGCGACATCGGCCACGTTTATGAACCTACTGCGTCTTCTTCCTTTACTCCCGGCGAACCGTATGCCAGTGAAGCAGATGATCCATGCCCAGAGTTCACTTTCCTCTCAGAACAAGCGAAAGTCCCGCCGCTGCTAGAGGATGAGGACGAATACGACTCCGATTATGATTCTGACAACGACACTGTCACAGATGAGATGGCACTTGAATCAAAACAAGCGAAGATTATACCCACCTGGCCTCACTTTGCGCGGGCACGGCTCGAGCTCTCGGACACCCCGAATGGAAGCCAGGACATCCGTACTCTCAAATCCAACTCTCTGGACTCGAATATTTTTCTCAAAGAAAATTGGCAACGTTCTTTTGTCAACCCCCCTTCGAATCGGCCATGTGGCGATGGCCGCAAACGGTGGCTGTATGCGCAAGACCTCCTTCAGCTGCACACGCCGCACATTGCGTCACACCGCTTCGCCATGAACTCTTCTCCAGCACTTTCGACTAAACCACATCAGGTCACCTCCCAACGTCCCCTCTCCGAGATCAACACCCAGCCTCGCGGTTGCACTTCTCGCTTCGAGATAGACCCATCTCTTCCCAACCCGCCAACCGATGTCTCGCGTCCTCAGCACGTCAATCATGTTGTGAATGGCACAGGCGTGCTGTTCAAGGTCAAGGTCTGGATATCGAAACTTAAGACGCCGAAGCCGAAGAAGGGCTTCCCATTGAGCCGACTGTCGTTTCCCGGTTGAATTCTCACTTCGTACGGACTTCACGAACCCAACGCACATTCATTGACCTCTTCGCATTTCTCCTGCTTCTCTTTCACCGATACCATTCAATCGGCTGCTTTGCTTTGCTATGCCTTCATGAATCATGATATGTAATGTCGTAACGCACTTTGCAACGTTTCCATAGAATGTTTTCATTTTCTCTTTCCGTCTATCATCAGACCGAAGCATAGGCTCTAGGCTTTCATTTTCTTCCAAACTGTGGCCTCGTGTCGGACGCTGTCTACAACCTTTCCAAGAGGTTTGCCCGTGCTCCCACACGGGGGTTGGGGTTCTGATCTAGAAGAAGCAATTTTACCCTTTCTTTTTCTTGGGAGCATTCGCTCTTTGCGCGCGAAGATGAAATTCAGCAAATAATATTTGATAAAGGGGTCGACTTCGTCGACATACACCTTGCTTGAAAGTTCAAAGCTGACGCATTTGCAATACTTATGTAAGATGAAGAGGCTAATCTTGCTATACAGATTTCAAGAAGCATAGACAAGAAAACAATAGTCATAACTTAGAAAAAAAGGGAAGACAAAACAGAAGAAGAGCAGAGGGAGATTATAAAGGATGTCATCAGAGAAATGGGAGCACCAACGATATGGATTATCACCAATCCGGAGAGCGCCAAGAATTGAAACGGATAACGGACTCAGCGAGAAACAAGACTGGAAGGGTAGGATAGAAACAGACGAATGCTAAGAAAATGGCGGGGAACAACACCATGGAAAAGGAGTGATTGCTCGAGTTACAATCTAGGGGTAAAGACAAACAAACCAAAAGTCAACATTCGAGCCTCTGGGTTTCAGGGAAGGAGTACTTGGTCATGTTTGGCTGTTTCTAAAAAAGGCGACTTTTGACCAAGTGGGACCTTACTTTCAGCAAGGTGATTCTATAAAGGGTCGACTCTGTTGACAGACACCTTGCTGAAATAATTTCATAATATTCTTAGCACTAAAGGGGTCATAGCAGACCTAGCAGACATCTTTCTCAATCCTCGGGAACTGCATCTGCAGGACCCAAAGGTAGAAGAATGGATTGATTATAAAGCTCAAGTACCCACCAGGGAACGGGGGATTATGGCATAAAATAAATTTACATCCATATACTGAAGGTGAAGCCCTCGTAACTTACTTGCAGTTTATTTGAATTGTATGCCGCTTGCCTTCGCCCCTCCATCATGTGGGGCGCTCCGTCGTGCCAAGAGACTTCTGGCAGGTTTAAGTGGCATACTTATAGGATTCTGAGTAAGTGTTTGACATATTTATTTTGTATTTATTTTATTCACATATTACTTGAATTCTACTCAAGGTTGTTTGTCTTCATCTCTCCTTCACCCTTGCGACAAGCTAACAGACATTGAACTGCTCAATACAAATCGAGCATTTGGCAACATGTTATTGATAGAGGAAAGGAGCAAACACAACCAAAATGAACTTTCAATCGACCTTCAGTGATGTATGCTAAGTTTGGTCACACTAGCATATGAAGGGACTACCAAGCACAGCCAAAATGAACTTTCAATCAACTTCCAGTGATGTACGCTAAGTTTGGCTGTGTTAGCACATGAAGGAAAGACCAAATACAACCAAAATGAACTTTCAATCAACTTCCAGTGATGTATGCTAAGTGTGGCCTTGCTTGGCTGACCATAGGACTCAACACAAGACCAATGGGAACATCCATATATGGTCAATTTCGAACAAGGGGGACCTTCTTCACTTCGTTCAGCAAGGTGACTTGAGTGGCTTGCCTTCGCCCTTCCATCGCGCGGGGGTGCTCTATCAGGCTGAGCGACTTCTGGCGGTTTCAAGGGTCCACTAGTACTTTTTGACAGGCGGCTGCCCCAAATCAAATATCTCTCTCTTGTTATATGAAGTAAGTCGAAAATGTTGACCCCGACAACTTTAAAAGGTGTCAGGGGCATAAACAACTTTGTTTTATATAGTAGAAGAACTAGAGTTTTGCCTGTTTGCACGGGGGTGGGGGATAGAAGCATAGAACTGATAGATACTGACACTGACTGAACTACTTGTAGTTTATTTGTTTCTTGCAGTGCCGCTCACCTTCACCCCTCCATCATGTGGGGCACTCCATCATGCCAAGCAACTTCCAGCAGGTTTAAGGGTCATGAATTCAGCACCAACTTGACACACTGCATGATTGTTTTCTTCAAATTTATTTACTCAAATTCTACTCAAGGCCGCGCTCCTCTCCCTCCCTTCCCTGGGCAATTTCTCAAAGGTCAATTGAATCAGGCTTATTGATTGCTCGATAGGGGATGAAAAAACTGAGAGCCCCTGCTGACGGTGAGCCAACAATTTTTGGTATAGTGGCTGAATAGGGAATGGCCAAAGGATGGAAGAGCTTGATAAAAAGTAAGCGCTCGATCACTTGCTTGACTGGTCAGGCCCAGGCCCAACCATGACAGAGGAAAATGTTGTGTCTGTCAACTTTCAAAGTTGATCCCTGGACAAAAACCTTGGTTTTAGTATGTAGATATAATACTCACCTTCTTCCTGCTCAATCGCAATGGTTCGCCAGTCCTCAGTGCGTCCTTTGGTGTGTTGTATGCCACGGTCAGTAACAATACCAAATGCAAATTTAAACTTACATGAATGGCGGTTACGCGGTGGAACATAACTCCGTATGAGTAACTGTCCTGGCACAACTTTTCCACCTCAAATGGGGTTAGTCCCGTATCGTCCTCAATGAGAATATTGGCAATCCCAGGAATGGCGACGAGGTCCAGGAATTGGCAATAAGTGAGTGTCCATCCCTGCATGCCAGTCCACCAGGCTTCCAGCGGTCTGATCATCTTCTCTAGGATGACATCAGCCATTATATGTGCAATTTTTGGCTCCATGGTATCTTGTGGGTATGTTTTGACAAACCAGTCCTCAATGATCTTCATTGACATGGGCCTGTAACTGCAGTGTGTTAGCGAACAAATATGAAACCAATCGAGCAAAACACACTAGCTGGCATGCAGGTTGGCACACATCATGTTGTACAGCCTCTTATCTTCCCAGTGGGACAGATCCTCGGCATTTGCGCCCACCTTTTGCAATGATTCAACGAGTGACAACCACAGGTAGCAGAGATCTAAGACAATCTCATTGTCAGTTAGCCCAAAAATCCGTTCATCCAGATCTGTTAAACAATCTGGAAGAGATTTGAAGTCAACATTCATGGGCCAGTCCAACTCCTGGGCCATGTTTGCGACAGCCACTCTGAGTTCGTCATGAACTTGCACATTCAGTTTGTCTCTGTACTCCAGGGTGAGGTTGGCGCTGTTGACAAGTTTATCCAGTGTCCGCTTTAATTTTTGGGTGAGTCCGTCTGTGGGAATGCTCACACACCCAGCATGGGGGCACCTCTGAATGTCCATGCACTGTCCAATATATTTGTTAGCATCAACTCATATTGGTCAGAGAGATGTACCTGTTTCTTTGCTGGAGGCCTGCTCAATTCTTGCGAATCATCACTCTTTCTCTGAAAAAAAGGATTAGAACATAAAGGAATTATGATTTCATCATACTTTTTGTGCAGCCTGTAAGCAACTGATTAGTACGTGAACTGCACAATAATATGTTTCAGTACATGTGAACAAGTGGTGCGCATCGCCGGTGGAGGCGCCGCGTTCCGAAGTGACTTGCCCTTGCCGGACGCGCTCTTTGTCTTCATGGCCCCAGGCCCATCAGGTTCTGTCGCACGGTCGATAGGCGGTGTGGCCATGGCTTCAGAGGTGGCCTGGACTTTCTCGGTCACCTTGAGCGCTGAGGGCCTTGTCCTATTTGTGATTGTCGCAAAGGGAGGGGTTTGCACGTAGATCTCATCGAAACATGCTTCCTCAGGTGCTTTGAGCCAGTCTGAAGTGGGCACTGAATTTGGTGCGTTATCAGGTGGTAAAGGCGTCAGAGTGCTGGATGCAGCAACAGGCTTTGGGATGGGAGCAGGCTTTGAGGCAGCGACAGGCCTCGGGGCGGTGACAGGCTTTGAGATGGTGGCAGGCTCTGAGGCAGCGACAGGCCTCGGGGCGGTGACAGGCTTTGAGATGGTGGCAGGCTCTGAGATGGCAGCGGGCTTTGAGACGGCAACAGGCCTAGGGGCAGCGACAGGCCTCAAGGCAGCAGTGTTGTGAGGAGCGGAAGCAGCACCAGGTCGAGGAGTCCCGGCGGCCTGGCGAGGAGCAGAACCTGGATTCAAGGCTCCTGTTGCCTGGTGAGCAGTGGAAGTGGCAGCCTCCAGTGCATCTTGAGCATTGCAAGCTGTGCGTCTGGCATCAATGGCATCTCAAAGGATGCTTGCGTACTACCATGACTCGCTTGCCTTTATGGACTTTGTTGTAATCTTTTTGACCAGAGAAATTATGTGGTTGGCATCTAGGAACATGTAGCATGGTCAAGTGAGGAGCGCTATAGAAAGCGACTTCTTGTACAATGACATTGATCTAAAACTCGTCAGGAACAGAGAAGACAGACAAAATGAAACTTGCCTCTTGTTCTGGAGCAATATGCACAACAAGTCTATCATCATATGCAAACATCACCCACCCTTTGGAGCCCTTGTGATCGCCATGGGTGACAGCGACATGATCTCCAACCTTGAAATGAGGGCAGACCTCTATGACACTGAAGGGGGCAATGATGTCCTGGGACAGAAGATGCAACAAAACCTCCTCGGTACCAACCTCAACAACCTCTCCCAATACACCAGCAAATTTGCCTCTGATGACTTTGACCCGATCGTGAAGCTGAAGATGTTTCTGCGCTACTCAACTGAGGGTTTTCGAACGTGCCGTGTCCTCAAGCAGCAAAGAACCACAAAATAATGCAAACTCATAGTGACAAGGGAGGACTTCGGAAGAGATTACAAGGTCGATTTCATTGGTTGGTACTAACAGAATTCCATCTCGGGTGTAGGTGCGCTGTTGAAATATATATTGTGTCTGTGTCTCCAAGGCTTTGACTTTATGAATTCCAAAAGTTTCGACCATGTCGTCCTGCGGCGTGAGTGCTTGTGGTGGACGGGGTTCTTTTCCGATCCGAGGAATCAACCCAACCAAAAAGCTGTCCAGTCTTTTGATGAGCAGGCCGGTATCCCCTAGATACTTCTTCCATTTGGCCCGTTTATCATGGACCTGAACCCATTTCTGATCTTCGAGCCTGTAGGGGCTACTCCGAGTGAGCATGTCAGTTCGCTCATCCAACGAGACGGGGCGGATATTGTTCATGTTGAGCTCTGGAATTCGGCGGGCGAGTGCACGGGCTTGAGTCATATTGTCAACCTCGGCATAGATGCGGCCAGGAATTGTGCTTTGCGCAACAATTGAACAAGCCAAAGTTTGAGGAAAGGTTGGGTGTGTCACCAGAGAAAGAACCTTGAATGCAACACTTTCCTCATGGCCAACCTAGGTATCATTAGAGAAGAAATAAAAAGATTCAGGACATATTTGACGCACTAGACACCCAATCTCGAAGATCATATCATTCTCTTGTAGTCTCATGTCCTCCTGATTGTTGAATGTCTCCATCACCAATGAACTTCGCTCTCGTTGCCTCGCTCGTGCTAGGATGTCTTCCCAGAAGTCTTCACCAGCATCGTCGATGGTTCGCATGGTTGAGAATGTTGCGTAACTGCCTCGTACGACTCAACATCATTGTAGATTTGCTCTATAGAGAAACCATTTATGAGAACGACGTCCTGAACGTAGTTTGGAGCCAACTTACCCTTGCGCTCGTGTTCGTCCTCGTCTTCAAGTTCTCCTTGCTCTTCCTCTTCTTTGTTGGTAACGCCTGCCTCAATGTCTAGAAACATGCTCTGTATGAAATTGACGAGGAGGTCAATGTCTCTTATTTTTTAATTCAAATATTGTTCACCGGATTCATATGTCTCCTTTTGTGCGACACGCCACTAGATACAATTCAATCTACTCTATATCATTAGGAATGAGTGCCCCTCTCGGACATATCTACATACTAAAACCAAGGTTTTTGTCTGGGGGTCAACTTTGAAAGTTGACAGGCACAACATTTTCCTCTGTCATGGTTGGGCCTGACCAGTCAAGCAAGTGATCGAGCGCTTACATTTTATCAAGCTCTTCCATTCTTTGGCCATTCCCTATTCAGCCACTCTGCCAAAAATTGTTGGCTCACCGTCAGCAGGGGCTCTCAGTATTTCATCCCCTATGAGAAATTGCCCAGGGATGGGAGGGAGAGGAGCGCGGCCTTGAGTAGAATTTGAGTAAATAAATTTGAAGAAAACAATCATGCAGTGTGTCAAGTTGGTGCTGAATTCATGACCCTTAAACCTGCCAGAAGTCACTCAGCACAATGGAGGGGCAAAGGCAAGCGGCACTGCAAGAAACAAATAAACTACAAGTAGTTCAGTCAGTGTCAGTATCTATCAGTTCTATGCTTCTATCCCCCACCCCTGTGCAAAGCACAGGCAAAACTCTAGTGTATATTAAAATTCAATTTATCCCCTTTCACGCTAACATGCCAGCCAGTCAGCATTTTCCACTAGTCGGTTCAGATTGGAAATATTCTTGCAGGTGTAAAAATCCTGAGGCAGCCAGATCTAGATCCATATATTTTGCCATTTGTGCTTCTCCTTGGGTTGTTCATCGAATACTGAAGTACTGAAGGACTGTAGTTGCTCACATGCACGAACAAACGTGGACCCACCTCTCAGATCTCAGATCTCATCGATCATCATGCATCAGTTCTAAATATGGATCTGTTGATCACTGATTTTTTGTCCCTTTTGATTTTGCCCACCAACCACCTCTGCATGTTACACACCAACTGCAGCCATGTCTGCTAGAAATCTGTATCAGATACTGTATTTAGACAAGGTATGCTTATATGTCAGGACTGTGTTTTTACAGTCCACCTATGGAGAGGGCCTTGCCAGGTGTGCCAGGGCTCATGGCTGTGGGTGGGGCATGTCAACATATGCAAACAACACAGGAAACAGTGCCCGGACACTGTTCCTTGTCGTTTGGGGCGCCCCCGCCCCTGTTTTCGACAGGGAAAAGGCTCCAACGATGGGGAAATATAAATCCTTGTCGTTGTGCACTATTTCCCCCACCGTCAGGTTGGCAGGATAGGCTGGATTGGGAGGGGGTATCTTGGATGACATGGCCTTTTTCGGTTATCGGTTATGTTTAGGATTTTACCCAAAGCCTCCAAGCATTCCCAGAATAGCTTGGGGCAGACACGCTCGCCGTCGTCTGTTACGACCTCCAGCGAGTTTGGGCATGCCCACAGGACAAATGAAAAAATGAGAAAAATTCGTTTTAAATTGTAATAAAATAATTACATGATGCAGGTGGCTCTACTGAGCCACCTGCTCTGAGATCTATAGAGATAAAACGAGTGGAAACGGCGTGTTCATGGTGCACTTCTATCAGCCAGATACATGTATCAAACCCTGTGTTTAGCCAGTGTGAACTCATAGATCAGGACTGTGATTAAGCAGTCAGGTTTTCCGAGGCTGCTGGGATGAGTTTGCCAGAGATGCCGGGGCTATAGAGATTTGTTTGGAGGCGGGAGGGGGTAAATAAATGACCAAACAACCCTCCCGGGGGTAGGGGTAGGGTAGGCGGGAGGGGTGGGAAAGGTGTGGGAAATCCATCCAAAACAGGCAGGGATGGTGGAGGATGCATGATAGGGGCTAGTAGGATGGCGGGGTGGGTTCTGGGTGCGGTGGGGGCCTAAAAATGGGTTGGGCGGGGCTAGATATGCATGCTAATAATTGTCATGGCCCCCACGGGGTGTGGGATGGGCTGGGGGAGCCAAAAACGCGAAAAATCCAGAGTCTTTTGCATTTTTAATACAAAACAATTGAATAACAAATTGAAAACTTGATATTTCGCCATGAAACTTTGGGGACCTTTGTATCTATAGTGGGGGGTGCTTCACAAATATTTTGAGCATTTATTATGAATTATGGGGTGCGCCACACAGCCAGGAATAGTGTGCGCGGCGGGGTTTGATGCGCTTTGCCAAATTTGGCAATAAAATGATGCCTGCACATCCGTGCATAATTCCGGCTCCCCTTCGCATTATTTCGCTTAGCTTTGGCTGAGCGAGATGTTGGGTACATTTATACCTTCCTGTAGACCTTCTTATCGCGTGAAACGGATGAAAACTCGTTGAGATATGGCAAACGCGATTTTGGCTACTATAATGCATGGTGCACCCATGCATCCTCGGGCACATTTAGGGCCATTTAGCTCGGCCAAAAATCATGAAATATATGTCTGAGAAGAATAGTACCATTGATAATGCCAGGGGGTGTCTGGGTGTAGTATATCTGAGGGGGGGTATAGGTACACCAGGAGACCCACTCCGGATACCCCACTAAACGTACCTCTGAAAGTCTGAAAGCTGGTACGTGAATAGTACATATTTATTCATGAATTTAACATATTTTATCATAATTTTATATTGCCTGGAAGTTGGGTTATTGACCGATTTCACACGAGCTAAGATATTCTATTGACATCCAGGATGGGAGATATTGGCCCATGTAAAATCATGATAAATGACGATAACTTTCTGTTGCCTCTGGTGCTTTGGGAGTTCATTTTGCATATCTTTGCACCTACTGCTCGGAATCTCATCCGGTCTTCTGCAGTCCCTTCAGAATGCTAGTAGCTCCTCATATACGAAGTTTGGTAATTTTTGAACAAGTCCGAGGTACCCATTTTAATTATTTTCGTGTTTTTTGCGCATTTTCAGCTCTTTCTCTAATACCATTTCCCCCAGGCATCGGAGCCTCATCTGTCACTACTGAAATATGCTAAGGGATGTTATCCTGACCCGAACGCACCATTGAATGAGTGCGATATGTGGATTTGGTAAGTATATCGATAGATACTGATGTGGGGGGTTACCTCCTCCTTGTCCCCTTAATAACTTTACACAGAATCATCCCCTTGCCCTCGCAAGTACCTCGTTCTGTTTCTATACATTTATCGTCATTTATCATGATTTTACATGGGCCAATATCTCCCATCCTGGATGTCAATAGAATATCTTAGCTCGTGTGAAATCGGTCAATAACCCGACTTCCAGGCAATATAAAATTATGATAAAATATGTTAAATTCATGAATAAATATGTACTATTCACGTACCAGCTTTCAGACTTTCAGAGGTACGTTTAGTGGGGTATCCGGAGTGGGTCTCCTGGTGTACCTATACCCCCCCTCAGATATACTACACCCAGACACCCCCTGGCATTATCAATGGTACTATTCTTCTCAGACATATATTTCATGATTTTTGGCCGAGCTAAATGGCCCTAAATGTGCCCGAGGATGCATGGGTGCACCATGCATTATAGTAGCCAAAATCGCGTTTGCCATATCTCAACGAGTTTTCATCCGTTTCACGCGATAAGAAGGTCTACAGGAAGGTATAAATGTACCCAACATCTCGCTCAGCCAAAGCTAAGCGAAATAATGCGAAGGGGAGCCGGAATTATGCACGGATGTGCAGGCATCATTTTATTGCCAAATTTGGCAAAGCGCATCAAACCCCGCCGCGCACACTATTCCTGGCTGTGTGGCGCACCCCATAATTCATAATAAATGCTCAAAATATTTGTGAAGTACCCCCCACTATAGATACAAAGGTCCCCAAAGTTTCATGGCGAAATATCAAGTTTTCAATTTGTTATTCAATTGTTTTGTATTAAAAATGCAAAAGACTCTGGATTTTTCGCGTTTTTGGCTCCCCCAGCCCATCCCGCACCCCGTGGGGGCCATGACAATTATTAGCATGCATATCTAGCCCCGCCCAACCCATTTTTAGGCCCCCGCCACACCCAGAACCCACCCCGCCATCCTACTAGCCCCTATCATGCATCCTCCACCATCCCTGCCTGTTTTGGACGGATTTCCCACCTTTCCTCAGGCCTACCCTACCCCCGCCCCACCCCCGGGAGGGTTGTTTGGTCATTTATTTACCCCCTCCCGCCTCCAAACAAATCTCTATAGCCCCGGCATCTCTGGCAAACTCATCCCAGCAGCCTCGGAAAACCTGACTGCTTAATCACAGTCCTGATCTATGAGTTCACACTGGCTAAACACAGGGTTTGATATAGAATTATAGCTGACATGGCTGGGCATGTCGGGTTGTTCGCGAGCATGACGGTTCAAGAACGACGCGTAATCAACAGGGCACGGCCCGGAACGGACGGTGATTTCTGAGTAAATACACGTGACCGACTAAAAAGCAAAAGTTGACCTCTGGACAAAAACCTTGGTTTTAGTATGTAGATCATCTGGACTAGAGGGATACCCGTGCGTTGCACGGGGCCGGGGTTTCAAACTCCCTGTCTCCTTGTCTCCTGTTTCGAATATTTTTGTTCTTATTTGCTTTTCCTGGAGGGCTTACTTATTTATTTACTCCCCCAGCCCGTTCGGCGAGAGATTTCTTCTTAGACTTGTTTTTCTTTATAGTATGAAAGCCCCGTATTTCATGTTTTTGTGCAATAACATTCAGGTCTCGTCTCTTTTTGCTCACTCGGGGCCCTCGTCTCTCATGCTCGTCTCTTGTCGCCTTCCTCTCCTGTCACTCGTCCCATTTCAACCATTGTTCAGGGCCGTCGTTGCCCCATCTCTCGATCCCGCCATCGTCTCGAGATACATTCCCGGGCTTAGTGCCTACCATCCTCCGTTTTCGGGTCTTTACAGACCAAATGTTGGTCTACGTCGCGGCCACCTACTCTGTTCTTTCCTAGAGAACTCACTTCCTCGCTCCTCTGTTTCTGAATCGTGCGAGCCATGGTTAGAGCCGCATAATTGCGGAATCCATCCCCACCCGTCAGCAGGCAGTGATTCGGATGTGTCCTCATTCATTCTTTCCCTCTACACGACCACCCATAGGCACATCAATGCCCGTGCATATGCAGCGGCGGAACGCCGGAAATCTCGAGAACTGCAGCCCGCTACCGATGAGCCAAGAAGGGAGCTACTTCATGCTGCTGATCCAGTTGAACAGCTCAAGCGACGCGTCAAAATTAGAGAGGCATCAAGGTCAAACATGCGTAAATTGCAGCTCTTTCGCGCTCTCGACGCGCACGCTGTGCAAGGGTTCGATTTGATGGAGGAGGTGCCCCAGCATTTGATGTGGGCAGGTTGGAATCTGATTGGTATCGATGAGAGAACGATGTAATGGAATACAAATGACATACCTTGAAGCTGACCCTGGGCAGCTCGCTCTCTCGCTCTGTGTGCCTGTTGAGCAAGGCTCCTCCGTGTGGCTTGCATCTGTTTGAGTGTGGCAGGTGGGGTAGGAGGTCCTTCAACGCAATCCTGCGTCAGTAAACACGCTGCTGAGGAAGGGAATAGAATGCTTATCCTGGTGCTCACTTGCTGCCAGCTGGGCTGTCTTCCCTCGTGTGACCGCCAGCTTCACTGCAGCTCTGAGAGTTCGGTAGTCAGCGAGCAGCAGGCGGGTCTTCATGCCGTGCCTCTCTGCTTTGAGCTCACTCGCGCTCTTGCTGCCGTTGTCATTCTCTGCGTTCAAATGCTGCTACGATGGCGTCGTTGAGACTGATTAAGTGCTGCTGCCAATCTGACATGTTGGTCAATGTTGAATGCCAGTCGAGCGGGCTGAAGGTGACGTACCTGGGGCCTCTGCCTGCTAATTTATACATCTCATCGCAGCCCGCTATGCAATGGATTGGTCAGCCCACAGTGTGCAGTGGCTGGCAGTCGAGAGGCTGACCATCTTGACGTTGTCTGCGAGCATGGTGGTTCGAGGTGGACGCTGGTCGAGTGGATGGGTCGAGGTTCTTCGCGAGCACAGTCGTTCGAGAATCGAGATGGACGTGTAAGCGATGATCGACGGACACGGCCCGGAACGGACAGCGCTTTCTGAAGAGACTGTTGGTTATCCACGTGACCTGGATAACCAACACTTTGTTCGCTTTCTTATCTAATCTAGCGAGATAATAGCGTTGAAGGATAAGCAAAAGTTGACTCTGTCAACTTTTGAAGTTGTCCACCAGGAAAGGGATACTGTTTTAGTATTTAGATTTTCATTCATAATTACGTCTCAGTCCTGGCGAGTCACACTGTGACTCCGCCCTTCATTCATCGCCATCTCCAATGTCTTCTCTTGAGCGCGACGCGGATTCCTTCCAGTTTCGGGTGGTCATACCCAACACTGGAAAGCTACCTCCGAATCCTCTTCTCGTGGCTGCCCCACTTCAACGAAGAACACTGGAGCGTGCGTTAGCGCCACCGTCCGTCACAGCCACAACGGACACCGAAGTTTCCCATGTACCCAGCAGTGAAAAAGCTCTTCGGAATCGACTTCTCGTCTTCGACCAACGGTCTTTCCTCACCGGTTCTGCAGTCGCCGATTTACAGGCTGCTTACATTATCAATACTGTTCGCCACAATGAGCTACGAAAGCAAGCAGTCGTAAGTACGTCTGTGGTGCACGCGGACGGTAACTGATGTCCATCTTCAGGAAGCCTACCTTACGCAGCAGCGCATCCAGCCTTTATTTCGTTTAGATAATGTCTCCAACGCGATTTTGTGTGAGTTGGTCTTTCCAATCCTCCTCAATCTGTCAATAATTTCGTTCCAGTGGAGTCCAGTCTTCATACTCAATGGGACCTTTATGGCACGTTTTGCTTCGTTCCGGCTGAGAACGACCTTCTCGCTATGCTCGAATCCCTAAAGAATTCCAACGAAATGTGGAAGCAAGACGCTCAAGACGCTGTCCGCCCGTTAGATGTGTTCATTTCTCCTCCTCCTCCTTTATCATTCTAAACACTTCTCCGTAGGTATCCAAGGAACCTTTTTGCAGCCCTAAGTGGGATGTTATCGTTCTTCATCCCTATGCCATGCTCCCGGAAGGCATGCCTCTTGCCATCACACAAGATCGCCCCTTCTTCGACGAGAGGAGTGGCAGTATTCCACCATTTTCACACTTGAATTGGACCTGGTGGATCACCGCTGGAGATACTCTCCGCTCTGTCCCAGAAGGAACGTTCTTCGAACCCTTTGCTGCTAGGAATCTGCGCAGTGACTTCAGAGCACCTCCCATTGCCTCCCTTGCTATGGTTATGAACGCGCACTCCAAATTGCAGACCTTCCTTCGAGATTTTGCAGAAGTTGCTAGTACTCGGGTGATACACGTCGCGCAGCTTATCTCGGAACTGGTCACCGAGATCTTCTTTGTCCCTGGTGCATATGATGATGTGGGTCCGAAGATGTACAGCCTACTTCTCGCTCAGAAGGCCCAGTCCCATCGGAGTATGATTAGTGGTGATCACCTGCAGCCTATGCAGCCAGTAGCCTCTGGGGCTGACTTCAGTTGGGTTTCCAGGTCTACGAGTAGAGAGAAGGAAGACCCAGATGCGGCCGTGCCACCCAGTGATGATGAAGAAGTTAACGAGGCCCCTGAAACTCCTGAGTCAGATGGCCTGACTGACTCGGAGTTTCGAATAGTTTCGGCTCAAGCCAATAATCCACACCTCGATGCGAAACGTCGTGCAGATGCAGCGATGATGATGCTATTTGGAACTCCTCGTAAGTATTGAAGCTCATGAGACTGCTTAGCTTTCCTGGACTGACCGTCATTGGCAGGCTTCGTAGATCCCTATGTGCACAGAGCACCTAAGGTGTGACGCCATTGTCAAGATTTATGTAGATTAGCGCTCGAGTTTGGGTGCCCAGTGTACAATTGCGTTATATTATGATAGAACATAAATAAATATAACCTACACGTCGACATAAGTACGTAGCAAAGAAATGCAAATGGGCTTCCACCGAATCGCTCGGAGATTTACGCGTATGTCAACGCCCATGACAATCTCCTTGAGTCTGCCCCAGCCCCACTCTTACAGGAACCCTGCACGCAATGTCGTACTAAGACCATCCAATTGTCCGACTCGGATTTATGTTACTTCTTCCGCAAGCGGAGACCAGCTTCATGTAGTTCAAGCTTTACCTACCCCCCAAGGAACCCTCGTCTGACCTTTACGAAGGACTGTACATATCGAAGCGCCGCGGCACCCCATGTCGAGCCCAACGTTCCGCAGCGTCATTGCCCTCCGTTAACGGGTTGCAATCTGCGGCCACTCTATTCAATCAGGGAAGATCATAGCGCGAACCCAGAGAAGCCCTTGGTATTTTGAACTCCTTTCGGACACTGTACCTCACCGCAAATCGTTATAAAAGACATGGGTCTGCCGTTAACCCCCACGGTTCCTTCGGCTCATCCCTGTCATATCAATGTCGCCGCTGTCGTTATCGTCGCTGGAAACGAAGGATTTTCTGGCCATTGGAATGGCGGTCCTGCTCTCAGGCGTCCTTTACTCTACAAGAAAGCGCAAGTCGAGGTATCCTCCTCCTCCTGGTCCTAAGAAGCTTCCTCTGGTTGGCAACTTGTTCGATCTTCCAAAGGGCTTTGAATGGGAAACCTACGCGCAGTGGAGTAGAGAATTCAGTACGTGGACCCACATCCCCTTCCTTTGTTTCTCTAGACCGACGAGATAAACTTTTGCAAGGTTCGGGCGTGGTTCTCTTGGAGATTCTGGGCAAAAGTATCATCGTGGTCAACTCTTTCGATGCTGCTACAGAATTGTTTGATAAGCGGTCGACACTTTATTCAAGCCGGTATGTTTCCCTCTCTGCTTGCTTAAGAAGTGATTTATTCAACGGCGGGTCGACAGGCCTCAATTTCCTATGGTCAACGAGTTGTGCGTTAGTCCTCTTACGCTCAACGGAGCAAGCACTGATGACTTACAGGATGGGTTGGAAATGGCTAATATCTGCCATGGCTTACGGAGAACCATGGAGAGAACGGCGGAAGCTCTTCCAAAAGCACTTTTCCTCCAACAACGCATCCTTCTATCAGCCCGTCCAAACCGAATTCATTCGGAAAATGTTGGTTCGACTTGTCGAAACCCCGGACGATTTCCTCGGTATAACTCGGCAGTAAGGAAGATCCTCTGCCACACCATCTCGTTCTGCTCAAGTGGCTCATGGACGTGTACAGCGCTGTGGGTGGCATGTCATTGTCGCTAGCGTACGGCATCCCGATCCAGCACCAGGACGATCCGTATATCAACCTCGCTGAGAAGGCTGCTGCTTCTATCAGTGAAGCCGCGATTCCAGGCGCCTTCCTTGTCGACATGATGCCATCGCTGCGGGGCGTCCTTGAGATGATTCCTGGCAGTACGTTCAAGCAGAAGGTCCAGTACTATCACGACCTCCAAGAGACCTTCCACAACAAGCCGTACGATGCGACTATCAAAAACATTGTATGCGTCTGTCTTTCCTACTTTCTGTGAGTTGCTGAGGTCGAGAATTGTAGGCGTCCGGAGTCGCAAAGCCATCTTTTATGTCCGCCTGTATGGAGGAAATCGATGAAACAGGAAACGTTCCCCACCAGAAAGAGGTCATCAAGGACACCGCGGGCATCGTCTTCGCCGCCGCCGCCGACACAACGCTCTCGGGCATCCACTCGCTCTTCGTCGCTATGCTCCATCATCCCGAGGTTCAAGAAAAGGCTCAAGCAGAGCTAGACCGCGTTCTGGGCGGGCGCCTGCCCGAGTTCAGCGACGAGCCTGATTTGCCGTACGTTTCTGCTGTGGTAAAAGAGTTGCTCCGATGGCATCCAGCAACGCCGATCGGTACGTAGACACCTCCGCTTGTTGGAATGGAGCTAGATGCGTTTCTGGCAGCTGTGCCGCATTATGCTAGCGAGGACGATGTGTGGGAGGGCTATCATATCCAGAAAGGATCCTTGGTCATTGGCAATGCATGGTGCGTGCTGTCTTGGTCAATGTGGCTCCGGAATCTGACCTATCCTCTTTGAAGGGCAATCTTGCATGACGAAGAGGCCTATCCAGATCCATCTGCATTCAAGCCTGAGCGTTTCCTGGACAAAGAAGGCAAACTTGACGAAAACGTGCGCGATCCTGCGGTGGCTGCGTTTGGTTTTGGACGGAGGTTCGTGCCCAGCGTCATTTCCGTGCTCTGCAATGCGGCTTCTAATGCTATTTTCTCCTGCAGGATGTGTCCAGGAAGCCACATCGGCATGTCTGTCATCTGGCTGACAACAGCGACGATACTTGCAACGCTCAAGATTTCGCAGGCAGTAGATGAGAACGGTATGCCGATTGAACATAAGATTGAGTATCTGCCGGGTTTGATTTGGTGAGTCGTTTGGTTTCGTTACTGTCCCGTTCCGAGCTGAGGGTTTTGCAGCCATCCTGCACCATTCAAGTGTACGATTAAACCAAGGTCGGCAGTGGCAGAGGCTTTAATTCAGTCCGTTGCAGATTCATATTGAGTGTCGTTATCGTACTTGTTCTGTTCTTGTATACCTGTGACGTGGTTGTAAGCTGGTAACAATGCAATACCTATTTGACATTGTTGTTCCCTCTTGTCGATACACCAGTTCACGACAGATCGACCTTGACGGAAACATGCTGAGCTGCTGAAGAGGTCACCGCTTTGGAACACTGCGAGACATTGGAAGAAGAGACGTTCATTACGAGAAATATACAACAACAGGAGATACAGGACAGAAATCCTCATCTGCCGTCTGGCCGTGGCTCTGAAAACAAGAGTCAGATCAGGAATGAAGAATTCGAATGTTGAATGTACTAACGACTCCATTGGACGCTGAGAATGAGATTATCATAACCTCGTCCATGGACCTTATCGATGGCCCTTTGAGCAACAGCCTTGTCCTCAAAGCTGACAAATGCGAAGCCCTTCCCAGCACCCGTCTCTCTGTCTCGGCCAACGTACACCCTTGCAACCCTTCCGAAAACACCGAACAGTTCTCTGAGGTCGTTCTCCTGGGTGTCTTCTGAGATATTTGTGACACGCAGGGTGGGAAGATCTTCGCGATTGCCACCAACACCGCGCATCGACTCTCCGGGAGCACGAGCGCCGGCACGCATGGAGGGTGGGACGTATTTGCCACCAGCGGAGGCTGCTGGGGCAGTTGTATCAGGTCCGGTCCCGAGGTCCTCATCCGGGCCAGGGCCTGCTTCGAATGTTAGATATGATTGCAGAGGGAAAGCAAGATCGAAGGTAAGGCTGACCAGAGTTCTCGAGTCCCCCAAGGGTGTCTTTGTAAGGACACTTGGCGGTGAAATGGTCACCCTTACACAGTCGACATACAACCTTTCCAGCCCCAGCGGCCTTGACGCGGCTCTTCATGGACTCTTCAGGAGCTTGCTCAGCTTCTGATTGCTGCAACGGAAGAGACAAGTTGAGCAACAAAGGAAGGCACTATAATTTCGGCGCACCTTGTTTCCAGCGCTCATCTTTAAGGAGACGTTTTCTCCGACTGTGGTCGTGGCTCTGTCTGGGCCAGGCTTGTTCCCTTTCTCCGCACCGAATTTGGCCCATTTTTGTCGTTCTGCAACAGCGTGGTCTACGACGGATTTTTGCAATGTTCGCTTGATTCGACGAGTAATCTGGCAGCACTTCTCCGTCATCCATTATGGCAAAGTTTTCGCTACACACCTTCACTTTCTTTCCCTCGTCATTCAGTGTATATTCTATTGTCGTCCGTACCCCGTTCTCGTCGACAAACTCTTCGTTTTTTGGCAGTTCTGTTTGAAGGTCAGGTATGCCCTTGATCGGTGGGCAAATCTGCGCTCACCAAGCTCATCCACGTCGTCCGCCCATGACGTTTTCGGTACTCTGTTGGTATATGAGACATTTTGTTGGTATACGGGGCAATTTCACCTACGACGAAGCCATAGTAGTTGCGTTAGCGAAGTAGCCTCAAATTTCTGACGAATTCGAAGTGTTTGTTTCGGCTTGGCTAAAGAATTTCGGCCCGAAAATTCCGGCAGATGTTTGACTTCACGACATGAGTCGGTAAATTTTGATTTCTTTTCTTTCTTTTCTTTCTTTTTATACCGAGTACTTTGAACGGTAAACCTCGTTAAACGAGCGTTATGTAAGTTGACGTATGCATTACATTGGACATAGGGAACAGAATTCTGATGAGTGACCTCTTGTTTTTGAAAGCAGTGAAATTATGTGGCCTTCAACATAGCCGAGTGGTGAGGTACATTCCTCCTAAGTTAGGCATGAAGCGGGATTCGGATCCGGAGGTACAATCGCGATCATAGAGCCCTGCCAACCATGTTGGTCATCTCTGAAGTGTCAGTCTGAAGGGCAAAATGCGGTGGCTCAAAATCTGTATCATCTGAGTCGAATGTAGTCCTTTTAGTTCTTACCAACATTACCACAGGGGACCAGAACTCACACTGATAGCGTGCAGGATAGTTGCTGTATGTCTCGAGGCCAGTGATGCACCCTTGCGTGGTGAAGACACTCCCAGCGGTGCGAAGATTGAGGATCATCCGCGAAACCATCAAACTTGTGATCCTGGGGTTGAAATGAAGCTGTCGGCACTCATCCAGAGATTTTCAAAGAATATTTACAGGGTGCTGAAACTCGCGTTAAAGGCTTTGATGTTCGGCTAGGAGGCGTGGTCAGACCGAAGTGGAGGGCAAATAACTTAAAGCGTACAGGAGCAGCCTGGATAGAGATATGAGCCTTGCGAGCGAATAGTGGCAATTGAAACGGTTTACCAGAAACATAACAACAGTCACGATGTTGGCGGCAAAAATGACAGCAAAATAAATGACGCCTGCAGTCCAACTTCTAGTGGGACTCAAATACATACCTACTGAGAGTGAAAACGTACCATCACGAAGAATCAGGTTGAGCAGAGATGCCGTACTACCCTTTCTCAAACGATTGTGAAGTATCACACGACATAATGTCATGGAAAATATGGCAGCGTCTAGCGTAGACCGCCGGTTAGGTAATACTGCATTCATGATAATAATGCTCTTACCGAAGACGAGCTCCGCTATCCAAGTAAATGTGAAGCGGCTGGGATACAACGTAAGATGACTTTGTCAGCCGAGGAAAGGGATTGAAAGCTTACATGTGACTTCTTCCAACCAGGATGCATCCGACGAGGCCTGAGTTTTCAATTAAATGACGATTTGACGGTGTGATACTTGGTTAAATCACCTGTAGGGAGGTCAACACTTGTACCATCCGTGAAGGCCCACTAAAAATAGACATCAACCAAGATGGTCGAGAGTGGATCATCATGGACCCACAATTTTCACGGCGACCTCTCCTATGAGTAGCAATATACCAAAAACGAGAATTCCAGTGCTTCTCGAGTATATGGCGTATAGGCGGGTGATGAATATGGCTAGGCGCATATTTAATTTCAGCTCGGTATCTCCGAAGGGATCGAAACTTACCTCCAATCACAGTGGTACAAACCACTTTCTGAGCCTCTGGAAAGAGAATGTATCGATGACACACTTCCCTAGTCCAAGTGGGGTCGTGGAAAGCTAGATAATAGAGTCAATAGGTAGATACAGCAGACGGGCTAGAAACACCTACAGGCGGTGATCACAATGAACGCTAAAGGTGGGACGTAGCGATTCTATGCACGGAAAAGGGGTCAGAAGAGGATATAGATGAGAAAAAAAAGACTTGCCAAAAGGTATAGGATTGTGAACCAGGAAAATTTCTTGAACCAAATGCGCTCCACCTCCTCGCCTAGTGTCAATGCAATGTCATAAAACAGCATTACTTGACCGCAGATGCCATATAAGTGCCCATCGACAGAAAGCACCAATCGATATCTTACCGCACGAAGCCATCGAGTACATCTTCGCCGCCATCCTACATCGTGCGCCAAGCAGTCAGCATTCACAGAAGCATTCAGGGTCGCAAAGCCATCAACACACAGACTGAATGCTATATCCGGAGGGACCGCTTCGCCCACCATGGCCATCGACATCGAGGAGGTACACTTAGAACCAGCCTGCTGGCAACGGGTACGGGATTGAAAGAAAGGGCAACGCTTGGGCAAAGGTTGACACCATGGACGTCGGGATGCGCCTATTAGTATGTACGTCTTCTCTTCGGTGACGGCATCTTCTCCCACATTCAAGCGGTTCTGCGTTGTTATCGGTTGCAGGGACGCGCTGGGTCAGAAGCTAAACTCCAAGGGACACCCAGCTACCCAGGCGAAGCGGCTGTGTTCCAGAAAGCTGAAGTCCATTCTTGGTATAGGGACCGCTGTACATAACTGGCGTGCTCGTTCATGGATTGAATGACGGGGAGGACAGCGTAGATGGGGCACTCAGAATGCGAGACGTTGAATTGCCTATGGAAAGGTGGATCGTCGAGTGTGTTCAAGTACGTGCCCAAGGCGCGTGGGACCGGTGTAAAAGACAGGTGCACGAAGCGATTGGTCTGGTCACGAGAAGTGATCGTGTTGGAGAAGCCTTCTGCGCAATGATAACCGGGGCGGTAAACTGTTGCTGCCGTCGGGCTGGTAAACTGGAGAGTCGTCTTTAGCTTGGGTCTTTAGCTTGAGGCTTGGACAACGTTCGTTGAACCTAGCGGGATAGCGAGGACTGGATGAAGGCTACTTTGCTATGGCTGATGCGGGTGTGCCCACTGCACCATTAACGCAATTGTAGGCGTAGGTGCTGAGTAAAATCAACAACACTACGATGAGAAAAAGATTACAACCAGCTCCCTTTCATCGATGAACCTGGCAGATTGGATTGCAGAGTTAGCTAAACAGTTGAGAACTTGTATTCTGATTTCCACTCGTAGTCCCTTCCCGGTCCGTCTAAGTAAGCGACACAGTCAGCCAGAAGATTCCATGAGAGAAATGGAGGCGGCCACCCACAAATCTGGTCCACACCCCATTCCGGCGTGTTGATGGCGGCGATGTAGCCCTGCTGCTCAAGTGCGACAGCGGCGGATTTTCCGTAATTAAGGGAAGGGCCGCCATGGATCTCCTTCCTGGGGGTGTTCAGCCACCAGGCCGAATAGACCATGACGACAGGCTGGTTGGTCGAAATGTCCAGCCTAACCATTTGCATTAGAGATGTTATTGATGGGCAATGGTGTGTGGCGTACCGAATTCCAGATTTCTGGCTTGAAAGGGAAACCAACGGACTCTTCTCCTGCGGATTGTCAAATACCCACCCAGCATTGTATCCTTGACATCCTACGGATAAAAAGGCGAGTTCGTCACGGTACGTCTAGCCAAGTCTGGCGAGAACCCTTACCAGAACCACAGAGGTCGACGGTCTCGTTCCATCGAGCACCAACTTTTGTCTCCTTCCGGAAGTCGTATGGCGTCTTAGTGACGTCTATGAACTTCCCGGTCGGGATGTTGATTTCGTTGGTCGCAATGACGCGAGAAGCGTCAACTCGAAGGTCATGGCCCAAAGAGTCGTTCGTTCCGTCCTGGAAGGCATCCAAGTTCCTAATGAACAGCTTTACCTGAGCAAATTGATAGCTCGAGCAGGCCGCCGGTTCGTACCAGTAGATATGCTGGGTCAGCATGATCGGAGTCTGCGGAGGGCCATAAGATGAGCGTCTACATAATGACCACACTAGAACGCGCCTTCTGAGATGCCGTTGCGCGAATCTTGGTTCGCAACATGCCGTTGTTGAACACCGAGTGAGTAGCCTGACAACGAATGGAACATATCTGTGAGCGAACCCAAGCCTGCGACGAAGAGAGATAGACTCTACATATACCGTTACAACTCCCGGAAAGCCTTCATCCCCGTTGTCGACGTGCTTATAAGTTACGCTCGTGGATGTCTTGGCCTCGAGTGTCCAGTTTCTGCGGTCCCAGCCGATGATGCCACCATGGAGAGTAACCTGAAATAAATCAATCGAATGAATGTAGGAGATTAGACAACACGCAGGAACGACTGACCTGACCTAAGCAAAATGTAAGAAATAGAAGTATCTAAGCCAACAATGAGGAAAATACGGACCATTGGCATCATTAGTCGGGATATGATATGTCGTTGGGGAATCGGGGTCAGGAGATTTCGCAATGGGAATTGAGAATGTCCCTTTTTCGTTTGGTTGAGTACAGTTCAAAACAAAGCCACCGGTTACCAGTACCGTTGTTAATTCGACCCGCATATCTTGATGATGCATGAATATAAGAGCATCAACTCAAAAGAGGCGCATATATGCACTCACCTTCCAACGACTGCATTGAACACTGGATGCCCCGGGTCGGTCAACAATTTAGTCTACGTAGCGGATCAAAAGCAATTAACGCATTACATGGCGTGTCGAGAGGTGTGTTAAAACTCACATTATCGTCATAGCCCAAAACCACGTCTCTGAGCTTTCCTGCCTTGTCCTTCACCCACAATTCCGTCAGTGTCGAACCGAATGAGACAAATTTGGCGACAACGGATCCATCGGGTGACTTGATCTCAGTAAGATCGAATGGCTGTTGAGAAATGCCACGATAAGTGGGGAATTTGGCACCTGAACGCGGAGAGCACTCACCCAGTTGCTCGGAGAGGCTGCCATTGTTGCGGCAAACCTGCTGAAGGCAAGAGATAACACAAGCAGGATAGGGCGAAACATGGCCCCTATATCCATAAATTTAGCCTTGGCTAGGAACGGAAACAAACGGGGTTATTTCCGTCCAGCAATAACCTCGACTTGACCTCTTTATATCTTCTTTCTGGATAAATGTCGCGTGTTAGGTAACTCTTTCTCATTTCGAACCGTCGTAAACTCACCTCTCTTCGGCTTCTCTTTGATCGTTTAAGTAATTGAGAACCAAGCCTGTCCACATATTTTATGGCTTCTACGTTGCAATTCAGGTCGGCGAGAAGCCTGCGTCTGGATTCAAAGCAGCCGAGAGTCCATGTGGCTGGCCTTCAGGTATGTTCGGAGAAACCGCGGACGAGGAGGTATGTCTTCATAGCCCAACCTGACCTGCACTTCATCAGAAATTAGGAAGGATCGGAGGGACTTCGGGCAGACGATAGGCGAGGTATAGTGATAATGCAAATATGGTTCTCTTGCACGGAACCAATGGTGCGAAAGGCTGTCTGCTACAGCTGGGTGCTTGATTTCTGATTGTCTGCTTGCGTGTTGGTGAAAAAGAAGGAGTGAAGAGATCATGAAAATATTCCAGTTGTCTGCAAAGATTGCACTTGACGCTCGTTCTCGCTCGTTGCCTCCTAGCCTTTCAGTGTTCTTGAAGTGTAGTCGTGAGTTTTGGCGGTAAGTTCCTTGCAAATGGACGTACCAACAGTCTTATCAGGTGTAATTTGGAGCCTAGAGACGAAGCAGGTCTCTACCTTATGTCTTTGCGTCGAACAGTCGTCGAACACCATTCAAGAGTCGGACCAAGTTCAACAACTGACATCTAGCTTGTTGTCCAACTGCCTTTACGGGACGACGAGAAGAATTAAAATGATGTCTTGGATTGCATTCTTGAGAAGTAGTATGTGCAATCTTGCTTTCGATTATTTCGAACGCGAAACGCTAAGTAAATTGGGAGAGGGTAAGCGGACTCGCGTGTCGTCTGACGTTATCGTGGCTGTGCACTGTGGCAATCACCGTGTCGGCGCACCCACGCCTTCCGAAGCAGTGGTTCTGAGACTCAACTACAACTTCAAATTCAACCTCATCACTCTTGCTACTTACTCTGGAAAATCTCATCGTTCGGAGATACAGGTTACCAAAAGAATTAGCCACGACACCTTTTCCCCCCTTCATTAATCGCACTCCATGGAAGATATTGCAAGGCCATCAACTTGAACACTTTCATCGTATCCTCACTTCGCGTCCCGTTGCCTGAAAACTGTAGACGCTGAATACAATACGCCGTGCCTTCTTCTCACTCCCCTCGTCTGAGATAGTGTAAGAACTAATGAAAGTATGCTTATAGGTCATTGCGTCAATTTTCAGATTGATCTAGGCTTCACGCTGATCCTAATGCAACAAGAATTAGTCGCCAACTAGAACGCGGCCTATGTTTGCACTGGAATAGGTCCAAAATCCAGTAGCCACAACGAATGTTTAATAGACTTCCCATCGGGGAACAGCTGAGCTGTCAGAGGACTGATATACATATCTCTGATTCTCTGTGGGGTCTACCCCGGTTCGAGAAAACTTCCACACCTCCGGTACTCATCGCTGCGAGCGCTATTTTGAAACACCGCCTACGAGGTCTATTTTACAGTTCGCTCAGGTTCGTTCCCTCTCTAGTCAACAACTGATCAGCACGAATAGATTTGTTCCGCTCACTACAGTGTAACGGCACTCCTTGATACACTGTCACTCCTTGATACAGTCCACATCCTGGGCCCAATTCCCCCTCAAATCCTTAGATTTTTTACACATCAGTGCTGTTATATCGACTCTAATGTCTAAATAAAAATCGGAGGGTGGGGAGCATTATTGCTTTCAAAACTTGCAAAGGACATGATTTTGAGGGCGCTCCGCTAGGGAGCACAGGCTCTGTCACAAATTGAGTCACGCAAAATTTGCGATAAATTCACGGTACATTCTTTCTATACTAAGCAAAATGTGGGCGAAGTTTTGGGCCCGGAAGTCAGCCGTGTTGAGAAGAAACAGGCCAAAGAGACCAAACGAGGCGGAGAAGTGCATCATTTGGACTTTCCCACCCGCCAAATTTAGCGGTGATGCGGGTGTATCAAGGAATGATTCGCCATCAAAAAGCTGCCTTTCCTTGCGAGACGTATTGTAAGTGGCCAATCGAGCTGAAAATTGGCAGCTGTACTCGCAATATGTTGTGGAAAAATAATATCAACTTTAATTTGCAGTGAGTGTCCTATCTGCCTTTAAAATCGGAGATGACCTTAGCCTGTATCAAGGAGTGCCGTTACACTGTATGCTGTGTGCGGTGAGTCCAGCATAAATAAATATCATCGTTCGTCGTCCACGAAACATGATGTTGCCTTTCCTTTTGTCTGAACTCACCCACAGCGCAAGTACGCGGGCGGTACGGCGCATTTTAGACATTTCTATCAAGCCTCGGTTGTCCTTGTAGACCGGACCTGTAAGTCTGTAGGTGCCTTCCATGCGGGGTTTTTGGAGGGCGAGGATGCTCGAATCGCAGTTTGTCCTGCCCCCTTCATGTCTCTGTTAGCCAGCTGACCATTTGGTTCTTTTTCCAGCTATGTGCGGCTGGTAAGGACCTCCTGGCATGGACGGCAGCTCACATGGCCGTCTGAGGACGACGCTCCCCTGAACCTTGACGTTCCACTGTAGCCCTGTTGCTGCTCTCGGCCTTGGCGATGATCATGAAGGTTCTGCCACGTTCCGTCCGCACCGTATTTAAATTCAAATTCAGCCGGAAGCACTTGTCAAGTTTCTCTAATTCAGCGCTCGACTTGAAAGGCTGTAGGGCTGATGGCACCAATACCTATCAACAGCGCCTGTGAGAAGCGAGACGCCTCATGCCTCCTTCAATGTGTCTTTTCCAGTCATCCCAGCTCTAGTTCAAACAGTCCACTGGTTTTTACTGTCGAGTTCATCTAACGCGATGGCTCGGAGCGTTGCCATCCTTCGGAAGCTTCCTGTTTGTCGAATAGTATCTGCATGGCGCCGATGCGCGCCCGCTAGACACCCGAGAAGGTTAACACAGGTTACTTGTCTATTTACGGGAGAGATGATATCAAACTCTTGATACCGCCAGTGGCATATCTCCATTTGTTGCCGGATCCCCTGCATCGGCGCTTCCTTTTCCTGGCCGAGACAAAATTTGGACGGACCTGCAAGGATGTAGGTTTAGCGGCTGACACGAGCGTCGCGCCCATCGCACAAACACAGGATGAAACGGACCACCTGGTTTCGTATATAAACAGTCCTCCACGGTTGCCAGTCCATTCATCTTTCGCCAGTCCCCTTTCCTGGCCCCAAAAGCTACCCATTCCACCGGGCGTTCGTTGTCTTTCAGCCACCATGTCCTACACACAACAACCTATGGCCACCCCCGGCATGATCGTCCAGGGCAATCGCAACGTCAGGAATATCCCCAACGAAGCTGATGGGCGCGAATGGAGCAATGGTCTATGCGGATGCTGCGACGCTCCGGGAACTTGTAAGTCTTCATGGTCATCTTCCTCGTCGACCTTGTGCCAACTCTGATCCCACTCGACAGGCATCGTCGCTTGGTGCTGCCCGTGTATCACCTACGGCAAGGTGAAGCGCCGTTACGAGCACCTGAACTCCAAGGGTTACCCCGATCCCGAGAACGGCGGATGCTGCAATTCCGACTGTGTCGTCCACGGTTTCGTTACGATGTGCGGCTTCGGATGGGTCATGCAGGTATTTATTCTCGGCAGTCTTTTCTCAATGGTGGTAGCTTACCCGTTGTTTCCTAGATGATGAACCGCGGCAACATCAGGTCGAGGTACAACATCAAAGGAGGAGGATGCGGTGACTGCTGTGCTTCGTTCTGCTGCACCCCCTGCGAGCTCACGCAAGAATCCATCGAACTCGAACTTGAGGAGCAGTCTTATGGTGGAAAGCACTGATGGCATATCTCATTCATCGTTATTTCTGTCCTTGTACATTTATTGTGCGCAGTTGTATACCTTCTTTCAAAGATTTCTGACACCACCCTGCTATTAGGAGTCTGCCTAGTGGGAGCATCGCGAAAATCGATCTCCAGTTTGATTTCATCTATATACGAACTAACCGAAATAAGATAATTCAACGAAGACAGTGAATAATAAAGAGCAAAATGGGACATAAAGTGAAGAAGAATAGCATCTGAATGGCGTATGCAACATGATACGTACGAGTACTAAAGAACAACGGCTGTATCTAACGCGCTTCAGACCAAGAATTTTGGCTGAGGATAATTACTTACTATTAGCTAGTGTCGTATTCTAATAGTAATACAGTAGAAGTTCTCATAATGCATGGTCTCATGTTGCATAATTGTCATAATGCATCGCTTTTGGGTCAAAACCAACTCGGGAAGCGGGAAAATTGCATAGTGCATAATGCATAGCCCTTTTGGGTCGATTATGCATTATCATAAGGCGCTTTATCTAATCTTTCCTGGTATCTACAAGATTTTTTGCTAGAACATTCCTGAAATAAGCGAAAAATAGGTGTGAATCATGATGGCAGCTGTCGCACCGTCACTTCTCCCCACACTTGTCTTCCCATACCTGCCAGTAAACCCCAGAATGAGCTCACCAAACATAAACGGAAGGTTCGCACCGAGCATGCACCGTACAAGCTGCATGTGGCTCAGCAAAAAGTTGGCAAGAATCTATAAAAACATACCTGAGGGCAAGTGCAATCTCACAAACTACGACTGGTTGACTGCCTACATTGATAAACATTCAAACACCCAAACTTTCACAAAAGGTGATGGTCACGCACTTCAAAACACGCCCTGAAGGCGCCTTATTCTCACAAAGTCTGCGAACGCTGTTCAAACGACGCTGAGCGCTGCTGAGCGGCTGGGTTCAACCGAAGTGATGTCATATTTATCACAAAAATCACACCTTGTTCGTCTTGCATAATTCTACTAATGCATAGATTTTGGTCCGATACCGGCGCTATGCATTATGAGAACTTCTACTGTAGTGGCAAGAGTGCGACGCGACGCGTTCGAGATACATATCACGTGATGTGCAATTAGGGTTCGAATCGTATTCCGAATCGGAATAGGTTCGAATTGAACCTCGACTTTGTTTGAACTACTTCAATCTTCTAGGGACGCCCACTATGGCTGCAGAACTACCTGGTGAAATATGGACTCGAATATTCGACCTCGCGGCCGACGAAGACCTATTATTTCAGCCAGGAATACCTACCTCGATGGCCGAATCTGCATGGTATAAAGATTTCATTGTGGATCAATGGAGGCTGAGATCTCCTCAGGAAGCAATGAATCTGCTTCAAAGGCGAAGTTACGACACGAAACGGGTGAGTGGTTGGCGTGTTCTGATGGATTTGAGTTAATTCTTGACCAGGCAATCATTTCGACCTGCAGGCAATGGCGGAAGTGGGGATCTGAATTCCTCTTCCGATGTCTTTATTTCAGCAAGCCGGCCAAATTCATTTTGTTGTGCGCCATTCTCGACGCCTCGTCGGCCACGACAACGACGGTGACATCCTCTCAAGGATGGTGGTCGCGCAGACTCCATATCTCGCGAGACTATCATCGTTTTACGGGCCAGACCACCATGGAAGACGTGGAACAATCCCTTGTATCTATTATTCGCCACTGCCCTAACCTCGAGATGTTCGTCGTCGAGAGGCCCCTCGGAGCAGCATTCGGTCCTATCGTCGACGCCCTCTCGAGGCATTCACACCGACATCTCCACACTGTTCGTTGGAACATTCCGGGAGAGTCGTTGGCGAAAGTCATCTGGGCTCTTAATGCCCTTCCCCGCCTTATGGCTGCCCAAATTGATATCGAGACTCCAGTACCAATCGCGCAAGAGATTGCGTACCTTGGATCGGCCAACGAAATGCGTCTCAAGCTGCCGCGCCTCCAGCAACTCTCGCTATGTGGATATGCCGAAGAGTTCCTCGAGCAGGCAGTGGGCTGGGAGATCCCCGCCTTACAAAGCTTTTCAATTGACTCTGGAACCAGCAGCCACGACACCCCAGACATTATCGAATTCCTCAAACAACATGGCGCGAACCTTACGCTACTCGACTTGCACCTTAGCCCGACCGTTGACCTTCCAGTCGTCCTCGACCTCTGTCCCAACCTCTCCGCACTCACGTTCAACTCCGACTGGCCTTTTCCCGCTCGAGATGACGGCTCCAGCGAGCTGGTGAATCACCCACATTGGAACATAGCTACGATTGGATTACACGGATTGTCGTATGCCTTCGGAGTAGGCTACAACGCCGTCCGTGCCTCTTCACAGCCCATGAGTGCACGCCTATTCACTCGGGCTAACGACCTCAACTTTGCTGCTCTGAACAGACGGAATTTTCCCAAGCTTCAACGAGTACGCGTTCTGAGCCGAACGGTCCTCAACGACCTCAATGATGAGAATGGGCCACAAGGCGAAGGATACCAACGCTGGAGCAAGTGGTGGAAAGCCTGCGTCAGCGCTGGTATCAGCTTGGAGGACTGCACGGGCCAGAGCCTCGGAGTACTTCCCCAAGACGAAAGCGTTGACGTCGAGGACGATGAAGAAGAGGACATTGATGATGAAGGCGAAGAGGAGGAAGAGGAGGAAGAGGAGGATAGTGACGGAACATGGGGTACCGACGAGTCGGACGAAGAGGAAGAAGAATCTGAAGAGGAGTGGGAATCAGAGCCTCCCTTGCCGGAGCCTAATGCCCGCGTCATGGAGCTCTCGCGCCTGCTGGAGGAAGTGCGAGCGATGAATGCCACTCGAGATGAAGCATTAATTAGAAGGATAAGGATACCCAGACCTCCATCGCCTGTAGATCAGTAGAGGATGACCATGCTGTTGAAAGTACGTCCCATGTCATCTCCGCTGCAGGCCGATGCTAATGTATCCCAGATAGATTGTCGTTATGCTTTCGTACATGCTTTGTAAATGCTATGAACACGAGCCATCTATATCTGCCAGATACAGCCCGCCATCCATTGTCAGGCAGGTCGGCCTAGCGAGAATGAAGCTTCTATTCCTCGTTCTGGGTTCAAGGCCACATTATGGAGAGGCAGTGCCCGCAAGAATGTTTCAAACGTGCCGCGTGCGCATATTGGGGCCAGCATTGGTCATTTGTCAACAGTCCTGTTAGGCTATTTCCTAGGGGTAGGGTAACAGGCGTCCAGGGAGGAATTCGAACCCTGGCCTTGTCCATGAGTTGTCCGTGGATACTCGCTCCTATTTATAGGTCGCGATTACTGGTAGGTCAAATTTTGGCTTCTGGGTATACTAAGAGAAACTTCGAAAGTCAAAAGGTGAGGCGATCCTCTCATCTCTGTAGGGCTTGTATCTCACGCTTCGTCGGCGTTGACCAGAGAACAAATCCATCCCATTGGCAAGGTGGTTCATTGAACGGACCACATTAACCTTGATGTGCAGCTTGCGTATTGCTGGCTGTGGGTCGTGGCCGAATGGCCGTCCGCGGTTCGAAGACGACAATCGTTGTCTGAAGGCCTGTCCTGGGTAAGAGCCCGAGGATAATTAATGTCGGAGTTTTCGCCACCACGCTAGCCGCCTTGCCCAAGCTATCTTCAATTCTGATCGAACAATATACACACAAATGATAGTAAGTTCGCCGCCTTCCGATGTGGTTATCATTGGCCGCTGATTGCACTCTCGAGATGACTGCAGGTTCTCTCGTATCACCTCGTCCCAACACTTGATATTCGTACATATCAGCATGGCATTCAAAAACCTTGGAGCATACTCTCAAAGGTATCAGGCAGTATCATTGTACGCCGTGCCACATTTTCTTCGTGGAACTACACACCTTTTCGTACCTTGTAAGCATTACTTACGTACTCTCCCATCACGGTTTCTGAATAAGCATTTGAAAGGATTCCAAGACATCCCAGGCATCAGTGCTTTCGGAAGAACAATATTTTCTTTCTGTTTGATGTCCTTGAGCTGAAAGATTGCCAAAAGATGTGTTCCGCATCGATCTTCATGTGCCCTCCGAGCCCCAGCTCTGGTGCTTGTGCGGCGAGTTGGATCACGTGGTCCACCAATGCGTCCTACATCCTCACTGTCAAAGACAAAGGGCGACTCTTGCCGCATGCTAAAGAACGAAGCCACTGGGCGGGTAGAAAGAAATATTCTGAAGAACCCTAGATCGCTGTCGCTGGAGAGTGTGAACCCCCATGGCCACACGTCTGACTCCGCATGACCGATAGCCAATTCTTTGTGGGGCGCCAGGAGTCCGTTTGAGACCCACTTGGATTCCCCATGACTCCCGCCACTAACGCCGAAGGGGCTTGGGTACCATTCCTCTTGCAAGGCATATTAAGCACAACATAGCCGAGGTGAATAGAGCAAGAGCAAACTCACGGATCTGTAGCTGGGTCACATCAAAATAGAAGACGAAAGGGTAGAGAGGAATATCAGCTCGGCTAATGATCTTCATCCCGTATATTGCTTCTTCGTCAACCTCCAGAATTGTTGGACCCTCTTCAAGTAGATTTTGGCAAGTCTTTGGCATGAGGTGTACGTCGCCCACCTGATTGCTCGACTGAGAGTCACGCATCACCTCGAGTAATTCGATATTCACTCGTGCTAAGCCATCTTCCAGAGGGCGGGTGAGGTGATAGTAAAAATCCCTCGAGGCGCGGACTATTCTACGAACGGCCTCGAAATCATCCTTCTTGATTTTGGGATGAGTGGTCGTCTTCAGGTGCGGCATTCTGGGATCATGTTGCCGAGTAAAAATAACGGTTTCATTCTCGACTTGGATGTAAAGATCGCAGTCTTTGACGTTGCCAACAAGGCGAATACCGGGGTCGTCAAAAGATTGATCGAGAAATGCAGATTCTTTCAACGCTTTATCAGGGCAATAGACTTTGATCACAGAGCCGGCATGATTTATGACTTTAGAGTAGAATAGCTCGGGGAGATTGAGCTCGGGGCCAGCCTTGACGAGTGTCGACGCAAACGTCTGAACAGATGTGACTATAAGTTGCCCTTGAGGTTCAGAACCGATGATATTTGTATAGTGTGCAAAAAGACGGGATCCCTCCGTGATGCCTTGTGCTTGGCCAGCTTCGAGAGTAATGACATTCTCGGCGTTGCGAGTGGTGCAATATGTGAGAATGAAGGACCAATCTGCGCCCTCTGAGTCGACGTTGCTGAAGAGGCGCCAATAAACCCCATGGCCCTCGCATCGGGGAGTCTGCTTCCTGTGCTATTGTCAGTGCTTATTCTGGAACTGGTAGCAGGCATACGTACTTGTTGGGCATCTCTAGCTGGTGCATGAGTGAAGTATAAGTCAATGACTTGACATCTGCCTTTTTCAGGGCATCCAGAAGATGGAAAGTGAGGATTCGAGTTTGCCTTGAGTTTCGCCCTCTCCTCCAACCTTCTTGCTCTCGAAAGCCGACTCATCTCTACCGCACGCAGAGAGAAGGTCGTGAGAGCTGTGCTGAGTCCCGGAGAATCCCTTTGGGACCCCCCCCCTCTCGTGTCACACTTCCAAATATCCTCGTCGCAATCTGCGGTGGTATCCGGTGGGTTGAAAATTTCACGGACGCTCTCATTGTCGTTATCATCACTACGATTGATACTCCCGGAGGAACAGCAGTCCATGATGAGGGTCTGGCAAAGGATAGATGGTTAATGGGGCGTGTCATCGTGGCGGCCAGAAACTGACAATATTCGGACCCATGGCCTCCGAAAGCTGGTTGAGGAGCGCCGAGATGGTGCGATCGTAGATGCCTTCAGTAGGAAAACCTTTGTCGTCGGGCTTCCCAATATCGCTCGGGCAAATCATCTCGATCTGGTCATCATCGGTGTGCCAGTCAACCCAATCACTCGGTTTTGCAGTTCGGGCGCCATGACCAGCATAGAAGATGACGATCGCGGCCTTATCCTTAAGATCGGGATAGTTAGTCTTAAGAGCCGAGAACCCATCCAAAATATCTTGACGCAAAGCGTTGTGCTTCCTGAGTATTCTTTCATCTGGTGTGCCGAGCCGTTCCTTGAGATACTTCTCAAAGTACTCAGCATCAGCAACTGCCCCGCTGAGGCTTTTGTAGCCTTTGCTTTGTGAATAGTCGTTGATGCCAATGACCATCGCCAAGATCGGCGGTACAGGTGGGCTGTAGAAGGTTGCCCAGGCCAAATGAGCAGCAGGATCGACAAGATCGGGGCTTGCTCAAGGCTTACCGGTCGGCCTCGTCTGACATTGTCTGAATGAAGTGGGGGCTTGAGGAAGAGGATGTCGTTTTATGGGCGCCAATGGCCACACAGCTGGTTTTCTATTTCTGTAACCAGACGTGTGAATCCATACCATTAAATATAACATGAGGGCGACTCTCAAGAACGAGGAGGGGTTCCGATGTTCCTTAGCGATGACACAGCCATTGTACCGTGGGGGAAGGGATATCCCCATTCATTTCCTGTCAGGAGCCGCCCAGAGGACACTGACTTCCGGGAGTTACTCGTCCTTGTGAGTGATAATCGCGCTGAATAGTTTCTTTTACTGAACTAGGTCAATGAGAAACGAAAGGCGATGTTTATCATGGTCTGACGGTGCTTTGAGCATGTCGCAAAGCCAGGTCGTCCAAAGAGCACTCTGTCAACAGGATTCGTCAATGAAGCCTCACTCGGAGACATCAAATACTACTTACCCTGGAGAGGATGTACATAGGTTGGAATGCTCGATTGCCTACGAGGGAGGGGCAACAGCCGAACGCTGGTAATGTTCGAACCCAGGCGAACCCAGACTTCACGAGGAAAGGTACTTTGGTGGAAGTGGTGGAAAACCAGGCCAAGCACGGAGACGAAGAAACTGCCAGAAGTCAGAAGATTTGCCTTCGGTATGTTTGCTTCAAGCATTGTAAGAGGGCTTCCTGCTGGGAATGGAGAGTCACAGGCGTGGAGAAAGCTGGATATGAAACTTATTTTTTAGGAGTGCCCAAGTACAGAGAAGGTACGGATAGCGTCGAAGATGTACAATAGAGTGCATTTCTGTCAGGACAGCGCGGCTCAGCAAGGCGTCACTTGGTAAGACGGGCGTATGAGGGGTCAGTCATATTGGCAAAAACGATGGGACACACCTAAACCGTGCATGAACCACTTGAGCCTGATTCTCGTTGATGAGGTGACAAAGAATATTAAACCGTCGCCAACACGGCGTTGCATCGATCCTTACAGAAAGTTACACTCTGGAAGGTTGAGTGGCGAGGTGTACTAGTTCTCTTCACAGACCTGCCCTGGAGGGTCATGACATGACGGTAACGTTGAACTTCCAAGTGGGCTCGTCTATATCTTTGGAATGTGGTCAATCAACAATCCCACGCTTCCTCCGTCGACCATGAATGAACCAACGACGGTTCAACCGGGGCCATAGCATCAAATGAAAGACTAGAGCCACCTCGCGAAACCACAACGCGGTCGCTGCACAATATCCACGCTGTTTGTTGGAACTCGCTGAAGAACTTGAGGAGACTCAGTGGTGGTGGACAAAAGTTATCTCGCTCACGGTTGCCTTAAACGACTGCGACACCTCAGTAGCTATCGTGGAAGAGGTTCCGTACCCTGGGCTCATGAATGGAAGTATTGCCTTTCCTGCGAAGGCAGAAAATGAGCTATGGTGTTCCTCAAGGCCTCTTAGTTCATTCAAGAACTTCAGCAGTCACCCATCCTTGATTTAATCGATTTCCTCGAATAACATGGCGCTAACCTAACTCTCCTCGACATTCTGCTTAATCCTCATCGTCGATCTGCCAATCCTCGACCTCTGTTCTAACCTTTCTATGTGCAGTTTCAGCCACAAGCGGTCTTACAGCTCCGACCAATACCCCACACTCTACGGTTTAGCCATCTGGATCCAAGACCTCTGAACCGTCGACCTCAAGGCTGCCAGGGTGTTCCCAGCCAAGGGGCTTTCCGCCAGATAGATCCCTTCGGGCCGTCTTGTGACATCCTCGGTTGACATTGCTGGGAACCTATGTGCACTAAGAGCAGGCTTTGGCCGCCCGACTTCGGTGTTGGTATTTCCCGTCGCCGCTTACCATCCAGCTGAAACAACCTGCGGCGAACACATTCATAGGATCATCAGCTTAGCTCGCCAAGAATCGTCAAAGGCTTCGTGAAAGCGAACGAATCAGATCGTCATTTCCCCCGCAGCTAACATAGTGGGAAAGTCGTCAAGACTATATGTAGTGCAGGCAACTGGACTCGAATGTGGACACTGTACTACTGAACCGGGCCCACAACCTGGCCACTTGACTTGACCGCCATATTTTCGTTGATCGAGGATATGATGTACGTGTAGAACTTCGTTATGTCAAGCCTCGCGCCTCACTTTGAACGAACAACTGTTTTCAGGCAAATGACTCCTCCGATCCTCTCAATGGTCATTGGGAATGACAAATACTTGTCCGACAAGTACACCAACCTCAATGGGGCAGTGGCCGATGCAAACCATTTTGAATCATACCTTAGAGGTCTGGGTACCACAATTATCGACATAATCAGCCTACGAAACGCTTCTCGCTGGGATATTCTGAATGGATTTCGTTCTTTGCAGAACAATTATCCTAATTGGAAAGAGGATGCTGCAATTATCGTCTTCTACGCTGGACATGGCGCCCGTACTGCAAAGCCCAAAGAGTGGGTCGACTGGGAAACCAGCACCGGCGAGGTGGAGATGTTGTGCCCGAGCGACATAGGCATGCTCGACGGCCCCTCTGTCGTCGAAGGCATTTATGATCGCACGATATCGGCTCTCCTCAATCAGCTAGCAGCAGCGATGGGCCCGAATATTGTCAGTATTTTCTATGTTTTGTTTTATCGCTTTTTATGTCGGAACCTTTGTAGACCTTGATAATGGATTGCTGCTGCTCTGGAGGTATCACCCGAGGCGACAGCGATTCAGACATTTATGTTCCCCGAGGAATTGAAGATCCACCGCCAGCCAGCCCAAAATCCGATCAAGATATTTTCTCGTCGGATTCACGAGGCGCAGCCGCGGATGGCTCCTTGGGCAAGCTTTATCAGTCCCACGTTTTGCTCGCCGCGTGCGGACAAGAGGAGAATGCTTACGAGGACCCGAAGACGAATCGTGGGTACTTCACGACCCATCTTCTGAGCATCCTTGAGGACGTGGATGCCGGCTCTCTGACGTATACTTCGTTGGTTCATAAACTGAGCTTGGCCACTAAGTGCGTGCCCAAATGACGTTCAGATTCTACCGCGACTAACCTTTTGTAGATTGCAAACTCCTCGGTGTGAAGGTCATGGTGTGACCTGGCGTCTCTTCAACAATCATCTTTCTGGTTCAGATTGGTCATTCATCCTTACTCGGCGCGACGACAGGAATATGTTTATTCTGGATGCAGGAATAGCTCAAGGCATCACCGTTGGCTCTCGTCTTTCGGCCCACAGTACGAACATAATTGGTTTTAAATCCGAAGGAGAGTTCGAAGTCAAGTCTGTCACCATGTTGTCTTCGACCTTGGAAGTGATTTCACCCCAACCACCCGTCCAGCTACCCGACCTACTTTATTCCAGACTCGTTTATACTTCGGGCTCTCAAATCAAAGTCTACTGCAGGAAGAGGCGTTGGTTAGAATTTACCTTTCCACCCCAGGTCAGAAACGAATCAGGGATCCTTGTTGTAGACGATCCGTGGTCTTGTGACCTCGAATTGGTTGTCTCGCATGGGAAGGTTTCTTTCCGCCCACGCCACGAACTCGTAACACCTCATCTAGAAAAGAAGGTTCGATACGAGGTTGATGTCAACGACAGTGACACCGTCCGCAACGTCGTCTGTTCCTCGCGAGTGTTTTACTATCACCTTACGCGCCCTGTTCTAGGGGAATTTCCACACGCTAGGATAGAGCTGAAGGAACTGGACTATGTTGCATCCGCCGAAGTTGCAGCAACAGAAGAGCCACCTCTCATGCCTACTGGGGACAACTTGTTGAGGAATGAGCCAGCAACAATCGTTGTTGACGAAGAAGCCGTCTACGGGATGACCATCGCCAACCAAAGCGACTATCGCCTGTACCCTTTTGTCTTCTACTTCGATCCAACGAAGCTCACAATCGGCGAGTAATTGTACAATTTTTTCGTACGTCTTCTAGTAACACTCCTTCTCAGAGGCATGGTACCCACCACCTTTCGACCTCGCTGGCGCGTCTGCTTCCAACAGCAACGTCGAGCAGACACCCCACATGTTGCAACCCAAGTCATCGCTGGGCATCGGTTACGGAGCATCTGGAGTGTGGCCCTGGGGATTCTCGTTACATGAAGACAACCAGGTGCTGAAAAGGGACCTGGGTTTCTTCAGAGTCTTCCTCTCCACCCGTCCTGCGCCATCCTTTCTCAGCATGACACAAATGTCTCCTTTTGACTCGTCCGAGGCACGCGCCGGCAGGAAACGTGAGAGCAGCCGCAGATTGGTGGAAGACGAGAGCAGAAAGGCGGCCTTATGTGGGGCACAACTCGCTACGGTTGTTCTTGTAGATGGAATCGACAAACCTCAACCCAAGTGCAGATACGGCATTCTCTGTTTCTAACAATTGGATAGTATCGTATGAAGTTGTGTACGTATTTTATGTGGACGAACATTTCATTCTGTGCATGTATGTATCACCCTATAATATATCTCCATGTTTTTTTCTACCTCTTGTCGATTGTCCTCCTGAGGCTTCATACTATTTCCACGCAAACGGGACCAAAAAGGCCTAAACAACTGCCTTAACAGACTTCACTGGCGCTCTAATCCAAGCAGCTCCCGAAAGAAAAAAAAACTGGGCTCTTGAAGGCCATCGATCAGCGAATGACACTTCAGTCATGCACATCCAGAATCATTAACTCTCGCTATCCACTTGGACTATAGTCACGAGACGAGATCCACATCGGTCTATCTGCTCGCCCGAAGGTCCTCTACATGAAGCAAGGCGCGGTTCTCGTTTGGCGCCGCCTCGTTCAGTGTCCGAGGGAGGAAAGGGCGATGCTTGCTTCATGCTGAAAAAGGACGGTGTTGGATGTGTAGATAAGAACACCCTGAAGAACCCTAAATCCTTCTTGACATTTTTTTGGAGTAGAAACCCCCAGGGCCAAACACTTGATGCTCCGTGACCAATAGTCAACGAAGAATGGGGTAGGAGGGGCGGATTGACGGTATGGTTGGAGCTGCCAGTAGCAGACTTGTCTGAACCTCTGGCTAGACTAAAAGGTGCGGGGTACCATTCCTCTGAGAAAAAAAATAGGATGAGAATAAACAAAAGGTCGACCATTACTCACCAATTGTCAGGTCGGTTGGATCGAAATAAAAGACAAAGGGATATAGAGTAATAGCACTCTCGTTGTAGATTGTCATCCCGTAGATAGTGTCGTCGACCACCAGTGTTGTCGGCTCGTTTTCGATGATATTGGGCCCGATCGGAACTAGAGCCGGCTCCTCAGACGAGGTCGTGTATTCGGGCTCGAGTTTTGTCAACTCAATCCGGCAGGCCTGTTCAGACTTATCTGTCATTTGGCGTGTAAGATGATAGTAGAAGGTGCGCGAAGAGCAGACAACTCGGCGGATAGTATCGATATCATTGGCGTCAACTTCATGGCGAATACGTCTCTCCAAATGAGATGTGACAAGTTTGTGCTGTCGATGGAAGGAGATCTTTCCGTGAGATGCGACCAGCTCAAGATCGTAATCTTGTCCCTTCTTGGCCAGAACAATTCCAGCCTGCTTGATGTACGAAAGAGGGAATACGATCTTCAACCACGCCCGGTCGTCACAATAGATGCTGATGCTCCGACCTGCGGTAGTGACCGCTTTGGAATAAAAGAATGCGGGAAAGTCGAAATGTGGTTCAGTTTGAAGCGCCTTCAAGGTTGATGAAAACATTCGGACATCTTCGACTAGAAGATGCCCTCGGACTGGAGAGTCGGTAATATTGGAGGTATGGAAAGAGAGGATAGATCCAGGTGTTATGCCTTGGGCCTCGCCAGCATCAAGGGTGATGACATTGTTGTTACAGTGCGTAAGGATGAAGGACCAATCCGAGCCACAATCTTGATTGTTGAATAACCGTCCATTCACTGCATGACCTTCGCATCGTGGGGTCTGTCGCCTGGGGAGAAAGTAGACATTCAATCCTCGGAAGAAGGGAAAAAAAGCGTGGAAGGCATAGACTCACTTGTAAGGTAGCTGAAGTTTATGCATTAACGACGTGTACGTCAAGTTGCTAATGTCCTCTTGTTTCAAGACCTCTAGAAGGCGCATCGAGAAAAGCCCCCTCTTCAAAATATGGCTTTCGCAGGCAGGTTCATCAGGCCCACAAGCCGCTAGAAGGACATGCGATCCATGAAGTTGTCCGGAGAAGCCTTGCGCAGCGCTGCCACCACGAGCACCATCATGGACAGACCATCTCCAAATCTCTTTGTCGGATTCTGCACGCGCCGGTGGCGGATCAAAAATTTCACGAATGCATTGGTCCTCTGATTCCTCATCGCCACGAGTGATGCCGCCTGACGAACAGCAATCCATGATTAGAGTCTGGAGGAGACCTCAGTCGAAACAAATGATCCATCAATAAAGAACTCACAATGTTGGAACCCATGGCCTCGGAAAGCTGGTTAAGGAGCGCAGAAATGGTGCGATCATAGATGCCTTCGACAACAGAGCCGCCTTCGATCGTCCCAATGTCGCTCGGACAAAGAAGTTCGATCTCGTCGTTATACGTCTTCCATTCAACCCACTCTTGGGGCTTTCGAGTCCGGGCACCATGACCAGCATAAAAGATGAGGATCGCCGCTTTATCTTTGAATTCCGTATACTCGGTCTGCAGATGGGTGAATCCATCCAGAATTTGCTGACGCTTGGCGTTACGCAGACTGAGTATCTTCGGCTCGCGGCCACTGAGCTTCGCGAGTGGTCCTTTCAGGTAGGCCTCGAAATGGTCCGCATCGGCAACCGCACCGGCCAGGTTACTGTACTTGGGCGGATACAGGTCGTTTCCAATCACCATCGCCAGGATCGGCGGAATGGCCGTGCTGCGAAAACGTCGGTCACTTAGGCATCACGTCAAAGGAATCGAGGCTCACCACAGGCTTTTGTCCGACATTTCCTAGCCGCCTACTTGAGCGTTTAGAGATAAGCGCTTGAAGATGGGGACGGGGCCCATGCCATCTCGAACATTGTTTGTTTGGCGAGCTTCTGTTGGCAGCGTGTGAATGGGCTTCATGTCAAGGGATCGAGGAATCGACTCCATCGTATTTGCTAATGTATGCTTTCCTGCCGACTTTTAGTACTAGTACCTTGCAACTCCCGGTTGAGTGTAGCTTCGATCCTGGCTAGCACTTCTCTTGGAGAACGACCATCAAAAAGTGTGGTTGAGGATTTGTAAATTGTAGACTGCCTAGACTGAGGAGCAAAATATCAATACGAAGTTACTCCTGAGATATGCAAAAGAAGGGCCGTACCGTAGCGAATCGAATGCTAAACCTCTTTCTGCTTTCCCACTTATCTCTAGCCCTTGTGGCTTTGTCCGATGCTTGCACACGAAATCGCGAAGACGAGGAGAAAGATTCATCTACAAACGCCCCTTGATAGTAACACTTCGCGTTGGCTAGAAGACGAAATTCTGCGAAATCGTCAGCAATGTGCCCCCCATTTGAATAGGATCGTAGAGCAAGACAGAAAACAGTGTTTGCCAAAATACGACGTCAGTCATATAACACTTACTCTAACGGGCCACGGAAAGACAAATGTTGTGGGCAGCGTGAAGGAAATAGATGATCCAAAGGCAGGGTGATGAAGGAGCCCCCATGGTAGTTTGGTTTGAACTGCCCAAGACGCGGTTAAGGCTACGAAGAGAACTGATTCCGAAGGAACATTGAATTAAATGTAGTCGCAATATTTACGCTGAAGAGAACATTTTTAGGGAGTCGCGATAGATTTAAACCACCATACATACCTGAAAAGAACCTCGCCTACGATGATAGGAAGAATCTCTTCGTCTTCGTCTGTATCCTGAGCACCTTCAAACGGAGCACCCCGACGTGTCATCGACGAGGTAGAGTATGGGGGAAGTGGAGCCGTAGATTCTGGGATGGGGCCTGTCGCAGCAATATTGGTCAATTCTGGCCAAGTTCAAGGCAGGAGTCGAGGACCCAAATGATTAATGACTGCGAACGAATCGATCGTAGATCCGTATAGTTCGACGTGGCTGTGCCTCAGACTCTCCGGCCCGGTAACAAGTTCCAGTTCGAGGACTCTAGGAGTCCAAGATCCTTCTCTCTTTGATGTCACTATCACAAGATTCAGCATATACTGCTCTTAAGAAGTGAAACTGAGTGTGGCCATCGCGACGCTCCAATCGGTCAAAGCGATCTCAAGTAGTCGGGCCCCAACAAATCCTCCTGAACTTTGCGAACCTGTCCATCCTCAGCATTTCCCGCAGACTCTTTCTCAGTTCCCTGGCATGACATACGAACTCTTGACGCAATTAAACGACGAATCCCGTTGCTCCCGGATTACAAAACACAGGCAACGGCGATTGAAGTTCTCGGAACGGGTAACACTGGTCGTCTGAAGGGTTGTCTCGCCACCTCAATGTCTTGTATGGATTGTACGCTTGCGCGAAATGAACTTCAATAAGTTGCTTGTCCAGTGCTCTCCATTTTTTTTGGATCTTCCTCATGAACTGCGCAGAAAGGGCGTCATTCGTGGGGCAGTAAGCAACGGACAAGACTGTATTTTCATAAGTGAACCCCTATGGCGAAGGTGGCGCATATGCGGAGTCAGGAAGATTTAAGTTATGACAGCGGTCCCTCCTGGCGTCGAACAACTCTCGCGTCTGATGTGTGCTACGATCGCAGGAATCATCGCTCATTAGGCGAGTGACTTCGCTCCTCTGGCGCTACCTTGACTGACAGAAATGTTTCATACATATCTTTAGATCGACCATGGCGACAACGACATTGGAGATGATGATTTGTTCATTGTCGGCTAGATGTAATCTACAAGCAGTGGTGTAGTACTGTGCCGTCTGACCTGCAAGTAGATGCCTTATTCATTCCGATATCCATCCTTTTCTCTGATGATTACATTTTTTCAGGTATTTCCCTGGCGAATTCCTCCCCAGAAAGCTTGCCTATCGCTCAATCAACGGCTCACAATGTGGAAAATGACGATGCTGAATCCGAAAAGGAAGGTGACATGCAGGAGAAAATGGTGAAGAACTCTGGCAGTTATTCTTGTTCGGGCTCATCCACTATGTAGCCTCCCACATGGAAAAAGACTTGCAAGCAGTTTTTATCGTCAGGCAGAACACATCTCCTTTCCGAAACCATCAAGCAGCACGCATCATACGGCGTCCTCGCGTTGTGGTCTACAAGATCAAGAACGGGCGAAGGTCACTTCGCGGATAAGCGATGATGGTCGAGCCCTTGAGCCGTCATCTGGAGACGCGTTCGGCACCTGTGAACAAGGTGGAAAGGAAAGAGCTGGGTCTCGGGCGGGTGTTTCGGGGATAGTTGACCTTGGAAACGAAGGTGCAAGGAAGAGAAGAGCGCTGCGGGCGGACGCGAATTTGCACCTGCTCGCGACATGCGCAGTCCTGCCGACCTTCATAGGGATGATGGAGGCGATAGGAAGGATGCTTGGTTTGTTACTGCTGTCTTCGCCATTCCTAGCGTCAGTGATGCGTCTGGTGCATGCAGCGAGTGGACCGCGGAATGGGAAAAGTGGGCGGTTGTCCCAGAGGAAATACAGGTGTCGGTCAACCAGCAATGAAAAGGACCTGTCTGCAATGTAAATTAGTGAGTTATATAGTATGTATCAATGATTGACCCACCAAGAGGTGAACTTCATAAGACAACAGCAGAAGCTTCGAGATGACGGCAACCTGTTAAGCTAGGTAAGTATCCCCGAAAAATGCAGCCGAAGGCACTAATGGGTACGAGAAATGGTCCCGTTTGGATGTCGTACATCGGTCGTAGCGTGGGCGTGGATGCTGACCTTGGCCTCTTCTTGAAAATGCCCAGAGGTTCGCAGTTCAATGCCAGTGGTGTTGGAATTTTATTTCGGATATGCAATAAGCATGCATAAATGCGCGCGATCTTGGTGCGATCTCCGTGCTGAATTCCAGACGCGTCGGGCACGCGCATGCAAGAACGCAAAGGTCGTAAATATTGATGGCTAAATATCTATGAATAAGTTAAATGAGCAGCGAGCATGAAGTGGAATCTCTTGCGGGAAGGGTCTCGAATTCGGACTATCAATAGGTTCCAAGTGAAAAGTGGTGGAGATTCCATCGCCTCGATGTACAGGCTCGACTCGATTTCATAGCCGCAGAGCTCTGTCAGTAGCGCAGTAGAGAAAGGGTTTGGGGAGAGATAGATAGGGTCGTAAACACGATGCGCTATCTGACATGGAAAATAGTGTATATTTTGCGCTGTGCGTACTGGGGCGATTTTTGGTGCCGGAATTCGACGTTGAAGTCTGGAAAGTGTCCGCATAAGCAAGGCACCCATCAGGAGATCCTAGCGCCACACACCGGAGTAGACTCGTGAGTCTAACGGAAATATCATGGGGACGAGCTTGCTTTAGGCTTCAGGCAGTGGTTTGCCTCGTTGGTCGCTTCATGAACCTAATGGAAGACCAAAATGCATGAGTGGAGCGAAGAGAAAAGCAGGTAGGCATGTCCACATGCGTTATGTAAAAAAGTATCATGACACCACGCGCGTTTCTGCAACGTCTAGCCTTGGGCATGATACAGGCGGCGGCGTCAACTTATCCTTGTTCAACGTCAACAGTAGTATTCGGATACCCTGCATCTGACCAAGAGTTCTTTCAATACCTTAAACACTCAGAAAACAGCCGGAGAAGAAACTTAAAAAAGTAGAGAATTTCCCGAATTTTGGTAAGGCTGCATACTGTTGATAGTAGACATCTCAAAGACATCTTCCGTGGTTGGAGTTTTGGAGGGCCAATGTCTGTGTCAGTGTCACGGTTGTCTGCCACTTTGTCACGTCATATTTGGTGACAACTCCCCCATATGGAGCTACCATGCCTTCTAACTTCGAATTTGGTTCGAATTCTTCAAGTTCCTCTTCGAAACCCCCGGTCGCCATTCGCAGTGGCATCGTTGCACGACAGGACTATATTCTTTCTTCGCCGTGGTGTTGTTACCGAGAATCAATGCCGTGAAACTAGGTGAGGTCCTAAGTAGTGGCCCGCAACAGGAGGAATGAATGAGGGAACAGGTCCCATCACCACCCGGCTCGCGGTGGCAACCTGTCAGCAAGAATAAGCCTACGAAGGCCCGCCAGCATTTATCGGAGCTGTCACGTAGCGGTGGGCGAAGGGAATGTACGCATTTTTGTCGTTTTTTGTGCGACATTTCCTGAATGATCCTCGCCAGGAGGTGGCTGCCATGGGTGCTGTCATATGTTATCACAGTAACAATGAGGCCGGGTCAAACGCATAATTGAAATTGGCCGGAACGCAAGCTTCGGGCCACAGCCAGAATGAGGCTCCGCTCAGGGACAAATTGGCTGATTTGTGCTCATAAGAAACGTGTTGACCCCCCGCACTCCCGGCTTTCTCCCGTTCATGCTCAATCTCGGTCAGGATCGAGGAGCCACTGTAACGTGAACGAAACGTTCCTTATACCCTCGTTTCCTCAGCCTCTGGCTGCTCCTTGATGGACGCCATTCACTTCTGTCAACCAACCTCTTCCTTCTATTAACTTCCGTGGTATCCATCCTTTCGAATCGATATCTGCTTCTGCTGGACAATTTCGGAGACCGACACTTTCAATACGCAATCGATTTGCGCGCCGTCTCCAGACTCTAGCCCAATTCTGGATGAACATTGCACCTTCCTGGCCGTTCAACGCGGCAGTGTCTCGGATCGCACCATGCTACCTGACCCCAGGGTATGCGCTCTTGTACGACCACTTTTCGACATATCTACCACACAGCGGTACCAAGACTGCTCTTGTCTCGGATGCCACCAAGAACGAGGAAAGGAAGGGAGGCCAGGTTAACAAATTCAGGGTGCAGGGAGGGCGTGTACTTGCGAGATTCTCTGTAATCCACGGACGTTGGCAAACGCGGAGACAGGACGGCCATTCGTAAGTCTGAAGATTTTTTATCCCCTGTATCACGCCCACAAATCGCATCCAGTGGCGCGTCAACAGGAACAGCTGATCAAACAACCACAATTGAGGTCTCATTTCCAACTCGTACGCCTCTCTTCCCGTCGTATTCTTCAGTCTTAAACAGACGTGTGTTGTGCAGGCTTTTCAAGCGGTTCTCCGGCCCAGGGTGACTCTAATGGTAAGTTCGAACTTCTCGCTATGAAACAGGACCTAATGAGCCGAACAACGAATTAGGTCCAAGTTCAAGTACTACTCAGGACTCGGCGTCGGCGTCCTCTTTGCCACCAGATGGTTCGAGCCCTTCCATGATCATCGGCATGGACGCGACGACTCACGTAGACCAACTCCCAGATCCGTCGACGGCGACGTCAGCACCCACCGACGTCGAGAGCTCAATGCAGGCCCTCGATTCGCGTTTACCCACCGAAACCCCATTCAGCACGACGTCATGGACCGCAGCCCCCTCCTCCGAGATTAGCTCCTCGATATGGAGCTCAGAGTTTCTGATCACGTCTTCAACGACATCGCATACCTCCATATCGGTATCAGAGACTGGGGATGTGGCTTCGACTACATTCTCGTTGTCGCGCTCGTCTTCGTTTGTAGCCCCGTTAACACCGAGTATAATCGAGACGAGCTCGGGTTCAGGTGGAGCGGACTTGTCTTCCTCCTCCTCGAGGTCAATATCCCGGTCGAGTCTCGTCACTCGCTCTGAGACAGATTCCTCTGAGCCCTCGGTCGCGTCCTCGACGGAGTCAAGTACAGAGTTGACAACACCTGAACCCTCTGCCTCAAGTTCTCCTGGAACTTCATCGAGTTCGAGCGAGGATTCGACCTCGACCTCATCGTCCGATGTGGACAGGAGCTCGACGAGCTCATTGAGCTTAACGACGCCGACACCCCCATCATCTTCGAGCTCAAGAATGTCAGACACCGCCGCCACTTGGTCTCCGACGGAAACTGTATCTTCGACTCCAATCACTGTGTCTTCCTCCTCTAGAATATCTATAACACCCACTCCTTCAACGAACTCTAGAACAATCTCTACAATTAATTCATCCTCTTCAAGACATCATCTGTCATCTCGCTCCACTCGCACCACTTTGGGGCAGTACACGTCTCCAGAAATGTCGTATGTGTTTCCATGTTTCGTAAGTAACGAAGTTTTAAGCTGAAATGTTGCTATGAAGGCATTATTCTTCGGTCTGGCATCCTCATTCGGGTTCATCATCTCTTTACTTGTCCTCCACCACGTCGTTCGCCACTCCGACTTTTCCATCTCCGACCATCTGGACAGATGCACCCCCAGATAGCAGTTCAAGTGCCTCTTCCACCACCTCCATCGAGACCGGCGTTCTTAGCACCAACACGCCGAATGAAGCAGGGTAAATGCCCCATTATCTCTTAGTTCCATCTCCGTTACTGATTCCTCTCAGATTCGCACGGAACACAGGTGCCATCGTCGGTGTCTCATTGTCAGCGACGTTCGTGTTCATCCTCGTTGTCTTCCTCGCGTTCTTCGCGTGCAAGCGGTACAGGGCTCGACGCGTCACCACCGGTTCCACAGACAATATCCTCGCTGTGACCCAGAGCCCGTTCTGGCGACCGCCCCTCGATGGCGATGACGACGACTCGTCCCTCGAGACGTACAGCCGTGCTCAATCACCACACCATCGCAAGACGTCCGACAGCCAGGGGCACGACTCGGGTGGCGGCTCCGTTGGTGATCACCTGTCAGGAGAAGGAGGGTTTGGTTCCGCTGAGAGTGCAAATATTGGGATGGCGCCGGCGATGGCTACGACGTTTGGAGGGTCCGCGTACATGCCAGGGTTCGGTGCAGAGCTGCCTAGGCCGCCCAATCCTGCCGCCAACCCGCAGTCCCTGCCAGACCAAGCGGCCCAGCAAGTCTGGTGGGGCAGCAACGAGCCGCAAGCGTTTTACCCTTCATCTAGGACGTCTACGATTAATCGACACATTTCAATAGGAGGTAGTCGGAGCGCCACCTCTCTTACTCTCGTTCCAGGCGGCTCTTCGGCCGGAGAGCATTCGTCCTCAGGAGAGGGCCTCCTGAGGGGCAACACAAAACGCAACTCGGTATCCGGTCCCCGACCGATGCCAGGACAGGAAGGACGTCGGCACCGATCCACCCCTCCGAGTGCCTTCCTGGGCACACGGGATGTGCATGTTGATCTGGAACGCCAGCAGCAGCAGCCGCAAGCAGATCAATCGGACAAGCTAAGCGTGAAGAGTATCCTCTCTCGCCTGCGAGGTGGGCGGAAGTCATCCCTGCAGAGTATTGTCACTGTCAAGGCTAGCACGCGACAATCAGACGAGCCAGTCATGGCAATGACAATGGCTGCTGCTCCGGCCTCGAACGTCTATTCACCTTCCCTTCTTAATCCGCCCATCACTCTTCCGACAACGACAACGCCGATGCGCCCATTGCTGAGTTTCCCGAGAGGCGTTACTGGCAACAGCTACTCGCCACCTGGAACATATAGCCCGCCACCTGGTCCTGTTCTATGGCCGCCAGTGACGCTGCCGCCAGCGCCGTCTCCGGTTCCTACGGATGATTCGAGCATGATCGAGGGCTTGCTACATCCTCGCCTCTCCATGGCTGTGAACCTTACTCAACAACCTAGCTTGACCAGCCTCCGAGATCATGAAGACTATTCGCGGCCAATAAGTGGGGTGCGTCTTTCATTTCCTCTCTCCAGGACGCCGGGTTCTTAACCTTCTTACTTTCTAGGTTATCAACAATCATCTCAGGAGCACGTCAACGTTTGATTCGCAGGAGACGAGGGAGATGTAGAGCAAAGAGGAAGGTACTGGTTTATGGCCTCTTATGACAGCTTTCACATTGCATTTTTTGTTGTTCAAACTGTTGTGATACATTCCTTTCCCCTTTCATACTTAATATTTCATGTTACATTACAAGCCCCAACGTTCCTTTACACAAAGTTGCATGTAACACCAGCCTACAGAGTAGGATAGAAAGCTCTCGACAAAGAAATTAATATGTCCAATATTCAGGTGGCCGAAGGTAGAATGCGAGCATTGAAGATGACGTAGGTTTCAAACAGCAGTGAGAGCGTTTCTAGCGCGGGTTCTTTTGTTCGCTTGCTTGATTCTAGAGTCGATAGGTGCCTATTTCTTGTAGTCGTGTGGAAAAACATAATCCCCTCTTGCGCTATCGCAGCGTGTGGGGAAAATTGCACTCGCATATTTAATAACGGTTGAGGTTCAAGCGAGTGACGGCACGGCCCTAAGAAGCATCCAACCCAAATGGTGGGGTCGAGCAAAAAATAGCACTCATCCGACCGTTTTGAACCCACGAAAGGTCGCGGCTTCATTCAGCCAGACAGCCCGTGTGCAATGCGGACGGAAAACAAGGTTCAAGATGCATTAGTATCTAAGTCTTCGTCAAGGGTATTATAAACTTCCACGATGGTTTGCCTCCAGGCTTGTACTGATGTCAAATCGGGCTTCTCTATTATTCAAAGCATTAACGAATTTGCGTAAAGGTAACTTTTGGAAGACAACAACACCCCTACGAGGAAGAACACCATTACTCAATGAACGCCCCATAAAAGCCCTTGGCCGCATCGTATTATTGCATCCACGAAGCCACCGTCCAAAAATAGACGGCTAGGAAAGGAACATTGAAAGGGCTCGAAGACGCTGTCAGCATCAGGGTGCATCAACATTCGGTCATCACGGTCGTCAGAAAAAGGACGGAATTCCACCCCTCGATGGCGCAGAGTTCGTTCGGAGACTGAATATGGAGAGATTCAACAGGAGGGGGACCGGTCACCGAAGGGTAAATTCACTGGCCTTAGTCCATTTGATCAGCCGAGGACTCATGGAACTGACATAACATCTCGACATCTTGAACCCTCGAGTACCTGGTCAGATAGCCTCAGCTGGCATACAGCGGTATAGACGCTCACATTTGGGGTTTGAACGCGATGTGAGACGGGCTCAACTATCAAATGATCAATGATGACGCCGCAGTGAAACATTGGAGGCAGCCCGGAGCTGTTGTTCATCGCAGGAGCTCGGGTCAAGAACATTGAAACCTGTGTTAAACCTAAGTGGGTCCACTAGTCGTTCACACCACGGATGGATAGAGAAGAGCACACGCCGCCACTCGGCGCTCGGAGCAGTTTGAATTCCAGAATCCAACAGGAGTAAAGACGGTATAAGGTAAGGCTTGACAGATTTTGAAGATGATGAGGAGCCGAGAGATGAGGAATAAGGAAAACAGAACGCCGATAACAATGGATGGCACAGAGGGGGGTGCATAGGCCCTGAGGAATCCGAAATGTAGAGTAGTACAAAGAGGAGAAGAGAGAAGGAGCGGAAGGCCATCATCCAGAAAGGGGTTATGATGGAGCAAAGGAGACAGAAGTGACCGGTGTCTTATTCTTCCGCTTGAATTTCTGCGTGAAACCCTTGGCTATCGAAAACCAACCACTAGGCGCAGTCTTCGTCGTCACCGACAGCGACGTCCGCGAAGGCTGGCTACGCAGCTTTGAGGACGCCTGGACCGTCGTAGAAACGGCAGCGACATCGTCGTCGTCGCCTTCTTCCCGTACGGTTTTGACAGTAGTGGCTTCCTGAACTGAGACTCCAATGATCATATTGGATTCCGCGTTGCCCATGGCCCTGTTGGGAATAACGCTTGCTGAGTGCGACCGGCTCAGACGTCTAGGGATCATCTTTGCAGAGATACTCGGTTTAGCGGCAATGTGCTGCATTTGAGTGACGTGGTTGTCGTCCTCCGTATGCGCTTGCTCGTTCGAGTAGGCGGAGGCTCCAGACGCGACTGAGTTGGTGCTTGCATTCTATAGATGCATTTAATTGCTGGTATTTCACTGATATGACATGACGTACCGCAATTTGCGATTGGTAAAACGGAGAGTTGCTGGCGACGTTGGAACGGCTGCCGGGGGTGGGGGGCTGAGTGGTCGACACGAAGTCGTCTTCGGACAGCTGGATGAAACATTGAGTTTGGCAAAAGGAAAGGAAGAATAATGAGCACACCTGGCCAACGCGCGAAATAGATATACTCCCTCGACGCCTCTCCTTCTGTCGTTTTGCCGACAGTGACTTTTCTGTTGCTTCAGCGGCCTTGAGACTGACAAGATGCTCTTGTTGCGCTCGGCGCTCGCTCTCCTCCTCCACCTTTTGGAATATCTGGGTCGAGCGTTCAATATACACGTCGAAACCGCGAGAGACGCCAGAATACACACTTTTTCCAAAGGTTCTGGGCACCCTTCCATGGCTCCTGACATCGAGTTGGGCGAATTGCGCAGAACTGTGAATAATTGGGGAGAGGCAACGTGTTTCTGGGGTGTTCCCGTGTATTTATGAGAGTAGAAGATGAAGGTTGAAACAAGGGAACGGTTGGATTTACTTAGACCGCATGTTGTTCAACGTCCTCTTCGTCGAACCTGTAAGTTGCTTCAAAATTATGTGGCCGCTCCCAATTGGTAATTTAAGCGCCGCCTCAATCTGCATTTGATCTCCGCGAATATGAGGCGCGGATCTCTCCAGTCACCGCTTGATCGTCCCTGTCACTCCAGTCCTTTGCCAACAATGTCACCATACGAGCTTGCAGCGTTCAATCAACGGCTTTCGTTGAGGAATAAAACTTTCTGAAGGGCTTGGAAGGTGATCTTAGTCGCGAAGGTGCCGCTGTCAAGTCGTAAGCCTCTCTTTTGTACTTAAATAATTCCTCGCGAGCCCACCTTGAGTGAACGGACAATCCTCCCTATTTCTGAAGCATGCAGGAGCATGTGAAGCAGATATCACGCAAGAGATTATCTCTCTAGATCTGCTGGCTATCTGCCTGAGTCCCCAGTGGAGAAAACGTGTGGCGCACATGCGGACTCGGCAAGCCATACGTCCGCTTCCGACTCCTGCCTACATTCAGACCTTGGCACAACTTTCAGCATCCCAAATTATGGAAAATTTCGCCCTCGGTATAGACTTGGGCAATGAAACCATCAAGGTGTGCAGGCCAGCGGTTGTTAGACGTATGAACCCCACATATTGATTGAATGGACCCAGATCAGTTACGGTTCCCGAGTGCCATCAGGAGGCGCCGGCACCCTTAAAGCCCTCTCCTTCCCGTAATTCTTCCCGCATCGCCTACCATTCTCCCGTACTGAACGAAAATGCAGCGCCAGGGTGGGCGTAGGATCGCGAAAACGTCTCTTCGGCGACGCTGCAAAGCCAGGTTTCCCGACGACGATCCACTCGCTCAAGAGGCTCGTGTCCTCGTATCAAGAAAAGATGCTGCAACAGAGCCTGCCATACATGAACTCCAACGAAGATTCCAACTCAACGGTATCTCCTCTCCTCTCCATCAGCTCCTCGCCATGATGCTGGGACACATCCGGAGAAAGATCGAGGACGAGTCTGGCTGCCCTGCTGTCATCGACACGGTACTCGCCGTGCCCCGCTGGTACACCGATACCCATCTCCAAACCCTCGCCGATTGTGCTGTAATTTCAGGCCTCCATCCTGTGGGCTTCATCACCGATATCGTTGGAATAGCATTAGGCTACGGTATCGCGCAGATGGGTGTTCTCGAAAACGCGACCCGCCCACGTGTGGTCGCGTTCCTCGATATCGGAGAGTCCGATTGTGCCTCAGCGGTTGTGACGTACACCGAAGGGTGCATGAAGGTTCACGAGGTCATCACCGATCCTGATATCGGCGGCAAGGATGTCGATCGCCTGCTCTTGAAGCATTTCTCCTATCAGCCCCAGAATCAGGGGTCCGTTAGGCTCGAGGATGAGAAGACCCAAGTTCCATTGCTCAAAGAGTGCGAGAAGCTCAAAAAGTTGTCTTCTGATGCAAAAAGCAAGCAGTCTATTGATTTTAGCTCGATTACTCGAGTCACATCAGATAAATTCGAACTCACCGAAGGACAATTCCAAAACATTATTGCCGACTGGCTTGAACGCGTGTTCGACCCTTTGCAAGTTGTTTTGACCCTGTCAGGGATTGAGGAAAGTGAAGTCGATGCACTAGAGCTGGTCGGAGGCTCAAGCCAACTGGCCTGCGTCTTGGAGCATGCGCGGAAACGATTTGGCGAAACCATCCCTAATATCTCGGCGAAACCATCCCTATCCGCGGCGAACGGAGCAGCTAATGCGTGTTCGCTTATTCGAGTTCGCCAACGAAATGCTCCTATCATGTATGATACGCAAATAACGCCCTTCGAAATGAGATGGGCAGCACCGTTCGACGATAAACAGGACCCATGGTTGCCGCTTGATCATGAATATCGTCTCGACGATTTACAACTTGTGTCGCTCATGGAGTCAGAACTAGCTATGGAAGAAGCAGACAAATTAGCTAGATCGACACAGGTAAGTTAGAATTTAACATACTGTGTTGCAACCCTAAAATTAATCCTCTATTGTGCGACAACTTGAATTCAGGCGATGCACGAGGAACTCGTCGAGCAGATCAGCAAGCTGTCGGAAGAGGTGCTGAAACTGGATCCGAATACACAAACTGCCATCATCGAGAATGTTCACAAGACAATCGATTGTGCAGTGCGATGGATGACCTCGAATGAGGAGAAGAGTGGGCCGTTGTACGACGCGCATTTTCAAGCCTTGCGTGCAGCCGAAAATCAGATCGAATCAGCCACGACATCTCGGGGAGGTTCTTCAAAGGATTTATATTCGTCTCTTAGACCTATGCCGGCCACTGTTCCGGTGAAGATCGAGGACGAAACTGGCTTCACTCCTGATCAGCGCCGTGTACACATGTTCGACATGGGCACGTACCTCATCGCGCAATACGCCCAATTCGAAAAGATCGAGCACATTGAAGAAGCCATCCCTTGCCTTGAGACTGCGCTCGAGCTTCTCAAAGGCTCGACCAGCTACGCGGCCGAGGCGACAGACTACCACGAATGTCTCGCCAGTGCGTTCTCCTATCGGTTCGAGTACAGAGCGAACGAACCAGATGTCGAGAGCGCCATTAGGCACTGTCGCTACGCGCTTGAGGCAGCCGGAAAAATAGGATTGCGGGCGATCAAGGCCACGAATAACCTGGGATTGTCTCTATGCCGTCGATACGAGTATTTGACGAAGTCCGAGGACCTCGATGAAGCGATCTCTTTGCTCTGGAAGGTGGTTCAATCCAGCCCCGATAGTGCATCAGCCAAGCCCCAATACCTCTCGAATCTTGGTGCTGCACTTTGTCGGAGGTTCGAGGCGAAGGGAGATAAAGTTGACATCGACAAAGCGCTACCACTGTGCCGTAGAGCCGCAGAGATCGTTCGTAGTCCTTCATATGCACAAATGGCTTTTTTCGGAAGAGAAGATACAAGATTGAAATGTCTCTCCAGCCTCGGCACCGCCTTGCGGTCACGTTTTGACAGGTTTCGTGAGGTCCACGCAGACATCGACGACGCCATCCGGTTCTGCGAAGATGCCGTCCAAAGCGCACGAGCCCTTGGGAAAGAGCAACCAACATTTAGTCATGCGCTTGGAACTGTGCTGCGAAGCCGATTCGAGGTGTCTGGAAATATAAACGACATTGACCCGGCTATTGCTGCTTGCGAAGATGCTGTGAGACTTACGCAGAAAGGGCATCCAGAACACCCAAACTACTTGGCGGGTTTATCTATCTGCCTCGCCACCCGATACGATAGGTTTGGAAGGGCGGATGATATCCGGCGGTCCCTCGAACTGGCCGAAGAAGCTGTCAGTGAGATGCCAGACGGCAGGTCAGACAAATACGCAGTGCTACACACCTTGGGAGAAAGCCTTTTACGAAGGTTCTTCGAGAGGGGCCATATTGAGGATATAAATCGCGCAATCGTCGCCCTCGAGAAAGCGGCGAGACTAACTAAAAAATCATGCTAACAGACCTCTTTGTTTCGCGACTCTCGGAAGAGGGTTAGCTATGCGGTTCGAGCAGCTTGGCGAGATAACCGACATTGACAAGGCAATACGGGTGCAGCAGAAGGCCGTCGACCAATTACCAGAGTCGCATGTGTCGTTGCCGACGTGTCTCGACAATCTAGCTCGGTCATTGTCCCGGCGGTTTACGAAATTATTCCAGATGAGCGATATAGAGAAGGCCATCTCTGAAGAGCGAAGGGCGATGGCTTTGCTCCCAAAAGTCCACCCGGAACGCTTCCTCATCACAGTGAACCTGGGAGGCCACTTCTTTACCAAGTTCAATAGGACGAAAAAGAAGGAAGATATCCAGATGGCACTGGAGGCCAATAGAGATGCGATGAAGCTACTTCCGGACAATCATCCCAACCAATCTATCTTGGAATGCGCCTTGGCGACAACGCTTGTTGGACACTTCAATAGTACTGAAGAACAGTCAGCGTTAGATGAGGCAATCGAGCTGCATCGAAGAGCAGCCGAACGCACCAATGACAAGAATCCCCACAAAATTGCTTACATCGGCAACCTCAGCAACGCCCTCATCAAACGCTACACAACCAGGCATCAAGAGACAGATATTAATGAAGCAGTCGCATGCATGGAAGAGGCGACCAAGATGGTCCCGGAAGATCATCCAGAGCGCCCTGCAACGCTACGGGTACTTGCTGATGCTTTGATAACACGGTACTTGCATCTTCACGTTTCTTCAGATCTAGAGAGGGCCACCTCCATCTACTCCCAGGCAGCCAAATCCCATGCCGGTGCTCCTTGGACAAGGTTTATAGCCGCGAAGAATTGGGTCACATGTGCAAAGGGCGGAAAACATAGCACATTGCGGGATGCGTACGACTGCTGGTTGGACCTCTTACCCCGTGTCGCGTGGATCGGGCTCAGGTTAGAAGACAGGCGAGAAGAGATCATGAAAATGGGGAGCATAGCTTGCGAGGCAGCCGCAGAGGCGATTTCGATGGGCGATTTCAAGACTGCCGTGACATGGCTTGAGAAAGGTAGATTCATCATCTGGAGTCAGGGGCTGTCTCTTCGTAATCCCATGGACGATTTGAAGGCTGCTCATCCCGAACTTGCGCAGCGAGCGATGGAAGTCTCAATGGCTCTAGAAAGAAGCGTCAATGACGGGTCACAATTAGGAAATAAAAACCATCCAGACCTGTACAACGCAGAGAAGGTCGCGGGAAGACAACGTCGCTTTGCTGACGCATGGGACAAATTGCTCGGGGTAATACGCAGTAAGAAAGACTTCAAGAACTTCCTGCTGCCTAGGACCTTCGCCGAGCTCATTAAGTCCGCTGAAAACCACCCGGTGGCGATCATAAATCCAAGTGAATCGAGATGTGACGCACTGGTCCTCAATAAGGGTCGAGTGCAACACGTTGGGCTGACTCTAACCTACGAGCAGGTTAAAACCATGCTGCAACAGTTGAGGACAATGCTAAGGACATCTGGACGGGAGTGGAGGGGTACAGGATTGGAAACATCTCCCGACGTGGAAAGAGACTTCGACCCAAGAGGAGGGAGAAAGGCGGTGTCACCACCGTCGAAACCAGATAACTGGACTGAATTCTTGCTCGCCTTATGGAGAGAAATCGCGCGTCCTGTGCTCCAGGCCCTTCAATTACGTGTAAGTACGCGGAAATGGAGAAAGTGGAACACTTACTAAGTCAACCCTTCGTAGCCATCATCTGATCCACCACGTCTGTGTTGGTGTCCAACTGGCTTATTTTCCCATCTTCCTCTGCATGCAGCTGGCGACTATCGAGAGAGAAAAGCTTCCATATCAGTGCATAACTATGCAATATCGTCTTACACACCCACATTGGGTTTGCTTCTTATCCAACGCCCAAGCATGTCACAGTCTTCTGTTCCAAACGTCCTCGTTGTCGGCGTATCGCGGGCTGACATCCCTGGCGTAAATGTTAGCCCTCTACCAATGGTGAAAAATGAGATAGCCGTCATACGAAAGTCCGTGCCGGCCAGAGCGCTGACCGTCTTGCAGGACGGGAATGCAACCCTAGACAACATCTTGAAGAGCATAATATCATGCTCAGTGGTGCATCTTGCTTGCCATGCGCACCAGCATCTGCTAGATCCATTGTCGAGCGCCTTCCTCGTCCACGGAGAGAAGCTACTGCTATCGAAAATCGTCGAAGCGTCTTCGAAGAAGGCCGAGCTAGCGATCCTCTCTGCCTGCCAGACAGCAAAAGGTCAGTCCCTTTCCCTTCAACTTGCGAATGATAATGAGACATGTACAAACCAAAGGCGACGAGAATACACCAGACGAAGCGATACATCTAGCAGGCGGAATGCTATTTGCGGGATTTCCAACCGTTATTGCGACAATGTGGGCAATTGACGATTATGATGCTCCTGAGGTCACGAAGGCGATTTATGAAGCAACTTCGTGCGGCATCGGCGTTGCATCGGATTGCGGGATCCATGCGCGAGCGAGGGGTGGAATTTGCAAGATGGGTCCCTTTCGTTTATCTTGGTATTTGAGACAGGAAGTTTGCAGGGTCTGGGGCCTGTTTAATTGCGGACGATATCCCTACTCGTCAGAGTCGGAGTGATAATTTTTGTTAAGGGAGCGACGAGATGGTCATCCTCTGTTCCGATTAGGCCAATCCAAACATATTGTCATATATGCTGGAAAATGTCATAGACGTTGAGGAGAGGGCGAGGGCCTGAGAATTACTGCTGCATTCGAACCCTAACCTGATACCGGGCCGGACAGGCCGATGATTTCCCCGGGTACAGTCACAAAATTGTTCAATTGAACTCAGACCAGTCCAAATTGAGGGACATGTATCCGGCCAAAGCTTCCTCACCTTCTCAAGTGTTCCGTCAGCAAAGAGTGTTTGCTATCCGAGTGTGAAAACGTGGAAACGGTTCGGTGTTTTCTACGTTGCGTAGAGCGTCCCTTCCCAATCCCTTCCCTTATTTTTCACACTATCCACGTCGTATTGATTTTTTCCTTGAAGACCGCCAATTAAGCAGTGCGCCTCAACCCGAAGTCTTCGGGGCTCGTCGTCATTTGCTCAAGAAAAGTGCTAGCCGATCTTGAAGGCTTAATCCCTACCGGAAATCCGACGACGGTAGTCCCATCGGTCAGCAGGAAGATGACTCCGCCGCCAAAGCCAAATTTCTGATCTCTTAACATCAAGTCATATTCTTACGCCGCCAACAGAAGTAATGTTAGAAAGGTCATAGGCCTTGTCTTCACCTCCAGGGGAATGCCGAACGTTGCTAAATGAGGCGGCTAGGAAATGTCGCACGACAGCGTGGGGTAGGCTTTCATTTTTTCGATGCGGCCTCTAAGTTTGGTGACCAACGGTTCTACAGTAAGATTGTTTCTATTTCGCCGATTTTGGCCACTGGAAATGACTGGTGTCCGCCCCAGTACAGGGACACGACAACAAGGGTTGCCGATGCGGCCCATTGGCAATTTGAAGAATGGGCCGAGTGGAAGATCAGTAAGAACAAGAACGCAATGCCTGGTCCAATTGACATTTGGGACGATTGAAGTCATGGGAGGCATCTGTAATCGCGCCATTTGCGCATTTAAGTAGCTGTCCGAGGCCAGGAATCCGACTTTGTGGGTCTTCCGTCCAGCTCTATGGGTCACTTTTATCGACCGTCTTCTCATGTAGACTCTAGTCGTGCAGTTCTGCTTGCCATATTCAGACCAACACTCCCGGCGACGAGGAATTCGAGGACGAAAGCATTCGTGGATTTTTAATCAGCTACCAGCACACACGAAGCTGGTCCTCTGACTATGCTGTCACTCGCGGTGGCCCCCGGCACGTAGGGCTTCTCTGGGCATCTGCGCAAATTGAAATCTAACGTCCCTCTCGGACTTCAAGGTGGAGGACATCCGGACGTATGTGTATGAACGCATAAACTGAAGTCACCTAGTAAGTGAATCTTCATGTTTGCGTCTTGTTTCCAGATTAATTGTCGACTTCCTTCCAGGTGATAGATCACACAATGCGAAGGCCATGCAGTAAATGGGCGACTGTTCAAAGATCAATATTGCTGCTCAGCCGGTCCCTCATCCTAATGTACCACAGAATTAGTGCCACTTTGATGCAAGAAAGGCCCAACCAGTCACAGTCACATCTAGAGTACTTTCCGTCTCTTAACCTCTCAGTGGGTCAATCGTTGATACAAGCGACATAACTTATTAATTTGCATCGTAGACAGGCGCCTTTCCTTACTGTTGATTGATCAACGCCTGGATCTCCTCTGGAACTACTGGCCGCTTCTCCCATTCCGCAGTCCACCCGCTGCGTGTACCAGACTTGTAGCCGACACTTGGAATGGCAAAGACAGCAGTAACAAGCCAAATATTCTTCTTATCGCCTTCATGCTCCCCCATCAAGGTCGGCAGGACTGCGCGGGCTGCAATCAAGTTCGAGTTGGCGTCCGTCCGCAGGGCTCTTCCCTTCCTCGTCCCTTTGTTTCCAAAGTCCACTACCCCGGAAACACCCGCCCGAGATGCAGCTCTTCCCTCTCCACCATGTTCATAGGTGCCGAACGCCTCTCCGATCGACGGTTCAAGGGCTCGACCATCCTCTCCTTGACCATATATCGCGAAGCCCCCCTCCGCCGAAGTGAGCTTTCGGCCACTCTTGATCCTGTGGACACGTAGGTGCCACCACGGCGCCTCTTTCGTTGGTGGAACGAGCCACGTCTCGATCTCGACGTCCTTCCAAGGATACCACATCGACCGCAGCCACTTTCCGCCCTCAATCCGCGCTTCTCTTGTGTCGCGTCTGCACTTCCATGTCTCGCCGTCGTCGTCGCTCAGTGCAAGCGTGCTATCGCCACCAAGCTCTTCGAGTGTTCCATTCCCGACAGGAACGCTGTACCCAAATGCAGATGAGTATGCAAGCTTGCCGTACTTTGCCGCACTTTGTTTGACGGGATACGAGCACTGCTGTCCAGACGACAGTATATACGTGTGCCCGCCGAGGTTGGTCGCAATATGGAGAGGGTGGTACAGGGGCTTGACGGTCTCGCGGAGAGCCAGAGGATACGGCTCCTCCTCGGCCATCCAGAAAGGATGGGTTTCGGGAAGTGCAAGTGCGACGAAGGACTTGCAGCACCAGTACGGCGATCCTGGCGAGTTGTAGTTCTCGGTCATACTCTGGTTCGGATACGTGAAGCCGATCGTGAGGGTGCCGTCAGGGTAGAATGCTCCGGGCTGCTTGGTCCAGTAACGAAGATTCCGCAGCTGCAGACCTTTGACGACCCCCCATGTTAGAGGTGCCGGCAACTCGACGTCGGCGAAGGCCAATGCACCCCAGAAGGACGACATGGCGAATCGATACGTCAGGCTTCTCCCGAATGGAATGGCACGTCCTGGCAGAAAAGGGGTTACTTCCAAGCATAAGATACTCGCAAACAAATTTATCCTCACCTTCCTCGTCGAAATAATGCACAAAATCCAGCGCAAATTTTCTGGCTCTGTTCCGGTACTCTTCGCATCTCTGGGGATCCTCGGCCTGTGCAAGCTTCGAATACGCCAACTGCGCGAATTGGATAGCGAATGACGAGGAGTAGTAATCCAGCTGGACGACTCCTTCAGGACCATCCCGCGACCACCCGTCTCCGATGTAGAAAGTATCGAGATGATCCATATCAGCCTTCATCCTCTTAGCATCGAACCGAGGAGAACCGGCGCGAGAGAGGCCGAGGTTGGCAAACACCTATTAATGTACCGACACAGGCCGAACATATGCCTTGGGTAACCATCGCACGGAAGGAACGCAAGAGACATACCCTGAACCACAGCCAGTTAGTGTTTGGCATTTCCTTATCGTTCATTCCCCCAAGCCAGTTCTCGAAGTTCGTCTTCGCCTCTGCGCTGAGAGGATCCCAGAGCTTGTCCTTTGCCACGGCGATGGCGAAGCCGATCGCAGAGCACTCAACCATCCTTTGGTCCTTATTCTTCATATTCCCCCAGAACTCCTCGCCATCGGGATCTGTACCGTTCTTGAAGCCGTCCAACCACCTCTTGGTGCCCTCGTACTCTCCTCCACCACCCAAGAGCGATGCTAGGCCCCAGATGGGGCGCGAGAACCCTTCGAGTTGTGCTGCTATGTCGTCGTAGTGTGTTGCGGTGTGGCCCAGGTGGATACGAGCGCCTCCAGGACTCGTATGCGCTGCGAGTGGATCTAGCAGGCCGACGAGGAACTTCGCGAGGTCATCCTTCGTCTTGAGCGGGTTGGAGAAGAATGGGGTGGTTTGGGCGAAGTTGGCCATGGGATCTATGCGAGCGAAGAGGTGGGCATATCAACACTCTCGCCGGGCCGTCTCATCCGCGGACCGCCTAATACAGGCAGTCATCAGGCCATTGTCGCGGACGCTGTTCGACGAGATTAGGCAAACATCGAAGAGTAGCAGCCAGCGATCGTCTTCTGACTAGGTTCCTCCAGTGGCACATTCCGTCTTTCGTAGCTTCGAGGAACAGCTTGGGGTTCTGCACGGTCCATGTTGCGGAGAAACAGATGACAGATCGGGGCATCCTGTGAACGAATAAATTTCCTGCGGCGAGATGCGGCTCCGGTGTAATTGCGCTTCTCAGTTCCGAGGTTCACATCTCGCTGATCGTTTTGACGAGAAAGTTGCGACCTGTTCCCACCTCATTCATCCCGCTACTTTCCTGTTCGCTCTGCGTCTGCGACAAATTCAGCTCTCTCTCAAGTTTCTTTTTGGCCGTGCCCATTGTGGCCTCGTCCCCCTAAGTTTTGACAAAGGAACACTATCCCTTATCTGTCGTTGGGTCTCACCTCATCTTAGAGTCTCCAGACATAGCCAATCTAAATCTACATAAGGTCCAATTTATTCACAACCTGGCGCCACTCAACAGAATTCTGTTCTCTCGTCAAGATTTTGCCACGCCACTTATGCAACTTGACACGGCTGGCAGTGATTTCCCGGAATGTATTTACTCTGCTTCAAATGATTTAACCACTCTCTTCGATTACTGATGCGAAATACATAGCCGTCAGTGTGTGCCTCCTCCATCAAGTCGGCGCATAAAGTTAGTGTCATTCAACCCAACTTGGCTTGACAAAGATGCAAATCCAACTGGACCTTCAAGTTTTTTGTACCTTGGATCGAGACTCAAGTTCTCACCTCGTGTATTGGGCCATCATGCCCTGGAGCAAAAAAGTATATTCTTACAATCTTCTTGATATTGTCGTAGGTAGCCGAACCTGAAGGCCTGACATCCGAAGTTGACATTTGATTAGATTGCCATTGGTTCGTCATTTGCCAAAGCAATGTCTTTTACCGTCCGCAATTCTGTCAGGCATTTCCTCTGCTGTCTGCGTTCTCTGCTCCCCGAGGTAAGCCATCTCGCTGGTGTATTGAAGCGCCTGCCTCAATCTATCACAGTATAGGAGCTCAAAATCGGCAAATCTCCCCAAATGGACGCGAGCATTACGTTACGCAACTGCTCAGGGACGACCCGAACTCGCGGATTCAAGGACGCTAATCCAAATTCTCGCCTCCCTGACACTTCTGGATTCGAATGTTTTCTCGCGCCAACTCAATCATAAAATGCGACCTCTGTGCTTTGGACCCCACATCGACTCCGTTAGCAAACACTCGTCGCAACGATGCCGCAGCTTGACATGGTTCTCGCGCTGGCGGCGTTCGTCTTCGTTCTCTACCTTTATTCCAAACGGAAACCTCCACGCTCCTTGTCTCATTTACCTCTTCCTCCTGGCCCGAAGGGCCTTCCTCTGATCGGAAACTTGCGCGATTTGCCAACGAGCTTTGAATGGCAGACTTACCACAAGTGGTGCAAAGAACTAAGTGCATCCTTTCCATCTTCCTGTTTCCAGGAGGAGACTCTGACCGTTTGTACCCAGACACGGATATCATGTATTTGAACATTGCCGGACAGAGTGTCATTGTGCTGGATAGTGCTGAAGCCGTGAATGAGTTGATGGAGAAACGCTCATCCATTTATTCGGGAAGGTACGCTCCCTTCTTCGAACAATTCTCCCTTTTAAACGTCTCCTCAGGGCTCGTATGCCCATGATTAATGAATTGATGGGTTGGAACTTCAACTTCGGTTTTATGCAATACGGTTCGTGACGAGTCTAGTGGCAATTCCGGTGCAATTGCTAATGAATTTTCTGCTCCAGGAGAAAGATGGTCAGTGAAGCTATCGAGAATCCCCTGCGACGTCTTTAAACATACCTATTAGGCGAAGACATCGACGACTCATGCATCACGCCTTTCATCCTTCCGCTGCTCTTCGCTTCCGGCCCCATACCATGAGAGCTGCTCGCAATCTGTTGAATAGCTTCCTTGACAATCCCAACGACGTTCTCGGCAATCTTCGACAGTATGCACATCCTCTGAACCCTGCAGCAGCGTCCTAACGTACTCGTAGAATGGCTGGCGAAACTATCATGTCGGTTGCCTACGGTTTAGAAGTCAAATCCAAGGACGACCCTTACATCAAAACTGCTGAAAAAGGCGTCCACCCTCTGGTCGCTGCAGGAGTGCCTGGCGCCTTCCTCGTCGATACTCTCCCTATCTTGAAATATGTCCCTGAGTGGGTTCCAGGCGCAGGCTTCCAGCGAAAGGCGAAGGAGTGGAAGAAGTTGGCGCGAAACATGATTGAGAAACCTTTCGAGGCTGCAAAGCGAAACATCGTAAGTCGCGGAGGTCTGGTTTCTTGGACTCGGCTCATTATTTTTTAGGCAGCCGGCATCTCTCCTCCTTGCTTCGCATCAGTTAGTTTTCAGAAGATGGAATCGGGCACGAAAGACGATGCCTATCGAGAGGATATCATCCAAGGAACTGCTGGCACAATGTACGCGGGTAGGTATGCAATGGTTATTCATCAAGATTTTTTCTTATTCTTGGTTTCTTCTAGCTGGATCCGATACGGTTCGCATGGGGTTTCTTTCTTTCTTTCATCGTATTTATCTGACATGAATTGATAGACTGTCTCTGCTGTCGCCTCTTGCATACTTGGGCTTTTGGATCGTCCTGACGTATTGAAGAAAGCTCAGGAGGAACTGGATCGAGTTGTCAAGCGCGGCCACCTGCCCGATTTTGATGACGAAGCCTCTTTGCCCTACATCACTGCTATCGTAAAGGAGACACTTCGCTGGCGGGACGTCGTTCCCATTGGTCCGTATACTCGTTCTGCGTTTATCTCGCTGCTAACATTTTTTTCTAGCCATACCACGATACCTCGATTATGACGATGAATACAAAGGCTATCTCCTTCCTGCAGGTTCGATTGTAATTCCAAATGCATGGTATGACCTCTCCTAGCTTCCCTTCTTCGAGATAATGAATTGCTGACCACTGATTGGATTAATAGGGCCATGCTCCATAACGAAGTTGTGTACCCTGATCCGTTCAGCTTCAAGCCCGAGCGCTTCTTGAAGGACGGGCGCATCGACAAATCCGTCAAGGATCCTGCGCATGCTTGTTTCGGGTTCGGAAGACGGTATGTCCTTTGGTCGTCGAGTTGTGTTACAGCTTCTCATTGCTTCGCTTCAGCATCTGCCCTGGTCGGTACATGGCATTCTCTGCTGTCTGGATAGCCATAGCCTCTTTAATTACTGTGTTCGACATCAAGAAGGCGGTCGACGAGGATGGCAGTCCCATTGAACCTAATCACGAATATGTCTCGGCCCTTGTTTGGTAAGTGGATATGTTCCTTTGAGGTCAATGATTTTGGTCCTGACGGGGGGGCCGTGCTATTTAGTATTCCGAAACCGTATCCCTGTTCGATTACGCCCCGTTCCAAAGAGGCTGAATGTCTGATTCGGGCCAACACAAATGTCGATATTCTTTAGTGGATTATTCCAAGCGTAAACTCGCTGTCCACAGAGCTTCCATGCGGTTTCACACCTAATCTGTCGACTCAGATATTCTCAACAACAATTAAAAAATAGCTTTCGCAGAACGCTCTGTCAGTGCAGGCTCGTAAAATCGCATCGTTGATTGTCTGCCGGGGATTGTTGCAGCTGCTCCGAGTCTGAACATTTCTTTCTCTAATAGCAACCTGGGAGAACATGTACAGGCTGAGTTGAACGCACACACTAGTTCGTGCAGTGGCCGTTATCTAATCTCGCCAGTTCCTAAAACTTCTGCATCCATCTGAACACGAGCTTTTTCAACACGATATTGCGTCTGCTATGGCTGTTGACGAACAGCAGCCATATGCGCGGTTGGGTCTCGTATGGAATTTGTTGCCTTGTCACATCGTTGCGGTTGATGGCGAGACTGCCAGCGTCGACGCTGCCCCTAATCTCGAGGGGGAGTCTGCAACAAATGGAATCAGACGAATGCGCTTCGGGTCGAAGACTATTTGAATGGTTTAAAGTCACCAAGAAACATTGAAATCTGACGCCGCATGTAAATAGGCGACGACAGGGATGTCCATAGGTCGTTTGACCCAATATTCGTAAGTTTATCACCACCGTCATGTCTGGAACCCGCTCAAATGGCTATCATGGATTAAAAGCTTCAGATATGCTTCGAAGACCTCGACTTCGTTGATTACGCCCATACTTATCGTGAGTTTGATGTTTTTTTCTCGTCTCTTCCAGAGGTCTGATGGGGTTGCATTCTCTAGGCGTACAAAACGTCGCACCTCAGCCGGTGGTCATCCTTCTGGCTTTCCTGCACCCCATCGAGAGCATCCAAATCCACGTAGCTCTACCTCCTTGTTCAGTACCTCCCGCGACGCTCTACTTTATTTCAAGATACATCTATCCCAGAAATGCCGATGGAACAAAGATACCCGACGCAGTGCTGCAGTTGACGAAATTCGACTCAACTGCCTGGTGCACTAGAACAAGAAGTCGTTGGACACTACCTTAGAGATTCCGACAAAGATATTCCTACGACAGCCATGTTCAACGCACGCGATGGTCGGAAGCTGATAATGGGGATACGACACTGAGGTCAGTGAAAGCATTGGCTTGGTCAATGGTTGGTGAATCATGAATACACAGGATCTGGAATTTATGTGGAACAACATCCTTCACCGAGTGGGCTACCTGCCCGGAATTAACCTTTGCAGAAGTGCTCCCGACTACGCCGTTCGGAGCGGTTGCACTATGCAAAGGTAACTCCCTCATCAAGAACTCTTCCGTCGCTACCGTAGGATCTGAATGCATCTCCAAACCGATCTACTTACAAAGACAGCCCAGTGACAGTGATTGGCCTAATTGTTTACGCTGCGATCTGGTGAGCCGTTCTCATCGTTCTTTACACCTACTACAGCCTCATCGTCCGCAGTCATCAGTAACATTTCTGCGTGCTTCTCCCTATTTTTGAGACAATGAACCCGGGGACGAAAGGGGAATGTGGAAAAAGGTAGTAGCCACGGCGCCAGTTTGGACCCTATCTCTTGGTGTTGACATGGTGTCAGACGAGTCTGGGTCTGGGAGGTGAGTGCTCGACTTCGACCGACAGTATGGATTTTACTAAGTTGCAACTCGATTTCAGTTGTGCTGTGCCCAGTCGAATCGTGTTCTTTCATCTATGCTATATCCGTTCACTTCAATGTCTTCCATACCGCGTGTAACTCTTCTTCAAGCCTTTCCTTCTGTGCATCATGTGCATGTTGCAATGAAAGTGCGCGGGCAACGTGCAGTGTTGAATCCATCTACGAGGACACCTCATTCCTGTCCATGCTGCGATACAAGCAATAATTATTCATACTGCACGAGGCAAACACTTGGCACCCTCTTTCGCCTTGTCCGAAATGTCTAGCCCAGAATTGGAGGTCGTTCTTATCAACCGTGAGCACCAGAGGCTGCCATTTCAGCCTCGTCGTGATGTTGGGCGGTCATTGCCGATGTTGAGAGACGGATATAAGATTGCCAGGGTGCGGTTGGAAGAGTTGAAATTTTGCCTGCTGGCATCCTATTAGTACAATCGAATCAACACCAGGAAAACTTTGAGCACGTTCTGCTATTCTTTTCATTACTTTCATCAAACGCTGACCTGGAATATCAGTCAATGTTTGTCAGCGACGTATCGGTGGGATGAAGACCAAGGCTGTATTATGCGTGCATTATCTACAGTGACGTTGGAAGATGTAAGATACAATGTGCAATTAATAAGGGAATTTAGTCCTGCTCGCAACCACTTAAACCTTGGCTAGGCACAGCGACGATGTAGTTGACAGAAACGTGGTCCATCTGTGGCGAACGAGGGCCCTCTTGCCATCGGGTAAGGAACTTGTATGCATCGTCCGGTGACTCGCAGCGCACGCGAATATAATGTTCGCGGGTGCGACTGACAGCGGTATAGGACTGGGGTTCGATATCCGAGTGATTTTGGAGAGTCATGATGAGATTGCGGAACTCTTGGTTTATATCCTGACCCCACTCAACCGGTCCAACCTCGAGGTCTGTGCTAGGGATTAAGGAGTACTCCAACCCCTCCACCGGTGTTTGAAGCGACTTTAGTAACTCGGATGGGTTTGGAGCTGGCGCGCCGCTGTCGTTAGTCGAGAACATGGCCGAGCAATGAACAGAGGCATTGGCATATGGTGGCTGAGGAGAAACATCAGGGGAGATTTTGCAACGTTTGGAAGGAGGTGCTTCTTCGCTGAAGGAGGGGCGACGACGAGGGCACTGTGACTCCTCCCTGGACAAACGATCAATGGTGGAATGGAGTGCGTCGATGGCGTGTTGCATTCCCTCGACTCGAGATGACAATTGCGTGAGGGCCGCGTCGTCGCGATCAACAATCTCCTGAAGCCGCTTGACGAGGGCAACAGAGTCGTTGTTCGCAGAGACGAAGGAGGAAATCAACTCTTCCATCTTCTTGTTGCCCACAATGGAGGATGAGAGTGTAGCTACATCCTGGGTGAGACTACGAACACGATCGCTCACGTCAGTAATCTGCTCGCCGAACTGCTTGTCCAGAGTTTCAACGCGCTTGGCGAGCATGGAATGATTGCCTTCAAGGCGGCGGATGTCAGTAGCAGTTGCTACCGCCTTTGGTATTGTGCTGGCGAAGTGACCGGCCATAGATGGGATTAGATCCATTGTGAGAGGGGACATATTGGCGGTCGGAGCTAATCCAGTGGATGTAGGGTTGACAGAGGTCAAGTTCTCCTTCGCTTTTCCTTTTTCAGAAGTTGGTGTCGACGGCACTGTCTTTGATACATCCATGTCATGGACTGAGCTCAGGGAGTTTTGCAAGGCAATCCCCAGGGAGGTTGCGGCCTGGCTCGTCATCTTCAAGGCGTTGGAAGGAGGTGGTTGTTGGCGAGAGTCATCGACTATAGGGTAGTCATCATTGAGTGTGGTGAGTGGAGCAGGGGTGACACGCGAGACTTGAGGGATGTGTGTGCTAGTGGTGGGCTTGCTTGGGCGAGGAACCATTGCAGAGAACGACGGTGCGTCTGGAACTGGCGGCGCATCGGACATTTGGTGGTTAAGCAGGTAATTCGCAGCGAGATCTATGTCTTTGCTGCAAGCGAGGTAGGCCTCCACGGCTTGCAGATGGGTGATCCCAAGTTCTTCCAGCTATCGTCCCGATCAATATCTGAGGTGTGTAATTAAGCGGCTGAGCACTCACAGAACGAACGGATTCCATGTCGTCAGCACTCATTACGATAACGTTCTGGAGAGCTGCGTCGAGTGCTTCAGGATTCTCGCTCAGGAGTCGCCCACATTCAGGGTTCCCCTCTGCTAGACGCTGGATCATATCTTGACGGAACTGTGGATCTTCACGCAATCTCTGTCGCAAGGCAGACCTGCAATCCTCTTCATTTCTCTGAGCCCCGAAACTCGCTCTGGGTACTCCATGAAAAATCTGCCAAGAGAGATATCAAGCAAGACGCAAGGACAACAGAGAAGATATACGAACTGGAGGGCTTCTGACTGGATTTAGAGTTTGTCCGAATAGCGGCCGCGAAACTGAAAGTGTGTCTTGACGTTGGGAGAATGTTGGCGCTGTAAGACGACTTGTTGAAGGCTGACCGATCATTGGTGCCTGATGCCGCTGTAGACACGTCACAAAACACGAAAAAAAAAATTGATATAGTGCACGTACGTTTGCTAGAAAATTTGCGGTATGGTTAGAAATGCTTTGCATTGGCCGAATTCCTTCATCTCTTGCGTTGCCCGTTGACATCTCAGGCAGCCCTCGGCCAAGGACATTGTCCCTTTGAAGGAAGGAAATAGCGTCCCCGGACCATCCACCAGACGCAGATGCATGAGATGCCGTTGGAGATGAATCAAGTGACGTCTGGGTCTGAACCGGACAAGAAGAAGTGACATGTCAGCGAGCTGCACCAGCGAGGGCGAAACTTAATATGGCCGTACCTCAGGCTGTGGCTTGGGGTTGGAGATCATCAACACAAGGTGTCCTCCGTCCTTTATGTCCAGGGTTTCGAACGTCTCGCTGTCGGAGACGGCTCTGCCTAAATCGATCGATAAGAAAAGGGAGTAGTCTGCAGGAGACAACAAATTGACTTACCAGAAAACACGAACCTCTGGCTCTCGGTAGCAATGTCCTTGGAGTTATTGATTTGGGCTTTCAACTCAGCTATGGTCTGGCTGGGTTCAACCTCGACCTAAATGGTGTGATAAGTTGTTTGAGACGGAGTACGTGAAGTAACTACCTACCTGGAATGGCTCCTGTCGCGTTGGCTTGATTGTGATCTTCATTGTTACAATGGGAGAAAAGAAGTTGGGCTCGCCGAGGAGAGCAGAGGTAGTATATATACACAATCCTTCATTAGTTTACGAGCCCTGACAGAACAATTGTGCATGCTATGTGTTGTGCCGCATTCGGAGGCGGTAACGAGAGGCACTGTCGCCGTTAGTGAATTTAGAGCATAGGGCCACTACCTGCGATCAGCACATTTTGCGTAGATGCTTACGCAGCCACTTTTGTGCCTTTGTCCATCAATATAGGCGCCTAATCAACAAGTAGCGTAGCGATCGGACGGCCTGGAACTGCATTGCGCAGTACGTGCAATGAAGTGACGATCGATGAGAAGGCGAAGGTTGACCTGGGGTGTAGGCGCCCAGAAAGAGGAACGCAGACCACGAGCCCCTTGTTGCTGTTCTGTTTGCAAGTTGGCCGGGTAACAGATCGAAATCGCGTCGAGAACGGAAACGGGGGATGATAAATTTGGTCCTTCAAGGAACGACACTGCACAGAGGGATCGTCCACCGGTCTAGAAATCAAGCGTCTATCTCTGTCCTCCCCACCCATCTTAGCTCCTGCCTTTGCTTCGGTTCTCGGTGGTGTTCTTTCTCCCCCTTCTTCTTCGGGTGGACCCTACGTCCGCATACAGAGTAGAGGTGTGAATAGGCAGTTCAATAGCTTGGTTTTGAGAACCTTGAGGGTTCGTAATCGAAGTTTCATGCACGAGTATTGGGTGGGTTTGAGGGTGCTATCCCTTAACACCACCACTGCCATCTGATCAAGCAATGCTGCGCGGCGGGCACATGTGTTTGTTGCAAAGAGTAGGCAGGGTTTGAGGGCAGATTCAGGCGCTATTGAACCTTATTGAACACAAAGTTTATATTGGGTTGAATGTCGAACGCACGTTGAACGGTGTTCCATTATGATCTCGGCGGTCCAGCAGTGAAAGAAGATGGAGACTGTCGGTTCACAAGAGGGAAGGTGGGCGAGGGAGGCATGGTGATGGAGTAGGAGGTGGGTGTGTAATAATCAGCAAATTGAAAGAGGGAGAAAGAAGGATGGCAGGACATAGGGCACGTGGGCTGCGGCAGACGCCGGCGGACAATTCAATCCTGTGCAATGCCGATCGTTACGCGATTTGTTGATACATAGGCGCCTCCGTCCCACTGTCAAATTGGTCGACGAAAGCACAGAAGCTACTGCGTAAGTATCAGCACAAAAACATCGAACGAAACGCGCTGATCACAAACAGTTGCCCTATGCGCTAATACATGCAACAATGCCGACATTGCCTCTCGTCACCGCCTCCGAATGTATGCACAATCATTCTGCAGGAGTTCATAAATCTATGCAGGGGTATGTATATATGCTATCTCTGCACTCCTTGACGAGCCCAACATCTTTCCTCCCATATTGCAATGAAGATCTCGATCAAGCCAACGTGACAGGAGACATTCCAGGTATAGAGTAAATTTCCGTATTCCATCTCAAATAACTATAGCGCAATTTAGGTCGAGGTTGAACCCAGCCAGACCATAGCTGAATTGAAAGCCCATATCAACAACTCTAAGGGCTACACTACCGAGAGCCAGAGGTTCCTCTTCACTGGTTAGCCATTTTACTGTGACGGCGAGTCGAAGAATTTACTGGTGGGGGTGGGTGAGAGAAGCAAAGGCTGGGTGAGCACTTCCCTACCATGTTGCACCATCTATACTCACCGCAGTTTAGACCAGCGCACGACCGTCCTACAGATGCTTCACAATGAGGACGATGGCGCTTCTAATTTACATAATGCGTTGTGATCCTCACTTCAAGTCGGGCCTCTGATGCGACCTCTTTTTATTCTCTGTCGTGGACATGCTCGGCTCTTCAGAACCCGAACATCCTACAGCAGATTGTCAATTGAGAAAGGACGTAACAAACCTCCGAGGCCAGCACCTAGAGTCCGCTCGGGGATAAGGCTGGGGCTGACGAGATGAGCGATAGAGCGTATCCCTTCTTTGAACCGAACATTACTAGCACTGGGGGAGTCGATCGCGAGGGGTCAATGGACCATTATCGGGTCCTTTCATCCCACCGCTTTTAACGAAGGAGTGAAACGTGTTGGGGCGCAACATGATTGAGAAGCCTTTTCAGGGCTTCGAAGGAAAACATCGTATGTCACGTATTCGAAGCCTCGGGGTACGTGGAGCCAGCTGATGTTTGTGGATAGCAGGTATATCTCCTCCTTCAATGCTTCACATCCGCCAGCATTTAGGAGAGTGAAGCTGGGACAAAGGACGATACATGCCACCCAGGGCACTGCTTGGACGATGTAGGCTGGTGAGTCTTTTCCGAGCATTATTCGTCGAGAAGCTTTCTCATTCTTGGGTTGTTTTTAGCTGAACCGTATACGGTAAGCGTGGATTTTCCCCCAAGTAATTATATCTATAACCTATTCGTAGACCGCAACTTGCCTGGTCGGTCTTCTCAATCGCACCGACATCTTCCAGGAAGCTCAAGAAGGGCTGGATCGGGTTGTTGGTTCAAGCCTATCACCCGATTTCGACCCGTATTCCGCTGGAGGGAACTCGTTCTCATCGGTCCGTATATCTGTTCTATGTTTATAATGTAGCTAAAGACGCTGCCACTGAAGGCGAAGACTATCCCCTTCCCCGGGCCGCCGGTTCGATTGTGCTTCCCAACGCATGGTATGAATGTCTCCTTGCTTCGTTTCCTCGAGAGACGATAATAGCTGACCGGCGATTGAATTGGACAGAACCGCGTCCCCTGACGAAGATGCATACCTAGATCCGTTCAGCTTCAAAACCGTTTCTAAAAGGACGGACACGTCGACAGGTCTATGGAAGTCGGAAGATCGTACGTGCGTCCTCGGGGCCGTCGACTTAAGCAGCAACTTCTCATTGTTTCCTTTTAGTGTTCGCCTCGATCGATTCATCGTCCTAGACTCCTAGATCGACCTTCTCTGCTATATGGATCGCCGTAGCTTTGTCTAATCGCCGTCTTCGACATCAAGAAGGCGGGCGGCGAGGATGGATGACCTATGTATTGAAGCCAACAACGAATATGCCCCGACCCAAGTCTGGCAAGTCCATATGTTCTTTTCGTCTGCGAATTTGGGTCTGACGGGGAGCCGTGCTGTTCAGTATCTGTATCTCTGTACGCCCCGTTTCAAGGAGGCTGAGCGTCTGATACGTGCCGACCCAAACATCGCTACCCTTCAGTAGAATCCCTTATGGTTATTGCCAACGTCGTCACCTATTCAACTGTGTACACAAGCCGAAGGATGACGACAGTCGTTATTTCGCCTCCGTCAGCCAACCGGGCTCGGTCCTCTCTGGTGCCAGTCATATGTCCAGCGAGTAAGCTGAGTTGTGTATCATTCGAGCAAATTCGTGAAGGTTCCGCGATTTCGGATGCGCCAAGATGTGGAGAAGGAAGCAGAAGGAGTAGAGCTGAGCAGGCAGCGGGGTAAGTTTAACCCTTTGAACACCGTCGGACACTTTTGTGCTGTGCTCTGCCCTGGACGCTTGTTTCTTATTCCGCCATCACAATGATGATCGAATCCCCACAAACTTGCCTTCCCGGTCCATCTTCTCCATCTACGTGCTCTTCATTGCGAGATATATGGATACCTGCCAAGTTCTGACATTTTCATGTTGCTGCTCAGAACGTGGAAGGATTCAAGTTTTCCCAAGGTCTGCGTGGCTCGAGTAAACTTTTAACCGCTACGAGGCCAAGCCAACCTTGGGGTGATATCGGGGCTGGCTTCTCACCCAGTACCCCGCAGAAGTGGGGAAGAACGCTCTCGATGACCTGGTCGTTCTATCATCAAGAATCCAGCTCTCGAGGCGCTGACGCGACCGTGCGTCGAAGTGTGGGGTTGCGGGGCCCCGCACTTGATCTCAAAATAGAGGTCGTGATCGGGGTACGGTCCTTGGCGAGTCTCGAGAGGGCTCGATCACGTATCCAGAGGCGTGTATCTCATTGCCCCACATCCCCGCCCGTCCCTAAGAGGGCGGCGTATCCTTGAGCCTTGGTCGAATTCCAGGAACCGCAACTGCTCTGCGTAATCCATACGCCGTTGGAAATTGTGGGACAAGTGTGGGATCCGTTGTTTGGCTGATCACGGGCGCTAATTGGCAACGACGAAGAAAAAACAATTGGGGGCTTGGGGTGGGGTTCAGAGGTTCGTATGCAATTTGCGGGGCTCTTAAGAGCTCTTGGGCGTTCCCCACACTTGCTTAAGCATCAGGCTTGGGCATAATCGCGCTGAGACGATAGGCAGCAGCGACGGTTGCGGGGTATGGGCTAGGAGGGGATAACCTTACCCTGATCCGCCTATTTTCCGGTGTATTTAGCCAGCAGAACCGTCTGGGCGCACGCGCTGACCGCGCGTGGCACCAGTCATCCAGGCCTTGGCTAAAGCTTGGCATTCCAAAATTATCTCGCCTCTGGCTACTGTCCGAAGGAAGCCAGCTTTGTGAAAGAGCTTTCGCGGCCTCGGCGGACGATCCCAGGCTGTCATGAGGCCTATTCAGATTCGGTGAAGCGCCACGTAAAATCCACCGGTTTGAACATATTCCACCAAGCCTGGCTCTTGCAACGCCTCGTTCGGGAACTTATCCGTGGACCTTCACGGGCGAAAATGGAGGCGCCACGGTGGGGAAATGGAGGCGCCACGGTGGGGAAATTCGTCCAAGTAGAGAGGGTGTACGGAATGCGATAACGGCGAAGGTTTGGGACCAAATTTGCTTTGACAGGGATGGATGAGCATAGACTTCGTGGAGCCCACAACGATCAGGACTTCTTAGTTATCGTTGAGATATAGCCCATCGACGCCTCCTTCCTAGGGCTTCTCTCCATTCGGTGATGGATTTCATCGATCTGTCAAGTACTAGAATAACTCTGATATTCTCCACACGGACAGAGCGGACCGCGGACAAACATCGCGAGAAACGCGATGGAGAAATACGAAGGTGTTCTTCAAGAAATAAGGCCGTCTCGAACGTCTAGTCCCGATGAGAAGACTGAGGCGCTACTGTCGCGGGTTTTCCTGTTTTTGTAGCGTCGTTAAATATAGCTCGTGTGAAGCACGAACTTCAACAGTGTTTTCGAGATAAAGGTCTCTTCTCTCCCTCATCACGGATACCAGTGCCTGCAACCTGGAAAGGTAACTTCTCTGCGTGTAAATCGGAGGTAAGGAGTAAGAGAAGCAGGCAAAACTTCCCAAGAATCGGGGTCATTAAGACAAATGAATAGAGGCAGTATGTCAGGTTGATTTATTGACGTATGCTACGTGCTAGCGAGAGTAGGCCTCCAATAGTGAGGCGGTTAACGAGCGACGGGGGCGATGTATATTTCCTAGTAGAAGTGAAAGCGATTTGTGTACCGGCACAAAGAAGAAACTGAGCGATTTCGGTGAACTGCACGGCGGGAAGGCTTATCGTCCGTTTAAAATTATTTTTGAGGATTTGCGGTCAGAGTAATATATCGAGAGACCTTTACGGCAAGGTTTACGTCCGACCAACCTGTCTACCCGCCTGAGAGTGACTGCCCAACGATGAGGCGCTGAACTGCGAAAACGAATTTTGGGTCAAATAATTTTTTATCGAGTCCACCTCCTTTACGAGATGGACCATGTTTGGATTTATGTCAGGACGGGAGACCTTGCTGACCCTTTCGAGATTGATGGAGTCAGCGGAGTTGTTTTCCTCCATCGTGCCAAGGTTTGGCCAAGAGATCCGGTCGATACGCGACATCTAGGGTCATCGACCCTGCAACTTACTCGCCTCTCGCAGGCTATAAATCGCCCTTCTTCGACAATGCGGACGCTCCATCATAAGACCCGGCCAAGCCTCCAGAAAGCTTCTTTAGCTGCGGCTCGAAGCTCCCCATCCTTCCCCGCCCTCTGGATTTTGGTGTACCCCCTCCCCGCCGGCCCCTACGATGTCGAAGACGAAGTCAAGTCAGGATTCCCTCAGCCAACCCCAGTCTGTCCTCGAGAAGCCCCAGATCGAGGTCTATGAAGACAAGGAGGCTAACGCGTATTCTGATGATACGCCCACTTTCAACAAGGAGCGTACTGGCAGGCTCCTCCGGAAGCTGGACTGGAATATCGTCCCTTTCCTCTCCCTTCTCTACCTGTGCGTATTCTCTGCCGTCTCTACCCTACTTAGCTCATACACATGCCAGGCTATCGTTCTTGGACCGAACAAACATTGGCAATGCCCGTCTCGCTGGAATCGAAGCCGACCTGGGCATGGAGGGCCTTGACTACAACGTCAGTTAATTTGTCTTCCTCATCGCGCCCCTATGCTGACCCCAGCGCCGACAGATCGCCCTCGCCGTGTTCTTCCCGTGGTATGTCGCGGCCGAGATTCCCTCCAATATCATGATGAAGCGCACGAGCCCGTCACTTTGGCTCTGCATTATCATGGTTGCATGGGGTGTCTGTAAGTCTCCATCCTTCTTTTCTTCATTCATCACGCTTATGATGATCAGGCATGACGCTCATGGGTCTCGTCACCAACTTCGCCGGCCTTCTCGCCGTTCGCATGGCTCTCGGACTCGCCGAGGGTGGTCTCTTCCCCGGTGTTACCTGGTACATCACCCTCTGGTATCGCCGGCACGAGTGCGGTCTCCGCATGGCCATCTTCTTCTCTGCCGCCACTCTCGCCGGTGCCTTCGGCGGCCTCCTGGCCCGTGGCATCTCCGAGATGGACGGTATTGGTGGGAAGCCAGGTTGGGCTTGGATCTTCATCATCGAAGGTATCGCAACCGTTATCGTCGCATTCTTCGCTCGCTGGATCATCAACGACTCTCCTGAGACGTGAGTGTTATTTATAAATTGCTCTTGAGAACAACTCTAAAACCCTTTCTTTTAATAGTGCGAAGTTCTTGACCGAGGAGGAACGTCGGGAAGTCAAGGATCGCCTAAAGCAAGATCGCACTTCTCTCGCCGATGAGTACCACATCAAGTACTTCTACGAAGCGGTCAAGGACTGGAAGATCTATGTTCACATGATGATCACTATTGGTAAGGATTCGAGGCCTCTATCCTCTTTCCTTCGTTTTATTATTGGAACGGACACTAAATTCGCACTCGCACTCCACAGGCATCTACACTCCCCTTTACTCGATCTCGCTCTTCCTTCCCACCATCGTCCGAAACATGGGCTACACCAACAACGACTCGCAGCTCATGAGCGTGCCCCCATACGTCGCCGGATGCGTTGCCACTATTGCATCAGGTTATTTCGCCGACAAGACCCAGCGGCGTGGCGTGTTCATGATGTTCCACTGCATCGTCGCCATTGCTGGCTTTGTCATGCTCGTCGCGACCGACCAGCCCCAAGTTCAATATGTTGGCACTTTCCTTGCTGTTGCTGGGTACGGTCTACTATTTATCTCTTCACCTCGTTCGATTCTAACCTTCTGCCTTGTCTTAGTATCTACCCCAACGTCCCTATGGGTGTCGCCTGGAACGGCAACAACATCGGTGGCTCGACGAAGCGTGCTGTTGGTATCGCTATGCATGTCGGTAAGTCGCCCATCTACCGTCGATTCTCTTTCAGCCTCTAATCAGCCTTATTTCAGGATTCGGTAACCTCGGAGGTGTCGTCTCTGGATTCGTCTACCGAGCAAAGGACTCGCCGCGCTACTTCTCCGGTCATGGTCTCCTGATTGCGCTAGTCAGCATGAGCTTCGTCCTCAGCTTCGTCATGCACACATATCTCAAGCGCGAGAACGTACGCCGAGAGAACGCCATGAAGGCTCTCGGCCTAACGCTTGACACGTACACAGAAGAGATGAAGCACGCCGAACGCGAAAAGGGAGACAACGCTACGGTGAGCAACTCCCCTGCTCTCTCTTTTGTCCTCACTTTACTGACATGCCCTTTCCCTCCTCTAGTTCTTCCGGTACACAGTCTAAAATCCAGCATGCCCGTTTAATGTGTTGTTAGAGCCTTCTTGCATTATATTTCTACATGTCCTTTCATCCATTTTTCATCGCGCTAATAATGTGTAGTACGGTGCTTGTATCGAGTAAACATACTCTACCCTACGGCTTTTACTTATCTACGACGAATCAACGAAACATTGAAACAACTCAAGTTGAACGCCTGAAATTTCTACTTATTCTCCTTCAAACGCACAAACGCAGCTGAATTTGCCCACGTAAGAACGGCCCCCGCTGACAGAGATTGTACGCTAGAAGCTTGATCGAATAACCTACGGGCGCTGGGACATGTGGACTCACACAACCCCCGATACGCGCTGGGCGCTCTTCCTTTTGCGGCAAAAACTCCAAAGGCAGTGGAGGCGCTGGGGGCTTCACCTTGGCTATGATGAAGCCAAGTTGTAGCCAAGTTGCTCGCTGTCATCGAGGAGACTTCATCGTTCAACAAAACATGACCCTGCGCGCACGTTGTGGCACGTCAAAAGTTGACAAAAGCGGGGGCAGGGCGATCCTACCGCTGACCCCATGATCAACAGGAGAGGCGTCGGCCATGGGAGCAATCCGTTTTTTGACGTCATTTCCGAGAAGCAGCGGGAGAGGATGGTCTGCAGACCAGTTTCCTAAGATCAGAGCTGAAGACGAGGACGAGAGAGAGAAAAATGAGGGGAGATTGCTCCATACATTATTTCGGCCCCGCCGACATGAATGATGAAACTCTATCGTTATTCAGCTATGAACGGCCTACACTAACACACCACACTGTCAAAGAAATATTCAATTAACCATCGCAGCGGCGGACGTTGGTCGCGACAGTCTGCATTACGAGCACACACCGATCGAACCCACTTCCCTGCGCAGCGCCCAATTTCTTATGGAAACGAACTAAGACAACGCACGGTTATGTCGGGTTGTTTCAAGAATCGAATACGAAGGGTGCAATGCGGCTTGAACTTGAACGGGAAGATATATCCACGATTTGCTTTCGACCATCATCCGAGTTGTCGTATTGGACAGGCTTCCGACACGAAATTACACCTGCGCCGGACACGATGGGGCGAGCTGGAGGTACGCGTGCTGAGAGGAAGGAATTCCGGCAACCACCATGCAGCCGAGCTTCGACGCTTGGGCGCATTGCGAGGCCGAATGTGACGCGACGTCCATGAAAAAGGTCAACACGGAGAACGACTGGCACACCCCGACAGACTGCTTCAGGTCGACGATGATCTTGATTTTGTTGTGTTAATTATGGTCCTCAAAGGACGCTCCTAGGAAGTGCAAAAACATGGGGGATGGCACTTCAACGTAACGAGACTAGGCGCCCGATTGACCATCTCCAAGAGTGCACGTAATCCACTGGCAGGTGGGCTGTTCGAGCCGTGGCCATTCAGTGTAACAACGTTGGGGAAATGGTTTGGTATCTCCTGGAACATACGAGGAAAGGATGGGGAGTTCGGATCCGTGCAACCAAATGCCAGTTCCAGCGATTCGAGAAGTGGGAAGGAGATGTCCAAAATTTGAGGAAGATCACTTGGTGGGCCCTCTCCTGGAATGACAAGATACAGTGTCTGAAGGGTCCTGGCGTTTGACGCAAGCAACTGCCGCACTTCTCTTATGTTCGACCCGTTATTCGGGTGATTTGCAATGGAAGGAATGGTAAGAGACAGGAAAGTCAGAGATTGGAGGGTTATTTAAGAAAGGAAACTGGGCAGGCGGATGTCTTCTGCCATAGTGATGGTGAGAAACTGTAGTGCGGTCGAATGGCGGTCGATGAAAGAAGTCAGGACGAATTGGGCCACGTTGTCTTCGTCAGGGAAGTTCACAATAACTTTAAGAGCTTCCAAGCTAGGGAGAAAATGCTGCCCGTTCAACAGAACAGACGACATCGCCTCGAGCGGGAAGTCCAACGTCAGAGAGCGTAGGGTTAACCCATAGGCCGTCCAGCCTGCAAGGATGAGAGGCATCGAGCTTTCGAACGCGTCGAAGGAGTCTGTATTAAAGCCTGCGATTTCTTGCTGGACGTTGCACCGTATATAGAGCCGTTCAACGTTCTTCAGCGAGTGCATGAACTCAATCAATTCTTGTACCATGCCCCGAGCTTGTTCCCAACCTGTGGCCGGTTTCGGGCGACGGCGGGATGTCTGATAAAACCGCCTCCACATGCTTGGCTGCTTCACGGTAGGAGGGTTTTCGAGACGTTGGAAGACGGTGCCGACCTTGTCTTGAACCCGGCCTGGCTGGAGATGAAGCTCACGGACACGAGCACAGCGTTCATGATCCCTGTGGAGATAATTTGGTCAACAAAGTCACTTCCTTGGAAATACCGGGCACATACCGATACCTCTGAGGAGAGAAGAGCGTTACCTTCGCCGATCCATATCGTTCGTTCATAGCACAGTTGTAGGTTGACGCTGTAGAGCCCCGAGAGCGTGGACTTCGGCATGAACGATATTATGATCATCCATACATCGTATGGAAAATCTGAAATTGTTGTCGATATTCCTAGCAATTCTGAAATCGAGAAGGACCAGTCGGGAGTTTCGGTTCAAACTTATCCAAAACTTGAAGCTGCAGCCTGCGAGGCCAGGGTAAGACTCCGTAAGAGTCTTGAATCAGCCGTCCATTTTTTGTCGTTCCCTGATGTCAAATCAGAGGTGTTGGTATATAATATAGGTGGTTCAAGAGGTGGTTCAAGAGGTGGTTCATAAGAGTTTGCCAGGTTTGAATATTTGAATGTTGAATATTCGTCGAGCTCGGAGCCGGTGTCAGTGGCTGCAATTCCTACAAAGTTATAGGCACTACCAAATATGGTTTATTGTTGGTTGTTAGGACCAGCAGCCATTGTTCGTTGTTTTGGAAGTCGCCCGCCTAGACTTCAACGACCACCAATTGCGCTACCCGTCTTTCACTCTGACCACGACTGAGAGCCTCATCGATACCTTCAACATCGTAAAAAGTACCAAAATACGACGCGCAATGCTTGACTCATCGCCCGTGGCACTTCCACCGACGCGCCGGCCGCTCAAACGATCAGCATCGACTGCTTCACTCCCAACACCCCCGCGAACGCATCGCAAGTTTGCGCGCGGCCGGTCGAGGGGATCGTGCGACAGCGATAGCGACGATCATGCTGTACTCTCAAGCGATGAAGAGGAGATAGTTAGGCACAAGAAACGGAGGACGGGGAAGGAAGCAGAGGCAGACGAAGAAGCGTTCTGGCTCGGTGGAGCATCGGATTCCAAGACCTCTGAGACTGGCACGGCGAGCGACGCGAAGAAAGACGCGGCCTCGAGCTCCAAGTCGCAGGCTGCACCGTTGCTCTACCGACGCAGCCAGCCTCAGCAGAGCAAGGCGGATGTGGCACCCGTTTCGCCTCCCCCGTCCCGCAGGAAGACCGCTGTCACGTCGTCCAAGCTCACGCTGGTGGCCCAGGACAGCTCTGCCACCGTTTCTCCTCCTAGCACCCCCAGGACGCGTTTGGCCGTCAAGCGCGCGTCTGCAGCTCTTCGGGACTCCCCGGACAACCCCTTCCTGGCCACCCCAGAGAATCACGTCGAAGACAGCGCTACACCGAGTCCCAATGCAAGCAGTGCCAATCCTAGCCCACGTACACCGGTTTACGAGAAGCCCACCATCACTTACGTTTTGTAAGTTGGATTTCTTGTCTTGTTTTCCCCTTTTTATATGTTTCTCTCTCCTCTAGCCGTGGTGTTCGACGCGTCTACCAGAACCCGCTATACAACCATGCCAAAGACAGGCCCTATTCCCCTCCGCCTGCATCCAAATTGCCTATAGATGACCCAGACTTCTCTCCTGCCATGCATTGCACCCCCAAGCTTCTCTTCCCAGAGGCACGTCACAAGAAGGGCAAAAAGGTTGCGCCGAAAGCTGCCCCCACCAAGAGCAGGAAGCGTTCACCCTCGCTGAGCGAGGACGACGGTGATGCCGACGAAGCTGCGGCCATTCGGCCCACGAAGCTCAACTTTGGCGAACCCTCCAAGACGAAGAGCAAGCAGGGCAGTGCTGAGACCAATGTGCAGACCTTGGACCTGGAGTTCAAGACTGCTGGAGAACCGCTCTCAGGGTGAAAATGCAGATCTCTGTACGGCACGCTTCTGCTTCCGTGATGCCTTCGAGGTTCACGATTCTGCCCAGTGCTCATAGGATCTCTCTTCCATTTCTATTGGTTTTCTTGATGGTGGTGTCGTTTTGTGTCTCCTTATCCTTCATTCTTATACATCCTCTCGTCGTGTCCAATAACCCTCGTTCTGCGCAACCTTCGTACGCTCTTTTCCTTTTTCTCTTTTCCCTTCCTCCTCTAGATTTGCGCTACCCTCGTCTTCTGTACCTTGCGATACCTTCCCTCTTGCTACCCGCTGATAATCTCTGCCTCCTCCGCGACTCTCCCACCTCCAACATCATCACATACGATCCGTCTGTTGCCTTGCTCATCCTCATCTTATGATTTTCTTCCTTTCAAACGTATCTTAACACATAAACATTAAATATGTCACGTATATACATTGCCAGTATCGATTCTCAGTAGGAAAATCTGTACTTCGCAGCTCACAATTCTATCTCATGTTCAAAACCAAACCGTCGACGATTGGCTGAAGTTGAGAGGACGAAGATTATGTAACACGTGTTCTGTGCATCGTTCGTGGAGTCTCTCCTTACCTTTGGCTACAACCAGCCCGCAACGCCGCAACGTCAACCTTTAGCCAACTGTCAAAAGCCCAACAGCGTAGACAACGCAATTTGGATTTGTGTTGAACCTTTCGGGGTGAAGTCTTGACGGTCGCGTAGCCTGTGCAGGAGGTGAGAGCAGTTTTACCGATACCAACTTGAACCTGTCCGTCTAATGTCGTGTTCTTAGACGTGTTTTCTCCAATAGGGCTTTGATATGTGCAAAAAAAAATAACTATTGTCAGCACCCTGCCAGAAGAATAAGTATGGTTAGTCTGCACGCTCGCTGTCCTGGACGAGGACCAAGTCCGAGTCCGATACCAAAGGTATGTGGGTTTGATCTATCAGGAAAGCTCCAAGCGCTCACTGCTTCATCATATTTTAGGACAAAGATATCATCGACCCAGAGTGAATGTTCCGCTTTTCTGCTCCTCGTCGTCCGCCGGTGCTGGGTTTATGACGTTATCACTGTGGGATCGGCGCGTTACAGCAGCCTCCACTCCAACGGAAGAATGGACGCATACACGTTGCTCGCAGGCGAATTCTTTGCACCACGCCTTCAGGAAGAAGATAGGAGTCTGGAGCACAACCATCGAACTCCAGAGGCGATCGGACAGAACACCTAGTCATGTTTTTGCACCCTCAGGTGAGGCGCCATGCACCCCAACCTACTAGAAAGATTCTGACACAAATCGGTCTTAGTTCTCGCCTCCACACCTGCTCATTCGGTTCCGTTCTCAACGTGGGCGGTGAAATTATAACTCGCATCTGTTTCGCCAATTGCCCTCCGAAGTATAAAAGGATGGAACCATCAGGCCAACTGTCCTTCAGAGAATGCACCTCTTGCACCATCTCCTTCCGCTTCTCTTGACCTCCGTCCTTTACACCGCAGCTGGGCCAACGCCAGCAGCATCACAATGTCGATGCCTGTACGGCGAGCCCTGCTGGCCCAGTCAAAGCACCTTCTCCGCCCTGAGCGACCAACTTTCCCAACCAATCCTCCACCCCGTACCCCCAGAATCCGCATGTTACCCGCCCTCGTCGCCCTCAGGCAACTGCAGCGCCCTCCTCTCCAGCTTCGACAACGGCGACTGGCGTGCCGACCAGCCTGGGGCGATGCAGTTGCCCAACTTCCAGACGTACACGTTGCCGAACGGGACCATCGAGGCATGCTACATGAACGTTTCGTTGGGAGTTCCATGCGAGCAGGGCAGCGTTCCGCCTATTGGTGTGGATGCAAGGACGGTTGAAGATGTGCGGGCTGCTGTTGTGTTTGCAAGGCAGAATAATCTGCGGCTTGTAGTCAAGAATACGGGGCATGATTACCTTGGTCGTAGTACTGGTCGAGGGGCGTTCATGTTGTGGACGCATCATCTGAAGAACATGACCTTTGATCAAGAGTTTGTCCCTGACGGCGCACCTTCATCAGCGGAAAAGGTTTCCAACGGTACGTGTGTCACCTCATTCAGATATAAAATCACTTACTCGGTGAATCTGATAGCTGTTACACTTGGTTCTGGAGTGGCCTGGCACGAAGCCTATGATTTCGTTCAGGAGAGAGGTCGATTCATTTTAGGTGGCATTTCTGTGGGCGGAACCGTTGGAGCTGCTGGAGGTTGGATTATGGGAGCCGGCCATAGTGCCTTCGCTCCTACGTTCGGACTCGGTAGGCCTTTGTTGAGTCAGAAATGTTTCATCGAATTAACTTTGATCCTTTATAAGGCGTCGATAATGTCCTCCAATTTACCATTGTACTGGCATCTGGGCAGCATATAGCAGCCAACGCCTATCAAAACACCGACCTCTTCTGGGCCTTGCGTGGCGGAGGTGGCGGCACCTACGGCGTCGTTACATCCGTTACCTATCGAACACACCCCGTCTTCTCGCTCTCAATGGCAGTCCTGACGGCCAACTTCTCCTCGATGGACATCGCGCAGAGCGTTATCACCAAATTTATCAAATCGCAACCTGCTTGGTCCGACAAAGGCTGGGGCGGCTACTCGTCGATCAACAGCTCCTCCTTCCAGCTGCAATACGTCGCTCCGAATGTTTCGACTGCAGATATGAATGCGACCCTTTCGCCCTTCGTCGATTTTGTGTCTAATGCGACACAAGGGGCTTCGCAGATAGCCTACCAGAACTTCTCGTCGTTCATAGAGTGGTATGCTGCCACTTACTCTCAAGGCCCGCCTCAAGTTGGATATCCGATTCTAGGCGCCAATCGTCTCCTTTCGCGGGCATTGGCTGCAGAGAATCCAGCACAGGTAGCTGAGAAGCTGTTGTCGCTCAATGGGGGTGTGTTGGGCACTCTGTAAGCCATAGCACTCCTGTCTCTCATATTTCGGTATGCTAACCACCGCTGCAGTTCGGTAGCAGGAGGTGCGGTCTCCGAGGTCGACCCATCGTCCATGAGTGTGTTCCCAGCCTGGCGTACTGCTGTGGCCGAGCTTTACAATACGGTTACTTGGCCCGAAGGGTCTCCAAATTCGGTTATACAGGAACAGGTGCAGGCCCTGGAGCGGAACACTGAGATCCTGAACGAAATCACACCGGATTCTGCGTCTTATATGAATGAGGTCTGCGTTCTTCCTTCGCTTTTTCATTTTCATGAGACGGGACCTCAATTATTCTCGATCCAGGGCTCTCCGTATGAGAAGGATTTCAAGAAGTCTTTCTTCGGAGATCATTACACAAAGCTAAAGGATATCAAATTCAAGTACGATCCGGCTTCTTTGTTCGTTGTTCCGCTTGGAGTTGGCTCGGATGAGTGGGACTCGGACCTGCGATGCCCCGTCTGAACTATTCACAATACCGCTGATCATCTTATATCATACACTGGGCGAATGTCCAACAATCTACTTAATTTCTCTGCGATTGTTTTGCTCTTCCTCATACCATCAACTTGCGTTCAAGAAAGTGGAGGCCGCTGCGGATGATGCAAGGCGCATGACCTTTGGCCATTTTATCATTGGAAAGGAAAGCGACTCGAGAGCCTCTCGCTCAGCGCGTAGCCTCCGGAAGAGACATGTCATTCCCACCGGAGAACCCGCCCTCGCCAACAGCGCCAACAGTACCTGACGTAGTCGGAGGGGAATCCCCGACTGTGGACCGGAACGGTTCCTTGTATTGTTCTGGAGTCGGAACCTCGACCTTCGATAATGTGTCGATTGTGCCCACCCGGGCGTCTCGCAGCCGTCAATGCGGACCCGACTGTCGATTCTTATGGGCCTTTAGGCGGCGGAGGCGGCGGCACTCCGACGTATTAACATTGGGAACGTTTCGCAGAGCTTCGTAAGTAACATCATCATTTCATCTGGCCTCCAGTATTGAATCCTGGTTCGGTAGCGAGAGGGTGTATTCTCGAAGGTCGACCTTGCTTCCCCTGGCACGCCCTTTGAACGGTCCAAAAGTTCATATCATGCTTTGCTGACCCAAAGGGCCGCCATTGAACCCAGTGGTACAGCAACAGGCCGACAGTCTTCAGAGGAGCCGTTACGTCCCAAATTACCTCAGTTACAGCGTCTGAGGGCCCTATCATGACGTCTTTTCCAGTACAATTAAGTCGTTCTTATTTGGATCCAGGGCACGCTCCGCGAGAAGAAATTCAAGAACCCTTTCTCTGGAAATCCCTGTACGAAGCAGTCGAAGCCGAATTTGACATTACTTCTCATTGTTGCCCACCCGGAGTGCAGACGGATGAGGTAAAACAGAAACGCTACAAAGTAAAAATCAAATGCAAGGACGTACGTACGCCTGCCGGTATAAATCCTTGTTCCTTCGGAGGAAGACCTCTCTAATTCTTCTGCATCGGCCGAGAATTTATCTAACCAGTGAAATGCTTTTCCGGGTTTTTTTTTTTATTGCTTAACGTCACCTCAAATTGGTCTGACTCGTTTTTGCGCCACACAGACGTTGAAGGAAATAAATGGTCGTCCCGCCGGCGCCAGCTGCGGCGAGTGATGCGGACTTATTATCTCCGAGATCAAACGTTTGACCACATTGACGTTTCTGTAAGAAAACTACAACCGTCCTCAGACTCGTTCCTGCCGCAGTAAGTTCGGAATTTTTCCTTGACAAGTGAGCGACGCTAAAAATGACGCGCAGTTGTGAGGAAGGCCAATGGATACTTATCATCATGCGGTGACAGTAATCGTCATTCGTCCTTGGATGACTATCAATTGATAGACTGGGACATAAGACCTATAGAAGATTTGCACGTCCTCCAGCAGTACAATGCCCAGCAGCCCCCCTCTCACACGGCCTTATCGACCTGACCATGGATTTCGTCTAGACGCCGATATCATGTTCTGGTGTAAAAGGTTAATGCACCCTCCGGAACTTCTTCCTCCGACTCGCAGATTCTGAGTACAGTCTCCGCTGCGCTCCAAGTATAGCTCGATCCTGATTTTGGTTTGGTCGCCCATATAAAACCCTTGGCTTTTGCCGCCCACCCCAACAACGATATGGCGCTTTTCCGCTTCGTCTATGCTTTGCTCGCTCTCGGAGATGTTGGTCTAACCCAAACAGCCCAGAAGTGCCGTTGTCTTTACGGGCAGTCCTGTTGGCCTGACGAAGCCTCTTTCGTTGCTCTTAGCCAGCAATTGTCTCAGCCGCTCCTCCGTCCTGTACCCCCTGCATCCGCATGCTACCCGGTTTCATCCCCGTCAGGCGACTGTGCCGAGGTGCTCGCCAAATTTACTGACGGGTCCTGGCGTTCAGATCAGCCAGGCGCCCTCGAAAACCCCAACTTCGAGGCCTATTTGCATCGGAACGGGACAGTAGATGGATGCTACAGGGACACGACATTGGGATTCCCTTGCAAGCAGGGTAGCGTGCCGCCGATCGGCGTCGACGCGCGGACGGTCGAGGACGTCCAGGCAGCCGTAGTCTTCGCCAGGAAGAACAACCTCCGGCTGGTGGTCAAGAATACGGGACACGACTACCTCGGACGCAGTGCTGGTCGTGGAGGTTTCATGTTGTGGACGCATCATTTCAAGGACAAGTCTCACAGCGATTCGTTCGTCCCGCAAGGTGCACCAACGTACTCGAAGACCTATAATGGTATGGACTTCCTCCTTGCATCTTCAGTCAGGATTTTGAGCGATTCTTTTAGCCATTACTTTGGGAGCTGGTGTTCAGTGGTATGAAGCATACGAGTATGCGAACCAGCAAGGACGCTTCATTCTTGGTGGGATTTCCCTAGGCGGAACTGTAGGTGCCGCTGGTGGCTGGCTTCTGGGAGGAGGCCATAGCGCCTTCGCTCCTCGACACGGGCTCGGTAAGCTGTGCTCTGTCCTGGGCATATCTGCCTTAGTCTCACCCTCTCAAACCCGACAGGTGTTGACAATGTCATTCAACTCACGATTGTCGTCGCCGACGGTCGACACCTGACCGTAAATGCGTACCAACACTCTGACCTTTTCTGGGCGTTGCGTGGTGGTGGTGGCGGAACATACGGTGTTGTCACATCCGCAACATACCAAAGCCACCCAGAGTTCCCATTGACCATGTCCGCCATTATTACCAACTTCTCCTCTCCCGACATCGCGCAGAGTGTCATCACCGAATTTATTTCCCTGCACGCCAATCTCTCTGATGCCCAATGGGGCGGCTATACATCCTTCTCAAGGTCCAACTTCCAAGTTCTCTACGTCTCCCCGAACGTCTCTCAGGAAGTTGCCGAGGCAACCCTCGCGCCTTTCGTCGCCCGAACAAACACGACCACCGGAGGAGCCGTGCAGACGCTCTTCTTCGCACTCTCATCTTTCTACACGTGGTACAATGCAGTATTCAACGCTCCGAACCAAGGAACGCAAGTCGGGTTCCAAGTCGAGCTCGCTTCTCGCCTCCTCCCATACAAATTAGCCAAAGAACAGCCGGCCAAAATTGCGAAGACGCTGCTCTCAATCGAGGGCGGAGTGGCTGGAAAGTGGGTTCTGGATTTACTTCGTGTCTCTTTCGTTAATCTGACATTTGGTTCGTTCACCAGCTTGATCGCAGGCGGAGTCATACGTTCCATAGACCCTTCATCGACTGGCCTCAATCCATCGTGGCGCAAGGCCATCGGACAATTCTATGTGTCTGTGGGCTGGCCGGAAGGTGCCACCGGTTCTGAAATACTGCACCAAAGGAATATCCTCAAGCAAAACGCTGATGTCCTGGATAAAATAACAACGGACTCGGGCTCCTACGTGAATGAGGTCAGTGAAGCACAGATCTGTCTGGATATGGTCTAACGTGACTCCCGCTCCCAGGGCTCCCTATACGAGAGAGATTTCAGAAAAACCTACTTCGGTTCGCACTATTCGAGGCTAAGGTCAATCAAGCGAAAGTATGACGCTGGATCACTTTTCGTTGTTCCCTCTGGTGTTGGTTCGGATGAGTGGGACATAGATACTCAATGCCGTCGTTGATAAATCTCATGTTGTCAGCTCCTATAATTTAAATAAACAAAGAAGAGTAAGACTATAAAGTCTCGCTCAAAACAAAATAGCAAGGGAGAAAATTTGGAGTTATTATCCAGATGTCGGTAGCTGGAATCGAACCAGCGGCTCTTCAGAATGGTTACCACAATGAAGTGATTTAACCCCTAATCGATACCAACACATTGAATTGCTGCTCATGAGTAGTATAGAGCCTTCAGCGTTTCAAATTTCCACAGCTGACCGTCGATCATCTTCCACTGGTGTGGGAACCGACTTTATGTGCGGTCAAAAAGGCGTGATAGGGGTGTTAAACTTTATATACACGATTTTTCTGTGTCAATAAAGTTCAAATAAAGTTACAATAAAATCTTCCTTTCCCATGGTCATAATTTTCCGAAAATTGTTACCTTCGAGGTAATTAGTAATGACTAAATTTACCCGTCCTTTTGTTGCTCCGGAAAAGACAATAAAAGCGTGGAATTTGGGACGACAAAAAGGATTGACATAAAAGATTCGGGGATACTATAAAAGGAAAGCCCGAGCCCTTTATATAAGCACTTTATGCTCGTCTATAATTGTTAGGTAATTGATGCCTTTAATTGTGAACAAAAATTAATATAAATGGCTCGGGCTTTCCTTTTATAGTATCCCCGAATCCTTTGTGTCAATCCTTTTTGTCGTCCCAAATTCCACGCTTTTATTGTCTTTTCCGGAGCAACAAAAGGACGGGTAAATTTAGTCATTACTAATTACCTCGAAGGTAACAATTTTCGGAAAATTATGACCATGGGAAAGGAAGATTTTATTGTAACTTTATTTGAACTTTATTGACACAGAAAAATCGTGTATATAAAGTTTAACACCCCTATCACGCCTTTTTGACCGCACATAAAGTCGGTTCCCACACCAGTGTTCAAGTCATCTTGGATATCCAAATTTTCCCGTTGCAATTTCCTTTTATCTGATCAATTACGCCTAACCCCAGGCTCGACGACGTTCTTCGTCCGACCATTCCACTTGGCTACCTATGGAATCATGGAAGAGCCCTCCATATTGCCGTCTTATATTTCCCTGGTATGCCTAAAACCGACGTGCAACGACCGAATATCGCAAGAGTGGGGATGCCGGTGCCACAGGGGTTGCGGTGAATTTTTAAAATACTGCAGTGAGGCTTGCCAGGAGAGCGTGCGTGTGCTATGCTATGTTCCTGAGCCATCGAATTGAATTAACGCATTTTATGTCAACAGGATAGCCAACGGCATGAGCTCTTGTGTGGCCTGTACGTTTCCGAATTCACGGACGACGATGCAAGTATCTTGACGAAGTTGGCAGGACTGCTTGCGCGTTCGAGATCGTATCCGTAAACTCTTCGTCTCCGAGCAGGCGGACATTCGAAGTGCCGTCTTCATTCACTTTTGAGGAACTTCACTGGGCCATCCAGTACCTCATGGGCTGGGCTTGCGACCAGGACCACGAATTGAATTTCTACAGTCGGGTATACAGAGGGGCTCAGCATACACATTTTTCTGACGAGGACGTAATCCTCAAGGTCGCGCCGAAATCTGTCGACGACGACGACGACGACGGTGTTCAGGACGAGCACACGGTCTTGCTGTCTGATGTATTCTCGCCAGGAGGCAGATTCTCTGGGGAAGTGACCAACCCCAACGGAGAAGTCGCGGCGCTGGTTTATACATACGACTTGGGTGTAGGTATATTTTGACTTTACCCGTTTCTTCCACTTATTTAACAAAGAACAGGACTGTTGGGAGCATGAGATCAAGTTCATGGGGCTTCGACCACTGTCAGATTCACGACCTCTCTTGATGTCGCCTTCAGGCATGTTTTTGACCCAGACACCCGATCCACAAACTTGCTAACTCCAAACTGCAGATATTCTGGTCGAGCAGTCCTTAAATACAATGAGCGACACCTTAGAACTCGATCAACTCGAACCTCGGAACCTCGTCAATTTCCAAGATCCAGACAGGTGGAAAGTGTACATGGAGCGGATGGCTGAAATGTCCAACCAGTTCGCGAAGATGGAGATTTATGAGGACGATTTCTAGGATTTTCGGGAGCATCTATATGTTTCGTTTAGATACATACACCTACGCATTAGAAAAGCCGGAAGGGCCAGGAAACCTCTTCGTTCTGATGCGCCACCGGTTGTGGAAAATACCGGTTTCCGGAGACGCGTCGACGCGATATCATCACGTGATGCGACTATTCTGTCTTATCCCGAAGGGGTTGAAACCCGGACCGCCAACGAGCAGTGCCCGCAGGTGTCGCGGGTATTCTTGTCGGTGTGAGGATATTTCCTCAGAGAAAACCCTAGGCTTCTCATCTCACAGCCCTTCCCGAATAATTTCGCATAACCGTGAATCCATCCCCCAAGCCAACTAAGGTGTATGCAGCATCCTCCTGGTCTTCGCAAACCGCATCATCGAATGTACACCCGAACACCCCGTTTTCGAAGTCCTTTGCTGTCCATCAATTCCATTACGCTCTCCAGAACATCATCAGCTGGGAGCACAGCTGCCTGAACCCCTTCCTCTTCCACGCACCGAACCTTGCAACGTGCTATGAAAACGGATCAGGTGTCCGGATGTGCAAGGAGTCGAGTGCAGGCAACTTGAGAAGAGATTGGGCTAACGATTCCGCAGATGCACGACGATGAAAACAACAGCCTGAAGCAGGATGTCGACGAGGGGGCGATGTTCCTGAGCTGGGGGATACATGTTAGTTGAAAGCGTAACCTGAGGACGGTGGTCAGTCGTGGTTTATGAGTATGGTTTATTGCATTCTTTACCTTGCGCATATGCTCTATTTATTGAAACGGGAGGTCCTTGCTAATAGCGTTGGAGGGTCAGAAAAGGATGGCCGATAGCACGAAACCGAGTGCCCCGGGCGCAGCAGAGGAGACATAACAAGATGCGTCCGCCATCTCCATCCCATCATGACTTCTTTGCTGACCTGGGCTGGTCGACGTGAAGCATGGGTAATAGAAACCTATACCATCGACTCACACTCAAGCTCAGGTAGGTCGTGGCGAAGGGGTTCATGGGTGGTAGGATGTTGCTACGACATAGTGAGGGACCGGACATCGTTGCTCTTGACGGGTCCACATGGAAGAAATGTGAGCAAGTGATTATTTCTCGACAATTCGAATCTTGACTGAACAGCTTCATGCATCAACGCAGACCAATCAACTAATGATAAGTCAATGATATATGTAATCCCAAAATACAACGAGTTGGCTTACCTGTATGGCGGAAACGATGCTGGTAGCAGTCAGCTTCATGCCTTGCACGTTCTCGTTCCTTCTCGGTGTTGGTGTGGAGCTCTTTCTGCGGATGCAGCCTGGTCGTACAACAACAATCAATATCCTTTCGAGCAATGACATTACGACGGAATCTATCTGTAAGAGACATGAGTGCAGGTAAGAAATGAATGCAATAGTGATGTGGTCATAAAGTCCAAGATGGGGCGTAAACGAGCAAATATGAAGGCGAGGGGAGGGAGGAGCATCAAGCGTAGGAAAGATTGGAGAGACAAGTAACGGAAGATGAACGAGCTATCCGTCGACTTTCCGGAGTAATGTCTGTCCACAAACCAAAAAAAGAGGTCCAACGAAGCTACCATACCACAATGCGCAACAATACCGAACGAAAGAGTCATGAAGGATCCAGTAGGCGAAGCACGGGTAGACAAGCCCGACTGAGAATCTAGGAACCGAGCCGAACGCCTAATCCCGTGTCCTAGCTGCATTCCTGAGTAGATGGAACCCGGAGAAGAAGACAATGAAGAATGTGACGACGAGGCTGACAAACGCTGGGTGTGATGCGGAGGACATCGCACCGCTGCATACCGCACATGTCCAACCTGCCAGCCAAAAGTATTCCAGTCAGTCAAAAACCACGAAACATTCCGCAGATAGGATCGAAACTAACCACTTGCGAGGGGCGTGTACGGTTGCGGAGTGTACAGCGCAAACTGCAGGCCAGTATTGGGCGACATGTACCCCGCCCTTCTTGCCGCTCCTGGCCCTCGGTTGTCGGCCCAGATATTCAGGGTATACGACGTCGGTGAGAGGGGCTTGTTCGGGTTATTCGTCTGGTACGCATAAATATCCCACAGAACGCTCGTAGCGTCTCCAGGGATGATCCCGTCGGTCGGGCCTACGGGGTAAGTGTTGCCGTTGGCACCCACGGCGGAGACGGTGAGGCTCGTCGGGGTGACGATGACGTCCGTGAAGTTCCACGCGAAGGTGATCGTCTGGCTCGGGGCGATTTTGTAGTACGATGTTGCTGTCTGTGGGGGCTGGGTGATGGTGATGCCTCCCGCGGCGGCGGTTTGTGGGATGAATGGCAGGCTGAAGCTCGAGGACGAGCTGGCCGAGTCTGTCTGCTGCGTCTGCTGCGTTTGCTGTGTCTGTTGCGTCTGCGACATTTCTGAGTGCTCTTTCTAATGGGTATTGGGGAGGAAGGGCGAGGCGACGAGGACAACGATGGCGGCGTGGTGGAAAGGGCGAGAGCAGCGACCAAACCTGTGATGACAACAGACATCACGTAAGCTTCCACTTTGGGCTCATCACCCCCTGTCGCTGCCAAAACATCACCTACACCTCTCACGCAGGAATGGCTCATACAACGTACGTTCACGTCCACTTTACGAGTCTTCTTGTTTCTCAACGCTTTATTTATCTGCATGCTGAAGAGAAATCTGGTGTCTACGGCTGCCCAATGATGGACAACCATATCAAGCCCGACATGCGTCCCTCGCGTCAAATTCTGCAGTGAGGTGGCACAGGCAACAAGCGTCTCTCCATGGTGCGATTCATGTGAAACGACAAGCCAGAGACCATGGAGAAGGCCATGAAAACCACGGAGTTAGAGAACGACGTTCGCGCCTGAGGGCATTATGGACAAATCACCAATGTGGAGTAATGTGGATTAGGATCGGTCTGCATGGACTTCCGAAGGGCTATCTACAGTAAGTATACAATTGCCGACTACCATCCTTTCTGAACACGCCCTGAAACTCCCTGAAAGTTGTTGAAACACAATCTTAGACGCGTGTGCCGTCTGAACTTCAGGATATATTCTGACCCCTCCATCATCGAATGTCGTGCTCTCCGTCTTGAGAGCTTTATTTGCTGCATAAATGCACAACAAAGCATTCTCTGGACTCAGAAGGGCCTTCATTGTCAAGCCATTCTAACTCTATCACGTGCTCCCAATAAATTACGCCCCTATCATGACGCGAAACCTTCCTTTCAACTTTCTTCTTAACCACCACCATCCACTTCTATTGTCTTACTCCTCAAACATGCCCGAACCCAACACTAAGGAAAGGTGCTCCTGGTTGGTCTGCGACAAGCCAGGCAAGCTGCGTTGCACGCGGTGTAGAGACGCGACTCCGCAAACGCTTTACTGCAGCGCCAAGTGTCAAAAGAACGTACGTCTTGAAAGGACCTCCCCTCCTTGAGAGGCTCTTCTAATAGGACAAACATCTTATTCTAGGACTGGATCTTCCATAAAGCCTACTGCGGCAAGTACGTCCTTTCGTCGTTTCACCGTTTTCTCCTCCCAACCAACGCCACTCACCCACTGTAATTTCATCCAGGAAAGCATACACCTTCGACATAACCCTCGTCGCCTCCTCCTCCCCCGCCATCACTCGCACCGTCGCCATACCCGCCTGGTTCACCTTCCGCCAGCTGCACTACACGCTCCAATACGCGATGGGACCCTGGCAACACACGCACATGCACGAGTTCTCCTTCAACCGGCTCCTCTCCGAGTTCGAGTCGCCCACCCAGCCGGGATACTGGGTGCGCAATGAGGTCGACAGGGGCCCGCACAGGCTCGACACTCTCGCGGGGCGCGACGAGCGCCTCAAGGTCGGCCCTGCAGAGTTGTATGACGACGATAAGTTGGATAATTGGCATCCCATGCTGGGGCGCCCGCCGAAGAAGGTCCCGAAGGAGAGGGAGAAAACCCTCAGGTTGGAGGTGTTCGACGTGAATGGAAGGCTGTATGAAACGGTTGCGAAGGACGGGGATATGTACCCGTTGATTTATACGTACGATTTTGGGGTACGTCTTTCTTTCGGGTGTGGGCGTTTCGCTGACTTCAAATATCTGTTGTATAGGATAACTGGGAGCACGAGCTCATCTTCAAAGGCGAGACACTCGCTCGTGCCGCTCGTCCGCTCTTCAGTTTTGCGCAAGGTAAGCCTGTCTTCTTGTGCACATTCCAACCACACTGACTTACATTTTACACCTAATTCACTAGGATGCGGCCCCGTCGAAGACTGCCCGAGGGCTGGGACGAAGTAAAAGCCGCATACCGCACACCCCTCTCCGCGCGCACGAAAGAGCACAAGGAGCTTCTCGAATGGGCGAAACGTGTCTCGGGGCTGGGAGAGCAGTTCGACCCCCTCAAAGATCCCAACGTGACGCAGATGAATTATGAAGGGCGATGGGAGAACCACGTCGAGGCGTACATGCGTGCCTGTGGAGATCCGGCGTTGCCTAAGAGTCCGAGGTATGAGGACGAGTTTGAAGATGAGGAAGATGAAGTCGTGTTCTGATGGGATTGAGCCTAACTCTGTGCTGACTCTGCAAAAATTGCTGACGCTAGTGTACATTCCAGTTATATTTCTTTCCTTGCTACAAACACTTCTAGATAGTGAACAGTATTGACCTTTGTATATTACATCTCATAGCCTACATGCGCTCACACTTCTCCATGCCGGGGTTCACTCCTTCCTCCATTTCTGGTAGTAGTGGATGAGGCCAGTGGTCTGACGGGCAAGAAATTAGTTCTGGAAAGACGAAAAGCACAACAAGACACATACAGAACTATCATGACCCTTGACGTCCTCAGGCTTCTCAAGTTGGGCGAGGATTTTCTTTGCAAGCACCTTGCCGAGCTCGACACCCATTTGATCTGGAGAAATTGCGCTCAGAATGAATCCTAATCAAGCACACCGCCCAAGCATACCGAAAGAGTTGATGCCCCAGATAACACCCTGCACGAAGATCTTGTGCTCGTACAGCGCAATAAGCGCCCCTACAACACCCATCAGCACCTTCGTCCAATCCAAATCGCAGAAACGACTTACCCAGCGTCGCAGGCGTCAAAAGCGGGAACATAATGCTCGTACTCGGCCTATTCCCTTCAAACACCTTACTCTTCACCAGCACCTCGTTCGCATTCGCTCCAAGTTCCTCCCGCACCTCCGCCTCCGTCTTTCCAAACGCGAGCGCCTCTGGCTGCGCGAAGAAGTTGGAGAGCAAGATGCGATGATGCTTCGAGTTCTCGATGGGGTTGTGCGTCGTCGCTGGGGCGATAAAGTCGGCCGGGATGAGCTTCGTACCCTGGTGCACGAGCTGGTAGAACGAGTGCTGCCCGTTCGTGCCGGAGGCACCCCAGATGATCGGCTAGCAGACGAAAATCTCAGTAGCAAGACGAGAAGGACTGTAGTGCGTGCCGTACCCCTGTCTGGTAGTTGACACGCTGCCCGTTTTTGGTAACTGACTTGCCGTTCGACTCCATGTCGCCCTAGGCATTTGCTGTCAGTCAAAAATGGGCAAACAACTTTCTAAATAGGCGTACTTGTTGGAAATAGTCGGCGAATTTGTGTAGGTATTGGTCGTAGGGGAGAAGTGCGAGTGTCTGGGCACCTGGATAACCATCAGCCGGAACACTTGACACTTCAGAAGAAAAAAGCACTGTAGAAGTCGTTGTACCAGAGACCAATAAGACCCATGAGGACAGGTAAGTTCTCTTCGAGAGGCGTCTCCTTGAAGTGCTTGTCCATTCCATGGGCACCCTTCAGCAGTGCCTCGAAGTTGTCATAACCAATGACCAGGGCGATTGACAGTCCGATCGCGCTCCAGAGACTGTAGCGTCCGCCAACCCAGTCCCAGAACTGGAACATGTTCGACTCGTCGATGCCGAAGGCTGTCACAGCCTTGGTATTTGTGCTGAGCGCGACGAAGTGCTTCGCGACATGCGCCTTGTCCTTCGCCGTCTGGAGGAACCACCCGCGGGCCGTCTCTGCGTTCGTGATCGTCTCCTGCGTGGTGAACGTCTTGCTCGCGATGATGAATAACGTGCGTTCTGGATCGCACTCCCTCAGCGTCTCCGCGATATGCGTCCCGTCGATGTTCGACACGAAGTGCGCCTTTAGATCGCGCTTCGCGTACGGCTTGAGCGCCTCCGTGACCATGACCGGACCCAAATCTGACCCGCCAATCCCGATGTTGACAATCGTGTTGATCGTCTTTCCTGTATAGCCCTTCCACTCGCCGCTTCGGACCGCCTCGGAGAACTCCTTCATGTGTTTGAGCACACCGCCAACCTCATCGGCCCCGCTCTCGGCGATCTGGAAGTCGTTGAAGTTGCGCAGGGCGACGTGCAGGACGGCGCGGTCCTCGGAGGTGTTGATGTGCTCGCCGGCGAACATCTTGTCGCGGTATTCCTCCACTTTCGCCTCCCGAGCGAGCGAGATGAGCGTCTGGAGAATGGGCTCGGTGATCAGGTGCTTTGAGAGATCCACAAGGAGGGTGACATCAGGCCCGCTGGTCGAGTTATAATTCTTCGAAAGCTTTTCGAATCGCTTTGGATCCTGCGCAAACAGGTCCTTGAGAACGATCTTTGTGTGCTCGGCGTCATAAATCTCCTGGAGCTTCTTCCAAGACGCGTAGTCTGTCAAACGCTCAGCGATGTGCCCGCCCAAAGTGGTCTGATACTTACCTGTCGCTGGCTTTCCGCTCATGGTGGTATCGAACTAGGCGGGTTGGAAATTATAGTGAGAGAGAACCTGAGGCTATGAGGATGTTATATAGCTATCGGAAGCAACGATGACCGTGCGAAGCCGGGTTCGCTGCTAATTCGGTATTTCGTGGAATCGTGCGTCATATTTCCTACCCGGTATGTGCGTTCGCGCACGTTGTATGTCTCTGGAAGGTGTTACACCCGGCGAGTGAATCTCATTTGCCAATAGTTTGACAGATGTTGGTCTTCGACAGTCGTCGACACTCACAGCAACCTCTCGCTTCCTCGCAGCCCCACTCCCCACCGACAACCACATCGCATTGCAGTCGCAACAGCGAGGCAGGTACTTCCCTCTCAACGTCCTCCTTCAGTGCAAACACGAGGGCCTAGCTGTCGCGCCCTGTGCTGCCCATCCCCCGCTCACAATGGAAATGGCTTCGTAAGATCTGGAAGACGGATTGTGCTCGAATTCTATCAGCCGTATATCTACACCGTCGGTCGTTGTGCTGAGCTAGCAGAAAACTCAGCAGGTGTCAAGGCTCCTCACCGTTCGCGATTGGGAGGGTTAGTGAAGAGCTGTGGTTGAAGCATGAGGGTTTCGATTGTGGGCTGGGTTTCGCTGACAATCCAGAGGGGTTGGGCAATTGATGACAGTTTGTAACGACCTTTTGCTTAAGTCGCGGGGGGTTGTCTCCATCCCCTCGTCCTTCACCGCCTCTCTTAGTATTTCGGCGCAAGGGTCTTGGTGAAGAAGAGCGGTTCTCAGACGCTACAGCTGTAAGGCAGTACGGAGGTGCCCCGGGCCTACCTCTCACAAAAGGCTGTCGCTGTGCAACCCTCCATGCACCGATAAGCTCAACTCACGAGCCACCTTCCTGCTCCAGAGTGTTCAACTTGTGGAAAGTGAAGTAGGCTGGGACCTCGATCAAGCGTTGAATGACCTGATCGGAGGAGTTGATAAGGGTGATTTCGAAGACGTAGGCATACCTGCACGATCGAGAGCTCGCTGTTAGTTGTGCGAACGTTGACAAGGTGCAAAGGCAAACTCGCTATCCACGCTTCGCGCGACGCTTCATGGCCAGAGGAGCTGTTGACTGCAGTGCACGTTTTCGTCCAAGCAGTAAAACTGTGTCAAACCGGGCTGAACAGTCTCGTGCGTCACTTGGGGGTTTTCTACGAACCTTTTCCTGGCATTGAACACTGCAATATTTGATGGTCTGGCCATAGCCAAGATCGCAAGCATGGGAGCGTTGGTCGTCTGCCGGATTGTTGCAACCTGGGATGGCGCACTTATCGAATGGAGGAGGCAAGAGGTCCATGATGATCAGACTCCGAAGGAGAGGAGCAAACAGCAGGTCGAACAGATGCCGTTCTTTTTATGCCGCCTCGCGTATTAGCTAACATTACTTGCCACAAGGCGAGTCATGGCATTGTTACACCGAGAGCCTGCGAAAACTGGTGGAAAGATGCATGGTTATCATGCGGTCATATCGTGTCAATTTGAATTGAGACCTAGGAACCCTAGTTGAACCAGGCCATCCGCGGCAACAGGCTCCGAATGGACGCAAGGTGCACCAAATAATTCAAGGGCGTTATGATACAAGAGGTCTAAAACGTGCCTGTGGGAACTAGTCAGAAAAGAGGAAGGAGGAAAGAAGATGAAAACGCACAGTACAACATCGAGAGCGGAAAAGGAAACACAGAACAAGTAAGATTTATGAATACATGTTCTCGTCCCACTGTACGCCACCCATATTCGCAAATAGCTCTTCGTCTCCAGCAGGTGTCCAGCCTGAGTCGTTCGATTTCGCAGCCTACGACGAAAATGAATTCGAGAGTGACGGGGAAGGTAAAGAATAATAGCGGACCTTGGACAAAAATTCTTTACTCCTCCCGACCTCCTGTTCGAGGTACCCAAGTAGCGCAGTCTGCTCTTGTACATCCCTAAGCACGTTGTCGACCTGCTCCTTCGTGAACTGCGGCGGCGGGTCCGAGAAGGTAACGCTCCCATCGGCAGAGATCTGAGCGCTGATGTCGTTTGATTCAATCTTGAACGCGGAGTCAGTCGAGGACAAACAGTAATGGAGAGGGATCGAACCATGCTCAGAAGCAACGCCCTAACCTCGTCCTCCGATTCGATCTTAACTACTTTACCGATGTCCGCGAGATGGAGGGTCACATATGTTGCAGTCAGCTTCTTTAGCACCCATCGCGGAGCACGAGCAATGGCCTGGAGGAGCAGGCCCAGGTTCTTGTCTTGTGTAAATGTGTGCCTTTCCTTATCGTAGATCTCGCGTAAGTGTTGGGAGTTGTTGGGGTAGGCGTTGATGAATGCATTGTATGGCGTGTTTTTGAAGAGCCGGACGAGGAGAGGGTGGGTGTATTTTGGGAGATTCGAGACCTTACGAACGAAGATTAGAAAATAACTTGGCGGCGAGAAGAGATGAACCGTACCTTGCCTGTTGAGATGAGCTGAACGAGTCGGAGCTTCTTGAGAGCCTCCATCTGTAATGCGGCAGGGTAGGTCCCAGGGCTCGTCACGCAGATCTCGAAATACTCCTCAGCCTCCTTCCATCGTTTCAGAGCAGCGAGGGCGATGCCGCCGGCGTAGTGATAGGTCAAGTTGTCATTATAGTTCAATTCAGGTGAGAGGTTGATAATGTCGATGTTGGTGATGGGATGTGATAGCACAGGAAGTGCGGAGCGGAAGTTGCGGGTGGTTACACAAGCCTGACAGTGAAAATCAGTAAGGTATTTGTCGAGAACAAAGAGAGAGACGTACAAGAAGGAAGATCTGGTGGACTGTTGTTAGATACGAAGAATTAGGCGGGTATCGAGTGACCAGATCGTAAAGTGGCGGAATGGCGAGACCGGGCTATAATGAAAAGGGTATAAGACGCGCATAAACGAGAGATACAGACGTACATTTCCGAGATGTCCTGCCAGCTTATTGATTCCCTTCGCAAGTTTTGTTACTAGAAAGAAGGTATGAGTGACACAGAATCTAAGATGGTACGTGGATAAAAAAAAGTACTGCGCTCAGGAGCTGCCCGTGCTTGCTCAGGGATGAAATTCCGGCAAAAATCTCGCACAACTTGAAATGGAGGAGGAGCTACGTTCGCGAAATTTGCGCTCAGTCTTGCCGAGCTGTTTTCGAGACACCAAGATTAGCCCAAATCCAGTCCTTCAGGAATCTCAAAGAAAGGTTCTTCGAGACTCACAGGATGTATAGAACACCCAAAGTGTACGTAGGCGCACTGACAAGCGCCAGTGGATCCTGCCCATTTGATAGACTACTTGAAAGTACGTTCTCTCTCGTTTCGCGCGCGATGGTGTTTTTGATTGCGTGATTGAGGGCGTTAAAGTTGTTCGAGGTCGTTATTTGTGCCAAGAGGCTATCGATGAAGACTGGAGCCGACATCTTGTGTGAAAATGGGGACCAAGGGTTTGGTAATATATCGTTTGTCTGACCTGTAAATTGGTGAATGAGTACGTACTCCAGAGGTGATTTAGCCCAAGATCGAGATGTAAATGGTCATAATCTCTCGATTGTAGCGTCTATGGTGCCCTGATACGTGTTTGTCGCGTTCTTGCATGCAGATCGTTGATGTTTTTCAGAGCAGTGCACGCGGAACACAAAGGATCGTCGAGTATGGGTCCCAAACTCACTTGATGAGCAAATCTTCTTCCTACAACCGTTCGAGAAGTCTTGAGCACGAGAGAGAGGAGCGGTAACGAATCAGAAAGATCCTGAAGTAAAGCGTCGAAGGCGAAGGTTACCACTGGATGGCGTAGTGGGTGGTAATGGCCGTGGGAACAAATATCTATATTGGCTTCCGCGGACGTCAAAGTCATTAGTAACGCCGACGGTCGGCTTTGGCGGTCGTTTTGTCCTCATCGAAGAGTGCAATAAATTGAGAAAGGGTGGTCACCTTTGGTATTGAGATCTAGCTTTGGCTCATTGGAGCGGAATACTGGGTATTTAAACTTTTTAAAGGTAGATTTTCTTTTTTTCTCTCTCTCTTCTGCGATTTTGCGAAGTGCCAGTTGTAATCTACCTGATTACGCATGATGAACTTGAATTTTACTTGAGTACAGTGGCTACTTCTACTTGGAGGAATTGCAAGTGCAAAATTGAACCCTCTCGTAAAGCAGAGATATTACTAACAGGAAACTTTATTTTCTCTCGTTCAATTATGAAGTTTGATTGGGCCGCAATAGCACCAATTTCATGGGCGCCTAAACCACCCAAAGCAGTGTGAAGCCTTGCAGAGTCAATTTATGAAGGACATCGAAAGCACCTGTCCTCCGACATACCTTCTCTCTCTCACCGGAATATCGGCCCTGTCAACGCCGAGTAAACTTTAGTATTCATGGCGTAGTGGTGCAAATAGGTCTACAGCCCAGCTGACATTCGAGATTTATAGATAGCGGAGTAAAGAGCTCGGCAACTGTTGAATAACAGACTAGGACTTGGAAGTGGATTCTCCTTTCATTATAAACAAGGGTAGAAACCCCTCACGTTACGGTTCTGCAGCGACCACCACACGCTGCCGTAACCTGTTCTTTTCCTTCATCGGCACAGTCGGAAAACTCGGCGCTCAGATGTACATCCCCTTCCTCGAGCTTCGATGTTTCACTGCCCAAAATATGTCATGCTCGGGGTGCCAAAGGTCAACCTAAAGGGTTCTAGAATAGCTCCATTCTGGCGAATCTGCGGGCTTGCTTGCTCATTCGCGTCTTCGCAACGCTGACTCGAAAAATTTCCGTAGTCGCAACGCAGCAACTTCCCATTGATGAAAATATTGCCCGCCCTTTTTGCTTAGTGGCATCTCAAAGTTGTACATACTCGCCAGGCGTTTGCTAGATACCGCTGGGTGGGGATCAAAATAGTGCCTAGGTTCGGCGCTTGCTCTGACCGTTTGGGCAGAATTAATACGGACGAAAAATTATCGCGGATCTCCGAGTCTTCTCTCTGTCCTCGACCCGGAGATTTTACGACCGGGAGTCCTGTTCTGCGTTCTCCTTTTTTCCGAAAATTATATCAAGAAACAAATTTTTCGGTGCCGATGTCCCCTCCCTCCTGCCTTTCGTAGGTTCTGCAATTTATCTAGCGCGGAGGCTTTACACCATCTTGTGATTTTCGTGCATCACGGGAGCCTGCAAATCCTCTCCGAGTACGACGACCTGTCAGCGCCGAAAGTACTTGATGGGATTAGTCATGACGAAGATCAACCTCCAAGTGCCATGACCCTTTGAAAAACGCTTTCCTTTGCCTCCTCTTGTCGATCCTTTTCCAGTTCAAAGGCCTCTACAAGGACTCAATGCTTGGTGAGATGGATGAATTTAGCCCAGGAAATTGATAAGGATTTGGTTACGCCCGCAGATCTGCCGGGTGTTTGAGGATTTGATGGGGCTGTTGAATGGCCTTTTCGGACGCAAAAATGGAGGGAAAAAGAGCTTAGCGACCCCGGCAACGCGAAAAAAGGACCCTTATGGGTCTATCAGCTCCCCTCGTGCATGGACGACTCATGCAAGTGATTTATCTCCTGACGAAGGGGTGAAGCGGGCGTGTCGTTAAGAACGTTGCGTCCGCCTTGTCTCGTGCTTCTTTTTTTTCCCGCAACGTTTCTGGATGCTGCCAGCGAGCTATTAACAGCTTTCTCAACGTACTGGTATGTGTCGTACTTGTTCTGCAGTTGACGTTCTGCTCAGGATACGCAGTGACAAGTGGCGGTTGATCAGATCGAGGATTCGGGATGGCACTGTCGGTTTCAGGTTTTCCTGAACCACCGCGTCCGCCGGCGAACTCGAATGAGGTTTTCACGGGAGAGAGCGGGCAGGATGGTCCCAACAAGGCCGGGCTCATGAACAGTCCACGTCTGCGCGGGCTTTTTGGCGGAGGTAGCACGCCCAGCAAGCGACCAGAATCGAAGCACCCAACCCCAGCGAGTAAATCCGACGTAGACGTGGAAGCTTTCCAGACCACGACCCCTGCCGTTACACCACCCACCACGCCCTCTATATCTTTCGCCACAACTGCATTCCCACCTGTACCACAGGAAGAGTACGAATTGGGGCTCCAACTGCCGATGACAGTTCCGCTGGATCCACCTTCAGTTCATACCGGAAAGCGTGCCCAGCTGCCTCCTTTACCGCGGAAGACCACAGCTTCCCCCGTGCGTTTGGGCCCGAGTCTAACACGGCTGGATATTGGAGCAGGATTACGCTCCACACCGACAACTCATCCACACTCCAAGCCTCCACCACCATCTGTCGTTGTCGAGGAATGGGGAGTCAGCATGTCTTCAGGAGCACCGCGACCGCTACCTTCAGTTCCAGGGATAGCACCAGAACAGATGAAATCTTCGTCTTCTCCGCCCTCGTCGAGCATTGCTGGTCCGTCAAGACCGACGAAAGTTGCCTCACCCGTTGCAGGACCCTCGCGGCATGCCAATGCAATCGCAGGCCCATCGAAACACGCTAATGCCGTCGCCGGCCCGTCGAAATACCCGAGTGACCTTTCAAGCCCCTCTTCGTCTTCGCCATTGTCCTCGATCTCCGCAGGGGAGTCTCCATCGTCCAAGATTTTGATCACGGAACCAACGCCTGCGCGAACACACAAGCAAAATGCCCCGTCGCTGTCCATGCGGTTCCAACCGCTTGTGGTAGACCCCTCTGGTTCGCCATCAGCGGATCCATCTTCTCCAGCCAATGCTTCACTGAATACGACGGTTTTGAGCCCCGTTCGGCCCCTGCCTCGTGTTCCACCTGTTACCACCGCGCCTCCGACGACAATTCGTATAGCGGCTCCAGTCCCCACTCGATATCTTCCTCCCCCTGCCAAAGTCAAGCGGCCGAAGACGAGCCCGAGTTCCATTAATGGATTCGCTCCTCCTGTCCTTACCGCCAACGTTCGTGCAGCTTTTACCACCATCCCGAACTCTTGGGCCTCAAGACCCGTCGATCTGAATGCCCAGCGTCCTACCAGTCCGTCGGTACGACCTCCGGTCTTGAAATACCCTCGAGCTCGATCACACTCTCGTCCAAGAAGGGATAGGTCATTGGACTCTATCTATGCGCGGACGACATCTCCTATTCGTGCGCCATCACCTGCCACTATGAGCACACCGACTCACGGCACCCGAGCCATCCGGACGTTACCATCGCCGACTCTTCTTGGAGCTAGGCCTTTACCCAGAAAGTCGCCGACCGTCGATAGCATACCCAAAAAACTACCAACTATCAGGACTTCAAGCATCAAGCCCGCTATGACAGCAAGAAGTGCTCCAATACTCAGCCCTGGAGCAAGAAGACCTCCGCCTTCGCCACCTACAGGCCCAGTGCCTAGAGTCAAGTCTCCTACGACGTATTCACCCGGTTCTCGCCCTCATACGCCCTCTACGGACACCTCGCGACGGGTTCAGCAGGTGCCGATACCGTTACCTCCACCACCACTTCCTCCGATCGTGACGGATGCCCGGTCAATGCCCAAGGATGACGCTGTGTCAATAGATACACTGATGCACCGTCACCCAACGGATGCCTTCGCCGACAGCGAGTCTCTTCTCCACCCTAAACCCTCGCCTATCGAACCCAACACCACCGAATCACCTGTAGAAGTTTTCTTGGATAATCAAGACTATTCTACACTCTCTCGAAGTCCATCACCTATCCGTTATGCTCGACCTGACTCTCGTGGGAACCTCAGCGATTCAACGGACGACGAGGCGCTGCCCAGTGATTCAGAATCATCGTCTTCCAGGGGCAGTTCACGTGCAAGGAGGCGGAGAACACAGCTGAGGGCGTATAGGAAGAGCTATCGACCGCAACCAGGCAGCTCGCCGCCACACATTCCATTCAGATCACCTTCGCCTCCTCCGCAACGATCAATAGAGTCGGAAAAGGAGAAGGAAGAAAAGAAAGAGAAGAAGGCAAAGAAGAAGCCGGGGCGATCGTACTTTGGTGGTGGGGATTCGAGAACGTCTGTGACGGGGTCAGCACCTCCCACACGCGCCTCGTCTCCAGAGCGCAAGTCTCGCTCGCGACAACCAAGGCGGCTGGCGGAGGCGATGTCGATAGCGTTGGGAGGTGCGCGATCCTCTGCCTCTGCCGGTGCTGCCGCTGGAGGCGAAGTTGCATTTCCTGTCGAGATGGAAGTGCTGGACATTAGTTTGCCTGCAGAGGGCAGCTCCATGTCGGGGTCGAGCAGCAACGTCGCGAGCGTCGAGGAGGCACCGTTCATGTGGGTGTCGTCGAGCAAGCCGCTTGTACCACCTGCTCCGGTTATGCCGGAATCTCTGCCTCATCGGCGGGTGAACTCTCTCGGGTTCGGAGGCGGTGGCGAGCAAGGGCATGGAGCCGCCTGTGGACTGCGACCACTGACGACCACGATTACATCGACAGTGTCCGTGACTGGATCGCGCCCGCCATCGACTCTCTCGACGCCTTTCTCCGCCTTTTCACGCAGCAGCAAGAAGAAGAGAACGAATTCAGTCCCGATGACGAATGAATTTTCGTATGAGCAGATGGGTGGAGAACAAGGCGCGAAACATAGCGAGAGCCCGGACGAGGCTGTTGTGGTTACGACGCGGAGGATTGTACGCGGAGTCGATTATGTGGGCGACGTCTGGGAGCAGGAGAAGGAGACGGCGGTCTCAGAGGTGATACCCCATCTTAGGACGCTGAAGGCGCACAAGGGCTAGAGGTTGTTTAAAGGCGTCTCGTTCGCCCAGTATTTATTATTCACTTTCTTGTGATCAAGTCTAGAGGGGTAAATTTACTCATCAAATATTCTCTACCAGCGGATGTCACCAACCAGACCACAGACTTGCACACGATCAAGCCGGACGGCGAGAGATATATACGTCATGTAAAATAAGGATAGCCAACCTGTCGCAGCAAAAACAACATGAAGTCTACAAGGGCACCCTGCGTGTCGATGACTGTGTTTTGACTGCGCTGCAGCGACGTTCAGAACAGCACCTAGATCCAGAACGCCGATGGCGGCGTAGACATCAGTGGCAACTGCATCCTTAGAAATGTTGCGCGAAAAACGGACAGGTCCGCGAAGACAAACGTCCCAGCAATCGTCTAAATGGACTTCAGGATCTGAGGGCAAAGTTAGCAATACCGCGGGACCAGACATAGATAACACACATTTGAAGATGAATTCGATGAATTCTTGTGCCAGTGCAGCGTTGATATTGTCGCTGTTGACGTAGAACTCTTTCGATCGATGTTTGTCCAACAGGAAGTCCGGAAACGAGGCGTGAAGGAATGTTATTTCCGAAATTTCGCTGAAGGAACTGATTGCGATGACGGAGGAAAGATCGCTCAAGAGCAATTCTACCACTCCTTCAGGCAGGCCTAGGAGAATATCGAGCGACCTGCAAGGGCTCGAATAAGGCGACGGAGGGGCGGATAGAGCGCATGAGTGCAACACGAAGAATGCGGAGCAGGTCCTTGTCTTCCGAGGCCACGATACAATGCACCCAGCTCGGGGAAGGGTGGGTTTCTTTTATCTTTCGCCAGACCTTGGACGACTTTCAGGCGTTCGACTAGATTGTGGCGGCGCGAGGTGACGTAGTTGACAACTGTGGTGGCAAAGACAAATTGGCCAGAAGACTTGCGGACAAGAGAGTTTATGTCGGCATCCAAGGGCCAGATCCCTCTAATGATCTTTGAGAGGGAGTGCTTCCGCCTAATTGTCGACAAGAAAGAGCTTGATGTCATCATCTGGCGCCCAGCTGCTGTCTAGGCATAGCAGCTTTAGATTGGGAGCTACTCTTTCTTCGCCGAAGGTGGAAGAAAGTTGTTGCTCGGGTCGACTAGCGATGAGTAGTTTGTGCGGGATGGTGTATTGCATGCGTTGCAAAGTCAAGAAGAACCAACTAGGGAACAAGATATATGACCAGCATCGAGAATTGAGGGACACCAAGAGGAAATAAAAAGATTAATGTAGACTTGCTACATAGATATACCAGCTTGCAGTGTAGTCCCATTCCACGATCTGCGTTTGCAAGAAGTTTGCCGATGGTATGTGGTCGGCCATGGCCACCGTGACAGAAATAGGTAAGGCTAAGACACCGGTCGAGAGGTACTGACTACTTATGTCGTAGAAGCAGTATACCACTTGAGGATTAGGCATCCGAGAACTGTAGGCTTTATACGTCCTGGCTGCTAAGCCCAGCGAACGCTAAACAGTCTGAGAAAGGTCATGCAGACTAGCGATTCGAAAGCAGTGAGAGGGCTGCAGCCTCCAACATCTGCGAATGAATCAGGTGAAAATATAGGCAAAACAGAGGTATAGCTTGACCAACGCGCGACACATCGACAGCTATGTGAGGCTGTTGGGTCCGACCAGAGACTAGGATCGCCATAGTTTCTCTTCCATGACCAAGTCGATTGCGAAGATAATCCGAATTGATTGACTATGGAAAATCGGCGTCATTTTGTCTACGGACGCGGCCACGCATCGGCCGCTTGGGAAGCGTAATAATTGTAACAAGTTGTGGGCCGCGAGAACCTTATCCTGGGAGTAGGTCGTGCCATAGAATTCTGTGTTTCTGCAACCCGAGAGCTGAAGCACCAGCGATATGAAATGATATTTAATGGATTCGCGGACACCTTCAATTGCTCTTCCATTAAGTTCCATCATCAGCCCCCGTACCCACTACATTTAGCACAGCGAATTCGTTTGAGTGAGCAGGCCGAGACGCCAGGGAAGAGCGTTGTAAGTCTCGTTGGCGGTGGGGCTCATACCCTGATAGAGGTACTGCATCTCGCAAGGGCTAATCTTGAGCGTCTGGTCGTATCCGCTGCGGACCATCTCACCGTGGCTGATATCCTTGGTCCAGGCCGTTTCACTGAATGCGACGTTGTTGGCCCGCGCGAATGGGTTACTCTCGGAGTCGGCGAGCGGCTGCCATGGTCCTGCAATATTGATTGATGTCCAGGAGCGGAAGTACCTGCGCCCATCGCTCCCAATTGCCTCGACGAGCAGAAGGTAGTTACTATCTGAATCGACCTGGTAAACGTTTGCGGCTTCGAACAGGCGGTACTTGTTAGCGTCTTGCATTGCGATGACCGGCTGGTTGAAGCCGTCTGGGAAATTGGCAAGCGGGGTTTGCGATCGGTACAGCTGGCCGTTGTCGTCGGAGGAGAAGAGGTGGCAATTGGCAGAGTCGCAGATGACCCACATATCGACCCAGTGGCCATTTCCGATGTTCTGCTGGATAATCGACGGCATGCCGCTGTAGAAGGTGCGTGGCGCCGTCCAGCCGTTCGGGTTGCTGATGTCCGCGTTGGTGGAATAGGCCGCATTGCCGTTCTGGTAGACGAGATACCAGAGTTTGTGTGGTGCAAAGTAGAAGACTTGGGGAGCGGCGCGGTATCCGGTCCCGATGGGCGATTGGTCGAGGTAGTAGAAGTCTGCTGCCGCCGCCTGGGACCAGTCTACGAAGCTGAGGTAGACGAGGTTGTATCCAGAGGCCACTGCAGTGCTAGCGAAGACATGCCAGCGGTCGTTGTAGTACACAACAGATGGGTCCTTGATACCAGCGATGTTGCGAGAATCGGTTTTGGGGCCGATTAGCGCAGCACTGGAACTCCACCTGAAATTGCTGGGTAACTTGACAGGGCTTTGGGTGGCGGAAGGCGCCGGGGTAGTGTTCTGGCCAGTCCTGGGTACACATTGCGAGTACCAATCTGTTTAATGTTTGAATTTTGTCCAGTTTACAACGGGAGGACTAGATTTCTTACCATTTACGGCGGTGCAAACTCCTTCGGCGCAAGAAGTTGGGCCACTGTTTTTGTTATTTCGCATCAAATTGGTGCTAAGGGAAAGTCCTTACGTGAAACCCAACTACGGGGAAAGGGTGAGTGAAAGGCTCTCGCGAGAGAAAGAGACAACTTACTCCACCACATTGACCCCAGAGAGGTGTACTGGCACGAGATGCGATGTGGTCCGCCACCGTGAAAGAGACAGCTAAGGCTAGGACACCAACCAAGACGTATTGACGACTCATGTCATGTAGAAGACGAGTACTGCTTTGCTTGAAGGACAGGCATCCCAGAACTTGAAGACTTTATACGTCCTGGCTGCTAAGCCCAGCGAATGCTAAACGGTCTGAAAACGGTCATGCCGACTAGCGATCCACTTCTCTTGACATCGAAGTCTGCTAGTGAAGCATCCGAATAGTCACAGGTTTCGCCTCCATGAATCCAACCAAATTTACTGCGAAGTTCTTCCGGATGGATTGAATACGACGGGGCAAGGCTAAGCGGCGCCATGTCGAAGAGTAAGAGGGCTGCTGGCTCCAACACCTGGGGACTAGCCATTAGATTAGCGACACATCGACAGCCATGTGGGGCTGTTAAGTCTAACCAGAGACTAGGATCGCCATTAGTCTCTCTTCCATGACCAAGTCGACTGCGAAGATAATCCGAGTTGATTGACTATGGCAAATCAGCGTCACTGTCTGCGAACACGGCCACCCATCGGCCGCCTGAGATGCGTAATAATCGTAGCAAATAGTGGGCCGCGAGGACCTTATCCTCGCTCCTCTTTTTCAGCGGCTGAGAGGGCGGCTCCGGGGTTCTACTCCTCGAGTTGCAGAAACGCCGAAGTCCCTCATCTGCCTAGTGCTCACCCGCCTTGCCTTCTGGCTTTCGGGCCTTGAACAGCCCTCGTTCCTTGACGTTGTCAACGATGACCTCGACATTAGATAGGGCCAGCTCAGGTGCTATGGACGTGAGGCGCCGCCGTCCTATTGACGAATAAGGAGAGCAGTAAGAGCAAATAATCCTTCTTACGAGCGAAGGACATACCAACGATCGCCCAGTTCCTCGTGCTCGGTATCCGCAACGTCTCGCACTCAACCTCCCACCCACAATGCAGGCTCAGCGAAGCAAGCCATATCCGGTACATCGAGTACGAGCTCTTGTGGGTCCCATCTCCGCCCAGGTTCAAGCTGTCCGCAAAGTTGGGATTGGGAATAGGGTACGGCGGCGTCGAAGATCGCTCATACTTCATGTCGAACGCCCACGAGCAGCATGGGATGGAGATATACCCAGAGGACTGATGCAGCGTCGCCAGTACAGGCACCCACGGCGTCAGCTCGTCGGCGTGGTTTCCGATGATGAAGGTGCCGGGTTTGAAGTATGTTTCATTGGCTTTAGTGGTGGGATCGAAGGCGTAGACGCGGAGCACCTCTTGCGTGGATTGAGGATAGTGGTTCCAGGAAGTTCTGGTCCGAACGTCAACTCCAAACCCGCTGTAGCCTTCAGAAGTTAGGATGTGCGTCAACAATCCATTCCCACAGCTTTTGGACCGAATTAGGGGCAGCATATAAAATGAAGATGAGAAATCCGTACCCAAAGTCCAAAAATCCGCCTGGTGGTCGTGGCCATTGCTTCCAAGGTTCGTCAGAATTAGTTTGTTCCAATGTATCTGATGTTTTGAACGTCTCCAGCCAGAACAAGATCAAGAACGTCGCAATACCAATGTCCTGAGTAAGTTAGAAAAGGTGCATACACAAGCAAGAAGCAATCACTTACTTCAAAGACGTGCTTCAGGGGATCTGTTACTTCCTGCCACGTATCCACGAGATATTTATGGCGTTCTCGCATAACGAGGTACAGATCTTGATACGCCTCTCTCGAAACCAAGCAATCGTGTCTAACCCGCTTCTTGTAGTTGGTCATCGCACCCCATCCATACCGATGAAGCGTTTCTAGAAGTGCAAGGCATGTACGATACAACCGAGAGTCGGGATCGGTGGGTGTTCCGGCGAGTGGCACAACTTCGATGCGGAGAGTCGGCGAGTCGGTTTCGAGATAGCGAAATGCGAGATGATGGACGGTAGGATGGTAGTAGGGGAGTGAAGAACCTTCTTCGACGATTGGTGTCAAAACCAATGTGTTCACGATTTCGCCACCATATAGAGTGCAATATTGGTCCAAAGGCGGATCACGGCCTGGTCTTCGCGGAAGTAGCTTGCGGTGAATATACCGAATTCTGTGCAGTTCTTCAAACACCGGAATCGCATCAGGGAAGTCGGAGTTTGACTCTGAGATGACATCCGACCGCAGAATGAGAGTGGAGTTGTATTCGGGGTGGTGGATTAGTTGTGATATGGCAGTCTCGAACTTGTCTCGCAGAGCTGTCAGGCTCGTTATTGAGCGGGTGGGTGGTGAGAAACTCACAAGTTCAAGCGGAAACCCAGCAGGACAGCTGATTAGAGGGGTCCACTGCTTATCCCCTGCAGAAAGCGACGTGTGGTCATTTTCCTCGCATGGACTTGGCTCAAATTTGGGACGTTGCACAGTAGTCATATCATTACCTCTGAACAGCTGATTCATCTCGTCCTCATCCAGACCTTGTTATTTTACATAATCGGCAGGTCACATGTGATGTCCCAGACGCATCATCTCTGAAGTCGTTCATGCGGGGTATCCAAGACCTCCTTTGGACCTGATATGCAGCACTTCTCAGGTTGTTTGACGACGTAGCCTGTGTCCTTGCGCGAGGAGAAAAATGTGTGGTCTTTTCTAAGTAATGTCCATTTCCTTGCCTATCTCTGTTACTGCTTAGCTAGCTCACCTGGGAGAGTGGTCAGGCGACTTGTGAGGAGCATTTTTCGGTCCTCTGTCTTAAGTTAAACCTCGTCTTTATTCTTCCCAAGTCTTGTAGACCTGGAGTACCGTGCGTATCGTGCATGCCTCCTCAAGCTTGCATACCCATCAACTCTTCTGACCCGTTGCCTTCCAGTTCATTGAGGATATTTACCCGTCCTGTACGCCGCGGAGGGTATACCCGCACTTCCTGTCTAATGCGTCTCGACGTGTGTGCAAGCGGTAGATTTTTAGGACTCACCCTTACTACAGAGGACTAGATGATGCTGCCTGGCGCCGCGAAATCGTGATGAACTGGAAATGCCGCGACATCATCGGACGCTATGATCTGATTCCGAGACTGTAGGTTCGTGAACTTGAAGACGCTCAAGAATGATGGTGCCGGGATGTTGGGGTTGGAAAATAACTACCTTCGCTGTTGATGACGGTTGACTTTGCACTCGCTAAGCCAGGCAGTATTTTCGGCGACATGGGAAGCTTCGACCGCGTCCTGTAGACCGTGGTATTTGACCTGAAGATGTGGTCTGGTCTTGAAATTTCATGGATTTCATGTATATATGCATTATCTACTATCTTAACTTCTTTCAAAGCGAAATATACAGTAAAAACAGGCTTTACGAGGCGTAAAGGCATAAAGCCTCTAGCAACGCAGACTCAGGTATTTCAAAAACGTTTGGACAAGTCACTAGTTCACTTGGTATATTCGGGGAGGGGTTGAGCTGGGTTCTGCTTGAATTGCACGCATTTACCAAAAAAAAAAAAAAAAAGGGACAAAAGAAAAGTACACACAACTACCAGCACTCTCCCCATTCATTTTCTCATATATCATCAGAGGTCTTTCGCTTTGCCAGTAATCACTGCCCTGGTGTCGAGGTAATAGGTATGAATATCTCGAATGAAGGGCTACACCAAAGGCTCACCTTCACGAGTCATCTCGTGGACCACCGAGGCAATTCCAGCGAGCGAAGTGTAATCCCGTGCAGACGTGACGTTCGACGACCATTCAGTTCGGGCCTTCAGTTCGTGAGAACCGGTCTTCTCCATTTCGTACGCAGCCCAAGAAAGGCCAATGCCAGCGATGGCGTAGATGACTGGAAAATCCGTTTCGTCAAACCGTTCCTCGATGTACTCAACCAATTCCTTCTTCACTCTCTCGCGTCCTCCGGCAGTATCTTCTGCCGGCTTTTTGGGCTCCACTACTAGCACAACGCTTTCATGGAGACGCGCGACCTTTACAACAAGAAATTCGGGTTTACTGCCAGTGCCAGTGATAGAGGTTTGCGGCGCTATTCCATAGTCCATGTCAATCGGAAAGTGATGGCCGAGGATGGAGTTCCATAGCATATAGAACCTATTTTCGTGAAGATCGGGGTTGTTCGCAGTGAGTTCGAGGAGATTTTGAGCCATCATAACGATCGCGCGTGGATAAGGCATGTCGGCGATTTGACGAGGTGGAAAACGGAGGAAGACGATAGCAGCCGTGACACAGCCAAATGTACTGCTTAATATGTGCAAACAGGACCACATCAGAGAACGGCATCGTGCCGTGTGATAAGGTTGAATCCCAGAAGCTTCGCTATTCCAACTTCCAACGCAGTTCCATTGGAACGCCCATAGAATGGGTGTTAATTGAGGAGTTTCTGAGTCGGAGATCAGGTAGGTTGCCTTGTTTCTTGTGTAGTTGGCAATCCAGCGCTGTGGAGCAGGTCTTGTGGTCTGTCCAATTGCTTTGACCCTCCGTTCGGGTAGCCAGAATGAAATGTGGGTAAGCTGTCGGTCTCTTGCATGATGACGCCAACTCTATTAATATTCACAATTTGTGCCACTATCAAGCTCGAATACTGCTCATCATCGCATCAGAGGTGAGGGTGACAATCGAGTGTGTCTCTTTTCAATGTATATGCCTTCTTCGTGCTTGAGCACCCGCCCATCCCTCTCCGACTGTGTCTCAAGCGACCACATCCAATCTGTCGTCTCGCGGGATAGATCTCGACTCTGGCATGTACTTTTTTTGACAGAGCACGAGGTATAACCTTCCATGTGTGCGTTCGCGCTAAAGCCGCAGTGTTTGAGCGTCTTCATGAGCAGGGATCGCATCGATTGAACTTGGTCAGTTTGGCGTCTCATGCATGGCATGACCAAACGCGACGGGACATCCTGACAGGGTCCCTCCACGATAGCAGCCGCTTCGACCGAGAAACGAAAAACTAGATCATGTCACACGGGAGATTTCGTTTATCGATACTCTTATTTTAGATAAGGGAATTTTCGTTTTCATTTAAATTTCTCGTCTATACCGTCTTCATGGTTGCACTGTCTTTCCCCAACCCATGTGCCATGGACACCATTTCACTCACCTCGCATTCGTCGTTGCAGACCTCCATCGTCGACTCGGACCCCAATACACCTTCTCAACGCTCGTGAATGCGTTATCCTTCGTATGCACCTTTCCATACTCCTGGTACTGCATGGCCGTGCAGGGATGCTGCAGGAGCTCGGGTTAGTGGTCTGCTGGCTTGGGCTTGGACTGGCTTGAAGGGGCCCTGGCTTCACGAAATCGTAGGCCGGGCCCTGGAGGACAGCTTGGGCTTGGCCAGACCTGGCTTTGGCCTGAGCCCCGGCTTTTAGTAGGTTGCGAGAAGAGCACAGCAGCAATTGCTGGCCGTAATACAGAGGTTCCGTGCTTACCTGTTCCTCATCTCAGCCACGCCGCCCACTCATCTTTGCCGTCGACCTCCATCCGTTCGAGGACAACTGCGTCGGGTAGAGGTGGCTGCAAATCAAGGACACGGGCAGGACACGATTCGGGAGCACAATGCACAGAACACAAAAACAAAGCAAGAGAAAAAATCATCCACCTATCACCCAACCGATCCCACCGCGCCGACATAATCACCCCCTTCTCACCTGTGCCTAGCACCGTTCCCATTCTACGCACCCCCGCGGCTGGAACCGCGCCTGACCCCTCAGTGACCCCTCCCTCCGCATCGCCTGCGCGAACCCCGAGCCCACATCTCCTACACCTCTTATCGCCCCGAGGACCATTCGGCGGGGCCGGGGATTAAGGTGTACACCGAGCTACCTAGTGTTTAGGTCGAACCCTGCTCCGCGGGTTTGGTGGTACGAGAGGGCTTGATGCCGCTATATTTGGGCTGTGGTTGGTGCTAAGTAGACCGGCGACCATTCCCTCTATGAGGTGTCGTCCTCCGCAGGTCCTCGATAGAGGTTCTCCTTGTTGACATTCGCGTCCTTCTCCGGCTGGTCACGAGTCTAGGTGCTAAGTCGGGCGTGTCCGATCCGCATCCGTAGTAGCCGCATCCTTCTTCGCAAGGCCACAATGCGTCCTCGCACTCGTCTGAAGTCAGTGCACGAACCGCGCAGTCGTAAGGAAACGGAGTGATGAGGGTAGGGATCCCAACTCGCCACCGAACAGCCCAGCAGCGTCGAAGAACACCTTCAGGTAGATAGCATTTCATAGCAGCATAACATAATGCATGCGTTTGAGCAAGAAACAACGAATCTGGTCCTCTAGGAGAGCTACTAGCGGAGAAACGAGATACCGAGATATTGAGCTTCGAAGGCCAAGGAAGATGGTATGAGAAGCTCTGTCTACCAGTAAAATCGCGGGGCCGAATTTCACTTTTGGTACCCAAACTCCTCGAGCGACTTTTGATGATTTCAGGAACGTCAGGTGAGCGAGGGGTGAACTTGACTACGGACGTGGGTGGTCTACGCGAGGTACTATTAGTCAATCACCGACGTCGACAGGTCCAAGGATGAGATGAAGGATCCCCAACGCAAAAGCAGGACCGATATTTGGCGTCTTCGTCCACACTGCAAGAGATAACTGCAATATCAGGGCGCAGATGACGAAGAGAGAAAGAGACCCGACAGACCTATCGCCCTATCACAGATGGCCTTGATGTCGCCGTCACTCCACGTCAGGCTTGACACGACGAAGCAAAAAGGGCTGCAAGACCTCGTGCAGCGCTTTGATGACCTTCTTGCTCTTCTCCTCCTCGACCTGCGTGCTGTTCTAGTCTTTGTGCAGGAAACTGTCGAGGTCGGAGCAGTCGACGAAGATCTCGGGACAGATAAAGTTGAGAAGGGCGAACAGTTCCTACATATCTTGAAAAGTGAGACTTTATTTATATCGCGAGGAGCAGTTGAGGTGATCTAGAAAGAGTGTCCGGGATCTTGGGCGAAGGACTGCGGTTCAGCTCGACCTCGAAGGACGAAAACCAACTGCGTTCATATCTAAGGAGACATGCTGAGTCTGAGTTTTTTTTTTGCAAAAGTACTTACATATTTCTAAATCCAGCGAGAGAAGCACTTGGTAAAGGATAAAAGAGAGGCACGTTGGACGTTCGATGATCGATGAATTGATGGAGTTGGATGTGAGTGGTTGAGCAGAACTTGAACCTCGATTGTGTTGTGTGGCACGTGATATGCACGTGTCCGTGTCGCGTCTGAAAGGACGGACGCGTCGCGAGGAAAAGGCCAGTGTGAAAGAAGAATTAAAGACAATACGTCAGATACTACTTCAGGTAATCCATGAATACGAATACATTTACTCCTGGGTCACCTCTACGGCCTCTCGAGGAGAAGTTTTAAGCCATGTCGACACTCTGATACTCAAAAAGATGCTTTTTGGTGCCGACCTATGTAGGATGCCTGAAATACACAGACGATGCCCGACACGCTAAATATGCTTTTAAATGTCATACTCGAATAGAGTCTCTATGGCGACTTTTCTGTGGGAGCAATCACGGAGTTCACGGAGTTGATACCTATCTATAACAGACTTCGCCAAATCCAAGGCGACGATTAAGTCTCCCAGTTTGGTCCACCAACACCAGAGGCTAAATTTAACGCCCAGAACTACGCGATATATATAAGAGAGCGGTGGAATTCGCGCCCTCTGAGGCTAATGATGACTACAGTTGACTGCGCCTAGGTACAGACCGATGAGACCGACTGCTCGTTCGATCTGAGCCTCCAATTCAGCCTGAAAGTTAACTTCTGGCGGACCAGAATCCCCCCATGTTGCTTGCAGCCTTGTTGCCCAACCGCCGACTCGCGACAGGTGTGGGAATCAGTGGGATTAAGCGCCCTATTATGGAGTGACGCCACTGCTCTGGAGAAACATTCATCTCCTCCTGATGTTTGTTCCACTCCCCAATGGCTCTAGACTATTGGTCATTCCAGCCGCTTAGTTCCCCTCTTTAACGCAATACGGCGCCGAAGGTGTCTCAGCACGCGCCTGGGTGAGATCTCTTTCCCCTAAAGAGGAAGGTTTGGTGACGGCCTAATGTCGTCTATGACTGAAATCACGAATTTCGTCATAGTTGGCACTGTCAGAGGCTCAGAGCTCTGTAAAGGATGGGCCGTTTGAAGGTCATTTTAGGGAATCGCGGGTCTCTCGCTAAGCATAAAATGAATCGTTCGGGTTTACATTTCGTAAGAAGCATACGGATTAGTACATTTTGTCTCATCAAAACCCACGATCGCTTCGAACCTCCGGAGCACACCTTCGCTGTACGGTGATTGATTCGAACGTATAAGTAATTGCTTCGCCACCGAAATTCCAATCCATCACATCCGCAGGGTCCATCACATCCGCAGGGGCCAACATCCTCTTCTTGACGTTTTTTCCCCATGTGCTTCCCGAGCAAAAAGCAGAAGAACAATTTCAGTGACATCTCCGAAAAGGAGAAGCCCAAGTCCCAAAATGGGACGAAGGGGACTACAAAAGAGGATGCGGTCGTTTCAGACCAAACCACTGCCCCCCAAACCACCTCTACCGCAGCCCCAACACTACCTCCAGTGTCCACTAGCCCCAACACCGCTTTCGCAATGTCTGCCCCCAAGGTTGCCATTGTCATCTACTCGCTGTACGGCCATGTCGCCAAACGTATGTCTTCGTAACGTTCTATCGCTCAACGTTCACTGATCTGTTTGTTACCTTCAATACAGTCGCTGAGGCTGAGAAGGCTGGGATCGAGAAAGCCGGCGGCAAGGTCGATATTTACCAGTACGTCGCCCGTGTCCTTTTGACTCCATTTAAGTCGCTGACATTGCGTTCAGAGTACCGGAGACCCTCACCGAGGATATCCTCACCAAGATGCACGCGCCGGCCAAACCTGACTACCCCATCATCACTCCCGATATCCTCGCCACCTATGACGCCTTCCTCTTTGGTGTCCCCACGCGTTACGGAAACTTCCCCGCCCAATGGAAGGTGAGTTCTCCTTTCCGAACGCGTCAATGGCCTGGTTTCTCATGCTGTCTCTCCATCGTACAGGCCTTCTGGGACTCCACCGGCCAGCTCTGGGCGACCGGAAAGCTCGCGGGCAAGTACGCTGGCTTCTTCGTCTCCACTGCCGGCCTTGGTGGAGGCCAAGAGTCGACCGTGATTGCATCCTTGTCCACCCTCACGCACCACGGCATCCTCTATGTGCCTTTCGGTTATGCGGCTGCCTTCGGTCAACTGACCAACCTCGATGAGGTCCATGGTGGTGAGCATCACAACCCTATTCCCTCTTTTCATGCCCTATGGCGCGATTGTCGAAGTTCGCGTTCGATCTGCAATCCGTCCATTCAGTTGCCATTGTCGTTATCAATGATGTACTAATGACGATCTCCGCAGGATCTCCTTGGGGTGCTGGAACCTTCGCCAGCTCCACCGGTGCCCGTCAACCCTCGGCGCTTGAGCTCGAGATCGCCCAAATCCAAGGCGAGACGTTCTACAAGACGGTCAGCAAGGTGTCTTTCTAAGTAAATGCATTTTCGTCGCATCAAATATTCTCCTAAAATACACGACAACCATGATATGTACGAATTGAACGCCACTCGAAGATGATGTTTGTTGCATCGATGATCAAATTCAAAGCTCTGATTATGTTTGACGCCCTGATAAGATAAGATTTAGTCCAATCTGATATGAACCCACGGCATGGCCGAATTTGGCCCGAATAGTCAGACGTTTCGGAACGCCGTGAACTAGGTGTTCAAGTCATCTTATGTGAGGGTCTCCTTCAATGCAAAGCCGTTCAGCTTATCGATGAGGCATGCGTTGACCCCTGATACAAGTCCTGGGACTGCGTGGGACGACGTGGGTATCCCTCTTCCTAATGGACCACACCCATCGCGTTAGTACCCCGATCCGAAGTCTCTCTGCCGACAGTGCGATCGTCGTAGGAGGCTCACTCCTCGAATGGGATGATCACGAGCCAATGCACGTAAACGAACACGTTAACATCGTTCCTATCAGTGACATCGTACATGGACGAGCTTCCAGACAGGGTCCCGCAACCGAAGGGCTCCGAAGGGCTATAACGGAATTAATTTTTTGCTTGCAGTCTGTGGAACGCATGGACTGGTCGCTTCCCCTTCAACTCCGTTCGAAAGAGACAACACCGAAATTCGAATGAGAGATAATTGCCTTACATGGAAGGCCAAGAATGGCCAAGCAAGAGTAGGACCACTCGCCATCTTGATGCGCACCAAGCCCCTCTCCCTTCCAAATCGCGTCTTTATCTTTCGTAGCCTATTTTGCTTCATTTCATCTATATTGCCATAGTCAAACTTTGAACCTTCGACGTTGCTTCCATGCTTTTGATGTGATATGCAACTCCCAAGACGTCTCCTGCGACCCCGCTTTCCATGGATGTCGATGGTCTGTACTTCGAAGTGGTATATAGATATCGGAGAGTGAGAAGAACCGCTGTCCTGTCAGTATACCCGTCTCAGCTCCGTACTCAACAAGCTGGACCATCGTTTGGAACTACTTATTGTAGCTGGCAAAGGCATAGATAATTAAGTGGACTATCTAAATGGACAGGTATGATGGCCTCACAATACCAGCACCGAGTACCAAAAAAGGAGAGTTAGGTTGCTGTTAGTGGCTCAGTGGCGGCGGTTTCAGGTGCCAAAGAGCTTCAAACTGCATCTGGCTTACTGATGTAGGATTCGGAGGAATGCACCACCGCGTTAGGTGGCCTACCTATTGATGCCCTCCTTCTCATTCCCTTGTATAATCGTGCTCCTCAGTGCTATAAGAGCGGTGACTGACGGCAGGGAATTCTCATCCCATAATCCTCCCCAAGTATCCTCCTTAACTAATCATGGTCAAAGGCATCGCTCTTGTCACCGGTGCCTCTCGCGGAATCGGGAGGAGCATTGCTCTTCGACTATCCAGAGATGGGTTCAAGCTCGCTCTCAACGACCTGCCTTCCTCCAAAGAGGTCCTTGAAGAGGTCCAAAGCGAAATAATCAATAATGGGGGTCAAGCCATGACCGTTCCCGGAGATGTCTCCGTCGAAAAAGATGTAGAATCGATGGTCACTAACGTCGCCGAAACCTACGGCGGCCTGGATGTCGTAAGTACATTGTGCCTGTCCTTCGTCGCCTCCCTTTAGTTGCTCTAACGATGTGCGGTTAGATGGTCGCTAATGCTGGAATTGCCACCATTGTACCACTGCTGGAGTGTACGTCGGACGGCTACCCAGAATTCTACTTGGACCACCCTAACATCGTGCACAGCAACCACCCAGCAATTCGAACGCATCTTATCTGTCAACGTAATTGGCGTATACCACTGCTACAAGTATGCCGCTCTGCAAATGGTAAAACAAGGCCGAGGGGGAAGAATTATTGGAGCGTCCTCCATTGCTGGAAAACAAGGTCGGCGAGTCAGCCCCGTTGGTGTATTATTGCCTCCGACGCCTCACTTTCCTAGGATGGCCATTTGCCAGTTTCTACTCGGCGTCGAAATTTGCCATCCGGGGATTAACGCAATCCGCTGGTACGACCCAGCTCTTTATATCCTCGTCGTCTATATCACTACCGGACTTACATCGTTAGCCTTGGAACTGGGTAAGCATAGAATCACAGTAAATGCTTACGCTCCGGGTGGGTGACCTGCAATTTTTTTGGGCTGCCGAGAGGCTTACTACGAAGAATAGGCGGCGTTCCAACCCCTATGCGTAAGTGAATATCCCCCATCAGGGACCACTAAGCCTTAGTAGTCCACGTCTGCTAGTCGAGGACATCGCAAAAGATTTGATGGGCCACCTCGCGAACTCGGGCTTCAGCACTACAGTACGAGATCAGCCCCACCCTGTCGAATCAACTGCTGACCCTCACGACATACAGGACCATCGAGCGCAGGTGATCGGTGCTGCAAACAGAAGGCATACAACTCCCGAAGAAATCGCCAATCTAGTGACATTCCTTGCCTCAAAGGAATCTGAACCGATAACTGGTACGTCTCTCCCCCAAGAAGTGGAGCGTAATTGAATGCTGAACTATTTTCTTACGTACAGGCCAAACCGTGAGTGTTCTCGAGTTCGTCCTCTTCGTGGTCGCTGATTTTTGCTGCTATATGCTAGGTGTCGATCAATGGAGGGTTGTATTTTGACTAATGATTATTCGATAGCTGTTTATTCCTTGGACGAACAATTATGATCACCACTTGAATCTTCCTTGAGTCGTCTTGGAGGTCTCCTAAGTAGTAGTCATGGCGAGTTGTGCATGCCCCCTAAACCGTGGTGCTACAGGAAGCCGCGAGTACTCAGCCGCGAGAATTATCGAGAATCCTGACGTAGCGGATAAGCACGCTTTGACTTCGTCTAGGAGTCATAAAACTTGACTGAGAACCCCAGTATCCTCGTCTTCTATGACGAAAAGGGCTCAGCCCATGTGCTGCGTCGACCATTATGCCCTGGAAGGCCTTTCCTCGTGAAGACACCAGAAATCTCGTAGTGATTTCCTCCTCCAGCAGGGGATGGTCGGGGATAATCAGCATTCGATCAACCAAAAATGGTAGTTTGATCTTACATGAAGAAATAGTTTACGTATCTTGAATAAAACAAGTGCAACAGGCAGCCCACTTTCAACGCCAAGCTAGTGCTTTCAGTGGCAATTCCAGTCATCGGTTATCCACATCCCGTGCGTGCGGCCACCCTAGAGAACGATGCCATTCAGAGAGCGACCAAATCCGAGTATCACAAGGACACTCACCCATTGGGCACAAGAGGTAGGTGATTCGTAATAGACGCCATTTGGCAAGGTGTTCGGGGTGGTGTCGCACATCTCTCGCCAATCGTCACCCCACAGAAGGTTCTCAAGCACTGCTTCGTAATGCTTTTCATGAGAAAGCATCAGCACTAAGTTAGATAAGAATTTCTGAGGACTTACCCTTTTCCCCACTGTATAGCATCCCTATGGTATTGAGAAATTAAGCGCCCGTAGGACCACACAAGGAGCAGGCATACCTTATCGTTGAAGTATCCCCACCACGTTCTGCACGACGGTTCATTCGTAACAACCCACGTCCCGAGGATTTTCCCGTTGTCAATCTGCGAGTAGATGAAGACTTGAAATCCCAGCAAAGTACACGAAGATGCGTCTTACTCTGTCGCATTGTGCGGGATACAAGCTACCACCATGAGTATCGACGGCCTTATTGAAGCACTCCTGAACCAAGTCGAGGATGCGAAACTCGCTAGAAAGTGTGGCGGTGTACTCCCTGGCACCGTGCCGTAAGCAGCGAGGAGACCCTTGCCAACCACTCCAAGAGAGAGTCTGTCGGGCGACTTCCTTCTGTTGCTCCAGCTCACGACGGGCATTCTGTCGCTGCTCTTCCCACTCACGAGCCCACTCACGTCTACGGGCGGCATAGGCGTCAGAGTAGATGGTGTCGTTGAGGCAGTAGCCTATCGCGAATCCGACGACGACGGCGACGAGCAAGTGAAGGAGCGATAAGGATTTCGCAGACTCTATTCGCGGCTTCGTATGGTTGAACGTCCCGTATAATGGTTCCTGTTCTCCGTTGCTGACATAGAGGGGACCATTGGATGGAGGAGTATGGGGAACGTAAGGTGGTAGACTGCAGAATCGCTAAGATCCGGTTCAACGTGCCACCTCGTTACTCACCCACTCTGGGAGTCTCTGCCATCTTGCCCAGCCCCACCGTAGCTTATGGGCATCTTGCTCAAGAAAATCGAGGAACGACGGATGAGAAGGTGAGATAAAGAGCTCGGAAAGTCGCCATTCAGTCACAAAGCACTGCCACGAGGCTGATACACTCATCGGGCCGACGGCGATGACATCATGACACTCGGCTGCGAGCAAAGGAAAGTCGGGTAGCGCACAGATCATTCAAGGCTCCCAATTTCGCGATTTCTTCAGATTCATTGGACGAAACCCCAAACGTCGACCACTTTCCAGGTCAGAATGGCAGAAGAAAGGGGGTGGCAGTGTAGCGCGGCGTTTGCCGAAATTTGGTCTGCGAACGAAAAAGATCCACAAATGAAAAACTCACGAAAATCTTCTAAAATTTGTTTAGTCCTTCGAAACTCAACTTCTACCTGGAAAGGCGGCAAAACGCTGGTGCGTAATTCCTCAGCAGATTTTAGGAGCATGAAGCTGTTCTATTACATAATGTCCAACTAAGGAGTCCTCAGGCAGTGACAGTGAGGATGCAAGTCCAGACGCGTGCCTGTCATGGCCAACAAGTGGCGATGTGGGATCAGCTGGGCGCTGAAATGTCGCCACAGACTTAGCTCCCACCTGATTCTTCAGCGTTACCCAGCGGTATCTCTGCTCACCTTACCCGTGGAGGTAATACAACGACTTCGAAGTTCGAACAGTTCTACACGATGCCTCCTGAAGGCAACTACCTTATCACAGGCGGCTCGGTCAGCTTCGCCTCTGGAGATGTGATTCATCAACATGCGCAGTCTTCTATATAGATCAAGGTGCGTCCGAGTCCCGTTCGCACTCCGTATCTTGATTCACACTTCCAAGCTCTCGACAGATTGTACGCGAGAGCCTCCCCGGGCGCCTTTCACAACTCCTTAGAACGATCAAATGACCTAAGGCAAGAGTCGTTCCCTAACATAAACGAATCGGAGGAGGCGTATGGGGGACTGGCTAAGGAGATATGGGAGTGGATATACGACGCAGAAACCTCGACACCGATCATGTGGGTCCACAGTCCAACCGGAGAAGAGACGTCGCACATCGCCCAGGCCATTGCTGACGCCATGCACCAGCGAGGCGAGCTCACGGGCTCTTTCTTCTTTTCCGACATCAGCAATAGTGGGCGCTATGATGGGACCCGCCTGGTGCCTACCCTCGCATATCAGCTTACACAGAGCATTCCTCAGACCCGCCTCGACATCGCAAACGCTGTGGTCCAAGATCGCTCGATATTTGACCTAACTCTTCTACACCAATTTTGCAAGCTCGTTGTCGAGCCTTTAGAGAGGTTTTCGCAGTCGATAGAGCAAGAGGTGTCCACAGCGCCCAAACTCTTCATCATCCATGCGCTCGAAGAATGCCACACCCCAGGTTTCGAAGAGTCCTTCATCGAGGTGTTGGGCAGCTCGCTGGGACGAATGCAACATAACATCCCTCAGCGTTTCTTGATCCTCGGCTGTCATTCTGATGATCTCGAAGGATACCTTTCGAAGCCACTCTTGCAAGATATCGTTCTCCGGCGCCCTTTGCACCACCTCCCCGATAGCAAGCCGACATCCGACTCTGACGAGAAGTCTTTCTTAGACTTCTTTCACCTTAGTGAGAACAATAAACGGGCACTCCTCATGCACGGTGCAATTTTTGCTCAGAGAATAGTGAAGGGCTTATTACGATGAAATGGAATTGCCCTCAAAGAAATAACTTGATTCTTGCGGATTGCAAAGTCGTTATCTGATTACGCCAGACATAGAGCATGTAATTGGACACATAGTGTACAATGTAAAACATTTTCTTATCGAATACTTTCCTTTCTTCATTCTGGTCATCGTTCCCTTCGATTCCTAGCGACATTTCAGCAGAGGAGTGCCTGGGAATTTCGGGCCGTCGCACACACGGTAATCCATCTGCCTCGTGTTGGTTCATTCCCGAACAGAGTGGCTCTGCTTGCTTCCTACCTTCATCCACTTCTTCATCCGGTTCTCCATCGCACCACCATGTCATATCCGTGGTATTCTCCTCCACCTCAGGCCCAGTCACACGAGCGTTCACGGCGGCATCGTGACTGGGGCAGAGACCATCGCAGCAATCGGTGCGTGGGCGCTTATTTTGCATAGAGCAGCAGTTTCACTCATCAGGCCCTCTCCCAGCCCGCCACCATACACAAATTTACCACAAGAGAGCGAAGGCCTCCTTGGGAACCCGCAACCGGAATACGGGTCGGTAAATACGAATGGTTCAGCCAACGGCCAGCCGGCGAAACGGACCAGCCGACGGGCTTTCTGGATGTGGATGGTCGCGGCCTGCATCATCGGCTATCTCACCAGTTACCACGTCCTTTCTTCCTACTACCAGAGTCTCCGCAGCGGATGGACTCAGGAAGAGGCTCGCCATGCGGACCTCGTGAAACAGTGGACCGCGGAGGAGCGGGAACACGATGCTCTCAGAGTGAAGATGCAGGTTGAGCGAGTGGCGATGAACCTCGAGAGGAAGCGATGGGACACGGAGTGGGAAGAGCACGATGCTCTCCGATTGAAGATGCAGGCTGAGCGAGAGGCGATGGACCTCGAGAGGAAGCGATGGGACAAGGAGTGGGAAGAGCATGAAAGGCGCAAGGAGGAGGGGAGGAAGGAGGAAGAGAAACAGAAGGAGGAGACTAGGAAAGAGGAAGAGAAACGGAGGGAAGAGGCGAGGAAGGAGGAGGAGAAACAAAAGGAAGATAAGAGGCGGGAGGAAGAGGAGCGAAGGCGGTCTGAACGCCACGAGAAGGAGCAGAAAGAGCGCAGGATGCGAGAGCAGCTGTTCTGGGTTGGATTTGGCCCGTCCCAGTGCGTAAAGTATGGCACCAGGGAGTACTCTGCGACCCTAGGGGGTCGGGTCCCTCTGGAGTATGACACGAGAAAGGAGTGTTACGAGAAGTCTGCCGAGATTCATGGACGATTGGTGAAGCCTACCCGGTGCGATGAGCAGGTGAGTGGCTGATACTTTGTATCCACATTCACTCCCTCAAATTTCATTAGGATACATGCGGCAGACCCCTGGCTCGGTGGACCGTCGACTTCGACGAGGCTGCTTGCTCCACTTGGTGGGGCTATTTCCATGATAAGGTGTGTTCTCCTCCATTTCTTCAGCGAATTAACGACGTTTCAACCTGGGATTTGAATGAAGGGGTGTTATTCAACCGGCAAACGTGTAAGTGGCTAGTCTGAACTTTGTCGGATTGACTGTTAAGGCTCCTGAATAGCACTTCGAGGCGCCGTTGGAGAACCTTCAGTCCGAAGACTACTGGCGAGATATCTGTGGAACCACCCCAGCGACAATTAAGAATGTATATTACAGCAGTCCTACCTCTTGCGCGGAATGGGTAAGTATTTTTTATTCATTTACGTTGCACCACCTCACAAGTATCTTTTGTGTAGGGTGGCCGTAAGTGGGGCATGTGGGACGTAGATGACGGGAGCTGCGACTGAATAAGAAGAGTGATGGGTAGATATTGGGTTACAGGAGCTCAAAGTCCGCCCAAATATGACAACCATCGCTGCAAATCATTTTTAAGATTGTACAGCGACTTCAAGCTTACAAGGACTATACTTTTTTCTTTCTTTCTTGTTTTGTCTCCATGTATAATAGAGTGCTATGTCTCTATTTTCTTGTCAGTTATATGAAATATTTCCTGGAGCCCCGCTTTGCCATGCCTCGCCTCGAGAAAGACACGATCGTCGGTGGTTCCTAATCGGGAAGTCGGGCTACCTGAACGGGGTTGCCCCCCAAAAATGCTCGTCTTATCGAAGTCAGAGAGTGCCAACCCCAACGCAAATGCGCATGTGACCTTAAGGAATCTTCCTTCATCAACATGTACATATGTAAGTCCCATCCCGGTGTCGGCCATTCTTTCTTTCGAACCCCCATCATCTCCCCCTCCTATATCGCGACCCTGTTCTGAGCCTCGGCACTGTTCCAAACGACTTGCTGTGTGCAGGCCCGGTAAGTCTATGTCAGTGTTAGCCCTCAGCGTAAGGCTCCGGTCTGTTGGCTGGCAGCACTATGGCCGTCTCCTTTCCAGTGGCCAGGCGAATGAATAAAACTTGAGAAGAACAGTCCGTCATTCATGGCAGCCGGCTGGCAGGGCTAGTTATAGAACGAGTCTGAAAGCCAATTTGTAGATACCTCAATCGCATTTCCTTCGAGCAGCATGGAATTTTGGAGCCTATTACTCAGCATAGGCGACGGGACCGATATAGACGAGTCGGCCAAAGCAATGCTGAGAACCATTCTTAATGCACTCGAAGGACAGTGATGGCGTTCTGACTACAGTCGGTTGGGCGACAAGAAGGCAAAACCCGTTCTGGGACTAGAGGTCTGACCATCCCTCTGTTGCTGTGGAACTCGGAGACATATATACCCAGCGAATTCACTTTCCAGCGACAGTGTAGCTGAAAAGGAACTTTCGCTGAGAGACCACCGATCACGCGCCAGAGGGAGAAAGGCGCAAGTGCTAAGTTCATGGAAGATGCAACCGAAGCATACAAGATAGAGGGGAGAACTGAAATGAGTAGGCCGTGCCTCTCTACCTGTACATCCAAAGGGGAAGAGAGTCCACGAGCATAGGAAGAACTGGCTGAGGTAAATCTGCCCGACATGAACGGAGTCGCCTAGATGTGCTGCATTTATGGTCGGGCGGAGAGCTGAGCCATGATGCTCGTGGTGGTCGATCAAGGAACTAGAGAGCCTGGTGTAGCGCGTTGTAATAAACAAAGACGGAAGGCGGGGACTACAAAACCAGAAAAGAAGTTGTCCAGCGGCGTATGTTCATGACGTCACCGTTATGCAACGGCTTCGTCTCCGCAATGCCGAGAACTGACCCACCTGCAGTCGAAAGACAACCAATGGAGGTCCTTAGCATAATCGGGAGTGGAGGTTGAGTTGAACATCAGAGTGGGTTCATGATAGGTTTCATGCTGGTGAGGGCGAGATTCAAGAGCATGCGCTCGGGGAATTCTCTCTATTCACAGTGGTCTTGGGGAATTCAACAAAGATACCTCCACGAGGCGAGACAAACCAGTCGCGAAGGAACGTTTACCGAGAGGTCATTGCCCACGGCAAGGACAGCTCGATGAAAATATAGTGGGGAGATGGAGTAGTGAATACCGAAGCGGTCTAAGAGCGGTCCTGTACCCCTAGAAAATGGCCATCCGCGAGCATCGGATGGATGGCAGAAGGAATCAGCCCGACCAAGATGAGGTCACAGAGTTGTATATGCCCTGCAGCCCGTCGGGCAGATATGTCCGTCCATGATGCTCGTGGTAGTACACCAGGGAACGAGGGAGGCCGAAAGATCGCAGTAAAGTTGAGCAGCCGAAAGCGCCCTGGCTCAAAGACACTAATGAAGTGGAGACAGACTTGATTGCCCCAACTCCCAGGCGTCAAAAAACCTCCTGAGAAGCCGCTCGGCCGGCTCCCCCTGGCCTACAAGCTAGATCGCAGCCCAAGTATCGCGGACACAATACTTTTGCTCCAATGAAAGCTCGATGGAAAACCCGGACCACTCGAGGAGGATATCAAAGACGGAGGGTAGCCGAGGTACAGCGTGTCGCCCTGAGAGTACAAGGAATTTTGGACTGCCGGAGGAATTTTGAGGGGGCACGTCTGAGACAAGTTGATGAAGTCGTACTCTTATATGGAACCCGGACAAAGGGGGGATGAGCCGACAAAGAACAAAGGGAGAGGGCGAATATTCTGAAGGATTCCAGTAAGTATGTACGTTTCATTCGCATAATTCATCAGATAAGATAATCTTTCAGATGACTCTTCAGCTTCAGTCTTCGTCCGCCAGGGTGAAAGGTGGATCCATAAGTCTCTAGAAGGTTGCCTGATATTCTCAAGAGATTCTATAGGTCTGAGACAGTCACTTTAATGAGGAAGACGTTGATTTTAATGACCATTCACCTTCAAGATCGACAACATCGATGCCGGCCGCAGCATGGAAGCAGGATAAGTCTGAATTGATCAATTCCGGACGAAAGTCGTGCCGACTCTGGCCCGGCATCAAGGCTTTTAGACCACAAGAAGATTCATTTCGGAACCTTTGGGACCAAACTACTTACCGCCAAGAAAGGTTCGGGTGCACTTTTAAACACAAAGAATCAAACCCGCAGAGACAGCAATATGTTTTTGAAGACAAGTGGTCTCTCGTCTACATTCGTTTCCTGATCCTTAAACAATAGCTATTTCCTTTCTCCAGAAGCTTCCTCGGCTTCAAAAAGCCTTTAAACTTGAAGAATGCCTTCAACCTTGGCATTTCGTTCCTTCTTAGCAGCGGCAATCGCCGGCTATACACAAGGCACCACCTAGACAATCCCTGTTGCTTCCTTGTCCTTCCCAGGTCGTTTTTCACCCCTTCACCGTTGTTGTCGTCGCTTTTCTGCTCTGAAAGTACCCCCTCGACACACTCGAGAACCCCACATTCTTTTGCTATACCCAGCGTTCGAACCCCTGACGAAAATTCACCATGGTGCGACTCTTCAAAGCCATCCCAGCTCTCTTCCTTGCGACGCTCGCTGCTGCCGACCTCGAGATCCTCAGGCCTAATTCTAACGTCTGGTGGGGTGAGTCTGCGTTACCGTTTTCTCGAAGCAAACCCGCGGGTGTGTGGAGGCCTGTAGTGCGGAAGTGCCAACGGAGGGGTACATGTGCCTACTGACGAACCCACTCCCAATCTCCGCTTTTCTTCCATTTTCTACTCCATGATCCTCGCTGACTGTTGTCTTACCTGTTTGCAGTCGCTCAATCCCTCAACGAGATCGCATGGACGTGCAACGACTCGCCTTACTCTCAATTCACCATTTTGTACGTCTTGGGTCGCTCAAACGCCGGCTGATCTGACTCGTGTTGTATAGCGTGAACAACACGGACCCAACGGTCCTCGTTTCCCCCATGGCTGTCATTTCCGTCCAGGAGAACTTCCAGTGCTCCATCACCATCTCGCAGAACCAGGCTAACCAACCTGCCGGCACTGGCTGGACTCTCCTCTTTGCCAGCATTTTCAACAGCTCAGAGGTGAGTGTCCGCAATCACCTTGCTTTATTTCGTGTTTTTGGCCGTCTCTTGCCCCTTGCTGTCCAGCTGGGTCTTTGTGACAGCTGGTGATGAACTTCTGGGACATCTATTTTTGACCGGATAGACCATCCTTTATGTTGGCCGTTCTATTTTACGGTTGACCCATGTGGATGGATCGGCACACAGCTTTTTCTAATTTCCTTATCTCCGTCTCGTCAATGGCTAACATAACACTTCATGCAGATCTATGCTACCTCGGAGGAGTTCGAGATCAAGCCTCTCGGGTCGGCTTATCCCACGCAGGCTACCACGGACACGTCTGCCTCTGCCTCTGGTGGTGCCTCCACCACTGGCACCGCCGACGGTGCAAACACGACCACCAGCGGTGCCCTTGGCCTCAAGGCGGGCGGTGTGTTTAGTGCGCTCGCGGGTGTGATCGGTCTTGGTGCTCTCGTTCTCTGAATGAGAGGTGGGGTTGATGCGTGCTCCTCGGATCGTTGTGCGTAGCTTCTTGGATACCTGCTTCAGTCTGCTTCTTGTTAGGTAGTACCGCTTCTCATTGGACATGCTTTGCTTTTTGAATCGGACCGTTGACGGGTGTTGATACTGTGAATTATCGACTGTTGTTTGTTAATCGTATGCTACTTATACCTGGCATGCGTTTCTTGAGCAGAGCCGCGAGGACTCTGATTTTTGAACCCGTGATCGAGGGATCCAATGTTCTAGAGGGGTTTTTCTAGATCTTGGGGTTCTGGGTTTTCCAATTCGCATATATCCTCTGGGCAGCTTCGGAACCCTTCCCCCTTCCCACCAGCTGCTTAGACTATAGCTGTTCTTTTGATCACAACACAAAACCTGTGGGCTAATCCAGGGTTGTAAGGACCCATCAGTGAATGTGAGCAGGGAACTCACCCCTTCTGCGCCATCGCCTTCAACAGATCGGAACTCTGGGCAAGAATTGTTGAAACCTCCGGACCACCTTTCCGCAGCTTTGTCTGGCCAAGGCAAATTCATCGACTCGGTCTTCGAGCGTGTTCTAAGACAGCAATGAGGAATCGATTTAGCTCGTGATCAAGTAAAAGCAAACGCGTCACTTGCCTTCCTGGCGGTAAGGATAGTAACTTGGGTCTCAAGAAAACTGCGTCTGAGGAATTTCATTCAGGGAATAATCTGGGGTCAGTGGAAGGGATCGATAAGACGAACCATCCTTGTGCACAACCACGTAATTGTCGCAGACCCGTCGGAAGAGCTCCTCATTCGAAGGCATCGTTTCGTCGTCCTAGAGTCGAGAAATGAGAACCGGAGTAAATAGTAAGCAGGAGTTCCTGGATGAATAATCAAAATAATACACACTCCATTCAGGAGTCGTTCCCAAAGCCAATGGCCAGTAACAATCACTTTGCAACCAGGTATCTGCGGCAGAAAGTGTCAAAGGTTAGCGGCTGGTTTTCTCAAGCTGGAAGCAGAATACTGACTCTTCGCGCCAGTTGTGCATTGATGTACTGAAGAGGGTGTGCGACCTGTTTCATGACGAACATCAAAATTTGGGGTAATCATTGAAAAAGTCAAAGACTGACGGTTAGATTCTCTTCGTCCGTGTCCACCTCCAGAAAGGGGAAATTCATAGGCAGTAAAGGCATTACGACAATTGAAACTTGATCAAGCGAGGATGGTAAAGGCCTGCGTTGATTCTCGATGGCCACACTGGACGGAGGATTTTCCACGGTACTCGTTTGCAAACTTGCACAGTCCGAGCCTCCGTAATCTCGAGATTTCTCGCCGAAGAATCGAGAGAGAATGGATCTACGTAGCAACCCCATACCACCGTTTCTCCCTGTCCCTTTGGGACCCGAGGCGTCATCTTCGGGACTCGACCGTCCGCTACTTTCATGTGACTCGTCGGATCCACCTTCTCCCTCGCTGTCGTGGCGACCACGCCTGTTCCACGCGTCTTCGGACAGTGTGACACAGAGCGTCCTGACGAAGAGACACTGGTTCTTGTATTTATCTGGCTTGTTCTCGGAAGGGTCCATCTCTCGTAACCGCTCTACCTCGTCGCGAGAGGGTCCTGTCTTGAACTCGGCGCACCCATTGTGACAATCCCAGTGATAACTGGTCCTGTCGCTGCCACGATTGAAGGATAATTGGAATTCCCCTCCAGTAGTATAGTTTGGGGAGCCCTCTGCAACCGCCATTCCCCAGGCCGTGGTCTTCTCCCGGCCTGTGATGACATGTAGATGGCCGTTTAGGCAAGGATAACCGCGTGTGTCCGTAACGTAGTTATACCAGGCTTTCGCATTTTCGCTCACGAACTGTTCCAGTCTAGCGACATTAACGAGATCCTTGGAATCGACGGGCTCGGGAATAGCGAGGATAGCGCTGTCGGAATGACGATCTAGAATGAACAATATCTCTCTGTTTCGATTTTAGCAGTCAGCATCCCAGTTTGGAAATTGAGGCGAGGCACTACTTACTTAGAGTCACCCGCGGTACTTGACTCAGCTACCGATCGGCTGGCAACGAATTTCCGTCCGTGAAAATGGTCGGAATACCCCGCATAGTCACCGGACACATCGCTGAATCCCGGTTCCAAAGGACGGAAGTCGTCGGGTAAATTGGGAGGATTGTAGAGATGGTCGCGGGGATATAAGATGTTGAAGAAAAACAAAAAGGCGCCTTCTTGCGTAAACACACCGACGTCACCTATTTCTGCCCCCATACGCCGATGTTCAAGAGGCGAAAACTCGTTCGGGCCTGGAATACCGAGGGGAAATCCGCGTGCTACTTTGGCCGTAATCTGCTGGTGATAGATCTGGAACCAGGTCCTGCGTGCGGACGATAATTGATCATACGACGTCCACGGCGAATCTGGGTCTCTCTGGGGACCCTACAAAGGCACATGTGTTTAGAAAGGAATGAGGCCGACTGTTTCTTCGAAATCACGATCCGGACTCACCAAACGCATTGGGAAACCTTGTCGGGTGGCAGAGCCAGAACCATTTCCGGTGAGTAGCGATGTAGCGGGCGTATTCTGAAAACCACGAGGAGAAAACCGGCGGAACAACTTTAGATATGAAAGGAAGATTATGTTTCGGTGCGTACCAGACTGCCTGATCCGTTTCGTGCAGGGCTCTGAAGTGAAGGGGAGGACAGGTCGGATATTTGAAAGTCACTGGGTGCTGAAGAATTTAAAACACTAAAAATTCCTTGGCTCGGCGCGGGGGTGCCGACGTAGATACTCGTGATTGAGGAGCCAATGACTCGCACATCCGAAGCGCCGGGGAATATAGAAGACCTGCGAATTAGGCAGTCCATCAACTGGTCATGCTTGGCTCTATTCCTGAATTGCACCGCCTGGAAGACCCACCCACTGCCAATGCTATTGCGATATTCATGAACAGATGCACTTGGCGACTCTGGAGGGAATACTCGACTTTGACAATTTATACGGACCAGGTATAACTCACCAATCTGAATAGAAATAGGGTCGTGTTGGCGTCTGATCATTATTAATTTGTGAGCTTGAATACGCAATGTGGCAGACATGCTACACACCGAGACGAGTCCTGCTTTTGAGAGATCCTGCGTAGAAACCCCTAACGAAAGACGAGTAAGTCATGGTCCGTGAATGCATGCAGAGTTCATCAAAGCCAGGGAATAGACTCGCCTTCATTCTGTTTTCTGACCTTGCTTAACCGCACAATCTGGCTGTCTCGAGGTCTCGAGAAAGGCTGAAAACGGGGAAAGGGTGGAATTGGGATTACGGACGAGACCAAGCTTGGAGCAGAGAAGGGGAGATGTTAATGGGCAGCGGAAGGGTGTGAAGAGCATAGCCTATAGATACTGATATGTAGGTGCTGGATCATCGAGGCTGTGATAAGTTGGAGTACATCATGTCATATCTATCTTCTTCGGTTCTCATTTTTAGAGGCGGGTCACATCATCAAAAAGACGCCTTCTCGATATGTTACTTTCGACTGGGACCTTAGCCCAAGGAAGATGGCGGCCGTGTTGTTCAACGTCGCTATCAGACAAACCATGGAAGTGAAACTCGAGGAGGGAGAATGCAATTAAGCACCTTGAGAACGGGCGCTTATATTTCCGAAGAGCGACGTCTATTACCCTCCAAGCTGTGAATGGACTGTGCCGAGAAAAGGCCCTCTGTGAATATCACGAGGCTCGCCTTCTTCGGCCGTTTCACGCCTGCGATCAGCCTCAAGGTCCCTCGAAAGAATCGAAATCCACCTCGGTCTATACATTCACTTGGCGGGAGATGAGGGATCCATCTCACCTCCTCCCATATGCCAAAGATAGACGAGGAGGACATTCCCACTGAAAGCGGACATCCGTGGGACAAGCTAGACCAGGTCCTAGCGGATCTAAGCGTTCTACCACATTTGGAGTTTATCCATCTTACGGCTCGCCTTCCAGATATTGAAACCTTTGACGACGTCTACGAGGACGGTGTCGATGGCGATGACGAAGATAAAGGCGACGAAGGCGAGTATAGTGATGGCGACGACGACGACGACGAGGGGAGGAGGATAGGCTTAGAGCCGCTGACTGGTTCCATGGAGAAGTAATGGATGATTTGGATGACGTCGCTAACTTGATAGCAACTCTGGTGGATCGCTTCAAACTCACTCGACAACGATGCGACAAATTTCGGATAATATTGGTAGGCTCCCTGGGATGCTCCTTAGTCTGGGGTTCCGAGTTCAATATCAGTGATTATGAACACAAACATTTACCTACTCATCCATGTTATTCCAATCCTTCGCGCTCATTGCAATTAAATCACTTTTATTAATACTAGTTGTCGAAAAGGGTTTATATCTGTCACAATTATCAGCGCCAAAAATCATGGACACTTCAAAAGACATACCTACCCATGCTAGGATGGTTTCCAAAACTCCCATCGACAGACAGTCTTGTCTGTACACAGCATTCCTGAAGCGAGACGCACGAGACACCTCCAGCCATCGCACTGACCAGGGGTCAGGCCCGTCTCTCCGAGGTAGCCGAGCGACAATCTGCGCCACACACGGACGTTCAGTAGGGTTCTGTGCCCAGCAATCCTCAACGAGCCGCCATATCTCGTTCGTCAACCCTCTCTCGACGAAAGCCGGGTCTTCAGGAATAGGAGTCGAAGGGCGTGCGCCGAGCATGATTTGCAGTATGACCGTTGCGTCCAAGGTAAATTCGTAGAAGGGAACCTTGCCGGTGTAGATCTCATAGCATACGCAACCGAACGCATAGACGTCTGTCTCTGGGCTCTTTCGTGGGTCGTCGATACAGGGATCCAACAGCTCGGGGGCTTGCCACCGCACCGTACCCCCGCAAATGTTATCGCTCCCGGTCTCGAAGGGTGCATACGTGGACATGGCGTTCCCAGCAATACTAGAAAGCCCGAAGTCGCACAAGCATGCTGTACCTGTGTCGGTAACGAGAATGTTAGCCTATTTCGCCCACACGTTAGTAACTTGACTTGGCTACCAATAGCTGTCTTACCCCCTTCAGATCGCCATGAACGATATCCTTCTCGTGTAGGTATGAGAGACCAGCGACAACGTCGGACACCTGGCCAGAATTCAGAAAAAGCAAACTTGGAGAATAGATAACATACCAGAGGGAGGCGGCGTGTTGCTGGATATTTCTTCAAGTGCTCGACCAGGTTGCCGTGGTCCATCCAGGGTGAGACGAGACACATACGGCGGTACTGATCGTCGAGATGATAAACACCATAGAAGGGAAGGAGGTTTAGATGGAAAACGTGACCCCATACGATTGCCTCCTTGTGGAAAACCTTCAAAATACTCAATTGAATGTCGGGAAAAAAGGAGAGTTGAAGCACACCTGGAGCCTTTCTCGCCGGGAATTTTGGTAAATCTTAACAACCTTCAGGCATACCGCCTGCCCATCGAAGCGACCTTTCCATATATCTCCGAAACTTCCCGACTTGACAAGCTCTTCTTCGAGATTTATTCCTGTGAGGGCGAAACATCGAGGATACAACCCGGATTTTACACTCAGGAGCAACAGGGCATTCAAGAGAGCGTTTTTTATAATAAGGGTTGCGTTCGGATAATCTAATAGCTAGTGTTGATAACATCAGCTCGTTCATAAGAATGGGGAGGAGGGTCCATACCATCTGTAAAAGATCAAGAACTAGTTGAGCGGCATCCCCTTGATAAGATAGTAGAGCTGTATATCGAAATTTATCCTGAAGAATAGAGATGACAACAGAGTATATTGTGGATAGCATGGCGTCGAAATCGTGGTATGGGTGGACTAAGAGAAGGGTATCGAATCCTGAAGACGATAAATAATCATTTATTCCAAAGTTTCCGAGTAAGCTGAAGAGACCTCAGTTGTATTGTCATAACTTCGAAACGCATGGAATTATACGTACCTCGACAAATCCTCAACCTCTTCACGTTCTATTGTGTAGTGTCTCTGATCTCCTCGGTGTGCTGCTAACCCTTGGGTAACCTTCAAGTCCTTCACCAGTTGCTTCTTCCTCGTCAATGCGGATGACCGGCGTCCAATTTCTCGACAAATATGGAGGCATAAAGAATCGAATCGACGAGAAGAGAAGGTTGATAGCTTTTTCCGAATATGATTTCTTCCAAGTGAAGCATTTTTGCGCGGTGGCAAGAAGAACACTACGAAGTTTTAGCCATCCATGGTCGCGTGCTGGTGTTTACAAGGCCACTTACAGCCGTCTCGAAGATCGTTCTCTCTCCTCAACATTTCCTCCCGCACATCCCAACAAAACTCGAAGAACGATGTTTCCGTCATCTGGTACAGAGCTCGTCTCAGCTTAGGCCACTCATTTGAGGCAACGCTGAATGAAAGATAATCTGAGAGAGAACAAAGAGTCAGAGTCCAGGCAGGATGCCCAATGTACCTCCACTGACCTCTGGGTAGATTTGAAAGAAAGAACCGGCCGAAAGCATCAAGTTCCAGGAAGTACTCTTCCCACCATGAAGCGTCTTGGCTACGGGTATCGTAAGGAACTGGCATACAGCCACAGGGAGAAGCGGTCATTGATTGCGACTCCTACCACCTTCTCCTTTATAACCATTTTCCGGGGGGCTTCATCACCACGAGTTCCCTCCAAAGAATCGTATTTCGTTGTATTCGGAATTGACAGGCTGGTCTGCGGCTTCGTGAACAACCCTGAGGTCATCGACATATGGCGATGCCCACCTGTCAAATCCTTGATTATCGTGAGCATAAAATCGCTGTCTTGAGGCTGGCTGAAGAATAGAAGGCGTTATGGCCACACCGTTATTAGCGCTTTTTGAGGATTACGCAAGGGATTGTGGCGGTCAAATGTTCAAGTTGTAAAACGCCGAACCGTGCAGCTGGGAAAGATCGGCAATTGCCGTGACCTCAACAAGCATCGTGTACGCTGCCGACACTTCTAAGTACTCTACGACATATTTTCAAAATTACTGAAAACACAACAGAGATCTCCAGCCTTTCCTCCTTGGCATGAATTTCGTTCCTTCAACAGATGTTGAGGCGATGGTTGATCCATCCCAGGAATCCTTGTCTACCGCATTGTTCAGAACGGCTTGCGGCGGTGCGAGCGCGAGGACGGCATATTCTGAGAGAGAAAGTTGGGCTGCGTCGTTCGTTCCGAGGTCAGGGATCTTGGCGGGAAGTAGGTAAGCATTCCAATCCACGAGGGTCGCTAGACTTACCTCTTGAACTGGAATTAGGACATCGGTTCCCCCGATAGTTCTTACAGGTGCCCAAACGCCACCAGTATTCCTGATAATCACATTCCAGGCTGCCTCTTTAAGTGCCGAATTTTGAAGTCGATCTCCAGCGTACGCCTGAAGTTTCGCGTACCACTGTTGCGATATCAGTCAAGCCCATGGACGGCATACAGAAGTACAGACATTGTTGAACCCCCCGCTTCCGAACGACTTTCCATATCGCTCTATTTTCCTGTGATCCAATGATGAGAAATGGGTATATAAACTAGCCACTCAGTGACTCACTCTGCATTTGACCCGTTGTAGAGTCGGCAGAAATCGATCCAAGCAGCGTCGAACTCAGGCTCGTCGGTGATGACATCCATGGCCTCCATTAGGAACTCTCCACCGCCAAATATCATAGTAAGGTGATATCTTTTTTTTGAATCAATCAACCTTATTTTCTTCTCAGAATGTTGGGCTACTTACGATCCTTGGCCTTCTCCGCCTTCATCGACAAGATGTGCTGTGTCGGCGTTCCATCCGACTGCAGCACCGTTGCCAGTGAAGAGGCCGTATTTGAATCCAGCGATATCTCGCTGGTCTAATCGTGAAAAACGAGTTCCGTTCTCCAAACCTGCCGGTACGTACCATGCCCGTCGTTATTCGATCTCTCCATTTTGTATCGTTCTGCACCTAATTTTAGTTTCGCGCATAGCATATTTTACCCCACGTACTGTCCGTTCCCATTTCGTAAACCAGTTACCGGCCAAGGCTGTCCAATCTGGACCAATCCTCAGGCGCCCAGGACCTTCAGGAGGCGGTGGTGGGAATACTTTCCGTAATGGCTCCCATGTCATGATCGTTTGGTCAGCCTGCAGTGAGTTATCCATCAAATCTCCGACCAATTCGTCAGCTAACAACGACGTCAGTACTTTACGTTGTACTTCGGTCAAAGAGCCTCACTTGTAAGGTAATAGAACGGCCTCTTCAGTGTGCTTGCTGCAACTCGGGCTTCCTTCGCTCCGTCGCCCCAATGCGAGACGTTGTGTCGACCTCCTAGGCCTGCGAATGGCCCTGTGTGGTGGAAGTCGACTTCGGATAGATGCCGCGTCATCGCATGGGCCATCCGGAAGACATCTGCGCGTCCTGTGCGTAGGAATGACATCCACAGCCATAGGTCCGTGGCTACTCGTGTCCCGTGAGTTTACCTTTTCGAAACCAAGTAGATTCCAGAAACTGACATAACTCGCCGTTATCCCAGGCATACCCACCGACATCGTATCTCCAATTATGACGAGTCTGGTCATAGGTGTGCATGACATCTCCGTAGTTCCAGAACCCGTAGAATTGGCGCTGATCAACTTCCTGGGGTCCAGTTGATTAGAACGACGGCCTAAAAGTTGACAAGAATCCCTTACCGCGATGTAGAAATCAAGGAGGTCACTCTTCCTCTTTTCAATCGTCGCGGCGTCGGCGTTTGATGTGTTCGGAACGTTCCTATATGCGGTTCAGTCGCTATACAAAGAGATGCCCAGCAGGAGAGGGTGCCGACCATCGACCGCCGAAAAGTTTCTGTGACGCGTAGAATTCAGGCGTACAGACTAACTGTGGCACCTTCGTCTGTTTTCCGTAAGCTTACATCTTTCTGGTCGAAATGTCAGATCAGTAGGCTTACATATTCAACTGCCAGGTCCGCCAAAGTTTGTCTTGAAGGAGTAGCACCGAACAGATGCAGCGTCAGCTCATACGACCGTCCAATTCCGATAGGGTTCGGGTCGGGATTTCCAACGTCTTCGTAGGTCAAGTCCAGCTAGAAACTTGCATCAGCGTCTTATCTATAGGATAGGAGTACGAGGAGAACGTACGCCATGCGCAACCGTATCATAGTGGCGCATATCCATTGCTGGTGCTTTCGGACTGTATGCCCAAAGCGTGGTCGTGGCTACGTCGGTTCCTGCTCCACGAATATCCAGCGACCTTGGGGCACCTTGCCAGAAATCTGCCGCAAGAATCTGCTCAACTTTCCGACCAACAAATGAAGACAAATGAAACCAGCACCTGCCAACGCGAATACAACTCCGCCCCCGCGAGCTCCACCAACGTACCCCACTCCGGCCGCCCGTCGTCCAGTTCCTTGACCTGTCGCGGGAAGCCAAGCTGCTGCGCCGCCTTTGTCCGCCCTCTTGGAGATCTGGAAGTGCTCGGAGCTGAGTTGGTCGAGTGAGTAGTCGCTCCAGATCTGTGTTGTCGTTAACCGTTCTGATCACTAGTTGATAGAAGGGCGCTGTTTACTTACTGGAAGAGCGTCCAATCCGCTGGAGACGTTGGTTGGCCACGTGCTGACGGCTGGTGTAGCCTGCCCGTTGAACTGTGGATCGAGGACAGCTGCCGTGGCGTCTCGTCTGAGGCCCGACACGACGCGGATGGCTTCACCCCAGACTCCAGGAGTGGCATCTGTTGAGGATGTGGACGGCGTATTTATGAATCGAACATGTCTGTCGTGAAAGAGATCGCTCATTGGCGTAGAGAATTGGAATCCCTGAACACGATCGTAAGCCGTCAGTCTTACCACCAAGTCGCACAAAGTGGGATTCTTACCAAGCCTTTGATAAAATCTTTCTGTTGGTCTCCGTCGTAGATGAAGAAATGGACGACACGCAAGGCTGCAGCACCAGCTGCCAGGTAGAAGCGAATCGTGAATGGCAAGAAATCGCCATGTCCTTCGCTTCCAGCTATGTATTTTCCTGTTATCTAACCGATTTTTTAGACTCTGTCTGCCTCGACAACGAACAGATTCGCATGGACGCACCTTGATCACCCCACGAACTGGCTCCGACTGTTCAATGACGATGTTCTCCACCCGTCCTAGCATACGTTGGATAGAAGCAGGTTGGACGATTGTCCCATTCGCTGCTGACGGAGACGCGGCTGAGAAGTCAGCATCTGGCGCGTTTTGGACGTGTACAACGAGCTGTGCATTTTGTGCGAGTTGGCTCCCTGAAAACCCAAGCGAGGAGATGATGGTTGTGCCTCCTGCAGGCAGAAAACCGACTGGTCGACCGGAGGTTCGTTAATATTTGCTCACAGCGTTCATTGGAAGTTCTTACCTGAAAATTCTCCAGTTGACATTGTAACTACCCCATCGCCACCAGTCGTGACAGACACTGGTGTGGTCGGCTCATTTGGTGTCCCAGGAGCTACTGTTAGACCAGTACCGACATTCGACAAATCTGAACCGACTGCGTGTCCTGTCCATTTCAAGCTTCCGTCTGGCCAGCTGAACGATGAAAATGTCAGCGTCCGCTTCTCAACTCCGGACAAAGAAGAGCACATACTAAGCCATCGGCCACGTCTGGATTGGTACCGCCCCATTCTTCCCCGTCGCAGCGAATGGCGTAGTTCGGTCGGCAGCACCTCTGGGCCATGGAAGCCCAAATGCGGTTCCTGTCGACATGCCATTCGGAGGAACACCATCCAGCCAATGCAACTCGACTGCTTCCGGAGCTCGTGGCTCGGGGTTCAACTGCTTGCTCATCGGAATGGTTGGGGTCGACTTTATCCTCCACTCCTCCGCTATTTCAATGCCGCGTATTCGACTTCTGCGAAGACAATGACGGACCGTCCCTGCGTCATGTGCTGGTGGGTGAGACGCGCGAAGGATAGGAGCCACATGGTGCGGAATTCGGCCGCCCACTTATGTTAGGGCTCATCCAAACTTCGATACGCGATGGACCGTCGACGCCAGCGCGACACTCTACTGACGCGAACTGTACGCGATTTGGGCACATGATGGCGCTGCTGCCTGACCTTGCGTTCGCTGGGAGCCGCGAGTCGGAGAATTGGTCGCGTTCTCCCGATCAGTAGGTCTTGCGTGATACAGTTGAGGAGGCAATAGTGTGGTTTCGGCCCGCTGACTTCTCTGCTCCCGGTCCGCTCGCCTTCGTTGATCTTCTGCGATGACATCCTCTCCTTCGCCCTCATATTCAACCTCGAAGCCTTATCTCAACTCTTCAGGTCGGACATGACCACCTCACGCACAGCTTCAATCGCATCTGCGGTCCCTTGCACTTACACCTTATTCTTTCATTCTGGGTCGAGGACGATCCAACACGTCTACCACCTGTGCCCGATCCTATCCTGGCTTCCGTACGACTCCAAGAGCAAGAAGAAGATCCAAATTGTCAACTACGAAGAAACTGCACCCACTCGGACGCGTTACGTCTATGATATCGCGCTCCTAGGATCGGGTGGTCTGGAGAGAGATAGGACGCTTCCTGCAAGCCTTCAAGTGTGTCGCCCTCCTCCGCCCGCGCATGTACATCCCATGAACTGCTTGCCTAATCTGATAGTGCCCAGAAGGAACTATGATATGTCTAACAGGTGTGTTAACCAATTTTTTTGTCTTTAATTGGCCTGATGTCGAATCGACCCTTGCCCATCTCAGTCATAAATACGCGTCCTGAACATCCGTCCGAGCCATCTCGCATCCTACAAGTCGTTCCTGTGGCCTCTGAGGCGGAAGACATCCCCGAGGCCAGCCTCATCTCCTTCAACTCCTCAAGCGGTGGCCATCAGCTCCAGCTCACGTTCCATGGGGGCCAATACCTGAATCGAAGGCAGCGAGCGCTATTCTATTTTAATTGCCAGTCGTCGGTAGGTTAAGACTTGCTCTGGGATTTCGGCTACATCATGACATGGGACAGGAACCTGATGTCTCGACACCCACGTTTCTCTGGAGCTTCAACGGGACACATTCCTTCTCATGGTCCACAAAGCATGCATGTCCATCTACGTCAGAGACTCACACACCTTCTTCCACCCTCGCCTCAAGTCCAACACCTCATCTACCGGGCGGCCCACCCGTCAACGAGCCTCCACTGGATCCTGACAACCACAACAGCCATCTGCCACCAGCACACGGGAGTGGCTATACAGTGTTTCCCCTTCTCGTTCTCAGTCTAGCTTTCATGTGCGTGTGCCTTTGATCTATGAAGAGCGCCATTTTGATCTCTTTACGATATAAGGTTCATCTTCCGTTATTTACGCAGACGCGGCGGCATCTCGTACCGCATTTATATACCAAGTCTTCGGCGGCCCATCCCTCTCGCTTCAGTCAGCGACCGCTTCAGGAATGCAAAGGTATATCAGGGTGACTCTTCTGCAAGCCATGAGCTCCAGGAAGTGTCGTATTATCATCCTGTCGAGGGTTCTGAAGCCAGATGCCTACTTAAGAAAGAAGGACAAGAACTACCGCGATACGGTACTTGAAAGTACACCTCTTTGGAATTGTCTTGTTGGTATGCACGTGACAATAGAAGTTGCATGCTTTACAAAAGGATGTTCCATTGCTCATTGTCTCTTGCAAGCCTCTCGGTCTTCCGGCCTCGCTGGTGATCGACAGGTGCAAAGCCTATTTATCTGCGGCGTCATCACAATCAGATCGGGGTCTATGGTGCTTGAAAGGCTTGTAAATCGCTGGTAATCACCACCTCGAGAAGGATCCATCTGTCAAGCTCCGAGTCCAACAATCCAACAAGAATACGAAGCACCTTTTTCACTCGGAGAACGCCAGAATTAAGTCCTTGTTAGGTCAACATTCGCTCCATTCAGGTTATCTCGTGGTCTGCCGCCATGCCGTAGAGGTTCTTGACGTGCGGGTCCCCAGCACACCATACTCCTCTGGGAAACCTTACGGAAGAATCACTGTACTTGCGCCGACCAAGTGTTTTTCATTTGCTTAGACCGGAGAAGCCACTACTGTGCTGGGGTAAGACACTCTGTTCACTACCACCATCATCCCCTCCTTGTGTCGTTCACACCCCTTGCTCGTTCCCTCCACGAGGCAAGGCTGTCCGTCGAAGAGTCGCAGAAGGCACTCTGAGGGATGGCCAGCGATGTTACGCTGCCCGACTCAAGGGAGTTGGCAACCTTGTGAGTTCCGTCGTCTAACTCTGGCCTTTCCATTGCTCATAATCTCACCGCTTCTTCGTGGCAGGAGCGTGAACTATAACCTTGCCATCATCGCCTACTGTACGTCTCTTCTTCACCTTATTCTTGTTTTCTCCGAAATTCATCCTACAGCCTCCCAGCTCTTCTCGTCTACGACTACTGCCTGACCTTCGTTGCGGAAGTTGAGCGCTTTTGGAGCATTCGCGGGATCAACTGGGCATCTGGACTCTTCTACCTCAACCGATACATGGTTCTCGTCGGGCACATTCCGGTTATGATCGAATACTTCTGGTCCACGTCCAATCCAGATAAACTACAGGTAAGAATCTGACGCCCTGATTTTCTCCGCCGGTATCTGTAACATCTTTATTCCATGTAGATGTCAGTATTGATTACTTCAATTGCTCTGATCCTCCATAACATTGATCCTAGATGTGACCGACTCCAGACCTATCATCAATACCTGGCAGTTGTGATCCAGTTCGTTGTGGCATGTGAGCCTAGGTTGCTGCGTCATATCCAGAGCCCCAGTGATACGTTCATCTCTCTAGGCATGCTGATAATGCGAATGTACGCCCTGTATGGGAGGAGTCGCTTCGTCCTGGCGTTATACATCTGCGTTACTGCCGCAGCTGGTGCCATTGCCTGCGTGAGTTACTATTATACCTTTTGTCGCAGCGGCCCTGAGGCGCGCGGAATAGTGGGCGATTATCGGTGGAAGGAAAACGAAAAAACATGAAGTGGACGTGCCAATAGGCTGCGCAGTATCTGTGGCGCGCGACCGGTATGTATCCACTCCCTCTCCTGTATATTCGCTCTGCTTATGGTGCGTATTACACCGTAGAGCGATACGTGAGTCGTCACCTGTATCTCTTTTCAACGACATTGCTTACTTTCACTCTCAGGGTTCGCAGCGGCGTGGTCAGGAATGCTCATCTTCGACTCTTTGGTGTTCGGGATGACCCTGTATAAGTCCTTGACCCTACCCCGTCTGCGCGGTGTCAACCTCATCAGTGTGCTCTTGCGAGATGGTATGTATCAGATGTTCTCAACGTTTAACCGTCTTACGAACATAAATGGCAGGGTCCATGTACTTTGGGTATGCAATTGCACTCGAACGTAGATAATGTCCTGAGGGATCCTTATACAGGATAATTATGGTATCTAATTTCACCAATGTTCTAACATTTCTTGTGAGCAATGCTCAACTTCTGACCACATGAACGAGCAATACTGACGATCGTGTTCAACAGCTCGGAGGAGTAAGCCACACCAAACTGCGAAATCAGCTTCGATGCGGATCTAATTAGCTTAATCATCTGTGCAGCCTTTCACGAGAGGTGTAGCAACGACTTTTACGAACGTGTATGTTCTCTTCACTGTCGTATAGAGCTTAACATAATCGGCTCTTTCGTAGCATTTCCTCGGTCATGATATCCAGGCTCATGCTCAATCTCCGACATCCTTCTCTCGTCCCACATGAAAAATGCGATACTTGCCCTACGCGAACCGACCCCACCTCTCTATACTTCGAGCATAATCTTACATCCCAAATCTCGGACGGCGACGCAACGGTGTCGTCGCAAGGACGTCCGCGTGCTGGATATGAGTATCTCGCTCGCGACTTTGGACGACCTCCCCGTGAGTCCTGATCTCCAAATGACAAGATGTTCGAGCCCTCACCTCGCAATAGATCTTGCAAGACAGGATGTAGAACTCGGTACTATTCAAAAGGATTAATTTTGCGTCAAGCGGTTGTACAAAATACGCTCCTGTAGTATTTGTTTATTTGACTGTATCAATAGGACTTTCTCGATACCATACCACGATCTTCGTCACACTATTTTCCCGTTAGATATCTAAGTCGGATACATGGTTCTGGAATCTGCCCGCGGACGTCCTTCCGAATAACATCCCCAGTTGCCTTTCTCTTGAAGTTCTACGTGCTCAATTCAATATGTGCTCTCGTATTATCTTTGGTTATGCCAAGAACTATGTGTTACTCGTAAAATTGCAACGCACTTAAAAGAGCCCCTAAACGCGTCCACGGCCCGCTCAATCCGAGACGCGTCCTTGTTGAACGTCACGTTCGTCACTTCATTTGTCAGGCCTTAGCTGTCACGACCATTTACATTTTCTGCTCTTCCACAACGGCGACGACCACAGGGCCAGGCCAAATGTTTTCCTCTAGCCCAATCTACTATCCGTCGACCCCATCGACCCTTCGGAATCCACTTCAATACCGGCCGTTGAACTCATCACCACTCGCAGAGTCGCCAGGGAAGTCTTCTCCAGTGGCAGCTGCACAAGCGCGCCGTCGCTCTCAATACAAGGCCCACGCGCCGACGACTCCGTCACAATCGCGTACCTCTACTGGGTCGCGAAACGGAGATCGGAGGGTTGACCTCGCTAGCTACTCGGGAGGGTCGGAAGAAGACTCGCAGAAAGCTTTCCTGAGAGGCCGGTTCAAAGCCCGGTGTTTCGAACGAGCAGTGAAGGCTAGAGACAAGGCTATCAGCAAAAAGAGGCACAGTGAACCCAGTAGCGATGACTACTCCATGGACGCCGACGAGGAAGAGGATGATGAGACCATCATGCAGGACGAGGTATGTCAGCCCCCCTTCCGCGTCACATCTTAGCTGATATCTATCTCTTTAGCTTTTCCGAAGAATCATGGCGAACGCCAGTAGAAAAGTTCGTCACGAGTATCGCTTGTCCTATGCCCAGGAAGTTGGCTCTTCTTTTGACCCGGACATGGAAGATATCAATTCTTGGGAGCGAGAGTTAACGGGTACGTCCATCACATCCCTTCCTCTTCACCTCCGCGAAGAACGCTGGGCTGACGAATGCGTCTCCTCCTTCAAGCTTCCACCTCCGCCAATCCCCATGGCGCTTCGTCGGGCATGACTTCGACCTCGACTTCGGGTGATGCCTTTTGGAACCCATTCGAGGAAGAGGAAGAGCTTACGCCTGCGGACCTTGACGACGAGGAGCTAGAGGTGTATGCTGAAGAAGCTGCGCAGAGAGCAGCCCTGGCCGACTTTGAAGATATCCCAGAGGATGAACTGTTCAGCGCCAGTTGGAGCGACGGCGAAGACTTGGGCAGTTCAACCCCGGAGGCGACCATCCGCCTACCACAAGACACGGACATGGACATGTCATAGCATCTTTCGACTTCCATTTTTCTTTGTGCAATTCTCTACGTTTCTCTACGTCTTGCTTTGCTGCTTTCTTGCTTCCGGTTTTTATGCGATATTATCTCATCTCGTGCCACTCCAAAATACTCTCTCCTGCTATCAAGGCTATCAGTGTACAATTATGATCGAGAACCTTTCTGCACATCTGCTTTCCTGTACATATTGTCTTTCTGAAACTGTCTTTTTGTTGAAGCAACTGTCGTTTTGTTGAAGCCACTTTTATGTGCTCTACATTGCCGTTATTGGCGATATACCTCTCAAGCAATGGCGACCTGGACACACTCAATCTCCGTGCATGCACATTCTAACCAGCAGAATCGCACTCCAATCGGCCGCCCTGCACTTCCAACTTCAAGATTCCAAGGTGTCCTGCCCTGCACCCAGGCGTCTCCGAGTCGTTGGCGGCACGAGAAAAAATCTGTGAAAAAACCAGGAAGCAATTATCAACCAATTGAACGCGAGTTGGCGACTTTCACATGAGGCGTCGTGAACCTCTGCTCCCAGCTCCACGACCTCTGCTGGCGTTCTTCAAATGAGGAGGAACTGAAGAACAGTGGAGTGGCGGAGAGTGGCGGAGTCCGTGACCTGTTGTTATCTAATCTAATCACGGTCCTTGACTTTGAGCGCTTGAGCCTCGAGGAGCCCATCCATACTTATGAATGTTTGCCACTTTTTTCTCGATTTTCTCGAAGCGCATTAGAGTGCGCCCCAGTCGGACCTCCAGCACTTCGCAAGTCCTCCTCCCGCTTTCACGCTGCATGGGATAGTTCGCCGATGATCAGGACCTCTTCTCTGCGAGATTGACGCATCGAGACGAGATGGAAGCTAGGGCTAGCTAGGGCTTACTTCGGCGCACCCATGCTGATCCGCGCAGGAAGAGATTTGCCAGAATCCAGCAACCGCCGCGTTACTAAACGCTTTAATGAAGGCAGGAGTCCTTCCAGCGCTTGACCCAGGCGCCATTTGCAACCAGAGCCGTTTCTTCGACAGTTGTCGCGTAAATACAGGCAAGATTTCTCGTCATTGAACGATGTAACATAACATTTATGACTCCTTTTCGCGGATAGAACTCCCTCATGTCGAATTCACTCCGTCGTTACGTCCACGTCGGAACACGTTTTTCATCCATCAGCACACTTTTCATAGGTCCGACGCGAACGATCCTCTTCCCCATCTCCATCGGAAGATACACTCTTTAAGAGCCACCTGGCTGACTATGCACCCTTTCTATGACTATATGCGCTATCTTTTTGCTGAAAGGCTCCTCTTGGTTCTCACTGACCTCCTCGAGGCTCAGCGAAAATCTGGAAGATGCGAAGCCTCGAGAAGACTCATCTGATGCGCTCCAAGTGCGCCCAGCAGCGCCCATCCGACGTTCAGGAGGTGTTGCTCGTCGAGATGGAACGTGCCCATCAGCCTTGTGAAGCTAACATGCACCGTACCGCGAGGACCACGGCGGTGTGGCAGACGGTGGTGTAGCTTCAGCCCGCGCCGGTCGAGACTAGTGGTGATTGCGATCCCGAGCGCGCTCGCCTCTCTGGCGTACTTATGATAAGGTGTGTACGGGGGAACGGAGTTGGGGTGTTTTGTGGCTGACCTCCGTGTTCGATGTTGTGCAGGCTTTCATTAACCAAGGGGTGTCGATTAGTGGCGCCAAGCGTCCGATGTCGCGTCGGTCATGCCAGGGCCACGGCCTAAATCCTTGAGTTCTGTCAATCAGCGAATGGTCATCTGGCTTTTGAAGAGGAAAGCATCGTAAGACCAGCATCATTCACCAGCTGCGGACTGAATATCGGCAGGTTTACGATACTTACTCTAACTAAGGCGGCGTCGATTCAAATTGCCGCATCCCTTCCTCATCGGAAACACACTCGATGGCGAAGAAAAGTCTCTGTTGTAAGACGTTTCTGTTATGTAAATGCTATTCACTTTGAACGACTCTGACAAAAGCACTTGTCATCTTCTATTTTTAGAAACAACTCACCAAGAATGTCACTCAAAGCTCGATTTTTATCCTTCACTGCTATGGGCTAACGCCCCATGCAATTTTCGCCAGCTGCGCGTCCAATTCGTCAAAATAGTTCTCAGGATTTCACTGAATTTTCATTCTCAGACCGCGCGACCCGGTCTCTAACTTGAAACAGGACAATTTAACGTATTGTCCGAGTCCTCACTCAAGCAAGCTCGAACTTTGATAAGTTCCTTCATTAAACTCGTCCAATGACCATTCGTCCCTCACGAGCGATGATTTGGATCGCACGCATATAGGTTAGAACGAGACGGCCATAATTCACTCATGCGCACTTGCTATTCCTAACATGGCCTCTTCGTGTGCGCCACTGGATAGTTGTGCGTCGCCCTTGGCTTCTATCTAATCATCGTTGGTGCTTCCGGAATCTGTTGGCATGCGTCTCGCTTTTCATCGACACCCACTTCGTATTTGATTGAGAAGCTCAGCCAGGCAGAAAACATCGACCTGCAATCCTCTCTCTCTTCCCTAGAAGCGATGTATGATCTTCACGACCCCTCATACTGTCATGCGCTTTTCTAACTTCTTCTAGAACTGCAATGTGTCGTCGCATTCGCGCCGCTGATCATTATCGCTCTCTGCTTCTGGTGCCTTGGGCTTCCATCGGGGATTAATAAATGGCATCCCCTCCGAACGGAGGCGCCATTTTACAGCATTGCATGTCAGCAAGATGGATACAACATTATTTTGGATCCGCGAAGACCTAAATAGGAGAGCGTCTGCAACGGTGGACGGTGCTTAAAGTACCGGTGAGACCCGTTCGGTGTCTTCTGCGTACAGCTTTGAACACCATGCATCAGATTACTCACAATGGACACCATGACCGGTGCTGGGAAGAACTTTGAAGGAAATCTGACAACCCGAGGGAGACTGCGCGGCGTTGCCCGACCAGAACTTGGCAGTGTCTCTTCCTTCGTTGAGATACGGTGTTTGGATAATCTAGCTCAGCCGGCATGTCACCATGCAAGCCTAACCAACGCTGCACAGACGAGATTTTTCATAAGGTGCAATCATAATCATGGCATCTCCCGCAGTTGTCGCCCCCCCTTCACAGAGTTCTTTCGCTCGACGTAACTCCTCGGATACGATCCACGCCTATAAGGTCGACACCTCGCCGTCCTTTCGAGTTCTTCTATACGCTCTTACTTATCTTCGACCAAGTCATGGTCTTTTCTTTTTTCCTCTCTGCCCACCAGCGTGCATGGTAGGTGTTGCCATAATATCCGCTCTTCTTCGACGCTGATAATGGAGCCATATAGCGCCTGGAAGCAGAAGGAGCGGCAGTCAAAAATTGACTCGTTGCCCGCCTTTTACTCGTCACCACTCTCGTTACCAGAGGAAAAAATACACGCTCTTTCCCTTTCTCAACTCGTTAATCAATGTCGTGTTGGCACCCTCTCTCCGTCGTCGGTCATGACGGCCTATGCCAAACGAGCGCTCGTCGCGCAGAAGAACACCAACTGTCTGACGGATATCATGTTCGAGGAGGCGCTCGCCATCCCATCTGTCGCCAACTGGGGCCTTGGTGTAGACTCGGACACCAGCATCAACGAAGTCGCTCGTGAACGGTCTCTGCTTGGGGTTCCTGTCAGCATCAAAGGTGAGTCTTCGAGAAGGCGACGCCACCGATCTGGGCTAACTTCCATTTTTTTGGGCGCAGACACGGTAAACATCGCCGGATACGACACCACCATCGGTTACTCTCGCAACGTCGGACGTCCAGCAGCAGCCTCATCAGCGATAGTACGCCTCCTGCAAGATGCCGGGGCGTTAGTGCACGCCAAGACCACCGTTCCGACTGGGCTTCTCGCTCTCGAGACTGTATCAGACGTCTACGGCCGTACAACCAACCCATACAATCAAGCCTACTCCGCCGGTGCGTCGACAGGAGGTGGAGGTGCCCTTGTGGCTTGCGGTGGGAGCAAGATCGAAATAGGGACGGATATCGCTGGGAGCGTCAGGATTCCGGCCCACTTCTGCGGGATTTGGAGCTTAAAGGGCAGCTCTGGGAGATTTCCTGGATGGGGTACGGAACCTGCGATGAAGGGCCTGCTATCGGTTCCCATCGTGGCGTCGCCGATGGCGGGAAACCTCGAAGATTTACGCGAGTTTTGGAAGCGGGTGATCTCATCGGAGCCATGGCAGTATGACCATACGGTGAATTGCTTTTTTTATATATTCAAAAACGTGGACCGTCCTAATAGTCGTCGAAGTGCGTCCCACTTCCTTGGAAGAATGTGAACCTGCAAGATGAGGGCCGCAAGCTGAAATGGGGTGTCATGCGGGAAGATGGTACGCGTCGTCTCGTTACGTTACGAGGGGCATACTGAACGTTTATAGGCACTGTGCCTCCTACTCCGGCATGTCGACGCGCTCTCACAACTGTCGTCACAGCTCTGAAAAGGCAGGGCCACGAAGTCGTTGATTTGTACGTCTCTGAAGTCCTTGGCGCCGCTGCTCGTGCCTAACAGTAATCGCAGTCAACCTCCAGACGTCTTCGAGGGTATGAAGATCGGATATCAGCTCCTCTTCTCCGATGGTGGTAAGCAGCTTTCAATCGGTATGCTATGCTATCTCTTAGCCCGATTCGTGGTGTCTAGGTCAACAAACCAAAGACGCTCTAATGCCCGGAGAGACCGTGACACCAGCCGCCCAATCCCTTCTGGACCTGCTCCAATTTCCGCGATTCGTCAAGAAGATCCTGGCATACTTCATGAGTTGGACTGATCCAGTCTCCAGTCAGTTGTATGAAGTCATGCACAAGAAGACCGTCGTCGAGGAGAGAGCCCTCATCGCCGCTCGAGATGCGTACATGGCTGATTGGCATAAGAAGTGGACAGACGAGGGTCTCGACTTCGTGCTAACTGTACCATTCCCGCTTCCAGCTGTAGAGAACGGCGCTACGGAGAAGACGACGCTCATGACCGCAGGGTATACCTTCCTGTTCAGCTTGGTACGTCCATTCTGATTTTTGACCTCCCAACCGAGCTAATGATGCGTTCTTATACCTCTTCCTTTGGCCAGCTCGACTACGCTGCTGGGGTTCTTCCTGTTACTTTCGTCGATAAGGATCTCGATGCTCTTCCTGCCAACTTCGCCCAGTCAGCCAAATACAAATCCCTCTCGGCGATCGCGAAGGGCGCGTACAGCGTGTACGACGCGGAGAAGATGCACGGTCTGCCCCTCGGGGTGCAGATCGCTGGTCGCCGACTCGAAGAAGAGAAGGTGCTCGAAGGTATGCAGGTGATAGAGACTGCGCTCCGCGAGCATGGGCCGGTCTTTGTCAACCAAGTCAAACTGTAAACCACATTCCGGTAGCTTCTTGGATCAACCCTGCTGGTTCGAGGCTTCGGTCACGAACCTTCGTCGTATCTTTTTAGATATCATCCTACACTCCTTTGATCTCGTTTCGTTCTCTCTCTTCTTCACTGTACTTTATTATTCTCTCCTATTTCGTGACCATAACTCTCGTTCGTTTCGTCTCCATCCCTTTACTCGTAAACTTTATTCGTATATGCATGTTTATTCCTTTCTGTCGGACTTATATTTTATTGCTTACTGTACCGTCTCGTCCGCTCTTTGTATATGTACCAACAATGCAATTACATAAATGCATAGGCGTTTGAAAATCCCATCCTGGTGCCGCAAGATTCACAGCCACATGGATCCTGGTTGTGGTCTAGACCTCGCTTACGAGCCTCAAAAGTTGACGCGGGGACTGTTCTGGTAGAGGAGTGTGGCAATGGAATATTTTTGGTGGCTTGGCCACATTACTAAACTTTTAGAAGCGACGCGCCGAGACCGGAATCTGTGCGGCGTTCCTAATTTTTTTGTCCTTCGTTGTCAAAAGTCAGCCCCGGACCGAGGACACGGACGCTAGTGCGTTACGACGTTCTTGTGATACCATAAAGGGTCAACAAGTGAAGGATTTCGGCCTCAGAAACGCGTGTGCGGCCCGCTTCCCCGTGTCGCGTGCACTGTGTGGCGCGCGCAGGTCCACAAGCATTGCTATAATAGGAAATACTGCGCCTCGAGTCCGCAAAAGAACCCGCTCGCTTGTTAATGAGCTAGCCCGCTTATGCAACAGAGTGCCGTCTAAGCAAGCCACATACCGCTGTATCATTTCCTTTACCAGAATCCTCGACCAAGACGAGCAGCTAAGCGAGCAGGCCACCGTCGCGCTTGCGCCTGCCGGCCACCTGAACCAGACAAGCAGCGGCGGGCAATGTGCACGAAAGCACGGTATAAAAAGAGGGAGGAAAGAGCGAAACTCCTCAGTTCAATTTCGCAGCTTTGTTCACTCTGCCGACATCTTCCCAGCTTCCCCGTCAGCTACTTGATTCGTCAACGAAAATGTTCAATAAGGACCGCATCTATCTGACTATCAACCATCGAGGAGGGCTTGAAGATGGTAGGCCTGCGATTTAATGCTTTACCAGCAATTTAACTAACGAGTTACCTCCCGGTCCAGGTTTCCACTGCTCTATTCTGTATGCATTGAAGGACGAGCCTGGCTTTGGCAGCGGGGAGAAGACCGATCACCTTTTCCACGTAGTAAACCAAGATCGAAGAACTAGAACACGAATTCCCTGGACCTACGAGACTCGCATGGCCAACCAGTACAACTCCGATTCTCTCATCGGCCGCATCCTACTTGCCAAAGTCGATACCACCAACCGCGACAGGGTTCTCAGGCACTTGTACCAAATTCTCTCACAAGTGGCCGTCAGACCCCACGACCCGAAATTTACTTGCGCTACCTGGGCTATGGAGGCTGTGTGGCGCTTGCAGAAGGAGGGGCTCATAAGGCTCAATGCTCCAGTTGACGCTGCCCTCTGGGACAAGGTCCATCAGGTCGCGAAGGATTGTTATCGCCAAGTGATCGGTGGAAATGGCCGGAGACCTTCAGTCGACATAGCGGGAAATGGCGCCTCTGCCATCCCCACCTACGATTTCCGAGGATAGTTTATACATTTCGAATGTTAGATAATCATGACAGTCGCACTGTGATCTTTTCTGGTCAATATAACTAGTATAGTGTGCTTTGCTTATTTATTTCAAAGCTATCGAAAATCGTATTTCATTGTCTTATCTATTGGAGTTTGTAAACTGAGTACTGAATATCCAATATTGAAGATCGAACAACCGAGGGCCTGTCAACACACACTCGATATGCCAGAGGACGAGAAGGTAACCATTTAGAAACCAGAGGTAAAGAAATACAGCGCTAATGTTACAACAGATTACATTTTCCGATCACGAGAGATTGGACTACGGTACGATAGATCTGAGGGTAATAGTTTAGTCCTTGAGGGGCGATGGGGAGATATTTGGGTGGTAATGTAGAGAAAGGAAGGTAAGTAGGTTTAACGAAATAAAGACAGCAATTAAAACCCCAGGAGAACGAACTGAGAGGAACGAATCTAGTCGGACGCTGGCGTCAAGCTCCCAATCCAGTGAGAGCACGCCGCTTTTGGTCGTATCGCACCAATTCTCGTGTGTTTGATTTGCCGAAATGAGCAGAAATGAACTATAGATATGGGTGTACCAAAGGCGATCTGGTTGGCATAGAAAGGTCAATCAGAAACAGCAACAGATGAAGAGAGTGAAAGAGAGAGAGCTAAAAACGTACCGATCCACAGCTGGCTCCGAGCAGATCACCTCTGTAACTCGGCTCTCTAACCACCTCATCACGTCCTCGCCCAAACTCGTGCAGTCGTGCAGCTCGAGCCTCCTTAACCGCACTGGCGTGACGCCGCCGACAGCCTGGCCTGAGCTCCCACTTCCGCCGTCTGGGTTTCGCGAGTCAATCATCTGCACCAGCTTCGTCACGCCTTCGTTGTGCGCATGGCAGCCTCGAAGCCCTAGCATCTCGAGGCTCGGGCATGCCCACGTCACGGTCGTGCTGCCTCCGCCACCACCACCAGTAATAATACCTTGACTCTGCCCCGGGTCGTCCTCTGGCGGACCCAGAGCAGTCAGCAAAGGTTCGAGCGCCGCACCACCAATCGCCAGCGTCCTTAAGAGCGGCAGCTCCGCGAGGAGCGCACTCCAGGTGATGATGATTCCGCCTGGGCCATAGTAGAACGTCGCGGCGCCCGCACTCGAGTTCAACCCGAGGCTGCGTAAGCGATTGCGAGCGACCGCACGGGTGGACGGTTCGACCGCGTCAGTAACGCGGAGATCACGTCCTCAAGTGGGTCTCGCGCTTCGATGTCAAGCGTCAGGCTCTCGAGAGCGGGTAGGGTGAGCGCGTCGAGGAGGTGCGTAAGGAGGAAGTGCCCCCCGAGCGAAATGGAAGTGACGCCTGGGAGGGCGAGAGGTTGCAGGGGCAGGACGGCCGGGAGGACACCTTGGAAATGTAGGGCGACGGATTGAAGCTCGATATTGTTGGATAGAATGTGCAGAATTCTGTCCAGGGGCAGGTGCGAGGTTGGGAGCGCGCGGAGATTGAGTGTGTGGAGGTTTCGGAGCATCGGCGAACACCACTTGAATGGCGTGTGTTGGAGGGTCAGCGTCCGCAGGTTAGGCAGGACGACCGGCGAATCGGCGCTTGCATTGGGCAGCCAAGGCCATTCTGCAAAGAACGCTGCTTCTACGCTCGAGACCTCGAACTCGCGCAAAAGAGGTGCATCACCTAAGGCCACGCAGACATCACGATGCAAACGTCAGGCGGACAAAGTATGTTTTTTCAGAGTTTCTCCATGGCCATAAACATGGATGACACGTACCGTTTATGGATTTCAAAGCTCCCATAGATGTGAACTGCTTATCAAAACGGAAAACGAATCGTTCCCAGCGATGCATCTGTTCGACCAGATAGAAGAAGGCAATATGCCCCCAGTGCATGCTCACTCTTGACACGACATTGGCTGGTCGGTCGTGGCTGCTGGTGTGTGGGGCCCAGCTGTCTTGGTTACCTGCTGGTGAAGGTGGCATGATGATTGTCAGATTTCCTGCTGGTGCGGAAGGGGGTGGATTCGCGATAATATAGTGCGGTGGTGCTGGGTGGGATACCACGTTCCAAGCGGAGGCTATTGGTGTAAGGGGTGGGGGAGTTCTCCGTGGTCTGGAAGAAGACGATTCGATGGAAGCTTTCGGCTTGGCAATACGGAGGAATATCTCGATGTCGAGGGGTACATTGTCCCCCGAGCGTTCAAGCCATAGTCGTATAGTGTCCGCTGACGAGTGTTGCGTCGTGAGGAGGCGTATCTACAGGTTCAACGAGAAAAGGTCAGATTTACGTTCGGTGTCGCGGAACGGCAGCGAGCCTATAAATAGATAAGGTATTGGCTGAATCCATACCGCACGGCAGTGGCGAGGAAACAGACTAAGAGACCGTAGGGCCCCTTTTTCTGCCAGGAGGGAACGAGAATTGACCGACGAACGCCAGTCCAACTCGCCACGTCGTGCAGGAGAAAGTGAAGGAAGGCCAAAGCAGAAACCTGACTCACCTTGGACCAAATGACCGGGATCCTCAACGCAAGCCTCCTCCACGAAGTGCACACCGCAGCGAGAACCCACGCAGCACACGGGTGATCTTCGAACGCCCAAAGGAATATCTCCCGTAGTAGCTCCAGAGGGAGTCGCCGGAGTGGGCTGAGGTAGGCGAGGGCTCGCTCAGCACGCGACTCGAGCTCTGCACGCGCCGCGCGCATCTCGTCGATGGTACATCGTGACTCGCGTACGAGCTGCGCCAGAGCTGCCTCCGCTTGGTCGATCTTCGTTGCAAGACTTTCCACCGACGTACGCGTGCTTGCCAGGGTCCGGCGCGCGTCTTCGAGAGTCTCCTTCGTCGGTGGGTCGATGAACTCGCTGAGGGCGCCGCTGGCAGGTTTCGCGACGCAGGGGGAAACCGACATTGGTGCAGTGTGCGCTGGGGTACGTATGGTGGAAAAGAATCAAGGCATGCAAGGGCACGCAACGCCCCTTGCGAAATGCTAACTTAAGGACGCCAAGCATACCCATCATGCCGGGAACTTTCGAAGTCCGAATTGAACGGCGAGGCACCCGCACCCTCGATGACGACGAGCACTCTTGTTCGAATTGTGAAGCGCGTTGTAGGTCGCGGAAGGAGGCTGTGGCGTCGTCAACCCAAGGGCGACAAAATAAAAGGACACCCTCCGTAGGCGAAATATTTGTGGGCGCCGCAGACTCCGTCCCAACCTAATTGTGCGGCAGGAGAACCTTGAGGCACGCGAGGAACATGAGGTTATGGTGAGGCAAGCGACGCAACTGTCCGTTGCCCTCCGTCCTATGTTTCGCGCGATACACAGCACGGGTGCCTGTACATGTGTTGTGTCAAATGCACAGTAGACTTGTGAAATGAACCTTACTTCCACTTCTTCACTATTCACAAGGGTCAGAAATGCAATGAATGTGCTTCTTGGACGACGCTATTGGTTCCCTCCTAAAAGAGACAAAAGCACCCTACAATTATGTTTATCGTCGAGCTGATGGGGAATGGAGACGGCGGCCTTGCGGCTCTTCTCTCGCAGAAGTCAAAAACAGAATAGGACATTACCTACGTAAGACCTGGGGTATGGAGGCCCCACCATGTCCGCCGTCAGGTTGCTAAGGTAGAGAGAGAACGCTGACCACTTGGAAGGAGCATCTTCATGTCTGAAATGGACAGGACTGTTCTTCAGAGATCGACGATCTAGCTTGTGTGGATTCCCGAGCGCGAGCCACGAAGGATCGTTAGCTACTGTGCGAAAGAGCGCCCAGAATACTAGGAGAAGAAAGTGGACATGAGAGCAAGAGACAAGCCGCCCAGGCAAGCGCCTATAGGCGGAATCGGTCCCAAATTGGAAATAACGGGCACTCCACCCAAGTACAGGTCCTGTCGAAACATCGGTCGACCGGTCTTCATAGCTTCACGAGTCAATGAAGCTCTTTGCAACACAACGAATCGGCGATAAAATAACAAGCGGTGATAAGTACATGCGCAGATCCATGGGAAAGAGACAGACAGAAAACTTCCCTCATCCCACCCACTCACTCTCGATTCTCGACCATCAACGCAGTCTAACTGTTCGATGCTCGCCAAAAGTCCGATGCCTGCCAACAGCAGCATTGACCGCCCGCGCACACTCCGCACCCTATTTCTTCCCTGCCTCGATGGCATCTCCATTCTTACACGCGATAATCTTGATCCTCGGCGAGCTGACCATGTCGTTGCTCTCCATCTTGAACGTTGGATTCTTCACAATGAACGTCCACACGTCGTCGCACAGGCGGTATGTGTGGAGGTGTCCCTAAGATCGGGATACATGAGTTACTGCGAAGCACAGGTGACAGCAGGGTCAGACGGGTACCTTCAGATTCGTCTTCGTCTTCACTTGTTTCACCATTGTGTCCGCTAGGGACTTGTCGAACTAGAAAGAAGTACAAGGCAACAACGAGTCAGCGGAAGCTATTACAGAAGTGATATTCGCCAAAGAACAAGGCCAGGTGGTGGCGTCATGACGAGAACCACCAAGCAGGGAGAGACCGCATATATTCGAGTCAAACGTCTGCATGCCTCCTGCAGCGATGGAGTCGCACCCAGACGTAGAGCGCCAGGAGTTCCCAGGTTCAGAAGACATGCAACGAAGCACCCACCTGCTGCAAAACTTTCATCGCCAGCTGCGGTGTTATTGCCCCACTCGTGATGAGCTCGTCCAGGGAGTCCGTCAGCGCCATGCCGATACTTTTGGCACGTAATGCATGCGCATATACGAGGTATTCCACGAAGAGAGGTGGTCAAAATGACGAATAGCGGTAAAACAAACGAGTTGTTGGGATGGGCATTGAAGAGGTCGATTGAGGTATAGGGAGCAAGAGTGAGTTCCCAACGAAACCTGGGAAAACCATAAGATACAATAGACGTACGAGGAGCCCCTGTAGAATTCATAGTACGCCGACGCCATTCTTGGACCTCTCTGACAAGCGTTGAGTGTGTTCTTCTCTGCAAGGTAGCGTATTCCGCGCAAGTTCCGCCGCTCACGTTACACGCAATCGTTGGAGTCGCCTAGTACAAGTAACGGTCTAGCAGAGCTCCTTGACTGAGGGCCCGATGTCTTCGGCGGCGCTCACGATGATGATGGTCCGGTGGAGGCTCATCGTGACGCAACTGTGTTGCAAGCCGATTGGTCAGCAGTCAGCGGTCCGGGACGGCTTGTATCGGCCCGAGTAATGGAGCCCCTATCTCTGGTTCACAGCACTACTACTAACCCAGATATTGTGCGGTGGTAGACTATAATATTCTAAACACTTCTGCATGACATGTCATACTGCTTGTGAAGGGCTAAAATTTAGATCCTTGGAATCGTGATATTCCACGGTCGTGTTCCTTGGGTCCTGGCCCTCGCGGCTCCGCGCGAACGACAGCGGGATAGAATCCGTCACAGTAGGTCGCCTTCTACACTGGCATTGCTTCAACAAGGTGAATGAAAGTTATGATCATCAATATGTGATGAGAGCAAAATAAGAGCTGACCCAGTTCGACGGAAATGTGTCGGGACCAGCCGAAATGGCGCTTTGAGGAAACAGGACACTCGTATCGGTACGATTTAGGGTGTCGTTCCACGAAGCACGGTTCTATATTCCATGCATAGATGAGTAAATTCTTATTTATATGAAAGATGAAAGGGAAGTCTTACGTTTAGAGTTGCCAGGATGAAATTCCCATACAATTTCATAAGAGTGACATTAAAGACATATGTCCTGCATTGAATGGGAGCTTGGTGTTAATTCATTTGCTCGTTCTATGACTCAATAGGAAGACTTACGTTGTGTTGCTAAGCTATTAATGTTCGCTGAGTTTAGTATCAAGCTCCTCTGGGAAATACTGAACTCCTACCGGTAATGCGACCAAAGTGATGACGCTCAGAAGCGCGGCAATGGCCCTGGAAATTCCAGTAAATATAGGTCGAATTTCTTGACCCACATGACGATGGTACGAACGTGACCACGCCTGTCTGGACAGTGACTTTCAACGACGTTAAATACCGTGAGCACTCCTCCAATAATCTACGAACTTGCAACTCACAGAAAATAATCCGATCGATGACCGCGTCCGTCGACTTGTAGCCCGTCTTTCGATTATACTGAGATCACCACAGCAAAAGGTTAGGACCGGTTGTTAAATTAAAACCATGAGGCAACGCACCAGGCTCCATGAAAGCGCAGCGGCTATCAGCAAGTCTGCCACTGCAGCTGCGACCATCCAGAGCAGCGCCGGACTGAGCAGCTTCGCCGGGAGGTGCTGCACATATATTCCGTTATGAACTGTCGCAACCGAGGACCAAATACCTCCAGCTGGGGACGGTCGAAGCGAAGTATATTGTTTTGGATTTGAGTAACGTGAATGGATGGACAGGCCCTAGAGCAATGGAATAACTGACCCATAGACGCGAAGGAGAGTGTGCAAATGATTAAAGGGACCCAGATGGACTCATGAAGGATGTGGATCCGACGAGCGACGTAGAGGTGGATAGGGGTGGCGATTGCTACCTGGAGACGGGTGCAGGAGTTAACTCGCATCTAAGCCTCCAGGAGAGCACGGAGAAGCCTGCGACTCACCACTATTGGCGGAACTTTTCAGTCATAGAGTCAGCGGCGAGGAAAGGGATGTCGTAGCGAACGTGGACATACTGATTATGAGACCTATCGAAGCTTCTTTGAGAAAGGACAACCCAAAAAAAGCTTGTAAGGTACTCGCCTAGAGGCACACTGTTCACAGCCGACTCCTGCCCGAATTCAAGGATGAGCGGCTGGTACACTAGTGCTACAGTCACTCCAGAGCTAACGGTCTCGAGGAGTACGATGTACAGGACCTATGACGGCTCTTTTTGTCATGAAAAGGTAAAGAGGGTCAAGAAAGGAACGAACGAAATTTTTGTTCAGACGACTATCGCTAGAAGATGCGGAGACTTCGTTGGAATAACATCAGAGAAAGAGTATGTGTGGGGCGTACTCTCGATATCGATTGAAATAATTATGCATCTGCCAATTTCGATTTCTAGAGTCAGCAACAATGGGGCAATGCAAAGGAGGAGCATCTCACTCACCTGACTAAAGAGCATCTACGATTAAATGGTCCGCCATTTCAGTCAAACCAGCCCGAGGAGAAGGGATATAAAACGTACGCCCTGGAGTAGCATCCCCACACACATTCCCACCAGCTCAGGCCCGAATCTGCAAACGCATTACCCAAACCCTTTCAATCCTCCAAACTAGGCGAGCGCTTATGAAGATATACGAACAAGGCATTCAGGGCCGCTCGGTCGAGTGACATTTCAAGCGAGCGCTCGTCGAAACAGTCAAGGTCGGGGTCGATGTCGAGGGAATGCGATCGTCAGGGCAAAAGCGAAACCCAGAACTCCAATAGATAGACCGCCTAGTAAGGGAGGTACAGACAATAATGGGGCGCCCGTGGCCAGAGCTTTGATTATCTCCGGATTATCGAGGCAATTGCTGTGGATAGAGGAGCCAGGGGCGGGACAGGGACAATTCCTGGATGTACGCAAGTAAAAGGTGCGGTCGACGACGAGTTCGACTGGTAGCGATCCTTCCATACCCGCGCCCAGAGTGCTCGTATTTAGCTCATCATGCTGCTTCTACTTCAAAAATACTTATTAGTTCACTTACGCTGCTGTGCGGCTGATTGATTGCGACTTATCAGGGCTTCTCCTGACTCCATCGCCATATTATTCGGGGGTAAGGGTGACACTTATTCATGTGCCATAGTTCCTGCAACAGCTCGTACTTATTGCAAGCTTAATGGAAAGACACACATTCATGAAAACACCCTAGCATTGGAATTAGAGGCACGATTATCCCAGCTCTGTAACTCGGAAGAAACCCCGGAATAATTTGTTAGGACAGCGCCCAAGAATTCGTGCTAAATAGGGCCGGTTCTACCTCAGACTACCTGGGTCCAGTGCGATTGATTGCGAGCGGTCCTTGATTGTCTTGTCTATGAGCAGAGTGTTGGCTTGGACATACCCTTGGAAATGCCAGTCTGTCGACAGATTTCGCAGGAGATACGGTGCTGAGTGCATGCATGATCAGAACGCGGCTTCTATTTTTAGCTCTTCTCGGCTTGCTTCCTTTTTTCCGTGTCCTACGGAGAATGAGAACAGGGTTCACGAAACGTGTCTGGCTTCTTACGCCGCACAAAACAAAAGCCGGTTAATTCATGGCAAGTGTGGAAGAGCTTTGGGCCTATCTGATGTCTTCAGGATGATATCCATCGGCGAAGACCATGAGCTTCTCTGCTGAGTGGTCGACTTCGAAAAGAATGTTCTTTGTGGATGGAGGTCGTCGCTTTTCTGAAAGAAATTCATCAGCAAATCCCTCCGATCGTCCATTATCTTCGGGAGAGGGCACAGCGGATCCAGCCCCCCGAGCTCCTTTTCATCAATAAAATGGATCTTACATTTATGCTAGCACCGGTACTCGGTGTAGTCTTGGGAAATATCCTGATGGCTGACTAGGCATCGTGCAGACCTATACAGGCAATGGCGTGGGAAATGGAGCGGATGGGGGTGGAGAGAAATAAGCGCCTTGCGATCGAAATTAACGCTTTTTAATAACGCTTTTTGATCCCGCCATCATACGCCACACTAGTTCCCACGCCTTCCGACGAGATGGTATCGCACCACTTACTACCAACTATTACCCCAAGCACGTTCTTCTAAAAGCACTACTCAACATTGAATCTCTGAGGATATGATGAACCTGTCCAGAAGGTGAGGCGCGCAAATTAGCAGCCTCAAGAATAGAAATATCTTACACTCGGGCTTGACTCATTCTTTCCACATAGCTAATATAACTAGTGTTTGACATTCCTCAACCGACACGCTAAAGTGACGCTTAAGTTCGCCGTGTAGAAGGTTGCACATCGGCGTTGGGGTCGGCTCGCAGCTCTTCATCCTGAAATAGAATACGCAAATTATCAGGAGAGAGGCGGGATAGGAGGGTGATCCAACTTACGGGATGTGGATGATCTGGGGACCTGAACGGGAGGTTGGTTTGACGAGTGTTTCTGGAGGTGAACACCGTTTGCTGTAGTGATTTGGTGTTGTCCTTGGTGATTAGTCGTCTGGGCGACATAATTGCGAACTGGTGGGCGAGGTGGTTGGACGTCACGACCCCTCTGCATCACGAGTGTGCTGCGGTGAGTGTGCTAAGATCGAAAGAGGCAGGAAGGAGACATACAGGCATGAGCGCAGCAACGGCACTTCCGAGCATGTGAGAGACAGGATTGAGATAGCAGTGGCAGTGAGGTAGCGCGTTGTTGGTTGGAGGTTGAAAAGCAGGGTGTATCGAGTCTCAAAGCGCGTCATATTTAACGAGCTTTGTGAGACTAGTGAGCAAATTCTTCAGATACCGAAGAGACATTTCTGAAGCTCTAACGGCAGCCTGTGCACGTAGTACACAGGGAGAGACCAGCTGAAGATTCACAGTCGTGAAGCACGGCTTTTATACCACGCGCTCCGCCAAAGGTGCAACTTGACCTCGCCGCACGTTCAATCCCTGATGTTTGAACATTCGATTACACAATGATCGCGTGAAGTAGCCGAGTGCTGACGTTCACTATAGCATCGATCGTCCCTTTTCCGATGCGCCACACAGTTTCTCACAACCCTTCTCACTTCTTGCGAACCAAAACACCACGAAGAAATCGTCAGATAAGGTTAATTAACACACTGGAAAGCGTTTGAAGATGAATTACTGCGTGTGTATCTTGATTTGTAGTCCAGTACTGTAGGAGAGTTGGCTACGATGCAATTACGGTCCCGCTCTATGATTAGATTAGATAAGGACACGTACTTACCTGTAGCCACTTGTCCCTTTGTTCTCTAGCTCACTCTTGTACGACGACAGAGGCAATGACGCACATTAGCATTACGGTCCCTAACGAGAGGCTACAAGACATTCCGCTCACACGATCCGACCCCACACTCATCATCATCCTTTCAGTACCACCCAAGGATGTATATGTGGTTGAACAGTGGCAAGGCCAACCTCGATTACTTTGCTGAAATGCGAAGGCACCGTTGCCCATTCACCTCGAGTTCCATAGAGTGAAAAAAGTGTAATGCAGAATTACAACCATGAAAACACGTTAATAAACCGAACAAGAACTCAAGCACTCAAATCCCATGAAACATTGTGCTTATCTATGTTCCTCTACAAAACCCAACCCTACTTCTCAACTCGATCCTTGCTCCCAGACACCTCTATCCACGCCTCCAAGCGTCGCCCGAGCTCGCCTCCACGACCGCCACATATATCCCCCGTGGTATTCAGCATCTGTTCTTTCTCCTGTTCCACACGAAGAGGTAGCTTTGTGGAGAGCTTGGGCACGGGTGGTCGGGCGGCCGCTGTGGCGAGAGAAGTGTTAGGTAGGCGGGCCGAGGAAGGCGGTGGAGGTAAAGCCGAGGATTTGGATGGTGGAAGTAATGTTGAGACTGAGCTTGACTTGCCGTTGGGGATAGCGTTGCCGTTGCCGTTGCCGTTGGTCTTAGACTTAGAGACAGGGTAAGACGAAGGGGGTAATGGCTTGGAAGATGAAGAAGGCCAGCGCGCGTTCGTCGGGCCTGGTGATGAGGGTGAAGGAGGGGAAAGAACACGCCCGTTGACGCGTCCCTCGGGATTCGAAGGTAGTGGCGAAGCCGGGCCGGACTCGAAAAGGCCGTGCAATGGTGAATGTTCGGCGGAATGTTGCTCAACTGGATGTCTACTGCTGCTGTTCCCAAGAATGCTCTTCCCAGTAAGGATAGTACCTGAACACCCAGCACGGTACTCTTCGACGAGCTTGTCTAAACCAGTATACCACTCCGCCTCGTCCTCTTCCGCACCAAGGATGCTGTCTACGAGGCCCTCTTCCCAGCCATCCCACTCCGAACAGCGGTGGGCCATGCGCAGACGCGTGCCTGCGGCCTCATAATAGAGCCATTCGCGACAGAGTGAGGTAAGGTCTTTGGCGGTCGAGGAGCCGGATGAAGAGGAAGAGGAGTACGAAGGTGGTAGTTGGACAGACACAGAGGAGTCGTTGGGTAGCTGGGCGACGATCTCGCGGAAAAGCTTCGCCACGAATGGACTGGACTGCAGAAACGCAGGGACGTGCGCACACTGCCACAGCGGGCGCGTCGTCGTGCTCTCCCAGTCAATGATGCACGTCTGGTTGACAGATATAAGAAAGAATGACAGCATAGATAACTATTACTCACGATTTTGGTATGATCTCGCTCGTCCACAAACACATTCTCCAAGCTCAAATCATGACAGTCCAAACCAAACTCTTCCTTGGCACCTTCCTTGCGCTCTCCACCCGCACCCGCACCTCCAACAATTCCTGTCAATCCCTCCATCAACCGGATCCACCGTCCCATCTCTGCTCGCACCCTATCCTCTCTCTCCTTCAACTCTCTGACCAAGAAAGTACCCCTCTGCATCCTCCGATAATCCCTGTACATCTTATCTCCAGGGCCCTCCCACTCATCGTCGCTCTCCTCCAGACCCCACTCATCTGAATCATCTGATTCGTCGCCCGGAACAGCGAGCAAGCGGTGATGGAAGGACGAATGAACCTCGTCTGGGTCGAGGTGCAGCCGATGCGGAGCGGCCTTACCCTCGTTCTCGCGGATGACAGAGCTATGTTCCCGTTCTAGGCAGGCAGAGAGGTACGTGGAGAGCGAGGGGAAAGGTCCGCGGTTTATCTCGGAGGGGTGAGCGAGCTCGCCGCGGTTGGAGCCGAAGAACGGCCAGGAGATGATGGGGCCGATGTGGTATTCTTGCTCGTGATCTTGGGGATGGGGATGTGCGAGTTCAGGTACACAGACGCTCGACGGTGTAGGCGTCAGCGCGCTCGCTGCTTGTGCGAAGCTTGACATGCCTGCGCTCGAGCCAGCAGTCATGCTCGTCATACCCAATGCTGCGAAAGGATCGCCGAGGCCTGCAGTGGCTCGAGGGGTCGGAACGCCGCTGCTACTGCTATTCACTCGGCTCATGCTAGTGGCACTAGCGTTCGCGTTCCCATTGGCATTAGAGGCTGTATTTGATAGTGCTGGCTTCGTGGGGTCCGGCCCGAAATACAATGACCCAATCGCATCGAACCGATGAGCGAAGAGCGGTATGACGACCCTCGCGGCGAGGTCCTTCAACAGCTTCACGATGTCAGCATATGCAAGACCATGCCAAACTTCAGCGAGCGGAATTCCTGGAGCCTGCCAATGCGATCAGCCCTCATTGCTCTTCTCGAAAGAAACCTAGAACAGTTAAAGCCCACCTTACTCATCAAGACCCACTCGCCTCCGAGCCTGTTATACGGGTTGGCGTCGTAGTCATAGATAGTCGGTACGGGCACAGGGGTGCGCTTGTCCAAATATGCAATCGTGGCCACCTCCGACGCGGTCTTCAATCGCGGCATGAACCGACGCGCGACACGCGCCACCAGAGTTTGGTGCGTCGAGAGCGTGACTAGGTAGGCCTGTAGACGACGGGGTTAGATTGGGTATTATGATCAGATTAGATTGCATTGATGAGAAGAGAAGTAAGATGCCAATAGGAGCGAAGGAGGGGAAGAGAAGGAGCTCCGCCGATTATAATCGCGTGACCCAGCCCATAACACAACGGAAAGGCATGCGGAGAGAAAACGGAAGGAGAGCCGAACACAACGAATTGGCAGGTACGCAGAAGCAGAAGAAGAAAAGATAGAATGTGGACGCGACCCAATGAGGGCGAAATTAAACAGGGATCGTCGGATTGGGTGGTAGATGACGAGAGGGTTCGACAAGAAGCTTCATCGACTTGAAAGGCAAGTGATGTGATGTTGTGATTGAGACGAACGTGCACACATATGAAGAGCCTGCAGTCGCGGACGGATGGAAGAAGAAACAACAAATGAATGAAAGTAATACATGCCTTGTGGAAGGTACCTGTAATTTGAAGAAAAGGATCGTGTCAGTAGGCGTTCGAATCATGGAAAGGGAATCGAAACAGATAAGTGCGAGTCGGATAGGAAGAAGGGAAAGTAGCCAGGCGAAAGGAAGATACGAAAGACATGACGCGAGAAAAATAAGCCACATATCCAGATAGAACGCTAGAAGAACGACGAAACCTCCCGTTTGATCGAGCTAATAAACGGAGGGTGTCAAGTCCGTGCGGATGCCCGGCGGAGAGTGGCATGCATACTCCTCGCGATGAATTGAAGGGAAAAGCGGTGAAAAAAGCAATGGAAAAAAATCAAGGGTAGACGAGACGAAGAAGGTGCAATGAGGTGCAAAGAGACGGAAATTGCACAGGGAGGTACGACACGGAAGACATGATATGTGAAAAAGAGAACAACAGAATTTAGAGAGAGAAGATCTGGAAGCGAAAAGAAGGACAGAACGCGAGAACGCGAGAACGCGAGAGTGGAAGGCTGAAAGCAGTCCGGCTCGTTTGAACCGGGTGCCGGTCGGATAGATCTCCATATTCCAGCTATCTGTTGCACAAAAGACGCAAAATCGCGAACGAGAGACAGGGCGAAGGAAAGATGGAAGTTGCGAGAAGAGGACCCAAAGCCAACGTCGTGGCTAACAGACGAACAAGGACCCAAATTTAAATCAATGCAAACTCACCTCCACTCAAAAATCGAATTCGCCCCACCTCCTCGCCCATCTTTTCCCTAACAACGTCCTTCAGCACCTTTCGGTCGACCTCAAACGCGCCGTGTCCTGGAATCTGAGCACCTCCAGCTTGCTGCTCGGCGTCAAAGGCACGCTCGCGAGCTCTGTCAGCATGTTCGAGTGGGTGGGACCAAAGTAGGGGTTCGAGTGTTGGATTTGAGATAGACGCTGATTCTGATGTTGATCCTGATTCTGATGATGTTGACGGAGGAAATGGCGATGTGGGGGACGAGGCATTGGACGAAGATGACGAGGCGGTGTAGCACGACGCGAGGTGAGAAGGGCCACCAAGTGCGTGGCTCTCCGCAGCCCTCGCCGTGGGCGGGACGTGGATAGCGGTTTGCGGGTGTGGCACCGCCGTATGTGGCGGCGACGGCGCAAGCGGCAGAAGAGGTAGAATGGGCATCCTCTTCGCTTGTCTGGGTGCCGGCCCTTGACCATGTTGTCCTGGTCCTGTTCCCGTATGCCAGTCTACTTTCCTCCTCCTGATCGACAAGCCGACAACGTCAGAGTCGTCAGAGTCGGAGGCAGCAAAGTGATGCGACGCTGCTGGATCACGCAGGTCGGGGGGTAACTGGGTGTAGTTTGTCGCATTCCGGCTGTTGGTTGGACGCGGGTATGTCGGAGCAGGAGGGTAGGTTGGTCGAGGTGGATATTGGGAGGTGTTGAAGCCATTGCGATGCATCTGAGCGTTCTGCTGCTCAGAGTCGCCCACCTTGTTCGCTTCTTGTGGTGGTTTTGAGCTCGTAGAATCTGGGATCTATGCGAATTCGCGTTAACCCAGCACTCTGATTCTGAACATTCGAGCGTGACGACCACGTACCTCTTGATGTACGTGTTCGTCGTCCTTTTCTTGCTGCGCTCGATGGTGGTGATGGTGTGGAGGATGTACGTGGTGTTTGTAATGGAGGCCGTCCTTATCAACCACGCCGGCCGGCTCTCTGGAATAAAGTAAGGGTTCAAAGGATGATGATGATGACATTTCCGCAACGTGCGCGTGACTTGTACGCTGACCCTGAACTAGAGCTTGTTCTTGTCCCCTTTCTTCGATCTCGCTTTCCTTCTCTAGACCGTATTCCACCAATCGCGGGCTCGAAAGCAGCTGAGTGGCACTGAGAACCGTCGCGGTTCCTCCGTCCAATCTAACCTCAAATATCGTCGAAGTCGAACTTGAAGGAGATAACACGGGTGTCAGTACTGTCGAAGATGTCGAAGATGTTGTCGGGGTTGCAGGTGTTGTGCTCGGGTTAACGCACACCCAGCCTCCGAAGCTATGAGGATGTTTCAGCGGAACTCGTACGCGTAACACCCGCCGAGCTCAATAGATGTCATACTCACTGACTGCCCAGCTTACCCCGCACCCGCACTGCGTGTCCGTGATTCTCGCCGCACCCGCCTCCGGCAAACCCACCCCCACCTCCAATCGCAAATCCGCTGCCAAAATTCGTGATCTCCCCCATCGGGACCGGCACCCAGTGCCGTTCGAGGAAGTGCAGTTCTTCAAGGGACTCTGCGACGGTCTGGCCAGATCCAGATTCGCAGGCGGGTTCAAGGTGTAGCGGTGCGCCCATCTGATCTCTGTCCTTTGATATGTCGTCTTCGGATCCTCTCCGTCGTCGTCCTACTTATCGCCTGTCGTATTGGTTGAAAGTCGGTCTTGGGCAGCCTAGAGTGATGCAGTTTCAACGAAATCGGGAAATGCAGGGGCGGGGTAGACGGAGAGCCGAGGCTGAAAGATAAGACGGTGAAGGGTTGTTAGAAAATGGGGTTCAGGATCAGACGACGAGCTGGGGAAGATGAATGGGTGGGGAAGCGGGGAAGGAGACGAACCTTGGTCCTTTCAAAGGTGGGTGCTTTATATGCGCTCTGAGCAGTATCAGGGACCCTCGACCGAGATTCTAAGATGTCGGCATACAGCAAGGTACACGGAACTCTTCCCTAAGCCTTCAATTGCAATTTCCTATACTTCAATTATGAACGTAAGGGCCAATGTGAATGTATTCGAGCGTAGATGTATGCGTACGCACCTGGGAGCGGATACGGTTGTTTTTTCTTCTTCTGGTACACTTAAGACGAATATATGCACGTAATAGAGCGCATGTTACCCAGGTTTCCTCGTTCCGCAGTGGGTTCCGCATTCCGTATCCCCACTCCCGTCCTGCCCCGCTTATTAGTCCACAATCGATTCCCGAGGAAATACACAGGACCCTCACCAAGTAGGGTGATGAAGTTGACCCCACGCTGGGTCTGGTGCATCGTAGCATCACTGTGTGTATGCGTACGAGAAAGAGAAGGGACGTACGTCGTGGACAAGAACTCAGAGAGGTACGCCACTTGCCTTTTCGGGTAAATCCCGCCCGTTCCGGCCATCTGCAGCGGAGGCGCGCTCAAGCAGCAAGAAAGTGAAGTGGTGATGTCCACTGAAGACTCAAATATACCAACCCTTCTCAAGGACCTACCCATCTTGGAGAAATTTCTACAACATTAATTTTAGTTTCATGGGAAGGTCAAGAAGTGCATATCATCTGATACAGAAGTTGCTGTCGAAGTGGTCGAAGGGGTTAAAATGCTGCGAAGACGTCGGCTAGAACAAAACGGCGAAGGCACCGCCTGAAAGGTGAGGCGATTAACTCCTTATCTCAATAGCCATTACACCACTCGCATTCTTGAAATCGTGACCTAAAAATATTACCGGCAGGAAGTACTACGGCAGCTTCACTAGCGTGAAAATAAAAATACCCTATCCAAACCAAGCATTTCGAAGGCCGATGCGCCCTCCATCGTACCCAGCTTGCACTTCCTAACTGCGGAAGCTGAGGCCTACTTGATCGATCGTGGCGAAGAGCAGAGAATAAAACAGCTCGAGATAGGGTCGAAGCGGATTTAGTGACCCTTATTCAAGAGAAAGTATAAAGAAATGAAGGCACGGTGTGCCGTCATGACGGGGGTAGAGCGGGGTTGGCTTTTAGTTAGACACGCGTGTCTGCACAAGCACCCCGCATGGAGGATAGTTTAATTTTTTCTGGCCTGAAAATAGGGACCAGCATCGGAGCGTTCTCCTCCCAAAATAATTGTGCATTGCCAAGCGTCTGGCTCAGGATTGTGTCCTGAAAATAGATTATCTTATAGTACATAGTTATTTTCTTGCAAGAGGAGACGAACAGAAATACGATTCCACGAAGACGAAGGCCATGTACTGCACATCTATCAAAGCCCCGTCGAGGGCGATAGCTATGAGATACCCTCCCACAGCCACCAGCGCTACCTTCGCTGACGCAAACAACTAGGGCCCTGGGATTAAGACATTCATTCCCTCAGATCTTCCCATACTCTGGCATGTCCTTCTTCTTGACCCAGTCAGCAAATGTCGTAGTCTTGCGGCTGAGGTAAGGCAGGAAGCGGACGACGTCTTCCCGGTTGTAGTCTATGAAGCACAGATGCAGGTCACTAAAGACGCAAAGGCAATTAAAACGGATAGCACGTACAGCCAACCGCTGACAATCCGTTAAAGAATTCCATCAAGTCATCCTTGACGTGCTCTGGGGCCCCCTCAGGCATGGCCGCTCGGAACTCGTCGTTGTTGACAGTCTTGAAGGTAATTTTTAAGCTAGTCTCTTCAGGAGAATAGGCTTTAGATAAGATAGGGCGCTGAAATGGGCTGGAATGCAAATGGACGAACGCCTCGCAATCTCGTCGACCATTTCGCCAATTGACATCTCCTGACTACATGCCAGAATTTCGTGACCATTTCGAAGCTCCTCGTGCTCGATAGCAGCACGAACCCAGAGACCGTATTCATCGACGTCGATGCCGGGTAACAGGACGTCGGGTTTGCAGGGGAGGGCAGCGGCCCAAGTGCCGTCGCTCTCCTGCCTGATTATCTGGTTCCGGGTGAAGTTGGAGTAGTAGAAGCCAGCTTGGACGGCCACAAATGTAAAGCTAGGTGATGCCTTTGAGCGGCCGTAATTAGCAATCTGCGCCTTGCCCTCGACTGGAAACATGGGTGAATGTCATTCAGAGTCAGGGTCTATCTGAAGTATACTAAAGACGAAAAGACACGCACAGTGGTGCACGTTCTTGTACTTGCCGCCCGAATATTCTTCAAAGCTATCGAGCGAGGAGAAGATGAAGAGTGGGACTTTGGCCTCGAGCGCCGCGTCGATGAACATCTTGCCTTCAGCGAGCTCCTGTAAATGGAACCGGAACCACTCCCAGAGTCAGTTGTGTCCGACGAAATCAAAGCCGCTACCCCCTGTCACTAACCTTTGCTTTATCGAGGTGTTCCCAAAAGTTGGTCATAGCCTAGTGAATGCATTCAATCGGTGAGCGTCGCGTCATAAAGTGTTGCAGGTGATGAGTCTCACAAACACGATATTGGCGCCCTTGTATGCTTCGACCACTTGAGCCTTGTTCTCGATCACAAGATTTACGGAAAGCATCTCGACTCCCTGCTCCGTGAGTGCCTTCGCAGCAGGCTTAGAGACATCCCGGGTGAGACCACGGATCCGGTAGACCTTGTCGGATTCCTGGAGAGAGCGAATGACACTACCGCCTTGCTGGCCAGTAGAGCCTCCGACGACGACAAGAGGAGCGCTCGTGTCCGAGGTGATGGTCATTGTGCCGCCTTAGATGTCAGTGAAGAAGATCAACGCATACGGCAAACATTTAAATATTTAAGCTCTGACCAAGCGTATAACGAGTAGCAAAACTTGTAAGTTTGTAAGCCAGTTTGTAACGCTGAGTCTGATCCCCGAAGATGACGCGACGCGACACGACCCCTGTTTTAGATACACGTGACTGGGTAAGACGAGACCTTGCCTCCAGTCAACTTTAGCCCACAGTACTACTTAGTTGGGGAGCCATGAACTTAGTGACAGTCTCCTTCGTCGTCCTGGGAGATGAGGTGTCCAACCAGCAGCAACATATGCCCAGATAGATTAAAGCTGACTGATGTACAACAATGCGGTCTTCGAAGTATCAGACGCCAGAGACGCGAGCGCGCTCAGGATAGCTATCACTAGTTTCGACAAGCGCGGGTTGGAGCTACGCCACCGCACCACACCGCCGTGGTCCTCACGGTATGATGCACGTTAGCCTCCCCCGGCTGATGGGCAGGTTACATCTCGACGAGCTACCCCTCTTGAACATCGGACGGGCGCCACTTGGCTCACTCAGAGCACATCAGAAGAGTCTTCACGAGCCTTCGCCTCTTCTTCCCGAGTTTTGCCGAAGACGACGGTGAGGACAAAGAGCAGCATTTTGTTACGATGAGCGCCTCTCACCAGCGCCTATCGTCACGACCCGCCGCTCGGTCCGTTACTCGCCGCCGCCTACGTCGCGTCTTTACCCAGTTCGACACGGACGTAATGAAGTGAATTCGACGCGAGGGGCTCCTATCCGCGAAAAAGAGGCGTAAATGTTGTGTTATTTAAATGGGGAGAATTATCTAAAAAATGACAGTAGGAGGCGTCGAATGGCCTAAACCAACCCAGCCGATAGGGTTCTTCAGCACACTGCGTAGGGCGCAACACTCATTGACACATCCCGCCAGCGCTATCTTCATCAGAGAAAAGGAAGTCTGGAATGACAAATGCTTGAGTCTGCAACATGGGAAAAATAATCCAAGAACCGCAAGGAAGGCTTACAACTAGAACATAATCTAGCTAACGTCAATGCCCGAACCACTGTCATCCACGCATCTCTTACAAAGATTCTTGCTAATTCAACGAGACGTATCGAGTCGACATGATAGGTGGAAAGGACAGACTTGTCAGACTAGGTGTATACTTTTACAGATTGTTACGCTACACAATCGATTAGAGGCCCAGCAATTGCTTACAACATTCATGCCCTCTTCCCATACTCCGGCATGTCCTTCTTCTTGACCCAGTCAGCAAACGTCGTAGTCTTGCGGCTGAGGTAAGGCAGGAAGCGGGTGACATCTTCCCGGTTGTAGTCTGTGGGTATAGATGTGGGTCACTACACAAGGGAGTTAGAATGGATAGCACGTACAGCCAATCTCTGACAATGCGTTCCAGCATTCGACCAAGTCGTCCTTGATGTGCTCTGGGGTCCCTTCGGGCATGGCCGCACGGAACTCGTCGTTGTTGACAGTCTTGAAGGCAATTTTTAGGCCAGTCTCTGCAAAAGAAGGGGGTTTAGCTAAGGCGCAGTGGTGAAACGGGCTGGGACGGAAATGGACGAACGTTTCGCAATCTCCTTAACCATGTCGCCAATTGACATCTCCTGACTGCACGTCAAAATTTCGCGGCCGTCTCGAAGCTCCTCGTGCTCGATAGCAGCACGAACCCAGAGACCATATTCGTCGATGTCGATGCCGGGTACCAAGGCGTCGGGCTTGCAGGGGAGGGCAGCGGTCCAAGTGCCGTCGTTCCCCTGCCTGATGATCTGGTTCCGAGTGAGGTTGGTGTAGTAGAAACCAGCTTGGACGGCCACAAATGTAAAGCTGGGCGATGCCTTCAAGCGCCCATAATCGGCAATCTGTGCCTTGCTCTCGACTGAAAAGAGAGGTGAATGTCAGCTTACAGTCGCCTTGTACTGAAGATGGAACGAGACGTACAGTGGTGCACATTCTTATATTTGCCTCCCGAATATTCATCAAAGCTACCGAGCGAGGAGAAGATGAAGAGTGGGACTTTGGCCTCGAGCGCCGCGTCGATAAACATCTTGCCTTCCGCGGTCTCCTGAAAATGGAACCATTCCCATAGTCAGCTGTGCCTAACGACATCTAAGCAACCACTGGTCGCAAACCTTTGCCTTATCGACATGTTCCCAAAAATTAGTCATCGCCTGGTGAGTGTTTCAATTGGTTAGCGTCACGACAGAAAGCGTTGATAATGACAAGCCTCACAAACACAATGTCGGCGGCTTTGTAGGCCTCAACCACTTGAGCCTTGTTCTCGATCACGAGATTTACGGAGAGCATTTCGACTCCTTGCTCGGCGAGTGCCTTCGCAGCGGGCTTGGAGACATCACGGGTGAGACCACGGATCCGGTAGGCCTTGTTGGACTCCTGGAGAGAGCGAATGACGCTACCGCCTTGCTGGCCAGTAGAGCCGCCGACGACGACAAGAGGAGCGCTCGTGTCCGAGGTGATGGTCATCGTGCTGTCTTAGGTGTTACTGAAGAAGAACGGTGGACACAGTGAAGTATTTATGCTCTATGTTCAATACCGCCAAATGTACGCACACAGCAACAAAAATAGAAGAAATCCGCTCCGATTTCCGATGGTTCTTTGTCTTAGTCTAGAGGTTTGTAAGCCTGAGTCGCTCAAAATGACGCGACGCGACGCGGCCCCTATGTCAGACTCCACGTGACGGAGTAATACATGATGATGGCAATTGTCACCGTGCGGCATGTCAAATTTAGGCAAGGCGTTGCCTCCTTCCTCCTCTTAAACCGCTCAGGTGGCCGTCCAGCAGCAGCGACATGTGCCCAGATAGGTCCATTTCAAGTTGAATGCTGTACGACGGTGCGTTCTTCGACGAAAAATCTCATAACCGTGTCCAACTTGAAGCCATGGAAGCTCGAAGCGCCAGATAGGCACTTTATCTCGTTGTTGGTCCGTAAAGCGCTTGTATGTTGCCGCATAATCTTATAGGAAAACTCATGTCGATTGATATATGAATAGATTTAAATCGCGTTCCTCTTCTATCATGGGATCTGTTGGGCTCAATACAGAATGTCAAGCTCGTTCTAAATACGAAACGTACGAAATACGAAGACTTTACTACATGGAATAGGCGCACTGGGACTTCTCTCTGAGCGTAAACTTTGGAATTTCGAACATCCGAGAGCCACATCGTGTATTGATTGTGAGTATTCGACCTTCAACGTTTCAAGCACTATCTTCTAACCACATCCTCGTGCTCGAACTAGAATCAGACACCATCTCGTTTGCCTCTCTGTCGCTTGACTCTGATATCCTCAACCAACGCGTCATCAAGACCCCTCTTCAGGTACAATCGTCGCGGTGGCAAGTCATGTGGTAGAAAAGCACCGAGGGACAAAAACGCTTGTTCGTCTAATTATGGATCAAACGACTCCGCGATTTCACGGACCATACGACACGCGACAGTCAAAGTCTTGGATATTCAGAAGATTCTGAGAATGTCCACCCGACGTTAATCCAAACGAATAGCAAAAAGGTGGCCTGGGTGCTTGTAAGCCCTATCCTATCTTTGTCACCTTGGAGTTTGCGCTCAAATCAGCTCACTCAGCATCTATTTCAGTTTCAATCGGCGGCACCGTCAAGGTATCTGGGGAAATAGCACTTAGGAACGCCGTCAACGGGTGTTAGGAGGCCTTAATGGGAGAAGTCGTCTTTCCGTGCCTATCCTCTCTTTCGTGGCAGATCAAGTTGTGCGTTATTCTCGGATTATCGCCGGATGACACTTTACATCCACCTCGATCGCCGGACGGACCGACGTCGTCATCCCTCTCATCTTCTCCGAGACCCTGCCGCCCAGCAGGCTCGTCTACCTTTTCCCTTCCCGCAAATGTTGAAAGGACTCCCACGTCCGGAGGGTCTTGATACCATACCGGGCCCTGCGTCATGCTGGCAACATCTTACCGACCGCTTATTCCTCCCGTCACGAGACGGAGAGTAAACGCGACATTTATGCGAGGATATAGGCGCGAGTGAATTAAAAATTCATGCGAGAGTTCTGCGAGGTTTAAAAGGCGGAAAGACGGTCGGGACATTGCTCGGTGTCTTCAGACTTCGCAGAAACTCCACCGCGACAACTTACCAAACCCTTTTGGGAGTTGGACGTTGACCAGACAGAACTCGACTTCACGACAAAAAGACTACGATGCTCGCTGTCGCTTCTCTCGCCGCTCTAGTCGTCTCCGTCCAGCAGGTCGCTGCACACGGCGGTGTCCTCTACTACTCAAACGGAGGCAACTGGTACAAGGGCTTCACACCCTACAACACCCCAGTCGGCCAAGTTACGATCCAGCGCCCGTGGAACGCCTAGTAAGTTCGTTTGCCATCGCCCCACTGTCAGTTCGGAGGCTCTCCTCTAATTGATCGCGAGATGACTTTCACCTCAAATTCTTTTGGCCTTCTTTCATTCTCCCTTAAAGCCGTGCTAATTCAAAACTTTATTTCATAGCGATCCGATCTTAGACGCCACTGCCCCCACTGTGTCGTGCAATGACGACGGTAGTTCCCTTCCCGCTGGGCAGCAGCTTACCGCGACTGTCGCCGCTGGTTCTAGCATTACGGCATACTGGAACGACCCCTGGCCCCATCCTACTGGCCCCATGGTGTGCACCTTACCTCATCTTTTTTTTTCATCATCTTGACGAAGCTTCTCTAGCTTACCTACCTGGCCCAATGCCCTGGATCGACGTGCACGGGCGTCAATTCCAACACCTTGAGATGGGTAGGTCTATCCCCTATATCCCTAACGATGGCTGTAACAAAACGACCCATAGTTTAAAATCGATGAAGCTGGCCTCCTCTCCGGCACCGTCGCCACAGGCTTGTGGGCCTCCGGAAAGATGGTCGCTGATAACAACACCTGGACGTCGACCATCCCAGCCTCTGTTCCCAACGGCCAGTACCTGATCCGCTTCGAGACGATCGCCCTCCATTCCATGCCTGCTGTTAGTTCTTTCTATCTCCTATGTGGTTTAGGGTTGGACGATACTCATGAGGATATGAACGAATAGCAACTCTACCCCGAATGCGCCCAGATCGAGATTGTCGGTGGAGGATCAAGAGCGCCGACCGCCGCTGAGCTCGTCACCTTCCCCGGAGGGTACCGCAACACCGACCCAGGCTGTCAGTACCCCTCTGAATAAATTATACAACAGCCATTTATCTCTTTCATCTTAGTGGTTGTCGACCTCTACGGCCAGGCTGCTCAAACCCAGTATGCCGCCTTCCTGCTTTAAGATTTCCTCAATCGCTGATGTTTTCTCCTCAGAACCACCTACATCATTCCTGGACCCCCTCTCTACGGCTCTGGTGGCTCTGGTGGCTCGAACCCTGTACCAACCACTGCTGCTCCCGGTACCACCGCTGTTCCCACCACTGCAGCTCCCCCACCAGCTCCCCCACCAGCGCCCACCGCCCCAGCTGGCACCGTCGCCCAATATGGGCAGTGTGGCGGGCAGACCTACTCTGGTCCCACTGGCTGCGTCGCGCCGTACACATGCACAGTTCTCAACCCATACTACTCTCAGTGCCTCTAGCTTATATTGAGTCTTTTTCTTCTTCGATCGATATTCACGATTGTAGCTTTAACCTCCGTACGCAATTCCAATCCATTGTAACCTCCTCCTGGTTCGCGATCCATACTTGAAAGGGCAAAGAGCACACATTCAATTATACGAATGGAATCGATCCAGAGAGGCGAGGTATCCTTCTACTTATTTAAGCAGCAGTAGAGGGGTCATGTTCCTAAAGCGAAACAGTTAGCGACTTGCTATTATCAAACCCAGACTAAATGACAGACCCTGTTTCGAATAATCGCCAGAGCGTTATTCACGACCGTCAACATGCTCTCCGTCATAGGGTACTTGGAAAGATCGTCGTCTGGACCGACCCAAGCATAGTCCTCGTGTTCTGACGGGTTGAGCTTGACTTCCGCATCTAGCCCGCCTTCCACCTCAGCCATAAAGTTGAATTGAATAGCTCGTCCTTTCCTTGTGGCGTACTCGAAGCCTTCAAATGATTGGAGGATGCGAACGATTGTAAGGCCAGTCTCCTCCTTGACCTCTCGCACTGCAGTGGCTATGATAGAGTCATCCTCGTCTTCCGCGCCTCCGCCGGGTATTTCGTACATCAAAGGGTAGACATCTTCTGTGGAAGCTCGCCGGATGAGAAGGAGCTTCATGGCGGTGGAATCGGGACTGCTCTTAGCTACGATGGCGACTCCGGCGACAAGGCGCTTGTTCTGGTTCTGTGTTCGCAATTCGGCGAGAGGGACGTTGAGTGGAAGGGCACTCTCAGAAATTGAAATAGGATCCTGGTGGGCCATATTGCCAAGGATGTGTTTTGCTGAGGTCTCGATGGTAAAGAAAATGAGGATAGACGATGCAAGCGGAGTATCAGCTGAGGCTAAGGGCTGGTCATGAAGTTGCCTTTGTATCGCCATTTCAAAGTCAGACTGATCGTTGGCCTTACGGTCAGAGATATGATTCGTGGTGACTATCATAGGCACGCGACCTAGAATCTAGGCTGAGTACTCGACGCAAGGGCATACATGGTCCAACAAACAATGACGTACAGCGGGTCAATCATTTTAGCGCCCATCGCACAGTATGAAAGTCATGCTGTTCGTAATTATCTTCTACCGGGTGAAGGTACCTTCTGGCTTGACCCACGACCGTTTGGCACTCAACCACGAGCCGTTGCATCGCCATCCTTGGAAAGTTCTCGCAAGATGTGTTTCTACCCCCTGCAGTCTTTGAATCAACCCGGCTTTTCAAAGTACTGATCCAGCATGTATAAATTCTACTGATCCAACCTGGGTTTTAGATATTAAAACTACTGATTCAACCATTTTGATACTACTGAATCAACCTGGGATAATTGTCCTGATCTAACCTGGATTTAAGAAGTTCTGATCCAACCCCCAGATTAAACTACAATTTCAGCATTTCTTATGTACTGATCCAACCCAGATTTTTGGTTTATAAAACTACTGATCCAACCTGGATTTTTGGTATATGAAACTACTGATCCAACCTGGACTTTGGGTTATGAAAGTGCTGATCCAACCTGGACTTTGGGTTATGAAAGTGCTGATCCAACCTGGACTTTGGGTTATGAAAGTGCTGATCCAACCTGGATTTTTGGGTTATGAAACTGCTGATCCAACCTGGATTCTTGATTTATGAAAGTACTGATCCAACCTGGATTCTTGATTTATGAAAGTACTGATCCAACCTGGACTTTAGATTATGAAAGTACTGATCCAACCTGGACTTTGGGTTGTGAAACTACTGATCCAACCTGGATTTTGGGTTATGAAAGTACTGATCCAACCCAGGTTTTTTAATTACTATATTTAGAACAGACCTATTGATTGGCTGATCAGATTAGATGGGCCAGGACATCTCTCCCATTTACTACCACCATCTTCTTCTATACTGCACACAACATCCTGCTATGCCTCCAAAAGCTTCATCTCTGTGCTATGCTACTGTAAC